AATTATATTTATGATTGGCTAATTATTTTTATTCAAAAAATATTATTTTTTAAAACTTCGACGACTGAGGACCCCTATTCTTATCCTTATTTTACTAAGAAAAAAAATCTTTCCCAAAGTAAACACCGGGCTTATTTTACAGTCTACCTCCAGTTAGATGTTGTTCCATAGTCACAGCTTAATATTCGATACTTTTTTGGCTGTGCCTAGGAGATCACATGCTGTAGTGATTGTCCCTTATGCGCCTTAAGGCAGGTAAAAATAAACAAATAAATATTGACCTGAAACTTTTGAAAATGTCCGCTCCTTAGCTATCATTACAAACAAATGCTACCAAAGAGTTTATTATTAATCTCTTTAAAGCTTTATTCCCAAACCGACATTGACACAGTAATCATCAAGGTCAAACGAACATTTTCAAATGTAATTGCACCTATTACAACAAATAAAAACCGCCGAAAATAGGGATTTTCTCTTCCTAAACTCAACCTATCGAGAATGAACGTTTGAAAAGGCTTTAAGAAAAATAATCTTTTGGGTAGTAATGGCAACAAAAAAAAAAAACTTGCGTCTGACTTGTTAATAGCGTATTGAGCAGAATATAAAAAGGATCACAAACTCAAAGGTCAAAGTTTGGCGACGAGATTTATGGGATAAAAATTACTTTTAAATGACTTATCTCAACAGTGAATATCCTACACGATCCGGCAGGTAGTATATAAGAGAAAGTGTTGTATATGGTATACCTCAAACGGTGTATACTGAGCCACTCAAAAATGTTTGATTATTATGCAGCTTTTAGACACAGCCACGAAAACACGTCTTAGGCTATGATTAAGCGTACTTTGGCTGTTCCTGAACAAAAGTCTTGGCGGATTTTCCGTTCAAAGTTCTATCGCAGTTGTATTCTCAGAAATTTAAAAATGGCTGTACCTGCGTCTTTTTTTGTGTCTTTTGTGTTTTGTTATATGTTGTGTTTCAGGTGTGCGATGTACGGTTCCACATCAATAATGAATTCGTTTTAAAGAAAGAAATGAGGACTTTAACTTCATACAGATAGTCATAAAAAAGATGCGTGTGCTAAAAGCGCAATTAGTGGATCCTAATTGTAAACATCATATACCCATAACGCTTTTGCGTACACACATAAAAAAAGTGGAGGGGTATAAAATTGTCAACAAGCTCAGGTAACGCCCCTTCTAATTTACGTGAAGCTGGTTGGGCGTACAATCTTTTGTTACCTTTTTTAAATTAAAACTCAGTTCCCCAAGGTAAAATAAGCTTGAGGACGGTGCTTAAATACCGAGTCAGAAGGGTTAGGTCTGTTCTTGACTTATGTGAATAACTTCTTAGAGGAGAATAAAGATAATGTTTATTGATTGATAATTGAAGCTATTTATATGTTTTACAATTGTCAATCCGGAGTAACTACAATTGTATTGGTTCGTTAGGTAGTAAATACGATTGCTGCGGTTGGTTATGTGTATTAAGTTACAATCGCCGATTAGCGGATTGATGACATAATGGACTCACGACAAAGGGTTTTGACATCATCAAAACCCACGTTGGCTTTTGGATTCCAAGGGAACACCTTCGCACACTACATGAAGAAAATTAAGTTGTTATTGGACGATCAATTCCTAAAAAGGCATGACTTAACCCGATTTTGATTACAGACATCTTTTTACTTTTTCACATTCTGATTAATGACGTTTGCAGCTTTGGTCGTTTCAAAAGGTTCCACGAGCTTTTCTTGAGAAAAAGGAAATAGTAAAATTGCTCTTGGTCCGTGTAGTAGTTGTTCCGTTGGGTGTTTTTTTCCTAGAGTCTGTCTGTCAAATGCCTTGGGTTCATCTTTTAGAGATTACGTTTTTATTTTCTATCTAATTCTACGTTGTCATACGAAATGAAGGTTCTACCATAACAGTAGATGTTTTTTTTTCAGATGAATCTACGCTCTACCTCTACCACCTTCTTAAAACTATCCTCTTCAAATAGATAGATTTTACAAAAAAATTGGAAAAGCTGGTTGTACTATATGTAGAAAGCAGGTGACGTTTTTCAAAAATTGGGGAAAAATATTTTTTAAGGCAATCTGACTTCAAACAGATGAATTTGATAACCCATATTGCAATGCTAATTCTATCGAACATCCACAAAACTTTATCCAGCATCCTACCAATGTTTGGTTACTAGACTCATTAATAAATGATTTTAAAAACATTGGTTCTACCATTCGTTCGGCCATTCAATTTATAAAAAGTAGGTCGAATCAAGTTTTTTTTTTCTGGGCAATCTATTATTCGAAATGGGATCTTCTATTGGAATATCTAGTAACCCTGAGTTGTAAATGTATAACTCAGGATATTTTTTATGCTATTATTTTTTATGAGTGTTATAATATTATGTACCTGTCGATCAAGGATCGATGGAATGATTTTATATGCGATTTTATATGTTAAATAGTGCGATTTTAGTACAATCAGATCATGCAACGGTTACTGTAAAAGATAAATACTTGTTTGTCAAGTGTAATTGGCAATAGAACATAATAGTTGATCATTTATTCATTATCTTTGTAATGAATAAAATACGATCCCAAATATAAAATGTCTTATCAATTTGTATATTTGGTTGTAGAAGATAGGTATCCATTAATTCATACACTATTTCTTTATACTCTTTATCAGCAGTATAATTATATCAATATATAAGTAAATGAACCATTTATATTAATAGCTGCTCTATTCTCTCTATGGGTAGCTAATCCATTGAGAGAACTATCAATATTAAGTTTCTCTTTCTTATAATTCTTGATTTGATCTGAGAAGATTCTCTTCTCAATCGGTGATATCGTAACTCAGTGGTATAGCATTCCGTATCCAACTGTCATTCGTATATCGTATTTAGGCCAATCATGCAATCTTTAATATAGAAGTATGTACTCGAAGTAGGAGAAGTTGTATAGCAGTATACAAGCGTATGCTGATATGCAACATCAAAGGTTGTTTTAATTTCATGGTTTATTTATTTAAACGATTTGCTTAATTATTCTTAAGTGAATCGTACCCAAATACGACAATCCACAGTTTTTTCTCATAGACCATCAGACGTTTTTTTAATTAATTTATTTTTTTCGTCCATAATAAAGTAGTATCCAGGTAGCAGCATCACTTTTGGTTTTACTTTATTTTTGTTCTCCATGCAAAACATGTGCAACCGTAAAAAAATTCGAGCGAGCTTCGACTGGAACACGATCGAAGCTCGCTCGAGAATTTCGATCTTTATTCCGATCACTACGCATGAGTCAATGATTCCCGTATTTTATTTTTAAAATCACAGCACAACAACTGGAAAACAGAAAACCAAAAAACACTTCTATGTGATTGCCTTGCATCACACTCATAAACTAGAGTCACCTTACTCCTTACAAAAAATAAAAAAAAAAAAGAAAAGGAACGTAACAAACACAAAATATACTTTTAATCCTAATTTACTCAACTTCCGGACCAACAACTATGAGCTCTAAAAATTACAATCCTATAAAATAAGCTGTCAATTCTTTATATCTATCCACTCCACAAATCGCATTGCATTTGAAATCACTTATTATTTTACAATCGTTCCAATACGAAAGGACTGTTTTTTTAGTAAATACTGCATTTATGAATATTGACTATCATAAACATGTTATAGTAAAAAAAGATAAACGAGGTATAGTAGGTCGAAATTATAAAATTTGTTCGTGAAAGAGGTCGGTCATTGATATCTTCCCAAAAAATGTAAAGTACGATCTGTATCCTTAAGGTCTTCACCAGGGGAACGAAAAGATACAATCTGGAAGCCTCGAGGAAATGGAGACAAGTCGAGTTGTAGTAGGTGCTTCCGAGACGAAGTTAAGAAGAGGCGTTCGGCGGCTGCAAGAACTAAAGGCGTAGTAAACGGACGGTAGTCAAAGATAAAAACCCAGCGTGCATGCCAATTATTGTATATTGGTTCTTAATTTTTTTTTTTTTTTTTTGTATGTTACTTTGCCTCCTTTTTCAATAAAAAATTGTATTTATCATCACTCTCTCACGCAGTCTACGTACTATAACATCGAGCGATCTCGAGCTTTTGTTACTACAACTGAGTTGATCTAACAAAAACTCGACCTGAACTCAACCGTAACTCGCTAGAGAGTTTTTGTTTTTATTCCGAATTATACCAAACACTCAAATCTATTACAAAAAGATTGTTTGACAAGCAAAATAGGATCTGACGTCTTTTAAGACATTCAGATCCAATCAGCGAATCTAAGACAATAATAAGAAGGCTGTAGTGAATTTTCTCCAAAATTGAAAAAAGAAAAACTACGAAGATCAAAGCCATCATTCACTCATGCTTAATATCAGTGATACATCGTTTAAAGGCGTTTAATAATGAAATCACGCTGATAGTTAATAAACACGACTCGATCATGCACTGCTTATCAAGTTTTAAAAGAAAAAGAAAAAAAAGGAGCGTCTCTAATGTTCTTGTCAAGAGAATAAGCTCAAAAGAATTAAAAGGGTATTATAGCACAGTGCTATGCAAAATTCCAGAGGTATACCACTGTAAATCGTGATGCAAACGGGTAAAAGAACATTAATTTATTTGAATTTTTATCCGTAGACAACTATATTATCTATTTCCATTTTATCTTTCTAAAAAAGGCAAGTTAATGGTAAAAAGAAATCTAGATTACAGCTATTTCAAACAGATTTGGCCTTGTAAACAAAAACAAGAAAAACATTTTTTTTTTTTGAAAGAAAAACTATCCGGGCATGGTGAAAAAGCCAAAAAAAATGCCATTTGACCTGGAAAAATGGATTAGTAATCCAAAAGTTTTTTGTAATTTCTTTTGCCGATGGTTATTTGTTACACGAACGTACACAGAAAATCCCTTCTCCCCCCATAATGTTTAAATCTCACATGAACCCGAAAAAAGAAAACCCGCCCAGTACAATAAAGTAACAAGATTACAAGGTAAATATAAAATTTATTGTTCGAGAGCAACACGTTCAGCCACCAGTTTTTCTACAAGAGAAATATCGGGACGACCTAGGACAGCTAATTTACGATCCCAATCAATGACAAAAGGTCTTTCAAGGAGTGCGGGATCAGCTTGGATCAAACGATAGGCTTCTTCAAAAGACTTGGCCTTTCCTTGAGCTTCAGGGCGTAAGAGATAATTCCATGGAGCTTCGGACTCGGGCTTTTGTGTGAGACCGAGGTAATCAGATAAGATGCTTAAAGTTTCGTTGGAAGGAGTATTGACTTGATATTCAATCACTTCTAAGTCATAACTTGCCTTGTTTGTTTCCAAACATGATACACTACGCTTAGACTTGGTACAAGTGGGATTGTGAAATACAGTTAATTTGGGCATTCGAAGATAAATCAGAGAGAGAAAGAGAGGGAACGAGACCATGTAAATTGTTTTCTTTTGTAAGCATTTAACTTTGAAGGTCAGATGAGTAACACTCCCCCCAAAAAAAAATAAGAATACTTAAACGTTTTTGATCTGTTCTTCTTTCTTCTACTCTTCTTTCGCTCCAATTCTAAAATGTCAATCCACTATAAAACAGAAGAACCCAAAGATATTAAAAGTGAGGAGAAGCAAGAGGCTTGTTACAAGACAGATGATTGCAAATTCGATTACTGTAGTGTTCAGCCTACCACCGAGACAGACAATAAGCAAGAAGATGTACAAGAGACAGGTAACTAGATAAATTAGGAACAGCAAAATCAAAGTAAAACTCATGTCACTGATTTATAACACACTCATGCTCCAGCTTTGCTCAGGAAATTAGGTTTTCTGGATCGCTTCCTTTTGGTATGGATCTTACTGGCCATGATTATCGGTGTAGTTATTGGCTATTATGCTCCTAATGTTCAAGAATCTTTTCAGACAGTTCAATTTGGATCCGTCTCTGTACCTATTGCGATTGGCTTGCTGGTAATGATGTACCCTGTTTTATGTAAAATACAGTACGAAAGAATGCACATTATTTTAAACGACAGGAGAGTTTGGATTCAAATCCTGATTTCCATCATCATTAATTGGATTATTGGTCCTATTGTTATGACTGCTCTAGCATGGGCTACACTTTTTGATTTGCCTGGGTTCCGTACTGGTGTAGTTATGGTTGGCCTTGCAAGGTAACAGAAAAACAAATGACAAGGATATATACTACGTGTACTCACATAGGAGTCCCCACTTAGATGCATTGCTATGGTTCTTATTTGGAATACGCTTTCTGGCGGAGACCCAGATTACTGTGCTATTCTGGTGGCTATTAACTCTATACTCCAAATTGCTCTCTTTTCTCCTTACGCCGTCCTATTTATTAATATTGTGCCATCCTGGTTTGGTGCTCCTTTGGATAATACGATCCATGTAGAAATTTGGCCTGTCGCTCAATCCGTATTGATCTATCTTGGTATTCCGCTTGTGGCTGGATGCATCACACGTTTTACACTTCGCTGGGCAAAAGGTGACACATGGTACAACACTGTCTTTTTGCCACATTTCGGTCCCCTGGCCCTGGTAGGACTTATTTACACCATTATTGTTATGTTTGCCAATCAAGGCCATCATATCATTGACAACATTGGATCTGTCTTCCGAGTTGCTGTACCACTCTTCTGCTATTTTATTATCATGTTCTTTGTGACATTTTTCATTTTAAAGAGTGTATTCCATTTCCCTTATGAGATGGTGGTGACTCAATCTTTTACAGCCGGCAGTAATAACTTTGAATTGGCTATTGCAGTCGCAGTGGGTACGTATGGTATTAACTCGGAGCAAGCCTTAGCCGCCACTATTGGCCCATTAATTGAGGTGCCTGTGTTGGTCATTTTGGTTTATATCACACTTTATCTTAAAAAGAAATTAAGTTGGAAAAAGAATATAGTTGATCTTGAAGCGTCCAAGTAGAAAAAAATAAAATTACATCATTGGTTACATATGCCCAGTTGTACACATAACAAAATGACGTGATGAAATGATATGCCGGATTGCCTTTTGTGTGTAACAAATGTTTGTCTTTTACACGAAAATGCCTTTTTTTGAAAAAAAAAAATAAAATAAAATAAAATAAAAAAAATAAAATAAAAAAGCAGGTACTTGACAGAGTCATGCATTATGGCGTTGACTATACAAAAAAGGATTTTATTAAATGAGTGATAAACCATCAAAACCTTTTTGAGCTACTTTATTTGTAGCTAAGGTACATGCATACTGTGTCGCACTTTTGATATCCTGACCATTACGTGAGAGGCAAGAAATGATACCCGCATTGAACGTATCACCCGCACCTACTGTATCAATCACCTTTTCTATCTTGTGCAAAACCGGTGCGTGATAAAATGTTTTGGTTTCGTTATCTAGTACAGCAGCACCATCTTCTCCCCAAGTACAAAATGCCTTCGCACTATCATTTGTGATTTTTTTTAAAATGTCATGTAAAAGTGTCATTCACAAAATGTTAGTGTTTTACCTTGGTTTTAATTGTGTGTTCAATACATCCCAATTTTTTAAAAATGAGATAGCGTCTTTGAACCCATGATGTTGAGCAAATATTTTGGAAAAGAAGACGATGTCGGCCTATGTATGTGTATGTGATGTTTATAAGAGATACGGGTAAGGACACATAATACAACAGATACTTTTACCCTTGGAATCAAACATTCAATGTCATCTCTGAGAGGTTTCTCTAATTCTACTGATATCACTAACTGACGTCTCCAACCTTCATCTGTTGCCTTGTTACTTAACCAGTCAATTTGAAAAACGGTTTCAGATATGTTTCGACCTTCGAAATGAACCCACCAGTTGTCATATTTATTGAGGTGATTAAAGGTCTCTCTAAATTCAGCGCATGTAATGTCTTGAATACTTGTTCGGAGAAAATGTTAATTATTAGAATAACAAATAAAATGACGATATTTTACTCGTTATGGGAGAGGATAGTTCTGGATCCAGTTAATTCATTGTGTATGATGGTAGATGAAGGTGTGATGGAAGCGTCTCTATAAAGAAAAAAATCTTTTATCTGCTTTTCTTTATGCATATCTGTGATATAACTTTATGGTTTTATTAAAAAAAAAAAAAATGTCTCTGTCTCCCAATGTCTCTCTCGCTCTTTTTACCTGGATGTTTCACGGGATCCGGCAGCAGACATGTAACACACATTCATATGATCAAATTGTGTCAACACTTGAGCAGTGTTACAGGTATTGCCACCTATTCTTTGTTCAACAGAGTTGGCTCTTGTTTTAGTGTCTTCTTCAGGAAAACCACTCACGTGTAATATTGTGTCCAGGTAAACTTGCCCGACTAAAAGAACATTGCGTTTGCCCTGATTCCACTCCATTTGCATATTAAAAAAAAAAAAAAAGGAGAGAAGATAACAGCAAAAAAAGAGATACACGTGTAGAGTCACAGGTTAAAACAATTGCGCTCGTTTAATTTTTTATTTTTTTATTTCATCATTTAAATTTGAGTTTGGCAATCTTCTTTTTTTTTTCCCTTTTTTTTTTATCATCAATTTTCTATAAGAAACCCCATATGGATACTCCAGACGAAAAAGGGTTTTACACATTTGAATCCTCATCTTCTAGTGAGCAAATTGCTCAAAAGCCTATTCATTTGGAAAAACGGTTTAATGCCAGTCTTCTTCATGGAAAGCGGAACCTGAATAAAAAGACAGCGGCAGCCAATGTGGAGTCTAAACGAGAAGCTATTCTGCAAGAACGAAGTGCCAGGTTAAATCAAAACTTTCAAAAGGTGAAGAGAATTGCCAAGGAAATGAAGGACCGTCGTCAAGACAAGTTGCATCTATTAAGCAAGTCTATGGCTTTGGCTGAAACAAAGAGAAACCAGCATATCGAGAACAGAAGAGCTGCCTCTAAACAATCTGTCGAAAGAGCCAAATATATTGTCCTACAAAATCAATATCGCTCTCAACAAGAACAAGGTAAATTTTATAAAATTCTATTTTTAATTGCACAGTCCAATCGGAATGGCGTGGAAAATGAAAGAATCTTACAATTTGTCATTTTTTCTATAAAATATATAGAGAGGCGCAGAGCTGAACTTGAAACTAGATTTCAAAAGACAGAGCAAAGACGATTGGCCCATTTAAACAGATATCAACAGCAAAAAAAGAAAAAGAATATAGTTACCTCCTCTTCTTCTCCTTCTTCTCTCGTTTCACCAATGTCAACCATAACTATTAACAACAATGCCAAAATTCTGGATGAACCAGTCAAAGTAAAGAAACCTTCTTCGTGGTCCATCATCTTGAAGGCCTTTCGAGGTTTAGGTCTCCCATTACCTTCCTCGTCTGACACCTGGCTCGAATTTAATGCATTAGGAAAATTACTTAACCAAGCCAAAGTCATTGTCGTCACCACAAAGGTGTTGAACACCGCATTAAAAATGAATGATGAGGATAGCAGACAACGTGCACGTGTTCTCTTGACCTCATACATGACTCTCATGTGTCCTCGAGAAGTTTTACAAGACGTTGAAGGCACAGAAGAAAGGGTAAAAAAAAAAATTATATTACAAATCAATGCTTTTTTTTTTTAATTAACTCTGTATGTAAAGGTATTACATACTTCTGCAAAGCAAATGTTGACCTTATTTGAAATCTGGCTCAAGGCCCATGGTCGTCCTGGTGCTACATCTGCAAGACTTGCATTTGTCCAAGCTTGGAACGAATACAATGTCTTGTTTGAATCTTGGAAATCAAGAGACTGTACTCAGCTGACTTACAATATGATTGGTTACTATGTTGAGCTATCCACATTGCGTCAGACCATGATTGCTCAACAAAACGATCCTTCAGTAGGCGACCAACTACAACAACAATTGGACGAAATTAAACTCAAGTTGGAAAAACTGGGTGGTCCTACTGCCCTAGCCAATCTTCAACGCGCCCTCGAATTGTCCAGTGCATCCACTTCGACAGGAAGAAAGAAGCAGCAACAAAAGAACACACCTCGTTCTCCTGAATTCGACACCGAGTTTGAAACCCAGCAAAATGCAAAGAACCAGCACACGAATGGCGAACAACTGGGTCACTTGTTGAATGGCTATGCACCTGAATCTGGTTTGACGAATGAGCAATTAGCTCATGAATTGATTATGGATCCTGAATTTAAATTGAAGAAGCACGAACCAGCTAATGATTTAGAAAAGAGAATTAGAATGATGGCAGAAAAGGCATTTTTTGACAAGGTTGCACAAGACATGGAAGAAGGCCGTGCAGAGTTATCTTTGCCTTCTTTGATTGTTGACGTGAAAACTGTAAGATTATTTTAAAAAATACATGTAAGCATACTCGAAAGCTGACATGATTATCTTTAGCGTTTATTAGCACTTGTTCGACCTGGCACCTCCATGTACAACAGTGTGGATGAAGGTATTGATCTATCCTTGATTGAACAGCAAATGAAGCAATCCACTTTTGATATTCGTGGTATGATGGATTATGTGTTAGATGTGATGGCTAATATGTGTGCCCCTGTACGTGATGAAGAGATCAAGAAACTTCAGACCAGCACCAACCTGATCGAACAAATCCAGAGCGTCTTACACCTTTTAGAAGACATGAGCCTAGATTTAGCCAATTTTCGTCTCCGGTCTCTTCGTCCTCATCTCATGTCTATGGCGGTTGAATACGAACGAGAGAAATTTGCAGCCATGTTGAGTAGCGGAAAGATCCAATTGGTTCGTACGCAAGCTTGGTTAAACGAATCTGCAAGTAAATTATGTAGAGTGGCAGCACAACGTAACCCCGAAGGAGTTTTACCAGAAAAGAACAACAAGCCTACGCACGATTCTATTTTTGAAGATGCATATGTCTCCTTACTAGTCCAACCACATGAGCTCAACTTATCCCGTAATTTACCAGAGACCTTGGATATGGATGCGAATCGTATGGCTGATTTCCAAAATGAGGTACAGGCAGTGACCATTGTTGCCGCTTTACTTATGTTGGCCAGAAATTTTGGGTCTGCAAGTCCCCAGGCTTTGACAGAGTTGGGGACCAAACTGTTTACGATGTTAAAGGACCCAACGACTGCTATCGATAATCTCTCTACCGAAATTGAGCATGCTGTCAATGTAAGGCCTGAACGAAGAGAGATGGTGCGTACCATGGTAGATAAGACGGTGTCACATTCAGATACGGTCTACTCTTTACTCTCCCGTCGTGTGGCAACCGTTATCAAAACAACGATACAGAATAACAAGTTTGTGACGGATGCGGTTCTCTCAAGTAACGGGTTACAACATGTTCGTAGCAATCTTCAATCTGTGGCACATAAAATACTACGCATGACTCACCATCATCGAAAGGTCTATGCGACTTATTATGATGACATTATTACAAATGCTTTAAATGAACATCTCGTGGTTTCACCCAGTACAAGCAGTACCTAAATCAAAACTATTTTTTTTTATTATGTATACATGAATTAAAAATAGAAAGAAACAAAAATATTGTTGTTATGGGGGCGTAAATTTTAATCAACACTTTTGCTAACAAAAGGAGAGAGAGGGGGGTAGGGCATTTCTGTTTTTAAGGCTCCGGGTGAGTGCATTTAAATCATTTCATTATCCATCATCTTTTAAAGAAGCACAAACCAAAACAAACAAACAGACGATTATGTTTTTGTGTAGTAAACTCTTTGAAGAGCTTCGTACAATAGTTTCGTGTGAAAAGCATCAGATTTATATGACACGATGATGACAAAATGAAGCCATTGTGCTACAAAACCCATGATTGTTTAATAATAAAAAAAAAAATATGTCACTTCATTTTTTGGCATTGTGTTCATTTTTGTTGGTCTGTATTTGAAAATTTGTAATATGATTTTATACATGAAGGGGGGAGGGGCCCTAAATTATGCACAAAACAGCTTTCTTGTTACACGCTATTATTTTGCATGACGGGTTTGTTTACATTTAGAATACAAATTGTATTATTAGTTTATTAAAAATTAATAATGGTAGAGAAGGTGAGTTTTTTTTGTTGTTGTTGTGGTGTTAGTACAGTCCTTTTGGGTAAAAGGAGAAAAGAGGGGGAAGGGAGAATATCATATGAATATACCGCATTTAGTTTTTTTGCGTGTGAAGATAAGGTGTATATAAGGTTTTTTTTGGAAGGTAAATAAATGTTACATATAATACACAAAAAAGGTCTGTTGTTATTTTTCTAATATAAGATCAGGCCCTTTCCATAAGTTAATGAGTACGGCCGTCACCAAAATAATGGCAAAACGACACCAACGAAAGATGGAACGAAACAGATAGCGAATTTGAAACAAGATACGATTTGATAAACCTTTAGGCTGTATACAATCATCATCGTCTAGTTTTAAAAGCTGGCTTGAGATGGTCGGTAATATATTTGGGTACAAGTTGAGTTCAGCATACATGTCATTTCCATCTTGTTCGGGTGCGAATAATTCATCACTTGCGGATTCTAATAGATTTTCGGCTTCTTCCAAGATGCGACGGTCATTCACGCCTACCGTGCTAAGGAGTGTTTCCAATATACAGTCACCCGGTCTTTTATAAAATGAGGTGAGTTTATGTTCAGTCATACTTGCGAGATCGTAAATTTTTGTGAAAGTCGATAGGTTACTATCGGAACTACTCTTTGTTAAACCATTTGTATGCTTTCGTGAAGAGAATGCATTCTCCAATTCACCCATTAGACTCTGCATACTACTGCCGGCCATCGTTGGTCTACTGTCGTCTCCGTCGTCGTTGTATAAACTAGCTGTATTTGAATGCAAAAGGCCTTTATCACGCAACCTTGATAAGATCTGTCGGTGATCTTCTAAACTATCGTTTAATTCCTGAATATGTGTAGTTTGTCTTTCAAATGCCTCCTGTAAGGTAGAGTAACCTTGTTGTGTTAATTCGAAATGCTCAAAGTTGCAGCGTAATTTTTCCAAATCATGAAGAGAAACTATGAGTTTTTCTTCTACGGATTTCTTGGATGCTTGCAATTGTTTATTTTCAGTAAATAACTCTTGCATTTTAGTGGTTAATTCTTCCATAAGGACCAAATCATCGGATTTCTGCTGTAATTCAAAATCTCTCATTTCATCCATGTGTTTCCTGATTTGCCGTTTTTGTACGCTCAGCTCTTCTAATTCATGTATTTTGCTGGCGGCAATATCGAGGTCAGCTGTCAACTTTGTAATTTCGGATTCTAATTTACGTTGCTTGAGTTCATATTGTTGTTGGGTCAGTTGGGAGTGTTGCTGTGTTTGATCCAACATGCTTTGTATTTCTGCATTCTTTTGTTCCAGTGATTCGATAATTGCATCATAAGCTTTCCTACTCGATCGTATTTTGTCATTCTCATCGCCTCTGGCTTTACACTCACTCACGTTTTGAATGAGTTTGTCGTAATCACGCTTTAAATTTTGGTTGTGTTCCAATAACGATTTTCCAATTTCTGCCGCTAGTAATAAATCTATAGACAAAACAACATTAGTAAAACTATTTTAAAACAAACAATAAGTTTTCTTACTCTTCTCTTTTTCACGTAGTGATTTGTATGCATTCTTTAGTAAGGTACCAAGTTCTGAAGCGGACTTTTCGGCTACCCAAGAAACGGATGATATGATGGATGTGGTGGATGCTGCGGGTGAATAAGGTGGATCTTCCATAAAATCCATTTGTTGTGGTGAATACAAGTGTGTAGGTGTTGATTGTGAATATTTTGTAGGCACTACTTGTAGCCTTGGTCGTAATTTTCTATTAGCATGAGTTGAAAGCATAATTGTTACAAATGTAAAATGAAAGAAAAAGAAAAGAAATAATAAAAAAAAGTAACAAAAACTTGATATTTATCATGAGAAAAAATTATTCGGAGTTGATCATTTTTTGTTTGTTTCTCATCATAATCCATCCCCCCCCCCTTTTTTTTTAATACCATCTTTCTCTCTTTTACCTTTCTCCGTGCTACGAATAAATGTTATTATACATTCCATCTGCTGACTTGAACCGGACAAAAAAAAAATGTTGGGGTATTTATTATTACAACGTTGCACAAATGGGAAACAATAGTTTTTTATTTTATTTGGAAAGCGGTTGTTAGCTGAAAAAGGAAATTGCACGACTAGTCAATAACCACTACTTCAGGAACGGCAGGAGTTTTTGGAACAACCTTGCGCCTCTTATTGGTGGTTTCTGTTAAAAGTGAATCCTTTAAAAATGTGCACTCAATTTCAATTGCGCGATTCTCTGTTAATCTCTCACCAATTGGACCAACAATAATATATCTATTTATACCCATGATTAACTTACATTTATGTGAGTATGTTTATTCGCTACTTACGTGATTGTGCTGTAGGGCGTTGCATGGTATTCCTCAGTTAAATATCCTCTTATCATGAGTTGATTAAGCATACGTTCAATATTCTATATTTATCTTAGTCTCAACCGTCATTTTACGTATCAAAATAAAAACTTACGTGTTCATTATATTTTTTATCAATAGGGATCATAATTTCATCGTTTCGTTCTACTACAGATTTCAACGGACCCAAGCCCCGATTTTGAAGCATTTGAACAAGTTTGGTCATGGTGACCCGTTCATTGACTTTTTTTAGCAAGAGACATAACCTAATGATCGTCTCGGCAACATCAGCGATATCCTCTGTACAAACATCCTCTGGTACTCGATTACAGTTATCACAATTACCGCATACCTCGTCAGGTGTAATTTCATTGACGAGACCTTCATTCTGGTTTGAGTCTAAAGCAAAATAATTCTCAAACAAGATCTTTCGACAAGTTTTATAATCTTCTGCATATTTGATCATTTCATACACTAGTGGTAAACATACATTAAAATTGAATAACTTGTTGTTGATATATGTATGTCCAAACTTACATCCGGCTCTACCGTTCATTTCATTCAGTACAAAAGGCGAGAGGCGCATTGCTAGCATCGTTCCATGTTATTGTGTGTGTGTGTGTGTGTGTGTGTGTGTACAAGAATAATAATGTGACATATATTTACCATCTGTACCACGATAATATATAATACATTCAGCCTTATTGCCATCGCGTCCGGCTCTTCCACTTTCTTGATAATAGCCCTCCATAGACTTGGACATGCAATGATGGATGATGAATCTTGTTTTTAAATGATTGATACCCATACCGAAAGCAATGGTGGCTACAATTACATGTAACTGATTTTTTCTCCATTTCTGATGGATCAATTCTTTATCTTCCTATACAGAAATAAATAAATATTAGGGGAAGGGTGTTACAAGAAAGGCCTACTTTACGTCGTCCATATACGCATGATATGTTCCGCACATGATTTTTCCTCTGCTCTCCTTGATGATACTTTGCGCAACCACCTCGGCATCTTTTTTGGAAAGACAGTAAATGATGCCTGATTCTTTAGGATAATTGTCATTGATCCAGTTTGTGATGTGTCGGATGGTTTCTTCCGCACTATCCGGTCTCTGTACTACTTTATATACCAAGTTGGGTCCTGGTTAAACAAATAAAAAGAACAAATTTGTTTCATTAGCGATTGGCAAAAAATTAAATAGAATTGTATGTATTTACGGTGAAGTGGTGCGCTATAGACCAGTGTACCATTATTAACTTGCGGTTGCTTCATATTCAGGATTCGCATGACATCCTTCATGACTGACCAGGGACATGTGGCTGTCAGTGCCATAATTTTTGTATTTGGGAACAAAGTCTAAATGTTTGTTGTGATTAGCCTTTCACGGTAAAAAAATAAAATAAAATGAAGAACGTCTTTTTTACTCTTAATTTATTCAATTGCTTATAATCAGGCCTAAAAAGCGGCGTTTCAGTTATGAAAGAGACAATATGAAATATATAACTTACCTAAAGTCACTGCCTTGTTGGGAGCAGCAATGCGCTTCGTCAACCACAATTCTTGAGAGAAAACCAGCATCATAGGATTGGTTTAATTTGGCCATAAACATTTTACTTTTCGAGACTTTTTCTGGAGTGACATAAAGTAATTTAAAGGAATTTTGGTTGGACAACATGCCTTGATACACAGACTTTACCTCTTCTTTTGTTGTCGAGGCAGTTATATATACAGCTGGCACGCCCTGTTCATGTAACTGATATACTTGATCTTTAATCAATGAGACGAGAGGTGACACAACGAGTGTAAACCCATCATCTAATAAAGCGGGTAATTGATAGCAGAGAGATTTGCCTGCGCCCGTAGGTAATACAACAAACAGATCTCGCTGTTTGTCCATCGCTGCATTGAGAATGGGTAGTTGCAAATGACGAAATGTCTCGATTTGAAAGTGAGATTTCGCCTTCTCCCGCAGATCGGAAGACCATGGAAAGTTTTCCTCGTTGTAGTTGTATGTTTCTTGTGCCTGTCCTTCTCGAATAAAGTTCTTCTGCATAGCATCTAGAAGGGCATTTCGCTTTTGAATAAGCACATACTTGTCTTGTTCTAACAGCTCAATGGCGGAATCTATCGAGTCTATTTCCTGGTTAATTATCTCGAGCTGAGATTGATGTGACATTTTGATGAAAAAGGGCAGAGAACGAGCAAGTCTATAAAAAGTAAATCGTCACACCTACATAAATAACCTGAAAAAAAAAAAATGCTGCTTCCGAAAGTCACTGTTTAAGCAAAACTTTTTTTTTAAAAAAAAATATAGGAGATCGCTTATGACCCTCATGCTTAACCTGTGATTTAATGCCTATGAAAATTTGAGTTGCGGGCGTTGCTGAAAAATTTGAGTCTGTACATATTACATGTATGTAGGCCTGGGGCTTTTGAAAGATAAGTAAAGGCTCAAACATTAAATGGATGATTAAATAAACAATTAAATCATCTTGACAGAAGCCAGTTCTTGTTTATCAATAATATAAAACTTTTCTCCTCCCTTTTTTCGTTTCCCACTAGACCAAGAGATATAATTATTGAGACAATCTTTACTTACATACGAAAGTAATAAATACGGTAAAAGGGTTGATCAATAATGATTTTGAGATTGCCGTCGGCTGCAGGATTACAAGCGGCCATCTAAAATAAAGCTTTTTTCAGCCTTGAAACTTCAATAGGATCTTCATTCCTCTTTGTTAACTTTGGCCAAAAAGAAAATAGGAAAACTTGAATAACCTCGAAATACTCTTCTATCAAATGATTTGACAGAAATCAAGGTACATTAAGCAGAATTATCAACCGTTTAAACGATGCAATCAGAACCACCAGTCAAGTCGTTTATACTTTGTTTGAGTTGATTTTTTTTTTTTTTGAAAAAAAACTCTAGAATGTCTCTACTGAATCTAATGTAACAGTCATTGATGCTATACAGAACAAAAGAAGGATCTAGTTCGAGAACCCAATGAAGAATTAGTTGAGGATTTAGTCGAGAATGAAGTTAAAGATCCTATTGAGATGGATGATGATCTTCCCAATAACAGTGTTCTCACCGAGTATTTTAAGAGTATTCAAACTCGTTGGACAAATGAAAGATATATCTCTGAGTACAGTGATTGTATGTAGTGGATAAAGCCTATGATGACCGTTTTAACTTTATAGACATAAAAGGATGTCAAGTATTTATACAGACCACGAGTTTATCTTTGGATTCCCGACCTTCTACTCGACAAAGGTTTGGAGCAATCAAGATGTCTCCAAAACAAGTGTAACAAGTAGCTTGAGACAAAAGGCTGCAATAAAAAGGCCTTATACCCGCGTGGATATGTTCAGGTACTCTTTCCAGAAAATTGAGCAGCATATGCTGACTATGGACATGAAATGTCAATTACTTTTTACACCGATGACGTTAAAGGAGACCAAGCATATGATGGACCATTAAAGGATGTTAAACCGACTTCTATTGATGAAATGAATGGTACAGGATCCAATAGCTGCAATCACCTTCAGTTGCTTAAAGATGTTGAAGTATCCTACATTTATCGCAAACTTGATTTGATGGATAAATCGTTTGACTGATGAAATTAAATTTTCAGTACGGATGAAGTGAGCAGTCGCTATATGTCTCGACTGTGAATGGGATATTAGCTACTCTCAAAGGAGTAGATAACTGTAAAGTAGATGTTGTACAAATAGCATATGAAAAGAAAGTGTCTGTCTTACACGTCGAAAGATGTTGGATCTCTCTGTCGACTTCTTCGATGAGTAACTTTGAGAAAGCCAGGCTGGTGGGGGTTTAAGCAGTAGTTCAAAAAGTTTAAAGGTCTACTGCAAAGGAAAGATAAATTGAGCTCATTGTGTTCATCAAGAAAAGTACTCCCAAACAATACTTTATCTTTGTCAGGTATAGTTCTTCGTGTGCTGAGAGAAGACATAAAAAAATGAACGGGAAAGTCATTTGTCTAGAGTATGGAGATTATTAGTCAGTTTTGATTGTTTTACGAAGGGGCAAAAACCATACTTGTTCTCCTTAAACAACTATTTGGATCAGCTGCTGGCTCCACTAGCGAGTCATCAAGAAGTTTGCTAGCCATTGAGTACTATATTTACCAGTTCAATATTTATTATTACACGCACTCAAACTGACATAAAAATGTACGTTTTAAATACTGTCCAGTAAATACGCGCACATAGCGCTGTCTCTGGAATATTTGATTTATTACAGGAGGTTGCTACGGAATATATTTACTCGAGACAGTGATGTAGATAAGCCCTACACATATAGTTTTGATTATTAATAGTGCATTTATCCCCACAGTAATATTGCTGAAATTAGATAAATTGATATTGGCCAAGGTGTTTAAATAAAAGTATCGTTACATGAGTATCCTCTGAAAGGTAAACCAAGGAAAAACAGGTTTTATACAGTATCCACTTTATCTAATAGATTTGCTTTCATTATTTTATTATCTATGTTAGCTCGAGAGTCATGATGATTATCGTACTAACTAGTGATTAGAGCCGATTTGACTTGGCTTTAAAAAAAAACAAAAGGTACAATTTGCAAAGGATAACCAATTGTTAACAAGTGACCAATCAGTAAGGGCCAATTATTTTTTTTAATTTTTTTTTATTTTTTAAAAGGGACAAAATTTATCAGGCGCACTGCAACCTCTTTTCCTTCTCACACACAACCAAAAAAATAAAAAAACCCTCACCCCTCCCTTCCCTTCCTTTTCGCAACCCCTTCTATCCTCTCTCTCTCTCTCTTATAATCTACATTCCTTTCTAAATTTACATTCCTTTATTTTTCCCTTTTTATAATCATGTCCGAATCAACTCCCCCTCTTAGTTCAGATGACTCCAAGAAACGTACTCGTGTTACGCCATCTCAGCTTACCATTCTAGAAGAAACCTTCAATGTGAGTGCCACACCCGACTCAAAGATGCGAAAACAATTAGCTTTCAAGTTACAAATGCCAGAAAGATCCATTCAAATCTGGTTTCAAAATAGAAGAGCTAAAGTAAAGATGTTGCAAAGAAGAGTTTTGTTGCGTCAAGAACAGGAGGCTGCAAGAGCAAGATTATGTGCTGAAGCAACATCTCATCACGGTACTGGTAATTATTCTTATTGGTATGCTCAGCAACAGCAACAACAACAACAACAACAACAACAACAATTGCTTCAACAGCAACAACATTTTAATATGAATAGACACTTACATAGTGCCAAATTACCTATTCATCGTGCTTGGAGCACTGATATGATTATTCCTCCTCCTCCTCCTCCACCTTCCTCCATTTTTCATTATCCTCACCATCAACCCCAGAGTGATCCTCCTTCCATCTCAGTCACTGGTCCTAACGATTTAGATGAAGACATCTATAGTTTGACTATCTCACCTTCTCCTACACCCCAATCCTTTGCTGCTTCACGTCGAATGGGTTTGTATATTTATCTTTATTATATAATATGATCACTAATTTATCTTTATCTCATGCAGAGAGTGAACCACCTTTGCATAGTAATAATAACACGGGTTTAATTACTGCCACAGCTGTTACAGTCGGATCCTGGCATAGAATGAAAATCAGTCAACAAGACTTGATGTGTTATTATAAATTAAGTGAGCGTTCATTTTCGTGGCATATTCGTGACAGTAATTATCATTTCAAGATGATGATATCATTTGACAGTATTGCATCCATTGAATTAAATGTACTAGAAGACAATATTTCAGCTCAAATTGATATGGATTTAATTGAACCTCCTATTTTCTTTATGGAAAATACAGCCACATCTTGGGTTCAATGTAGTGATTTCACTGAAGGCATGCAAGCTTCTGTTGTACTACGTCACACGGTTCGTGGCTTAGCTGCGGATCTTCGACAAGAGTTGTTGGCCATTGCTGGGATGGATGAACGATTATGTCAAATTACACGATTTCCTGCTGTAGATACCTATCAACAACAAACATCAATTGAGCAGGCTCTATTGATGTCCCAACAACATCATCAACAAAGTTGGAGGCATCAAAGTTTACCTCTTTCCAATGTTAAAGATTATTGGGTACCTCCACCTTATCCCATCTAAATCAATTTACAACTATTTTTTTTTCTTTTTTTTTTATATATATATATCTTATCCCCCAAACCCCACATATATATTAGACCTCTCTTTTTTTTTTTACTCATTTTTTATTTCTATATTTTTACATATATATTGTATATATCTTATACATTTTTATTAAATTATCCCTCGATTTTTGTCACAACTTTTTTTTTTTATTTGTAATTTTCGGACTTTTGGGAACAAGGCAGAATGTGATTGTGACCCAAATTAAGCATACAAGTGCACATTTACAAATTAAAAAAATTATAATCCGACCTCATAGAAAAAAATATTTATTGCCAAGTGGTAAAACTCTTATTTAGCTACAGATCACAGACTTCTTTTCTTTGACCACATCCGCCATTTATTTGCAATACTTGGAATAGAGTAATCAAAGGGTCGTTTTTGATTAAAAGTGTTATACCAAATATCAGCAATGTTTACTGAGCAGATGAGATTTTACTTACTTTTAGCTAAAAAAAAAAGTCTTTTGCTAGTCTTTTTTAATTAAATGAAATTACCATAAACGGAAGCCGCTTGACGCACAATTTCATATAATTTTGGATCTAAAAATTGAAAAGCGTAGGCCGAATGGACTATACACTACTATGCCACTAAAAAAGTGTTTAATTGGAATTGGGTCTGTAAAAAATTTATTAAAAAGAAGTTGGATAGATTACTAAAGTTCTCCTATTTCGCCTTTGCAGAAGGGAAAACTCTGAAATGATCAGGTCCAGCGCAATTCTTGTTGGCCTGGTATTTGAATGCCTTCTACCCCAATCCATGCTTATTTTTATATCAATATACTTCCGAAATCTTCTAATACACTTTTTTAAAGCGAGATTGTTCTATAAATAAACATTTAGATGCATTCTAGTCTTCAACTTTATTCGTCGGATCTTGCAGGGTAAGGTTGAGCGAAAAGTCTACTGAAAATTTACAAGCTTTGTTAAAAGAAAGAATCTTTAATATAGGGTCATGATTCCTTTCAAAATATCGCGTAACATGACTAATAATGACTGTAATTTCTGATCCTCAAAATGACATATACGATATCCTTTCAGTATATTTATGAGCTATAGATTTATAAATGCTTAAAGAAAGGCTGATGTAACAAACTAAGATTTGTCACAAAAGTTATGCGTAGTCTAATTCTATGATAGAATTGTCCGTTAAATTTTCTTGGGCCGAAGCTGGATGTCCTGTACATTTGCTAAAGGTATCACCACATAACTGGTAATAACTGATATGTTCAGGTGTAGGGATATATAGGGGAGTTTATGGTTTTGTGCATAAGTCACTTAAAGAACCACAACATGTGATAAGTTGATAGCGAAGCGGTATTTATACGCTTACCACCTTTTTTGATGTATCTTTCTGCCATTTGGGCTACTCAGTTCTTACATCTCACAACGTGCCCAAAGCCAAGACATCTCAAATTGGAAGAGACTTTCCACATTTTCGCTGACACGGTAGTACATACTACCTAAAAGGAAACCTTCAAGTGTCTAAACATGACCTGTAAACAATCTTGAATGATAAATGTCTTATGTGCGCCAAGTTTACCCTGATAAAAAGCGAAATGGTAGAAGCCGTATGTGATTTCATGACCATCGAAAAAAGAGAAAGCAGTAATTGCATGACAAGTCTACGAGCTCATTTTTAAGAAGCAGTGTGTATAAAAATAGCCAAAGTTATCAATAGGATTTAAGCCAATACGATTAATATCAAATCATAGTTTGTTACAGTGACAAAATTTGGACAAAAGCACCAAAGAATGGTAGCGAATACTTTTTATACGCGGCATAAAACTTACTCTGGGATCTTGCATGACAACCCTCTATGGGACCTTGCGAGATATTGACCTAGGAGTTTTTTTAAAAAAAGAAATCGTCAATTGCCTCCACCTTTGGGGGTCGTTTAATCTAGGAACACATTCATTAGGGACAGTCAAAGTGCACGTAGCTAAACAATGAAAATAGAAATATTGAGTCATCTCTTTGGCTTGCAACAATTATTCCATTATAGCATCGCAAAAATACAGTAATGTGACAGCAAGTAAAAATAAAAAACTGGGTACTTGGATCATGAGAGAAAAAAGATATGAGAAGGAGAAGTGGGAGGATTATCTGTTTAAATATATTATTAGGTATATTTTTATTTTGTGCAGGGTCTTTTTGCTGTTTAAAATGAGGGGATAGCTGTTTTTACGATAAAGAATCTGATGATTTATAAAAGACAAACAAAAACATACTTTTTAACATACGAGGTTTCATCATGATGCATTAAGGCAAACAACAATTTTATGGAAAGAAATTACGTCAACGCATGCGAGGTTTATTTACATAAAGCATATCGACGTATTCATTTATTTCTACGGAATCCCCCTTTTTTTGGTATAAATGTTTGTAATGTACGGTTTTTAAATAATCAAGTTGATACAGCAAAAGATTGTAAGAGAAAAAGGTGTCACCCATTTGATCGGTACAAAACCCAAAAAACTAGCCGGGCTAGTCTGACGTGAAAATGCGCCAGTTGAACTCCGGATGAAGACAAAAGCCGCTATTTGATGTTTAAAGTAAAAAAAAGCCAGTCGCAGAAGTCATTAAAGGACGATGCACTTCTGATAAAAGGACGAATCTTGTAGAAATTAAAAAAAGATCATCAAAATCAATCAAGGGATGCTTGAAAGGATTGTTTTGTCTTACACGGAATTTCCAGATTAGGCTATACTCTTTGTTTGTGTCTATCCCCCAGGTTTGGTAACACATTATAGGATTGTTATTATCCTCCCCTTTTTATTTTCTCTTTTTCCTTTTCTTAATTTTTTATTTCGAGCCTACATACCAAAATGATATGGATTATTTTATGGACATGTATTTTCGCAACATTGTATGTTCTTCACCAATTGCCTGTTCGAGAATGGATCCAACAAGCTTTGCACGATAAAGTCGGGTTAGTGCAATTAGACGAATTTAGAATTTCATTCAAGCTTAATCAACTTACGATTTACATGAAGGGCATCCGTATCAACAGAGACATACTCATCAAGGAACCTACCACTACCACACCAAAAGCAACCAAGAAATTTCATTTTTTGCCTACGATTATTTTTGCTCGACTTGCCACATTTGTCTCTTTACATATCGATGATCTAATTATAGAAAAAGACAACATTTCAATTGTCTTTGACCACATTTATCTCAATTCAACTCTATCTCAAGATTTTGCTCTCAGAGTTCAAATTAGTCCATGTCGCTTAATGGCACAGGCCAAGCCTTTAGTAGACATGACGACAGCTTGTCTTGTGACAGTCTCTTGCCCCGCCAAAAGCTTTTCATTAAAACATGTAAAAATAGACATACAAATAGGGAGAACTATACTTCAAGTCACGGAATGTATCCAACTGGCTTCAAACAAAAAACAGACTTCACTTTCATCATCATCATCACCACCACCAGCACAGCAGAGCAGACTGCTGGAAGATGTTTTGAATTCAGTTCGTGTAACCGTTCAATCGGTTTGTTTCATCTTGCCCACAGTAGAGGTCGAAATCCAGAATATCAACTCAATTGCGCGCCGAAATCATACACCGCTTGTCCAACTCAATACAGAAGAGATCAAATGTGCTGTTTTGGGTGTTCAAGTGTTCTGCATGCCCAGCATGGAAGTTAAACTGTCACAAACGGATAGTGGTACAGTACTTTATGCAACACCACAAACCGATTTTATCAGTTTGACATGGATACTCAATTCACCAGTGATACATGTTCCTTTCGATCACCCTCAAATCATGGGTTTACTGCTAAACAAGAAAGAGAAACCGTCTTCTAACACCATGGTGTTAGAAAAGGTAGTAGCGGATTTACCCATGTGTACCTTTGCACTTGTCTTGAATTCACCAAAATTACAACTATCGGAACTAGAAGGAAGATGTGGATATATTTCCAGCGAGAGTTTAATTATTCGTGTATCGGGAGAATATGTTGTCAAGGCTCGAAATAGTAGTGTGTACGATGTACCATCTTCTTCATCATCATCTGGTAGTAATCTGGATGCATTGTTTGCCCAAGAGGAGTATCAATGGTTAAAAAAGACAAGTCATCAACGTCCGAGTAAATGGTTAAACCTAATGGGGCGAGTGTCGCGACGAAGTCAACCTGTGGTGACAACAACGCGTACGCAACGATGGTCTTACCGAATCTCTGGTAAAGTCATGATCCAAAAACTGAATGTAGGTTATATAGAGTCCGACTTGGAAAAAGAGTTTATTCGCATCAAGAGCGCCATTTTGATGTTTAAGATTCGTATGAATGTTTTATTGGATCAACTTGAAACAGTATTAAATTTGGAAAATGGAATTCAATCGGAAATTGCAATTGATAAACCAGTGATTTATTTGGTTGATCATCACGTTATTTCTCCCAGTGTATTTTGGTTAAAACAGGTCCCGGCTTGTTTCAAGACACCAGAAGATACACCTGTAAGAGAAAAACCGGTTTGGATTAAAAAATTGATCAGTAACACGAGTTTTAGTTTGGATGTTACCAAGGGATCTATAGTGACACATAGTCTAGATCGCTCGCATGTCGATCAAGGTGTGGCTATACCCACGCCTCATCCTGGCTATATCGATAATACGCCTCCAGAAACTGTATCGAGTCGTGTAGTGTTGGATACACAAAAGTTCAATTTTGTATGCGAAGGACCTGGCATGGGAACAGACTGGAAAATCCGATGTTACATGGAAAAATTAGATATTTGTCAATCTTCTGGCAAGGACGATACATTACATGTTATAGTTTGGATATCTCAAGTCAATCTTTCCGCTAAATTGACCTTGTTAGACAACCTTTCAAGATGTTTATCAGTATCCACCAAAATCCGAAAGTACGGTATCAGATATTCTGTACGAAATCATTACGCATGTCTATTGGTGGCCAAATCTTTAATGGTCATGAAGCGACAATTTGAACCAAGGCAAGAACAAAAAGAACCAGTCTTACCCATGTACATTGAATCCGATACACATGTAGGAAGAGGAGATATTCACTTATTACTGCCAATGGATAAGCAATTATATATACGTCTTGATGATTTCCTTTTGAATTATGAATCCACAGAGTCACCAAGTATCACATTACGCAATTTCATGCTACTCGGTGTCTCACCTTCTGATCCCGAGGCATGGGAGCAGTTGATTGAGGTGGACAAGGTAAAGCTAAGCATAAAAGACGGGATTGAGCTCAAGGCGCGAAAGTTTTTTATTTCCGTGCCTTATAATTACGTATTGTCTGCTGTGCTTGATAAGGTGATTGGTGCTATCAAGGCTATTAAGGATCTCCATTCTAGAATTTTAACACGAAAGGCGTTCACTTTTTTTGGCCCCAGTGTAAACAATATACCTGTATCGATTCCGTGTATTTTCATAAAGACCAGAGTGTTCACAATCCATTTCGACGATGATCCATTCGAGGCGAAATTACGAACGATTTTGCGAACCGGACTTGTGGAGCAACAAAAGCGATTAGCTTATCAAGATGCATTGACAGAAAAGATCAACGAAATGCTTCAAAGTGAAGAAGATGTATCCGACCAAATTGCTGAAGCACAACAAAATTTATTTGGGTATTTCTCTCAATTCTGGATCAAGAATTTAAACGAAAAGAAGCAGGAGGAAGCCAAATTTTATGAGAAAGTTCATTTACAAGATTATAGAAATTCGACAAGTTCTCAAGAATTAGATGATTTCTTGGATGAAGTGCAACGTCAAGAATCCGAGTTATTTATGATTGAAATTCGTGCAAGACCCTTGTATCCACCTTTAGCAAACTTCTCTGCTCAGTTTACAAAAATTCAGTTTAGGTTGGCGGATTTCCCCTTGTCTGAAACAAGACAGTTTATTCATACTATGGGTGGTGGTGTGCCATTGGACAATGACTTCTCAATTATTATACCGTTTCATTTATCTATCAAGGCAGGTCAGACGTGGATCAAAATGCGTGATTATCCGCTACCTTTGTTGTATGTGCCACCCCCATTGCAAGATGCAAACGTTGGCGGTAACATTAGTCGTCTCTCTTGGTCTTTGGAAGGTAATTATGCTGTAGGGGATGAAGTAGGTAATTCAGGTGGTAGTCGCATCATTCCTATTTCGATTATTCCACCATCACCCGAGAGTCAAGGATATTGTCTTTCTGCTGTCAGAACCGCATCACCGCTCAAGTTTTACTCGGTGATTGATTATGATATCTTTACAAGAGCCATGTCTACCATTTGTTGGTCAGTTTCATATAACCCGGCTATTCAGGATATTTTATTGGTGCTAGAAAATCTGTCATCCGATCAAGTGGACCCTTCACCAAGATTAGGATTCTGGGACAAGGTTCGATTTATGATATATACCCAGACCAAGTTTAATTTCATTGGCGGAGGAGATTTAGCTATTGTCGTGAAAGGCACGCGTGATCCCTACCAATTACAGGGTCGAGGTGCTGGGCTTGCCAAGATTTGGAGTGATGAAGTGGTTTGGTTATTGGGTTATAAAAATGCCGAGAACGAATTCATGCAGATCCTGAGTAAGAATTATGCGTTTGGCGTACCTGATTTAGAAGGTGGTGGATATGTTCCTCAGCTACCAGAATCTTTACCACCTAAAAAATGGGCCGAAAAGACAGGAAAGTTTTTGAAGGTAGTACTAAAATTATCCGACGGTATTCGTATGGGTATCGGGTTATCGTATGAACGACTCAAATACTGTGATGACTGTAAACAATGTGCAGTGGCGCATCGTCTTGATAAATGTCGAACACAAGTCTTTTCACCGCATTATAATGTTTTGTATCAGTCTGTACAACAAGTCAAAGCAAACTATGGCGAGGTAATAATTAAAAAACACTTTCTTAGAGAAAAACAAAACTAACCTTTTTTTTAAAAAAAACAGCGCTACTATGATGCGTTTTATGGCTTTAGATCCGATTTTATTCATTTGTCACTAAGCATTGTCCATAGTGGAATTCAAGATGAAGATGATATCCCTTATAATGCCATGTATATCAGCCCTTGCTTTATCGAGCATTTTACGCATTGGTATCGACTATTGGGAAGTCCGGTCTCTATTCCGATTCGTCAAGGCGAATTATTTCCCCGAGCCGAAGCTAAATCCAAATCCTTTGGCGATCATTTAAACACCATAAAGTATAAATTTGTCATTCAGCCTTTAACCATTGGCTTTTTTTGTACCGATCAAGTCAAGTCTCGCGGATCTGCTGGTTTGAAAGCAACTGTACATAATTTTAGTGCTGATTTACATCAACGAAGAGAAGTACCTGCTGAAGTTTCATTTGCTAAAAAGACACCCATGCTATTTCACCAAGTTGAAGTGGAGTTACATGATATCGACCTGCGTGTAATCAAACAATCACAACTCTCAAAATCAAATGAAACGGTATCTTCAACAGCAGCAGCAGCCAGCGAAGCGACTTCATTTATGGATGATGAAAGATCGAATCGATTCCAATGGGTGGATCAAAACGATTACGTGATTTTAGATCCTGTTCCTCTTAGTTCAGAAAATCATACAAGACGTGGTACAAAAATTGAAGTACATCCGTTTGCATTCTCTCCATTGTTTTATTATGTCAAACAAGAAGATGAAGCTGGTACTGAAAAACGTGAATACTTACGTGGAACACACGATTGTATCATGGGAAAAGGCGTGGGTAAGGAGAAAAGAGAGATTTTTTTTTTCAAGACACTGATATAATTTAGATGCACATGCTTTTCAAAAGTCTCATTTACAAAGAAGAGCCTCTGATCTCGATGGTATTATCGAAGAGCATGATAAGCAATTAGATACAGTGTTAAATGCCGTCAATTTAATTAAACAACCACAAGATAAACAAGCCTTACACGACCAAGTAAGTAACTCTTTTTATGAAAAATGCCACATATATATACTTGAATACTTGTTAACTGATAAATTCAAAAGTACAAGATTCTTTTAGAAAAGCTAAACTATTTGCGTACAAACCGCTACATGCTTCATACTTATCTTGCTCAACTTATTCTTGAAACCGAGCTTGACAGAAATGCCGATGACTCTCCCACCACAGCCAACACGACTACCACATCCTCATTGGGTCGTCGTGACGAACTTTGTCGATGGGAAACCTTGATGGGTCAATTCAAAGACAGATACTTTATTCACAACCCTCAGATTATCTGGAACAATTCTGTACGTGATGCCATCTATTACTGGCAAGACATCAAAAATAGCCGCTCTGTACAAGACTATAACCTCTCTTCACGTTGCCTTAAATTTCTCGAGGATTTGGTGCATACTGCTGAAAAGCAACAGCAATGGAAACCGGACGTCCCATCGACACACATGTTTCAGGATACCGATGTCACACAAGACTTGATTGAAAAGTTATTAAGTGAACGCAGTCATCATTATGTTGCCTACAATGAAAAGGAAGAAGAAAAACCCCAAGAATTTGAAGGTATTCATGTCTTTGATTGTGTAAATGATCCCGATTATCAATACAAGAATATTCCGGAATCTTATGAGATGAAGAGTAAGTATTTGATTGATATGATGAATCCTCAAGTGAATTTTCAAAGTGAGAAAGGATTGGATCATTTAATTCTTTTCACCAACGAGCGCATTCATGTCAAGGCATTTAGTATCATAGATAATAGTACCAGTGACGCTGCAGACAAAGATGTAAGATTGGTGAAGGATCGCATTATTGTAAGCTTGGACAATGCTCAGTTATTTGTTGCAAAACGCATGGAGTTTCTAGCCACAGATTTATCAACACAAAGCTCATACGGCCAGCGTGCTGTACATTGGACTGCCTGGGTTCAGCCAGAGCAATTATGGTATTACAAGGAAATGAAATATTTTGACAACTTTCAACGCGTTGCTTCAGATTTATCGGGCACGATCCAACTCGACCGATACAATCATTTACGTATCAAGATCAACAAGTACAATACATCACGTAAAAGTCCATTTGAGGATCGAACGAACACTTTACAACTTCATTTCCCGCAAGTCAAGCTGACCCTTAATTCACAACAGGGTCATATCCTGTACTATACATTGACGAACCTATTGTTGGGGAACGACGGCTCACCACGTAAAAAAGAACGTGCTGCTCGATTTAGGGACGTGATGTTGGCAGCCGAGCGAAGTGATCTTGCGGAGACGGTGAAGCAAGTGGGCGTCTTACAAAACAGGTCGCGTATCTTGTTGGATCTTCATAAACGATTTTTACAAGAGTTACCAAGACTAGATTCTTTAGGCATTCGAGAGTTTCATAAAAATCGAAGAAAGATGCGCGAAAACCTTGAGAAGTTGTACTTGGTGGTAGAGGCCATTCGATCTATTCAAACATTTCGACGTGATATTCATTTAGAGGAGACGGATAATGCCATGCGATTTAGTTTTACTTCGGATGAGATTGTATGGGAGGCCGTGTTGGATGATCAAAGCTCTTTGTGCCAATGGATCCTAAGAAATACAAAGTATGTATTTTTGGATAAACAAAATGGCTCTAGCAAAAATACCATTGAGGTGGATCAGATGCAGTTGATCAACACAACAAGTTCTCCCGTGTTTAGCAATGTATTGGATGTCTACTTGGAACCAGGACAGAGTCGACAAAAGATGTTACGTGGTGTCTTGGAATCTTTGCCTCCTGTAGGTGGAATTCCTGTCATTCAACAACTTGAGATTAATCTGGTCCCACTGCATCTACAAATCAGTACAGCGTTTGGTACAATGATGAAGGATTATTTCTTTCCTCGTATTGAAGGTGACGATACTATTGCAACAGAACCACAAGAGGAGTCTGATGAAGAGGAGGAAGAGGATGAAGACGAAGAAGAGTATATTTCTGTAGACGGACTCAAGGTAAAATCGCAATCTGAAGTATCCTCACTAGAATCCGTAGACAGAACATTCAACAGCACCTTGACTAAACGAGAAGGCAGTTTTGCTAGCTTTGACTTGCTGACACAAAAGGTCAAGGAATCTGTACGAGGTAAACGTACCAGCAAATCTGATGAACTCACAGTAATGAAAAAGCGTTCGTCTTCCAATTATACATTTATTTATGTTCGTATCCCAGCTACGCGACATTGTTTAAGTTTGCAAGGACCTAGTCAAAGCACATTTTATAATCTGTACAATTTTCCGTTTAAGCAGCCAAAATTGGAGTATAGGAACAAGACGTGGTCTTTAGCTGAGATGATGGAAGAGATTCAGAGACAGTTTATGCGAGCTATTGTGCGCCATAGTCCCGCTTTATTGAAGAATAAGTTATTAATGTCGAAGCAACCTGTGATACCTACTACCACAAACGAAGGTGAGGGTATGTCTATCCGTTCAGTAAAGTCCACGATTGATTTGAATGTAGCCAGTGCACCGTTGGAAGAAGACGAAAAACATGATTACAAATCGCTTTATTCAAACGATCCTGAAGAAGAGGTACAACGATTGGCAGAGCTACAGACACTGGATCGAAGAATTTCGCTCAATGTAGATCAAGAGATTTTGGATATTTATCTGAAGCGATATCGACAAGAAGAACAGATGGATGAAAAGATACAAAAAGGTAAAATCCTATTTGGCGATGCCTACCAAGGCTCTTTCTTTGCTGAGCTGCAATAATATAATGTCGCGTTTTCTTTTAATAAATTTTTTTGGTGTTCGTGATTTTTTTTTTTGTTTTGTTTCTTGTTTATAAAATGTCAATTAATTCAAAGGTCAAAGTCAAGAGAGCGATTTACAATACATTTACCAAAAAGTATGGACTTCATGTACAGACCGATGCAACAAAGTACCTGGAAGATCTACTCATTAATGAAAGTGATGTTGGAGAAGCCACTGAACGAATTGTCAAAGCATACAGGAAACGATATAACGGTACAATACACTCATTAAGACTCTTTTCCTATTAATTCTAACACACTGGGTGCATAGAGGAGCGTGTTGTGATTGTAAATGAAGCTACGATTCGTGATGTGATTATAGCCATGCAAAAATCAGCCTTGATTGCCTCTTCCTTGACACCTTTCCAACGAGCCGATGAAGAAATTATGGACTCTTTACAAGATATGAAAATTGATGAATCGAATACGGAAACGATTGATGTCACACAGCATTTCCATGTCGTGGATGCTTTTAGCATGCCTCGGTTTTCCTACGATGAACACACTCGAACTTTTCACAAGTAATTAAATGCTATATATATATATATGTGTGTAAATGTGTAGAAACTTGTACCTGAACGGATCATTTTAAAAATAGGAAAAAGGCACCAAGTCAGTTATTAGCTGATGCTCGGGAAAAGGGAGAAATGTTTCGTGAGCGCTTGATTTTGGTTAGACAACGATTATTAAGAAATGAAAATTTCAGCACACCTTCTACGCAAATGACCGACTCTTCCGATTCCATCAGAGTAAGTTGATAAAGAGAGTTTGGTTAGTATCTTTAATAACTTAATGGGGGTACATGGATAGATTACACCGATTAAAGCATTAATTGGTCACGATGGAGAAGATTTCATTATATTTGGCATGTTGACGCAAGTGGAAGAAGGCAAGATTTTTTTAGAGGATGAGGATGCACATATTGAACTTAATTTGAGTGAAGCGGTAAGTGGTTACTTGATATCCAAGATAGGTGAGATTAATTAAGGAGAGAATAGAAATATGATTACGGGGTGTTGACAGATGGTGTATTTGTGTTGGTGGAAGGCAATTATGGTGACGATCATATATTTGCTGTTACAGAAATCAATCTCCCGCCTGCCGAATCCCGTGAAATGTCAGAGTAAAGTGCGATTTCTCCCAAAAAAGCAATTATAAGAAATACTAACGCTCCAAAATTCACCAGTGTGTTATTTGGTCACGTTGATTTTTTAGGGTTACAAAAGCCGCTTGTGGATGAGGTACGACAGTAAACAAAAGAGTGTGTGTTTTATTAACGAAAAAAAGAAAACAATAGAAACTTTTAAAGATTGAGGAAGAGAAAAATGAAGATATATCTTTTGTGATAATATCTGATGTACATTTGGATCAACCCAAAGTGATGAATGCATTAAGAGTGATTTTTGATGGATATTCCAATGCGCGTATTCCACTTGCATTTATCCTTATAGGTAACTTTTCTAGTAAGCCGTTCAAATATTCGGCATCACAATCAGCCGAATACAAGGATAGTTTTACCGCATTGGCCGATCTTATTGGGGAGTTTCATAATTTAGCAACCCATTCAAATTTTGTCCTTGTTCCGGGCCCAAAGGATCCGTGGGGCGGAAATACTTTACCGCAACGTGCCTTACCTCCTAGCTTTGTGGCCCGTATGAAACAGAAAGTTCGTAAATGCACTTTTACTACAAATCCATGTCGTATACGTTACTGTACTCAGGAAATCGTCATCGCAAGAGAGGATTTATTGAACAAACTTTGGAGAAATGCATTGTTGGCACCTAATCTAGAAGTGGATGATGACCCTATTCGCCATGTGAGTGAAATATTAAGGGTTTTTCGTATAAATAATTAATCCGAGTTTCTCTCAGTTAATACATACCATCATCGATCAAGGTCATGTTTGTCCATTACCATTATCAGTCAAGCCTATCTATTGGTCTTATGACAGCGCACTAAGATTATATCCTCTTCCTCATGCTGTAAGTATTAATCATAGAAAGAGAGAGCTTTATTGATAGATATTTTTATAGTTGATCATGGCTGATAAATGCGAAAACTATGGTATTACATATGAAGGTACCCATTGTATCAACCCAGGCAGTTTTCCAAATTCAGATTTTGGCTGGAGTATTTATTATCCCAATTCCCGTCTGTCCGAAAGATGGTAAGTGTCACTTTTTTTTTATTTACCCCTTAAAAAAAAAAAAAAAAAAAAAACTGGCCTGACAATTTTTTATGCTAGTGTTCTTCCTGACACGATTTAATACATATGAAAAACAAAAAAAAACCCTTGTATATTTATAAAAAAAAGTCATTGTAATATTAAAAATGTTCTTTGTTCGGTTATTCAATCCTTTGTCATACCCTTTTTTTTTTTTTTTTTTTTTTTTTTTTTACTCTAAAATAAAGAAAGGCCTTGTTATTTTCACCCTTTCTCTTTTCTTTTACTCTCAATAAGTTTCTCCAATGGCGTTGTTTACCAAAAGTCAAGTTAGAAAAAATAACACGCTCAAGTCTTGCTGGGTAATTGTGAATGACAAGGTGTATGATATTACAAGTTTTTTGGCAGATCATCCCGGGGGTGACGGAATACTTTTAGAATTTGCAGGCACCGATGTTACTTCCGTGCTAGGCGACGTGACTTACCATACGCATTCAGATGCAGCATATGATTTACTAACTGACCATTACATTGGAGACGTTGTGCAAGATGGACAAGAGACACTTTTAAAGCAAGTTAGCGTAGGCCAAAAACTTATATATGAAACAGCCAAGGATACTCGCGATGATGAATTCTTGGATCTCCGTAAATCCTTGTTTCCTCAGCTTTGGAACGCTACTTATTCAAAAGCATATTACCTGGAACAAGTGCATCGACCAAGATATACTCCTTACTGTGTACCTTATTTTGATCATCCCTTATTGGATAATCTTTCAAAGACTAACTGGTTTGTAATACCAATGCTATGGTTACCTTTTGTAGTCTATCAACTCTACAAATCATTAAACGCTGTCAATCATTCAACATCTACTGCTGCACAAGGCTTCGGAATGGGTATCCTGTTCTGGACATTGTTTGAATATGTGCTTCATCGCTTCTTGTTTCATCTAGACGATTTGTTACCTGATCACCCACTTGCCTTATTAGTGCATTTCACATTACACGGTATTCATCATCATATGCCCATGGACAGGTAGGCTTTTTTTCAGCAGGCGTTATACTCTATCCATTACTAACATAGTATAGGCTGCGTTTGGTGATGCCTCCTGTGTTGACTGTCATTTTGAGTGTGCCCATTTTCAAGATTGCACACGCGTGTTTCTATCCTGCACTAGCCTATGCATTTGTAGCAGGCACATTCTTTGGATACATCTGTTACGACATGGTGCATTATTATCTTCATCATGCACAAGTGACTGAGGTGTACTTTAAAGAGTTAAAGCGTTATCACGTCGCTCATCATTATAAGAATTTTGAAAGTGGCTTTGGTATCACCTCAAAATTATGGGATTACGTGTTTGGTACTGTCTTGACGCTTGAAAGTCCCATTACTCCTTCCTCTACAAACACCAAATAATTCTTTGTATATAACCTCACTATTTAATCTCTTTAATATATCGTCACCCCCCACCCTACTTTTTTTAAAAACAAATAAAATGCTTTACCTTTTAAATAAATTACACGTCAAATCAGCCCCGTTCCAGCTTTTTGGGGCTGAGTTGTGTTTTTTAATTCCTATTTTTTTGCATTTCTGTTATTGTGAGCGGTGGTTTGATAGCTTTTTTTTTTTATCACACCATTTTTTCTTGTATAAATTAGGCCTTGGCGGATCCGTGTTTGTTGATTTATGCTACGTTTCATCATAACAAGTGATTGCGTCTATATAATATATTTTCGGTTCTAAACGAGAAAGAAAGTGCATACTGGCTTACTGATCCAACTCTTGTACTTATATGTGAATATACAAAGAATAAAAGTGTAACAAAACGAGAAATTTTATTGTTTTTTTTCTGCTAAAAATGTGCAGCTAATCTGTTTTTGGAGTTATGATCCTGATAATTTTAGTAACCGACCATTCACCATTGTATCATTACCCTTCAGTAGTAAAGTTTAAAAGCGCACATGTATTTATCAGTGTGATTTCTGTAAGGGAAATGTGACACATGATGCTGTCATTTAGGATTAATTTAGGCGGCAAAGTATTGTGTGCATGTAGATGCATTATAGCTCCCCTGAATGAATGTAATTACACAAGATGAGATGTTTTTTTATTGTTCTCTTTGGGTAACACATTTTTTTTTTTTGCTTGTTCAGATTCAATATGCATTCAAATAAAATAAAATCTATATTATCTCGTTACACACAAATCGAAAGATTACTTTATATTATTATACATTCATGTTTCACAGCTGCTTATAATTGTTGTGTCACCTTCAAACAATATGCGTGCAAAAAGTTGTTGATAAGCAACTTTTTTTCTATTTTGTACTTGTTTATTACAAGATAAAAATCATAGATAGCTATATAAAAACAAACATACAGCCAATAACTACCTCGCATTATATATTTAATTATAATACAAACAAATTTAGTGTATTTAGATGAAAGATCGACTGTTTTTTTAAGACTCGTTCCATCATATAAAAGCATTTGTTGTCCTACCTTGCTCTATTTTATTTTAAATCCCCTTTTTTGTCTGATAACCTTTTTTATTTTTCCACCCATATGATTTCCTTTATCCCCTTTACCCCCCCCCCCTTTTTTTTTTTTTTTTTTTCTTATATACATACATACATATAGTTTATCATGTCCACTTTACCACTACCACCTAGAATTCTTGGTCGAGTCAGGGCAATATACGCTTACCAGTCAGAAGAACATTCCTCACTCAACTTTCAACAAGGCGACCTCATTGATGTTCTCGCCAAGCTTGAATCAGGATGGTGGGATGGATGGTAAAAAAAAAAAAAAAAAAGACAAGAAAAAAAAAAAAAAACTCTAACGCTAACCCTATTTTGTAGGTGCAACGGAAGCCGAGGTTGGTTTCCTAGCAACTATGTTGAAGAATTTACAGAGCATGGAATAGCAGGAGCAGCACCCAACAAAACGTTACCATTACCACCATATGATGAATCCCTTCATAGCTCCAATAGCTCCGAGGTGAGTCGAAATAATGCGAATTTGCCCGACGGCTGGATCATCCAAATGTCTGAAGACGGCAAGACATGGAATTACTTTAATGAATACACCGGTAAAACAATGACACAACACCCCGAAAACGATATCATCTCTACCAGTAATCATCGTGACAGTTACGCTTCCGACGATGATCCATCCAATAATGAAGTCTTAAAAACCGGCAAAGAATTGATGGAGAATTGGGTTGAACGAAAGACTCCCCAAGGCAGATTGTATTTTTGTAATTTGGTTACGCAAGAAACTACTTGGGATTACAATGAAATTGACAGTGAAACAGGTCGTTTGGTAAGATTTTATCTTGTTTTTCCCACCCAATTTATAGTACTAATACACATCTTATTAGAAAAAAACCGAAGAGGAAATTGAATACCAAAGCGAAGAGGAGGAGCATGAGGATAGTCCCCGCGTCTCTATTGTGGAAGAGACTGTGACAGAAGAAATCACCTGGAATAAATTAGCAACAGGTGTGGCCTTTGCAATTCAACAATTAACCACCGTGTCGCAAAAGGGTCTCCATGATGAACTTCAACCGAAAACCGCTTCTATTGTAGAATCGGTACGTTTAATGTTGTATGCGTCTCGTTCAATGGAAAAGGACTCTCAATTGATGCAAGACCCTGTTTTTCGTGAACCTCGTCGATCTATCATGTCCTCTCTTTCTAAACTCGTCCTATCTTCAAAAATGGGCTCTGAAATATCAGAATTCTCTACTTCCATCTTGGCCATCTTCCAAAAAATTCAACGCGATGCCAATGATGTGTTAGTCGCTGTGCGAAATTTTGTCACCATATGTCAACGCTATGATATCTCGGTCAATTTTGTTAATCCACGACTCCTGGAAGATGTATCTCAATTACCCTTTGAACCTTCCGCCACCACTACTGCCCTTTCCAAAACAGGGTCTATTGACTCAACTGAAAAGACGCAGGTTAACAATTCATTGACTCAAAAAGCAAAGTTTTTATTAAATCAAGATCTTGTCTTGAATCTACAAGCGTATGCACACCAAATCTTTGTCTCTACAGAAGAACTTTCGTTAAAGGTGTCAGATATCTTGACCAAATTCCATGAAAAGCAAAGTCTTTTCGATGATGAACGCACGGATGCTGTCACCATGTTTCGTACTCTGTCGAGTCAAATCAGTCAATACATTGTCGTCCTAGATGACATCAATTTAGACAACATTGATGTCCTTCAGTTACCATCCATTGCTCCTTACCGTTTAGGTCGTCAAACCTTGTACACAGCCATCGGCCATTTATTTGGCGCCATCCAAACCTTGACCAATATCAACATTAGTATCACTGAAGCTGTACATACCATCGAAGGTGCCATTGGTGCCGTAGAAGAATCTTTACATGCAATTGAGCAATCCGTCATTGCTATGGTCAATGAAAGAAGACGTAATATGGGTGCAAATCGCGATGATTATGTCACCATGTCACCTACTGCTTCTACGGGACTACTGAGTCCTACTTCGTTACAGCGTGGTTCCGATTCGATACTGGATCCAAGTGAGAATTACTCTATTTTTCCTAGTAGTAGCCAAGAAGAGAGTGATAATGAATTGAATGAAGATGGGATGATTGGAAAATCCGTGCGACGTAACACTGTAGCTACGATCAGTTCTAATGGTAGCAGCTATAGTAAAGTTGAGATGATGAGTCGACGTCGTCAACAAAGTATTCGAACTGATGACCGTTCTCTGGATTCTAATGACACCTTGGGCAATGATCATCATCCCGATGATATTGAATTTGGTATTGATAACACTGTCAAGGGAGGAACGTTATCTGCTCTTGTGGAACGATTAACGGTACACGATACCTTAGGTAAATTTCCCTTTTTCTAATTGCTCTATTATATATTTTTTGTAACCTTATTTTTTTTTTCAGACACAAATTTTATTGCCACATTCTTACTTACGTATCGCTCATTTTGTACTACGGAGGAGTTTGTGGGATTATTGGAAGAAAGATACAGTCTTCTTCCGCCTGAAAGATTAACCCCTGAACAATTGGAGATCTGGACAGAACGTAAACAAAAACTGATTCGTTTAAGGTTAGAAAAAAAAAATAGTCCACATATTTACAACATGTGATAATTTAACCTTAATTCTTTTGTACGAGTAGAGTTTTCAATGTCATGAAAAATTGGCTAGAAAATTATTATATTGATGAAGACGAATTTTTGCTGGGACGATTGGAATATTTCACTAATACACATATTCGAGATGCCTCATCCTTTGCCGCCAACCAGTTGTTAAAATTGGTCAAGAAACGAATCGAATTAAGCGCTCGAGGCGAAATGAAGAAGATTATTCCAAACCCGATTTCTGGCCCTGACCCTATTTATCCAAAGAACATGTTCAACATCCAATTATTGGACACAGATCCCTTAGAAATGGCACGACAATTGAGTATCATGGATTTTAAACTTTATAGTAGCATTCGTCCTATTGAGTGTCTCGGTAAAGCCTGGTCAAGAGATGGTGCTGATGGCTCCGTGGCCGTCAATATTAAACAATCCATCAAATATTGTAACAGATTAACTGCTTGGGTTACCCAAAGTATATTACTCCCAGATGAAGTGAAAAAGCGCGCTATTGTCGTCAAATACTGGGCTCAAGTTGCAGACGTAAGAACAATCTCTGTATAAACATCTCAAAATGTATTGACTAATACATACAAATCTCTTTTTTTTTATAGCACTGCCGCAGCATGAACAATTATAATACTTGCATGGCTGTTTTATCTGCATTTGATAACAGTTCTATTGGACGATTAAAACGAACATGGATGGTAAATTACTTAGAAAAGGCACGAAAATAACGAAAAAAGGGAATTAACCCATGATTTTAGATGAGTAACCGAAGCACGATCCAAACGCTTGCACAAATCCGTAAATTGATGGGAGCCAATCGAAATTTTACAGAATATCGACTGATCGTACACTCTGTGAATCCACCTTGTATACCATTTTTGGGTATCTACCTGCAAGATTTAACATTTATAGAAGATGGTAACCCTGATTTCTTACCCAAATCCAATAATCTGATTAATTTCGCCAAACGACACAAGACAGCTGAAGTGATTCGTGAACTCAAACAATTTCAAAATTTTGCATATAATTTCCACCCCATTAATGAATTCCAATATTTTATCAAGGCGAATTTGGATCAGACGTATGATGTGGATAAGTTATATGAAAGAAGTCTCAAGGTCGAGCCTAAAAACGACTTTCCTTCCATCAATTCATTGATCATTAATGGTCATTAAAAAAAAAATTAGTTTATGAAAAACATTTTCCCACAGCCTTTCCTTTAACTCACAACCCTTACTTTAACCATAGCACATGAGGGTAATATACCTTCATAGAATAAAACGAACAGATATGAAATAATTAACAGCTTTAGCTGTATTGAACTTGTAATTGTTATCCATAGAAAGTAAAGGTTTACATTAAAATTAGAAAATATACTTGATGTCATGAAAGTTATGACATGATTAAAGTGCTGTAGTTTTTATGAAATGGCTTGGACGTTGTTGGCGATGAAATTGCCAATAGAATCATATCAGCAGCAAAAACAGAATCAAACCCTTGTGTTAATTGACAAAAGTATTCTTAATTACCCGGTTTCGTTTAACAGTTGAGAAGTATCATTTTACAACCACGATTTCCAGAAAAGTGAAATGTGGAAAGTGTAAAGCTTAAACAAAAAGCAGTAGTACTTAATTGGATGTCAGCCAAGGATATGTCAAAACAAATTGTGTTTTTTCAACCTTTACATAAGCCATTCTCATGATTGGGAAAACGAGCGTCTATCAGAACCATTGTTCATGCCTTGCATTTTGAGCACAATATTTGGAAGGGAAGTTATTAATGCTTCTTTGAGAAAACCCATTACAACAGACGGTGCCAAAAAAAAAAAAAAAATGAAAAAAGAAAAGTCAAATCCACTGTTGCAAAAAGCAAATGAATCCTACTAGCTGAATTATCACCCCCCCCCCACACACACACACACTTTCCTTTCTACCCATATAACTCGACCAACTTAAGCTTTCAAATTAGATAACCTGTTGGCATATTTATCAACTAAAACCCTTCACATTTCAAGAATATCACTAAAACTTAATTTTCCCGGTGTTAACCATTTGATGTAATCGGCTCGGTCTATTAAATCATAATTCAGAAACATCTGAAAAAACAAGTATAAATATCGAAATGTATCACTACAAAAAACAAACTTTATAATATTTCCAATCTGTATTATTTCCAACAACATGGATGAAGCATTTATAGATGGTTTGACCAAGAAGGTTGAATCATTAGAAGAGCCTGTTTGGGGTCAGGAAGCTGATCAAGAGAGAGTCAATCAGGCTACTCGAGCTGCTGAACAATTGACTGGATCTGTCAATTTACAAGGCCCTCCACCCCCAGGTCCTCCTCCTCCAGGTCCTCCTCCTCCTCCAGGCCCTCCTCCTCCACCAGCTGGTCCTCCTGGTCCTCCTGGTCCTCAAGGTCCTCCTGGCCCTCAAGGCCCTCAAGGCCCACCTGGTCCTCCTGGCCCCCCAGTAGGCCCACCAGCACCTCCTCCACCTCCACCAGGACCTCCAGGACCTCCTCCACCTCCAGCTGGACCTCCAGGACCTCCACCTCCACCAGGACCTCCACCTCCTCCAGGACCTCCACCTCCTCCAGGACCTCCACCTCCTCCAGGACCTCCAAGAATGTTGGCTGGTATCAATGATCCTCCTGGAACCCCTCCTGGTCCTCCAGCACCAGCACCAGGTCCTTCTAGTCCTCAAGCACCAGCTCCTGGTCCTCCAGGTCCTCAAGCACCAAACCCTGGGCCACCTAGATCACCTAGTCCTCATAGTCCAATCCCCAGTCCACATCCCAGTCCACCTGGATCTCCACATCCCAGTCCACCTGGTTCTCCAAGACCTCCTCCTGCTCCTGCTCCAGGTCCTCAAAATCCTCCTCCAGGTCCACCTCCAAGATTGTTAGTAAGCAATCTAAATGGTCCTCCAGGTCCTCCACCTCCAGCAGGTCCTCCAGGTCCTCCACCTCCAGCAGGTCCTCCAGGCCCAGCTCCAGGCCCATCTGGTCCTCCTCCTCCTGCTCCTGGTCCACCTGGTCCACCACCTCCTCCTCCAGGTCCCCAGAGCCCCCCTCCACCTCCAGCAGGTCCTCCTCCTCCCCCAGGACCACCTGGACCTTATGTTAAGATGCTGGTCAATACTGTTTCTGGCCCTCCAGGTTCTCCTCCACCTCCAGGACCTCCAGGCTCTCCTCCACCTCCAACTGGACCTCCAGGACCTCCTCCACCTCCTCCTGCAGGACCACCTCCTCCTCCAGGACCTCCTCCTCCTCCATTTGTGGCTCCTCCTCCACCTCCTCCACCTCCTCCTCCTCCATTTGTGGCTCCACCTCCACCTCCTCCTCCACCTCCACCTCCTCCATTTGTGGCTCCTCCTCCTCCTCCTCCTCCTCCACCTCCTCCTCCTCCATTTGTGGCTCCACCTCCACCTCCCCCACCTCCAGGACCCCCTCCACCTCCATTTGGAGCTCCTCCACCACCTCCTCCACCTCCACCAGGACCTCCTCCACCTCCATTTGGAGCTCCTCCACCCCCACCTCCTCCATTTGGACCTCCACCTCCAAAAATGTTAGCTAGCAATCCTTCTGGACCGTTTGGACCCCCTCCTCCACCTCCACCTGCATGGGGACCTCCTCCTCCACCTGCATGGGGACCTCCACCTCCACCTCCTCCTCCATGGGGACCTCCTCCTCCTCCTCCTCCTCCATTTGGTCCTCCTCCTCCTCCATTTGGTCCTCCTCCTCCTCCACCTCCTCCATTTGGTCCTCCTCCACCCCCACCTCCTCCATTTGGTCCTCCTCCACCCCCACCTCCTCCATTTGGTCCTCCTCCTCCTCCACCTCCTCCATTTGGTCCTCCTCCTCCTCCACCTCCTCCATTTGGTCCACCTCCTCCACCTCCAGGACATCCTCCAGGACCCCCAAGACCACCTTCTAAGCCATCTGGCCAACCTAAGCCTTCTGGTCCACCCGGTCCTCCTCCTCCCAAGCCATCTGGACCTCCACCTAAGCCATCTGGTCCTCCTGGTCCTCCTCCTGGTCCTCCTGGTCCTCCCCCTGGTCCTCCTGGTCCTCCTCCTGGTCCTCCTCCACATAAACCATCTGGACCACCTACCAAGCCTGGCCATTCTGGACCTCCCGATCATGGACATGGTCACAAGGATAAGGCTATTGGATCTGAAGGTAGTCAACCTGTAGCTTCACCTGTTGCTATGTTGGGTGAATATCCAACATTGAGTAATACACAAGACCTTGCTGCTTTAGGCCAACTTGGGGCATTCACCGAAAACAGTGCTACTATTCATGGTATGAACTCAAGTTTGATCTTGATTACTTTCATCATTGCGCTGATCTATATGCGTATGTAAATAACACAGACACATTGACTTGTACATAATTAAATAAATAAATAAAAAAAAAATTTGTGTTTATAACTTATAATCTCTCTCCTTTGTTCTTTTGATTTTGTAAATCTTTAACTTTGTCATCCTTTTTCTTTGTAGCTTTTTAACTTTGCAATCTTTTTTTTTCTTCCTTTTTTTTTTTTTATTATATCTTTCTCTTTACAATCTATCAATTACAGTTTGTAATTCTTCCTCTGAATAGATTTTGAAGTTGTGTTCTGGTGTGACTGATGCAATTTGGACATTGGCCTTGTTTAATTTCTCTTCCATGACCGACTTCAAAACAGTTAAAGCAAGTGTCTCGGCTTCCTTTAAAGTCATAGACTATTTTTTTTTAAAAAAAAAGAAATAATGTGTTAGAATGTTACCTATGATTAAACAAGATTATGCATCTTACTTTGTGGTATTCTTTTTGTAATTCGGTTTGAGCACCTTCAGAACCTGAACCGATAGCCTTGGCTTGAAAACTCATGAATGTACCTGAAGGATCAGCATGGAAACTATGGATTGGTCGGATGTATTAGTGTATGCATGACACATCGTGTACTTTTTGCTTCATCATCACTTACAGTTGAGGTCCATTTTCGTCAACGCCAGCAATAAGCAATGCAACACCGAAAGGACGACTCTGTAAAATAATAGTTTAAGCAACATTGTCTTTATCCCTTTATTCATGCCTCGTATAATATTTGTCTTACCATGATTGACTCTTCACCCTCAGCACCTTCACCAAATCGTAATGCTAAATCACAAACACTTTGAGTAGCACTTTCGACTTTAAGTTTTTCGTCGTATGTGAATCTATGGTTCTGTGTGTAACAAAAATGTAATCAATAGGCTATTCTCAGGACAAAGGTTTGTTCAAATTCTTTTCCATTATAATTCATTACCTGAGCAGCAACACGAGCATGTTCAATCATGGTTCTGGCATCAGCTGTCATTCCACTAACAGCACAACCTAAATGTTCATCAATTTCCATAATCTTTTCAATTGAGCTGGCTTCCAACAAGGTAGAAGAAACACGCTTCTCAACAGCTAAAACAACGCCTTCAGAGGTTTGGACACCAATGGCTGTTGTACCAAGCTAACATGTAGAAAGATGAGCATTATTTTCCTTTTTGATTATTTGACTACAGAAGGCTCTACCCCCCTCCCGCTTTGTTTTCAATATATATATATATGTACCTTGATAGCTTCGATAGCATATTCGACTTGGAAAAGACGACCTTCGGGTGAAAAGGTATTTACACCACGATCATATTCGGAACGCGTCAAGAACATTGTTTAAGAATTTAAAAAAAAAAAAGCAATTGAAAAAGAGAATCAACTCGAGTTGGGCGGACCGTATTGCGTATTAAACAGAACGCGCGTAAAGTTCAATCTCATGACGGCATCAAGACAAGTCACAGTCAAGCCATGATTTTCTGTGTAACAATTAGAATTGGGAGAGGTGAGCATGATTGTCCACCTATTGAAATACATTGGCAAGCCTTGGCGTATTAATTCTACCAGAGGGATATCATGAGATAATTTCTTTAAACTGTATCAGTATGGGTCAAAGCGAATAGGTCTATTTCAGTAATTTGAAACAATATATGCACCATTCACAATTGGAAATAATTGAAATAGACTACGACGTTTCTTGAGGGTCCATTCCCTCTTAATATAAATATATGCTCTGATGTCCTACAGTGAATTGTTTATAGTTCAAAACTCATCCAGAGCTTGATTTTTTTATTATTGTATTAATTATCTTATGTACTGACAATACATAAATTGTACAAGTGGTATTATAAAATGAACTAATCGGTATAGATATTATTCGTCGTACTTGTTAACAGCATCGAAATTACAATGAATTTTATGAATGACGCCCGTTCCAAAATCAGCTTCTATGCGCACTTCTGTCAAGCCAAAAAACATCCTAAAATTTTTTATATTGAGTACGACATGACAAAAACTTCAATCGATATTTACCTGACTGTATAAGGTATGCGCTCTCCTGTAGCAACATTTGGTATGTATGGTACCGGTACAGAAACAGCAGCGACCTGATGCACACCTTCTTCATCGAAATACCTTGGCTCGTTATCACCATCTGTGGAATACAGCATAAGGTCTGTTGCTTTGATAGTTCCATAATAGACAAACATTCTCTCACGAATACAATGATCAATAGGTATTTCATCACCCTTTCTAACAAAGACAAGAAACCTAGATGTACAACGAATACTGCCGTCTGGACGTACAACACGGGAGAATGCAGGGTCGAGCTTTTCATCGAATGGAAGTCCCGCATTAATGCCGTAAGTACGACGAGAAACACGAGAGGTGATGACTCTAGGATTTAGACCGAAATAGACTGCGCCACGAACAACAGCCATAGCAGCTCGTGGGGGGCAAAGAATTTGCTTGACTCTGCTATCAAATACTTCGTGCACACGTTGGAAAAGATAGTTGGATGAGCCAAATCCACCGACTAAGAATATACAAGAAAGGTTTTTGTCGTGTACCTCGTTATACTGCTTCTCCAATAATGCTATCTATGACAAATGTTGAGTATGTCAGCTTTATTTTCTTTTTTGAAGATAGTGATGGGCTTACCACTCGTTTAATCACTGGCTCAAAGACCTTTTCTCTCAGTTCATATGCTCGTAATACCATGGTACCTTCATCCAAGCAATCAATATCTATATTTAACTCAGCCAAGTTTACGGATACGGGTATACTCAAGTATTGATCATCCAAACCATCGAATTCTGGTTTGATATTATCCACAAACTGATCCATTAAATTGTTCATCGCAGCCGCTGGTAAGCGTTTCACTTGATCGCCCAGTTTTTCTTCCATCAGTGTTCTGAAATTATGATCCAAAAATGCACTACCGCAGCTTTCGCCAATCCCTTTTGTCACTTCTTTTAATCTCTTGTTACTTTCAAAACGATCATCTAGAACCTCAAATACAATGAGATCTACCGTTCCACCACCAGCATCACAAATCATCATTCGATCTCCTTTATTCAGATTGACTTGTTCACACATTTTCTCGCAATATAATGCAGCCGCTTCTGGCTCCGAAATTAAAATCAATCTGTCCTGCGGATCATCCTGACTGACAAGACCAGCGAGTATAGCTGCCCTTCTCATGGTGCTCTTGGCCAAATCTGACCACATGGCAGGAACTGTCAGACAATAACGAAATGAAGAGGGATCGTAATTCTTGGCAAATCCACGCGTGACGTCTTCCAATACATATTCATGAAGCGCCCTTAAATAATCAGCAATATTATTCACCGGTGACCTTTATATGTTCCAATTAATTAGTTCTCCCTTCGGGTATATTTATACGTGTACGTACCTATGATTTGCAGCTATGCCTTTATGGAGACTTTCGTCCAAATTGAGTTTGAAGTTTGACAAAATTATGTTTTCCTTGGCGGCTTGAGGTTTGAGCATCATCTTCTTGGCGCCATGGCCCCAATCAACCAAAGTTTTGGGATCTGATATCTTATAGACTGATAAAGTGGGTGTCTTTGGGTAGAAATTACCTCCTTTGTGGGGCCTATTTTTATAAATTATTAAACAAGATTAAGACATGTCCCCAAACACACTTACCATTTCTGAACATCGAATACTTCAGCATTACCGTTTCGGTTATGTGTAAAAGCGTAAGAGGCTCCCGAAAATGTTGTGCCAAAATCATACGAGATCACAACTTTGTATTTATCAGTGGCGTCAAGCATTTTTTTTTTTTTTAATTATAAAGAAGTAGAATGAAGGGCCTTTTTAAAGCTGACACTTGTTTTTTATACGCCCTCATTTAAAAGTCAGCGTACGCGAAATGAATTATAAAATTGGCAAAACTTTTTGTCTGCGTCTTCAGCTTTTCAGTAACTCTTGCCTCAATGACAGAACTTATAGACGAAGTTTCTGGCTTGCAATATAAAAGACAGTGGAAGCCCGTTGTAGTAAAGTATAAAATCTACTTACTTTTGGCTTTGCTAAACTTATTTTGTTTTGGAGGCTCGGGCCTTAGAGCAACTGGAAGAGGCAGAAAATTTGTCGTCCGTACATGACAATGTTGAAACCTATTCTGTGACATCAGACTCTAGCGCAACTACAGTGAATACTGTATTTGCCTTGAATACTCGTAAATCAGGCTCTTTATTTTTATGTATTGGAAACAGAAAAACTTAGTTGTCTTTAATATAGCTCGCCCTAAAGTATGCAGCTCTGAATGGTTACAACGTATGCCAAGCAAATGGAATGACAGCTGCAAATTGAGACAGTTTATTATCTGGGCAGCTGAAAGCTTGACGGAAGAACTGAGTCACATGGGCCTAGAAAAAAACCCTATAGCCGAGAAAGTGCAAGCTCGTTTTATTTACACATTAAAATCTTCACCTCAGGTCGTTTCATTATACAAACATCCTGCGGAGAAGTCTGCACTGGCGCATATGTACGGACACGCTCAACCAGGACGAAATTCAGTTAATGTTGAGAACGAAAAAATGTTAAAAGAATACCAAGATGATATTGCAGCGTAAGACCATTTTTATTCTCGATACGGCATCTTGCGTGGAATTGATGCGTTTTTTTAAGTATAAAATATGAATGGAAACAATGGGATAAGTGCGAAATTGAGATATTTGAAAGGCATGCAAGAGCTGCGGACAGGCTTTACGCTTTGACGAGAACAGACAAACAAGAATTGAACGAGAGTAACTTTTCTACTGCAGAGATAGACTTAGATGTGATGATCTTAAACGACAACTTGGAAATCACTCAAACACAGGAGCTTCTACCCGACTTACCTTTCGAGATAGCCTTGTTCAAGCAGAAAATGCATACTGCCTCTGAGTTTAATCGCCGTGCTTATGAATTAGCATTCGATGCCAGATGTAAATTAGCTCATATAGAAAGGGAAAATTCGAGGGTTACTCCTGAGGACGAAACTCTCGCTTTATTCAAAAACCATGAATTGAACCGAAAGAAAGAGCAGAATGAGAACATGCAACACCTGTTGAGACTATACACGGATTCCTACAAAATCGGGTCCTTCAAGAGCATCTAAGCTTTGAGTATATCAACCTTTGTTTGTAAATAAATTTATAGCTATGAATGATTTAAAAAAATCCGATGGTGTGTGCTAGATATTTTGACTATGTTAATCAAATAATGAGTAGGATGATTTAAGCTTATTAAATTCAATAGCATGGAAACTTAAATAGGGTAGAGAGTTTGTCCGTAGAAAAAAGAATGACAGCTGTAAGCTTTTTGCTATCGAATCTCTTAACTGCCGCTTTTTCAAGCCTACAAATATGGCAGTTTTGTGAAATAAATGTTAGCTGACTGTTATGACATACAAAACGATGTCACAGCTTTATACCGCTAGGCGATATACATTACACAATCACCGATATAGCAAATAATGACATGTATGTTTGTTTTGTCAACAACAATATATAATTATAATAAAGCAGCGAATACACTAAAGAAAGGGTTGACTTTTACTGATATTATTGTCTTTAAAAAAACTAGCTGTGTGTGCCATTTTTTTCTCCAATAGTAAAATACTTATTTAAAAAATGTCTAGCTTAATTATTGATGAAGCAATTCATGCAGATACGCACCACAAAGACCTGAAACGAATTGTTGCCATCAGTATCGACGAAGAATCGGGTGAATATGTGTACGACTGGGCTATTAACAATTTTATCAACCCGGATACGGATTTAGTAAGAGAGTGCTTATGTAAAAAAAATGTAAAAAGAAAAAAGGAAGCACATCTAATTTTTTTTTTTTTTTTGAAAAAAGGTGGTCTTTTTGAATTGTCGACAGATCGATGCTCCTGCAGCTCCTTATATCAACCCTACGGGATTTATCGAGGAATTTGACGAGAAACGAAAAATCAAGAGCCATCAATTGCTTCGCTTTTATGCTGATCAATTAAAATTTGCAAACGTAAGGTGAATTTAAACTTTGATTATACTTTGACATTAAACAGTTTTGTTTTTTTTTTTAAAAAAAAAAGATAGCAGTGCGAGCGATTGCATTGGCGGGAGAACCTAAAATGGAGATTATCCGGAAAGTGACAGAATTAAATGCAGATGTCTTACTTCTCGGCTCTCGACGACTGGGTACTGTGAAAAGGTAAATGCGCATATGTAAGAAAGTACAACCTGTCTAAGAGAAAAAATAGAGCATTGCTGGGAAGTGTCAGTGACTACTGTGGGCACAAATCCCCTTGCACCGTCATCATTGTTAAGGCCCACCCTAGCCATCCCCAGGGTAAACATGAGTTGAGAAGTGTCTTTAAACGACATGTGGAATAAATCGGAGAAGATTTTTCTTGACTTTTTAAAAACGAAGTGTAATATCGAAGAGATGGCTATAATGAATAAATGCGTGCTTTTAATATGTAAAATAGGGGAATAATGTGTCCTTGGTTCTGTGAAGTCTTTATTTTAGGTGGGGATATTTTGTGTCTCTTTACAAATGAATTATTACAAAATACAAACGAGATTACATGGGCCATTCTGTGTCATCCATGGCCAAACGAACTAAAAAAAAAAGAGATGTTAACACACAAATATAGCCTTATTCAAACAGGTTACTTACGGAACATATTAATAGCAATCGCAATAACCAAAAATAGAGTCATTACAGCAGGTCCATACTTGTCAGAAAAATCACCAAGCTCATTTCTCTCAACACGGTCAGCACGATCGTGATATTTATATAGGGCGTAAATCATAACAGACATGGATAAAAATGTAAAGATGACTGCTGAAATACGACCTACTTTGTCGGAAAAGTTTAAGAGACCAATCGCTAAAGCGCCTAACAACAAAGTGAACTTTAACCAATGTAAGAATGTACGTTCATTAGCAAAAAATGTCTTTGCTGGAGGTGCCTTGGAAGGAATAGGACGACCACGGGAGGTAGTTGTGGTAGCCTCTTTTCTAATAAATATGGTCTTTGATTTCTTGAATAAGTTTTTTAACCCAGCTGGAGATAACTGCTTTATTAACCCGCCACCTTCGATATCACGATCACGAGTAGGGGTATGGAAATTGCCATCACCAATAAGTAAAGGCGTTGATTCAGTAGCATCACGCATCGTAATTTGAACATGCTCATCTGTAGTTAATTTTGAACCATCATATGCGCTGCCACTACTACCTGAAACTGAACTGCTGGAAAGAGCATCAGGACGAGACACACCAAACACCTTGTTGCGAGGCTTTCTGATATCTACTTCCATTTGAGGCAACCAGAAAGGTAAAACATTGATGTTATCCTCCAGCAAGGTAGCACAACCATGAATGAACTTGGAGAATTTGGGTACTGATTCAACCAAGTGAGAGTTGACCAACTCAAGCACCCATTGAGGGGGCTCCTGTCCAACATGGGTTTGAAGCTTTACTTCAAGTACAGCATAGGGGAAACGGCAAATATCGCTTTCAGGTAATTGTTTGAAAGGGTAATCAACACCGATATCCATACGGCGCCAGTTTTCAGCAGATCTTGGTTTACCTCCATTGTCTTCACGAATAAGAGACAATTCTGTATCTAAACTAATACGGACACGAGCATCACCTGGTAATTGGAAAGCAGTACGATTATAGAAAGTACGCATCATAGGATGAAGTCTCTTTGTTAATGTTGTGTACTGTACTTCACTCGCCAACTGCTCTAATTCTGCAATCTCCTTTTCTGATTTGCGACCTTGTTCTCTAGTCTTTTGAAATAACTCATCTGTGGTATATGTGCCATCAAGGAATTGATTGAGGTATTTTTCTTTAATTGGAAAACGTGCCTTGACGGACTTTTCACCCGTCCAATCTTCGTGATGCGTTTTACGTTCCACAAATACGGTATTTGAATCCATACCACCATACCATCGCATACGGATGGCTTCTGCCCCTTCGCTTTTTTCTAATCTACCCATATATAACTCAAAATCATCATTGTCATAATAAACACTAGTGATGGCTGAATCTTGAGCTTCGAATTCCTTATTTGGATTAAAAACGAGAACAGGTAAATGCTTAAGAATTACCAGTTTGAGTTCAGTGATATTATCAGGATGAACCCTATTTAATTATAGTTCAGTTTAGTAGAGATCTCCCATTCATGACTAATTGTGCGCACTTACCAATATTTTGTTGTGTTTCTAACAAATGCAGCTTGCTTACCACCAGCAGATGCATCACCGCCTCTTTCTTTACCACGAGTACGTACACGATCATACAAGGTTGAAATACGAATAATCAGATCATCATAGTTCTCCTTATAAAAAGGTTTGGCATTTAAACGAACACCAAACATGGGCTTCAAAGGCCATCCTGTCATTTTCTACAGCCGCAAGATAGCAAAAAAAAAAAAAAAAATTAGATTTGTTACCCCACGTGCGAAATTTGATTGGCCTGAGCCAAGGGTCTGCCTTTTAATCCTTAAGTAACCAAAACTTACATCATGCTTTTTGATAATTTTCAAGAAACCAGTGTAATTCAATCTTGTAAATTTTGCCAAATCATGGACATCAGCAATAATATGGCCCAATTCAATTTCAGAGGCTGTAAATTCGTCTTCTTCGGGATTTTCGGACTGACAAAGAATATCAACTTCGCGAGTTTCGATTTGGATACGACGATTGATTTCACCGAGTTTAACGCGCTGGAAAGAAAAGACTTTATCAAGTTCCTTTTCCAAAAGTTGAATAAATTTACTCTCGCTATCTTCAGACCAAACACCATTAAGTGCTTCCTTTTTTAAAATTGCTTTCAAGTCTTCGTAAGCTGGTTTGTTTTTGTTGGATTAGTTTCAGAGTTATATGTAAATATATACAAAAGATAATAGTCTTACCAACATAATGAAATGTCCAGTCAGGATTTAAAGAAGTTCTAAGCGTGTGTCCGAATTTCATATTCTATTACGATAAAGAAAGAAAAAGAAAAGAGAAAGCGTTTTATTTTTTCGAACTTATGACAGTAAAAAAAAAAAAAAAAAAAAAAAAAGAAAGAAAAAACTTTTTGGTCTCCGTCTTAAATCTGCACTGCTGTGGAATCATTAAATTCAATCAAGATCTGGCCTGTTTTGACTGTATTCCCGGGTTGCACATGAATTTTCTTGATTGTACCAATACGAGGCGTCCTAAGAATGTTTTGCATCTTCATTGCTTCCACAACAACTAGTTCTGTTCCTTCCGACACTTCTTCCCCTTCATTTACAGCAATACTTATAATTCTTCCAGGCATTGGACTCGACACAATTTTGCTTTGGTATTCAACAGATTTTGTCTTTATATGCTTCGATAGATCGTATTGCTGATCATTCATAATGTTGATTTTGTACTTGCTGCCATGGTATTGAATTCTAAATCCCAAGTCAAGTGGATCAAGATATTGAATGACGAGACTCTTTTTAAGTTGTTTTTCAAATAATGAATGTGCCAACAATCCATCCAAGGGCCATTCTGTAGAGAAATTGAATTTATCCGTAGAATCTGAGGAAGCTTCAAATTCAGATCCATGTTTATGTTTGATGGTAATTTTGGTGTCAGTGATTTTTTGGCTTTGTTCATCAGTGATTTGAACCCAAATATTTTGATGCTCAGATACGATTTTATTTTTTCCTTGCCAATTTCTATTCTCCCTTTTGATCCAAATTGCACCACTAACAGCAGCCAGCTGCTGAAGCGCCTCACCCATTAAATGCTCAGTCTGAAATCCTTTGGGATATTCCTCGGCCAAAAAATGGGTTGTGATTTGTTTACCATCTTGAAACCTAGGATGAGCAAACACAGCTCTTAATAAGGGTATATTATGTGTTACGCCTTTAATCACATATTCATCCAATGCATGCATCATCAGTCCAATGGCTTCCTTTCTGGTCTTACCATGTGTTGCTAATTTACAGATCAATGGATCATATTCTACATACATTTCAGAACCTTCAATAAATCCAGAGTCACACCTTACTTTATTTTCAATCATCAGTGGCTCTTGATAAGTCAATAATCTACCAACTGAAGGAAGGTACTTTTCGGGGTCCTCTGCATATACACGGGATTCACAAGCCCAACCATTTATCTTAATATCATGCTGTTTCACATCCAATGGATGGTTTGAGGCCGAATAAAGCATTTGCTCGACCAAATCTAATCCAGTAACGTATTCTGTAATAGGATGCTCCACTTGTAAGCGAGTATTCATTTCCAAAAAATAGAAATTCTTGGATTCGTCTACTAAAAATTCAACTGTTCCAGCTGAATTGTATCCGACATGCTTGGCCAATGCAACTGCTTGCTCACCCATTTTTTTTCTTGTGATTTCATCAACATGAACACTTGGCGACTCTTCAATCACTTTTTGATTTCTTCTTTGAATAGAACACTCTCGTTCTGGTAAATAAACAACGTTTCCAAAATTATCACCCAATACTTGAATTTCAATATGTCTGGGGTTGTTGATGTATTTTTCAATTAACATACGATCATCACCAAACGATGATTTAGATTCTTGTTTCGCTAATTTAAATCCGTCTCTCAATTCGTTATCGTTCCTGAAAATAAAGTTTCAATCAGTATCTGGCGTACTGTGTCCCCCTTCATTTTTCTTTTACCTACCATGCAATTCTCATTCCCTTTCCTCCTCCTCCTGCACTCGCTTTAATCATAATAGGATATCCAATATCGTTTGCGATTTTAATAGCTTCGTCCGCTGTATTGACCTCTCCATCAAACCCAGGAATACAGTTCACACCACTCTCTTTAGCAATAAGTTTGCTCTGGATCTTATCACCCATAGCAGCAATGGCAGAAGCTTTAGGACCAACGAATTTCACGTTGTTTTGTTCCAAGACTTTTACAAACGTGGGATTTTCACTCAAAAATCCGTACCCCGGATGAACCGCTTCGGCGCCTGATTGTTGTACAGCCGCCATAATGCGGGGTATTGAAAGATACGATTCTGATGCTGTGGCTGCTCCCAAATGAACAGACTCATCGGCTAATTGAACATGAAGCGCATTGGCATCCAAATCACTGTATACTGCTACGGTTTTGATTCCCATTTTCTTTGCTGTCTTGATGATTCGGCAAGCAATTTCTCCTCGGTTGGCAACCAGTAACTTTTTAAAAGTCTGGTTAAAAAAAAAAGAAGAAAGAAATAAAGGGTCAGCTTGGACATTGCTCTTTAATTGGGGGAATTTCTCGCAAACCTTCTTATAGTTATTCTTCAGTGGCGTAAAAGATACTGCTTCAGTCTCCCTGACCTTCGTGTCAGTTTGAATGCCTCTTTTTGTGAAGGGTATGCTGCGGACGCAAGGGGAATAGGCAAGCATTCTTCGTCTTAATATCAATGGTGTAGCAGTCTTTAACATGTTCATTAGGCATTTTTGCTGTGACATTGTGGATGTCGAAAGAAAAAAAGAAAGGGGAAGGTTCACAGGTGTGGGAAACCATGAGAAATATGACGAAAAACAAGGTCACACGTGTATTTAAAAACAATTTAAAAGGGAGAGTGCTATTTGCAAGGTATGCGGTCCTAATTTTGTGATATTGAAACAAAGTGCATGCGTTAAATCACTATCTGAAATATATCCCGATATAAATACAGTATACAAAGTTTAAGGCGGGCCCGTTCTAGGACAAGCAGCAATGAAAGTCATAATGCAAAGGTATTACCTGATTCAATAACAGCAGTAAAGGAAATATAATCTAAAAACATTTCAATTGGTTCATGCACATTGATACTTGTCCCGACTCTCGCTGTAGCGCTCAAAAATTGCTATACGTAAGCAATGGACGGGGGATAAGGTTCCATCAGGCAATTGGCTTCCTTTGCGGGATTAAATGTCAGCTTTAAAAGCAAGCGATTTTAATAGATGTTTATTTTTATTGCTGACCTTTTTTGTTTGATTTTATATACAACATGTCAATGGCAGAATATAAGTTGAAAAGGGACGCGTGCCGTCCCAAAGTGCTGGATAAATATGAAATTATTGGCTTTATCAGTTCTGGTACTTATGGTCGAGTCTATAAAGCCAAATCACGAAACAAGTAATGACAACTTACCATACCCTTTCTTGTGAAAAAAAAAAAGGAACTAAACCATTCTCAATTTATAAAGGGACGATCCTCGTGAATTTGCAATTAAAAAGTTCAAACCAGATAGAGAAGGAGATACTCACCACTATGTTGGCATTTCACAATCTGCATGCAGAGAAATCGCTGTAAGAAACGTTTCGCTTCGAATTAAAAGCTTCAATTTGACCTTTTCCCTTCATAGTTGTGCAGAGAACTTCGACATGAAAATATCACAGCTTTAGAAGAAGTTCTCTTGGAAGACAAGGCCATTTTTATGGTTTTCGAATATGCAGAACATGACTTTTTAGTAAGTAGACAATCATACATGTTTTAAAAGTAGTTGTCTAATGAATCTAATTAGCAAATTATACACTACCATTTACACACAGAGAGAAAACCTATTATGGAAGTCGTTATCAAGTCGCTTTTATGGCAATTGATAAATGGTGTTGCGTACTTACACTCTAACTGGGTTTTGCATCGAGATTTGAAACCTGCTAACGGTATGCAAAGCGGAATACATATACCTTATGTTTGATTTATTTAAAAAGAAGCTTTATTGTAGTTTTGTTAACAAGCGAAGGTATCGTTAAAACGGGTGATTTGGGTCTTGCCAGACTGTTCAACAAACCATTACAGCCATTGTTTAATGGTGATAAAGTCGTTGTTACTATATGGTACCGTGCGCCTGAATTATTATTTGGATCAAGACATTACACAAAAGCAGTTGATATGTGGGCGGTAGGTTGTATATTTGGCGAATTATTAGCTTTGAAACCAATATTTAAAGGTGAAGAGGCAAAAATGGATGGCAAAAAAAATGTGCCTTTCCAAAGAAGCCAGCTTTCGAAAATTTTTGAAATTATGGGGACACCAACAAGTAAGAAATATTGAATAATATTCCGTTATCATGAACTAATTCAATTAATCTAGAGGAAAGATGGCCTTCAATAGATCAGCTACCAGACGCTCAGTATCTGTCCTCCTTCCCTCAGTAAGTTCCAGAACATTTGATGAAATTTTCAACCCTATTTATTTATATTATTCTATTAGGACTCCCAACAATTTAAAACAAGCATATCAAGTCATGTCGATCCCAAAAAGTGAAACAGGGTTCAATTTACTGTCTGCACTATTAGAATATGACCCTGCAAAAAGAATAACTGCAGAAAAGGCATTAAACCATCCATATTTTCAGGAAGATCCTAAACCTGCTATGAAGTAAGCCATATCTTTGTCAAAAAAAAAAAAAGAGATATATGTATTTATTGATTTGGTTATAGTGTGTTGACACAGCAAGGTATTGAATATCCACTTCGTCGTATCACACAAGAAGATAACGATATCAAGGCATCAAAAGCAGCCGTTGTGAATAAAGATGATCATACCGGTAGGTTATCCAAGAAACCCAGAAATGCTTAAATAAATATTTTATTTGTTTGTTTGTCTTTTCATGCATAACCCATTTGAATCAAATCCGGTAAACTAGCATCATAATAAATATTTTCGTTTGCGTGATATTTTATCTCGGCTGGTATAAAGCGTCTAATAGGTTGTTTCTTTGGAATAGGCGGGTCCTCTTGCCAGTGACGCTCTAAAGAAATGGTGACCTGAATCATCATACGTTTAGACAAAGACGCACCTTCCATAAGATCTTGAAGCGCCTTCTTTGAGGCGTGAAATGGTTTACATTGAGCAAGATATTTTGATATAACTATCTGGCGGTCTCGAATTGCATTGACGCGTAAAGTATGAAACGCATCTCGTTTCTTGGCCACAACTTTGGTCATTAATACACCTGTTAAAAGTTCGCAAACAGTTTCAGCGGAAGGTCGATTGTTTGGATTTTTGGATAAACAACGGGTAATTATATTTTGATACGCGGGATCCACATGTTTCAAGGTATTTATTTGATATACGGTTGGACAAACAGTGATTGTGTTTGGGAAAATAACACCTGATGCCAATTGCCAAAGAATGATTCCAAGAGCATAGATATTAGATGCTTGGTTTAATGTTGCGAACTCGTAAGATATTTCAGGTGAAATATAAGGCCAACGACCATAACGAGATGACAGAGGTATAGAAGACCAGTCATCTTGACCATCAACGATTTTCAACTTGAGTTCATGCTCATCATATATGTTGGATACCAAAATGTTTTTTGGCTGTAAATTTGGGTGCACCCCATTAGATTGATGTAAGTCACGCACGCAAGAAGCTATCAATATAGAGATCCTACACGTTTTTTGAAATGTCCACTGGTCTACTTGTGGAATTAATTGCTCCAAACTATGTTCCATAGCTGGAGATACAAGAGCGAGCTTATAATGGTGTTTAAATCGAATCGCTGTGATTCCAATAACTTCTTTTGGTATTGCTAATTTTTTTTGCTGTAACATGCAAAGGTTGATCTCTCTTAAAATCATTCTATTGCGTTGTCTTTGATGGGGAATTCTACAAGATATAATGTAAACTTGACCCATACGACCAGATGGCAACATCTTTCCATGCTCAAACCATTGAGGTGGAAACCACTGAAGAGGTCTATTTAATGAACGTATGGTCTCTTCGATTTCAGTTGGGTAGTCAAAATAATTGTGAAATAGTTGATCGTACAATGTTTTATATTGATTTGTAGTGGGTTTCCAACCATTCATAAATGTCGATTTGTTTAGTTGAAGCATATTTGACCAGCAGGTGCTCATATCACTATCATCATTCTGAGCAAATGGTTTAAATATATGATGACTGTTGGCTGTTTGCAACACTTACACTAGCTATATCATTGCGACATTCTCGAATAGGGTTTAAAAATTCATTTAAATTTCTTTGAATATATTCATTGACCAGTGTTTGTTGTTTGGGTGTGGAAGAATAGAAAATATTAAACATTATTATTTAACAACAATAATAAAAAAAGAAATCCCTTTTCTTCCCATCGTCGTTAAATCTTAATTTATAGTTTATGAAACACACCACTTTTTCCATATGCTGTACGTCATAAATTGGTTTTTTCCGAAATACAGGTCTGATGTTCAACTGCCAGAAAATATTCCCATACCTTTACCTTCAATGAAACAATATAAAAATAAAAGGAGATATAACGAAAAGGTTGTGCTATGTTAATGCTACACCCTGGTCAAACAAACACCATGATGATGTTAGCTTTTTTTTAACTAAGAAAAAATCGGCTGACAGCGTGTCATGGCATACATGATATCTATTGCATAGAAGTTTCTATTTAACGATGAGAAAATATGCCAATGGAAATCAAGTTATCGCTAAAACGTATTATGCTTGGTCTAAACCAGTTTTGATGTTGTAATTTTTTTTCAAGGGCTTTGAAGAGTGTGTAATGCATCCGTGACATAGAAAGCCCGTGACACAAACTATTTGCTATTCCGACAACTGACAGAAATTAAATCTTCTACTGCATCACTGTTATTTCACATTATATTATTAGAGTTACTAATATGCCAAACTATCCCAAGTATGCACATGTAGATGAACTCAAAGCACAAGTATAGGAGCGAACAATTGTTCATATTTGCCGATATCTAATAGTCTTGCTTGATTACAGGTTTGGTTTTTAAAAAATGCGGGAGGGGAAAACCCTAACTAGTTGAACAGTGTGAAATCAAAACAAGGCGAATTTTTGGAAACCTGATGAGACGCTTTTTATGTATTGGAAACCTATGATGGACAGCTTTTCTTCTAACTATTATACCACCCCTTCCTTTGTAAATGCCTAGTGTGAATGTACAACACATACTACAAGCCATAACTTACAGTATTCTCGTCCATTCTTTAGGCTTAGATGTGGCTTGCTTAATAATGATACTTTTAAAAATGAATGGACGAAATCACTGATTTGTCTGGTGGGTCCGGCAATGGTTTTTTCGGTATGTTCTTCGGAAATGAATATAAAAATAGCCTGCTTGCAAATTATATCTATTTTTTTAATATTTATTTTTTGCAAAATAAAAAAAGACATCATATAATTGGATGTAAACTTTAAAAGGTAACAATAATAGACTTATTAAGCATCTAAAAACAGCCTGTTTTTTTTATTAATGTAAAGGTCGATCTCTTTGTCATACGAGGGTGTATAATTGGAACAATTTCTAACTTTTAAATAAGAGAATTGGTTCGTTCAACAAAATTGACCTTGTAAGGAATGGGCAAAAGAACCAAACCAGCGGTTACAGGATGATCAATGTCCGGCAACTGCTCTTTTCCATTGGCGTCTCTGACAGGTTCAATCGTACACTTGGATAATACTTGAATAAATGAAGTGAATAATTCTACTTCAGCCATATAGATACCAGGGCACATACGTCTACATATTTTACATGTTATATTAAAAAAGAGATTCACGTACAACAATTGAAGACACTTTACCTTCCCCAACCAAAGTTAAAATGATCACGTTCTTCGATTTTACCCTTGGCGGCTGCATCCATTGTTTTGAGATTGTTCATGAATCGCTCGGGATAGTATTTTAATGGTTCGGCGAAAACGTTAGGATTTTGATGCATGCTTTCCATACTAGAGACAACCGTAGCACCCTTAGGGATAATATATCCATCGACCAACACTAGGTTATAGGGTAAAATGTTAGTTCTATTTTAGTCGGAAATGATATAATGTTTTAATTACCATCGGCATCCATTTTATGAGGTATACCAAAGGCACCTATAGGTCTGAAGCGCATGTTCTCCTTCATCATAGAGACACAGTAAGGAAGTTGTGTTCTTTCTGAGAATTCAGGAAGACGACCATTTAACTTGATAAATGCATCAATTTCATCTGCAGCTTTTCTTTGGGCTAAAGGATAGTGGCACATAATGACAAAGGCCCAAGAGAGTGTAACAGAAACAGTGTCGGTACCACCATTGATTAAGTCGGCTAAATTTGATAAAGATAAGTTTTTTTAAGTCTTACTTCAACAATAACAGTACCTTACAAGTGATAACAATTGTTTCTTCTTCAGTAAAATTGAATTTGTCCAAAGATTTTACAAAGTTTGTACCAGGTCTTTCCAAGGCCTCAGCAATTAACTTGCGGTAAAGTGGATTACGTTCGTTATTGATAAAGTTTTTCATTTTCGCATGTTTTCCAGAAAAATAATCTACAACGGTCATGATGGGTATGAAGTTGGGTATATCTTGCTCCATGGCACCCATTACCACAGTTCTTTCAATGACGTGTGACATTGTTTTAAATTCGGGATCTTCAAATGAATAATGTTTACCAAAAGCAGCGCGACAGACAGTATTCAGCGAGTTTAAATGCAAGTGAACAGTAGGGTCTACGCCATTATCCTTCCCGGAATACTCTATTAACCGGTCAACTAAAGCAGCTGCTTCGGATTGGATAGGTTTAATGTAATTTTTATCGACTACTTTGGGTGCAATGATACTTAGCACTACATAATTATGAATGATCAGTCATTACATAGATTCTTTTTAGATTTAGTGTTAAGGGGTTTGTACCTGCTTCTCTAGCATCTTTCCAGTTTTTGGTATGAGCACTAAAGACAATACCTCTGATTGTGGCACAAATATATTTAATTACAAGAGTTCAATTCAAATTAAAGTTAAATTTAAAACTGAGCTTACTTTCCCTTGAGCGCGTAATGATTATGCGCGAATGTCATATAAGGTCTGTTTGAAGCCACAGCTCCATTCGAAACAAATATTTTGTGAGCCAAAATAGGATCATCGACCATAATCCAGGTTTGAATTCCCATATGAAGTTTGATTAGTGGGCCAAGTTCTCTATGCCATGCAGCAATAACTTCGCCGGGGGAAGTTCCCAAGGAAAACATATGACCAAAATAAGGATAACGAGAACCAGAAATAGGGATTTCCTTAGCTCCTTTTTGTAACTTATTATCATTATTTGCTGAGAGCCATTTGTAGGAAGAGAGCAAGATGACAGTAGCGGCCGCGATACTGACCACTGGTACAAATTTTTCGCGTTCTAGGAAGCGAGGAGGAATTGAATCAATTAGGATGTTAATTGTATTCATGTTTTATAAAATAATAAATAAATAAAGGATGCGATCTTTCAACTACGGTCCAAAATATTGTAATTTATAATGATTTTGATTCTTAAGGAGCTTTTGCAAATGTATAAAAATATGACGTAAGCCCGCTATATTTGTTTTGACTCACACAGGTCTGGAAAAAGAGAACGCCGCTCAACAACGTTTTAATTATATTCTGACTTTGAGTATATGCTTTTATAAGCTATTGAATGTACGTAGTTTTTATTGTGAGTGATACCCATTTCTACCCCCCATGAAATGGTAAAGTCATGCATAAAAAGAATGAGATGTTTCTATGAATTTGAGATCGTTATTAGGTCTATCCGATTGACTCTGGTATATTATTTTTTTGGTTCTCTCAGGGACAGTCAGGGTGCGCGTAGTCGTTATGTCGGATTATTATGATACTTTATTAGACACCAAGAGGTCGATATAACTTATCGTCTAAAACTAGATACAAATTTATCATTACGAAAATAAATGTTAAAAAAGTATGTGTGTGTTATAGCTTTCTTTCAGCTTCTTATTTGGACTTTGCCTTACTTTGTCTGCGTAATATTAAGACCAAACGAGTTCAAAGGCGAACTATTGACGATAGAACTGTTTAAGTATGCGTAAGTTGTTCAGTATACATTTATTCGTAATTATTACATTGTTTTTAGTTGTAAATTCTTGTTTGTAGGTGTAAAGGACAGCCAAATCACAGATCTTACGTTGTGACTACGTGCACTTTGGCTGTTCCCTACTAAAGAAAGATTGGCTGTCCCCAAGAAAAGCGATTTATAAATGGGTTTTAATGGATGCAATACTTTTTCTTAGGGTATGTTGTGATTTACGTATGCAGTCAATGCCGAAGAGAATATTTATTTAGTGTCTCGTAATTTCGCACTCCCCAAGTCATTCATACGTTGAAGAAGAGAACTTTTTTTTTTTATAATACTGACTGAGACGTGCTCATCATTAACAAATACGAAAAACCAAAAACGATACTAATTAACAGTCTGCCTACTATCTAATCAAAAGGTTTATGCTTCTCAACGAGAAACAATTCTGGACGATCCTGCAAGTTTATCGTTTTCGATTGTAGGACAAAGACGATTCAAGGATCCAATAAAGTTCGAATACATTGGACATTGCCCACAAAAGAGCTATTGCTATAATGTTTTAGAACAAGTGTGAAAATAGTTTATATTTCTATTCATTGAAAGCTTTATTGACAGTCATCAAACATTGTCAGTGTTGAAATATTCAGGCAGGGGAGTACATGAGAGAGGCCCACAATTTGAAACAAACATTATGAATTGAAGTATGTGGCACCAGATAAACAGGCAGTCCAATCAGATGTTGCTAGGCCAATCTTTTGTACTAAAGCACGGTACAACAAATATAGCGGTTTTTATGAAAAAAATACAAGCCATTGGATACATGCAATTGACTAGACCTTAGTTTGACGATCAAACCCCTGTGCCTTGTTTGTCTTAGTTACACCTCATCTCCGAAAACCTCGAACAAATAGAAATCACTGACGATCTTATCAACACTCGTAAAAGAATCAAGCGTTAATGAAAAAGATGATTATTTAATATTCTCACCTCACAATTAACTCTTACTCTTCTAAATTAAGACTACGGTTACTTTTCCGATATATCTCTATTATTACTCGTTAATGTCTTACCATAATCTTACCAGATCGATATCTATTTTCCAAATCCAGTTCCCTGAACAGGCCACTTTGTTTGTATACTTATCAAAACGTTTATTTCCCACAACATTGTTAAACAATATTGTATCTGGAGCAAAAAGTGAATGTAAAAATTATATATAAAGAAGGATCTAATCTTGTACAAATCGATCTAATCTAATACATGTTGGATAATATTTACGAGGCTTAAGGAAAAAGCGAGAGTAAGGTGACATCACTGATCGATAACTTTTGAATTTAAACGTTCGGTACACATAAGTTAAACCTTATATGTCACCATGTACAGATTTACAAATGAACTAACCTCTGTAATTATTTATATATTAAGCGTAGTATTTCATATATGGCTATTGGTCCTTGGGGACGGTATTTCTGGTTCTTTGAAACCAATGAGGCATATAAAAATCAATTGTTTTTGTTACGTGAGTAAACAAAGTCTGGTCGTTAAATAAAAAAAAAAGTCCCACGTGGACGTATTTTGAACGTCAAAGATGAGGGGTCAAAAAGAACCGAGTTACAACCTATTATGAATCGATGAAGTTAAACTATATTGATGTCAGTTTATCAGTAGTGGTAGTTTATTGAAATATGAATGTTATTAATAGTAGTAATCGCTACACGTTGCATGTGTCCTTGTCAATGTTTGCAGTAAAAGTAATAAACGCATAACCTATAAAAAGTGCCGGAGCTGCTTTTGGAAATAAGTTTGACTGCTGGCTTTGACAAAGAAAAAAAAAAAAAAAAAAAAAAAAAAACGCTTTTTATTTTATTTTCCTTCTTGTTTGTTATAAACATTCTTATTTTAATATACCATCAATGTCAACATTATCATTTCCACCTTTTCACACCGATCCTGTCGCAATACCCATTACAGATACTAGTGGCGATGAAGAACAAGCATATAAAGATATGATTAAGCAACTGGCAGCCCAAGCCCCTGAGCCGTATGGTGCTATTCCTCCCTTAATAAAAAAGAAGAAGAAGAAAAAGAGAAAGACAGACAAAAGAAACTTGCCAATCAGACGAATGTCTCATGTAGAGAATTGGATCGCTGTAGATAGTAAAGAAAGCATACCTGACGAACAAGACCTGGTAAAAAAAAAAAAAATACATTCGTACTTAAAAGACTAACATTTAAGTGTTAATTGCAGAGACATTCACCGTTTCGTAACTTCCTGTCAACAGATTTTTTAGTGCTACCTCTACATATGCCGCCTCCTTCTCTCAGTGCTACATCAGAACAGCAACTATTACGCTCAGTGGAGAAAAAGGAGCTATCAACAAATCCAAAATTAAGTGCAGATTTCAGGCCTGTGCTATTTCCTATTCCAAAAGGGATTCCCGTAGTTGAAGAAGAGGATGAGGATGATGATGAGGAAGATGATGACGACGAGGAAGAGGAAGACTATGAGGAGGATGAAGAGGACGATGATGACGATGAAAAGAGTCTGAGAAGCAAAACTTCAATACCTTCGTTTTCACAATCTCAAACACCTTCCACATCGACAACTAGATCTTATGCAATGTCATCATCACCACCGCATACACAAGAGCCAACAAGATCGCGTTGGATGGAAACCATTGCACAGTTACGCAGATCACTGATAAGATCTACATCACCGCGTAAAGAGGAAGAGGAGGAGGAGGAGGATAAGGTTGTAGTTAAAAAGAAGAATATCGACTTTATCCCTATGCCTTTACCACCCAAACGTAATGTACGTAAAAGACGATCAGAGGCTACAACGCAGCCTAGATTCAACCCCGAAACGAATACCTATACAAGAGATACCCGATCAAATCCAGATCATCTAAGAATGATTTCAGCCGAGTTAAACATGATGAGATCCAGGAAACTATCTAGTCCACTGAAACCAAGAGGTTTTTTGCCTAGAAGAACTGATTCGTTCATACGGGGTGACAAAAGACGTTTATCTATTTTACAAAAAGAAGTATTACCTAATAATTGTTAAATTAAAAAAGAATAAAAACTTGTACTCCTTTTTTGTTTATTCAAAGGAGATATAGGAGATATTATAATAATGGGTATGTCCTGGGTACATATACCCAGCCACCGATAGCTTAATTTTGTTGGCCTGGAACCTTTCTTTTATTATTGTTATTGTTATACTATACGAGAATTATGCTCTCATGATTTATATGAAGGAAGGGAAAGGGGGGAATATATATTTTGAAATGCTGATTAGAAATGAGTGTAATGATGCTACATGATTAAATCTATTAACATGAACTGATAGGTGGACTAGACATCCACCAATTATCACAAGTCAAATTTTGACGTTGTTGTAAACTCATCTTTTCGTTGCTACTAGTGTTTGTTCCTTTTTGAAATAGTCCTGCTACAGCTTGAAATGCGCTTGATAAAGTTTTTTTAGACCGAGTAGATGACACAAAGACCGTCTTCTTTCGCTGTTGCTGCTGTTGCTGCTGCTGCTGCTTCTGTTGTTGTTGCTGTTGCTGTTGTTGCTGTTTGGATAAGTCGGGTTGTGATTGACAACGGCGTGGTTGACTACCAATACTGTTTAAACTGGTACTACTACCATTGACAGGCTTTTTGCTATTACAGCAGGATTTGGTCATACGTAGTATTTTTCTACCACTGTTATCAAACATGTTCTCCAAAGATTCAAGCAAAGGTAATTCCGGAAGTTTAAGAATACGTGTTTCGTATTGGTTGGATTGAGGGTCAAATGCAGATAAGCGCATTACACCCTTATCAAACCGCAAACTGTTGTTTGTGTTGTTCATTTTTGATGTGATAAAAAGAATGGAAAGGGGAAATGTATAAAGTGTCGTGATAAAAAAAAAGAAGAAAGAAAAATTAAGGAAGTATAAATAACATTTAAAGTTCTCCTGAAGTCGGTGAACGAATTGGGATTGTTGCTTTAAAAAAAACCAACTTAAAATGAGTTCACTGCAGTCACGATCAAATGGTTGTGGCAAAACCCACGTTTGTATGATGTACATTTTATTTACTCTGATAGGTGGAGGATAAAGTTTCATGTGTGTTCAAGAAGTGATCATCGCTTTTCAAGTAGTGAACAATCATGGTGTTATCAAGTTCAATTTCCTTAGAATAAAAAGACCCCGAATCAATATAGTCGTGTATTCTACAGTTTCTCACTTCATAGTTCACTTGTTCATCAATGTTGGACCAACGGAACCATTTTTGTACCTGGGAATCTTCATGTCCGCTCTTGTATCTTCTTGGGATGGGGGCATCTGCTATCCACTCCACCAAATCAAAAGATAGCCCGTAGCATAACCCGCCCATGAATGTATCTCCGACTAAGTATCCCCAGTAAGACATATTGCGGTTTGTATGTGACAAATCATACTCCATGCGATCCAAATGTAAATACGAATCATCATCTGCCTTTAACACAAAATCAAACTTATCCTCTTTCCTCTCTGCCATCGTTCTGAAGTATTCGTATGTTTTTCCTTCATTCATATTTTCTCTTGTCATGTTGATCCTCAAAATATCATTGTAATCATCTATTTCTTGTTGTAAGCTTTTGGGGATATGGTTAGCCACCATCACAAACTTATATTCTATGTTTTCTGGTTTGTATTGAAGATATGTGTCTCGAATCATTTGTCGACGCTCTGCTTTCTCTTTGGTTGTAAATATTCCAATAAATATTTTGGTATCATTGTATGTTTGCGCTCCATGAAAGGATGGCAGCGTGGTGGAAGAGCAATCCCACTTCAGCGGTCGGCCTAGATTGGGTGCACTTGTCTCGTGGAAAAAGAGGATGGTGCCAACAATCACTGTGACCAGTGCTGCTAACTTGAATACCAATAGTGATCGTGGAATAAGCATATTAAGATATGTGTAATAGTATGTAGTCTATGAATCGAAAGCTAATTTCTGGTTAGTGGTTCATCTGAAGGACATTATAAAGAATATCTTACCTTGTATTAGGGTTCTATCGCTTTGCGATTATATTAAGTGCCTTTTTTTATTATTATATTATTTGGTAAAGAGAAGAAAGAATACAAAATTTAGATCCTTTGAGAATAAATTGGTTTACAAAAAATCCGGGAGTGAAGGAGTAATATTGGTGTACAACATACTAAAAACGGTTTTCATTGGATGCTAAGCGAAGATCTTATATATAAATATATATTATAGACGTAATACATATCCAACATATGTGCAACGTTCGCCTTCTGTATTACGAGCTAAATGATAATTTGTCTCACTAATGTTATTTTTAAGCTTCTATTTCTAGTCACCGCACACCAGCTAAAGAAGGGCGGATTTCTAACAGGTGGGGTACGGCAATTTCCTTTTTAAGTTGAAGGCACTATTTTAGAATTTCGAGGGCTCTATTACAAACCAATATTTCGTACTCTTCTTCTTTTTTAATACCACAGCACATGTGTCAACCATCGTTTTAGCCAAAAAAAACCTTTTGATCTTTAATAAAAAAGGAGCTTCAAAAATGGTTTATTTTTGCTCCGCTAAATCTGTAAATTTTGCCGATCCCTCTGCAAATAAATCTCCTGCCTCTCATTCAGGGACAGCAACATTATCAATGAAATTCAAAATATAAAACATGTATCTTCACTGAAAAACTTGGTGTTATTCATATTTTGTCCTATTTAGCGCTTATCTATAAAAAATTTGGTGGAAACATAAGGTGTTTTTTTGTTCATTAAGCCGAGGATCCAAAGGTAAATCATTATAAAAAACATTTAAAACTCAATTACTGCTCAAAGAAAAAACCCTTAAAAAGTTTGCTTTTCCCGATTCGTGCAAGCATTTTATTATTTATATTATGTGCTCATAACGAAAAGATCAAACGCTCGACCAAGATTTCACAACACATTTGAAATATTATATGGAATCCTATTGTGCCCGGGAAGGATTTATTTTGTGTAATGAGTGGAAGACGGAGAATTCCAGATGCGTGGCATTGTAATAAAACCTAGACAATAGTTGGAGCCGTTCATCCTCGTGCTATATATGTACGATAAAATTGATCTTGATCGGGTATTCTTGATTAAAAATTCTCGTATTATATTTAAACCAAAAGATTATATATAAGCCTTTTGGCGGTTGATTTAAACCTTGCCCACATTTTGTGATCAAAATACTACAAAAAACAAAATAAGATTGGGTCGAAAAATGGCCAATTCGTCTATAGGAATATAGTTGACAATCCTTAATTAAAATTCGAACATCAAGTAAATGCATTCACAGTGCCTTAATCTTACCCAATAAAGAGACAAATATAGGGATACAGAAACTGTCACATAGTTGCTAAGCGCCTCAAGTCACATCATCAGATGGGGCGAAATACAATTTGAATTTACACAAAATTATAAGTTGCATTTGCTTAGCCGTATTTTTTTAATGATTCTCATATAAACCAAATCAGGGCAATTATCCAAGCGTCTTTGTTGTCCAAGAAAAAAATTATACAACGTTACATATATTTTCTGAGCACTTGTGTGTCGCTCAACAAAGAGATACCATTTAAGTCGCTCACAAGTTAATTTCCAAAAAAAATAAGAATCATGTGTAACTTCCAGAAATATGTTTTGGTCATTTTAAAGTTCTCGTTGCTATAAAGCTCAAAAGTGAAAGTTTCAATCTATTTCATCAAATTTAAATCCCAATATACAAGTCTGTGGGGATCGATGCAATGTGGATAAAATAAGTTCGTTCCTTATTTTTCTCGCCCACAAAGTTTACTTTCTAGAACATTTGAAATTAAAAAGCTATACTAGCTTGGATTTACGGGTCATACGAGATCGATTTATTCGAATCCAGGTGAAGCTAAATAAAATGTAACTTCATCATTCAGAACTACGTCATGTTCAGATGTATTATTCTCCGTTTTAACATTTTTTTTTTTAGATTGTTCCTAAAAGTCGGAGCAAAGCCCAGATTCACTGGGACGTCAAAAAAATACTTAATGCATGCATGGTTTGTGGTGATGGAGTGGCTCATAACGTGAATGAGCTACTGCTGTACATAACTTTGGTCCGAAACACTTTTTACCAGGATTAAGAAAAAAGCCTTCTTTGATTGAGTCTTTGCGTTTCTTGATCACCTCTAAAAATGCACATAACGCTAACCGGCAAAAAAAAAAAAAATAAGAGAAAGAGAGAGAATGATAAACTAGCTTGTGATTTTAGTATTTGTGGCGTTGATAAATGTCATCAGAATATTTGATAGATCATTTTCAGAATATACGACAAGATTTAATATTCGTCAGTTTAAGACTAAGAGTTAAGCTTTTACGCGGGTGTGGTTCTGACGATTAATTTATGCAACTAGCGTTACTTACTGGACTTATTAGACAATAACATATAAATTAGAAAGATAAATCTAGTTTGTACTTGACAATCAAGTGGTTGACAGCAATGCTTTAATAGTCATAGCAATGTTGTATACAATCATATTATAACCTTATTTTTGGAACTTGTTGTGAATTTGGACCAGCTTATCTAAGAATTTCCAACAATTGATTTTGATCTCTACTGATTTTTAGAGTTTTGTGCCGATGAATGTTTCATTTCTATTTAGCTCACGTAAGTTACTGATCAAACTATTTTTGTTGTACTTTTTCAGAAGCTTCTCCGTATTTTTTTTTTTTTTTTTTTTTTTTTTTTTTTCATTAATTGTTATATGATCGTGTACAACAACTTATAGTTCAATAAAAACGGCAATATGAACGTATCAGGGATTAAAATAATTTCATACTTTAATTTTAATATGTATCAGTCTTAATACTTATTTCCATCAGATAGGTTTTTCTTAATAGCCGATGGTAGCTGGTCATGAGCCAGATGAACAAAGTAAAAAACAAAAATCATGAAAAAGGAGGCTACTATTTATACTAATTGCGTAGACAGCTCAGTATTCTAGCCAATCAGCTTGATTGGAATGGGCACTGCCTGTGAAGGACATTAAAGACAATAGTTTTTCGTAAATAATAGCCTTTCCAAAGGTCAATCATTTAAATTTATCTACATCCGACTATTACCTGCTTGTTTGAAGATGGTACATTTATATATGACACTCCCTGCGTATTTTTTAATGCAACACATTTTTAATGCAACACATGAGTCTACCACTTTTCTATGGGAAATAGTATCTGAAATGAAGTTACTTTTAGTTATATTGCATGGTTAGAATACAACTTAAAGTGTGGTCTTTGAATGTGAAAAAAAACGAAAATGGCACTTGAAGTTAAACGCGAATGCTTTACTTTAAATATATATTTAATTATTCAGGATATACCTATGTATTCTTCGTTTAGGTTAAAACTAGCTGAGCCAGGCGCTTGGAACAGAAGTCGCGTCTATTTTGAAAACACGGTACGTGTGACGTTGATTTAATTCAATTTTTTATCACAAAAAGGACCTGTTTCGTTCTCAAACTATTTTTTTAACACGTTGAACACAATAATGACGAAGAGAAGTAGTCCCAAAAAAGCTGCACCAGAGAATGAGACCAACAGTAATATTTTAGAGGAATCAAAAATGACGAAGGCTGCCGCACTTTCGTCTTTAAACAGCCTTGTACCTCAAATATTCATGGATGCTCAAAAACCTAACCAACATTTAAGAAGTGATTCTATTCGTTTAAGAGACATCCAATTGGCATGTTGTTTGAATTCCCCACGTTTAATTGGTGTACGAGAAGATATTGATTATGAAGGCGAAGAGGCATTCGTAAAAGAGATCTTTAGAAACATCAATAAGGCATTGAACATTAGAAGAAAGGAACCTCATGCTGACCGAATTGTCCGGTTCATTGCAGGATTTTTACAATACAACCAACAAAGAGGTAAATGCTCGCGAGAAAATTGTGTAAAAACACGACTTTAACCAGCAACAATTTAGATGTCACGGCAAAACAAGCGTTAGCTAAACTCAAAGGGCATAAAATTCAATCAGAAGCCGAACCAAAAATCAACGACGACAACGCCGAAGACGATATCACTGAAGAGAATGACAATAACCAACAGGTGGATGAAAATATGGAAGACGACCCAATGATTGAAGATGATGTATATGCGGATATTCCCTTAGCTTTGGAAACTGAAGTTATAGAAACCGAAGTTTCAGAAGAAGCCAGTGAAGATCAAGAAGAGGGAAATATGAAAAATAATCTAGAAGCTAATGAGGAAGAGGAAGATGACGATGAAGAGGATATTGAGACTGTCAGTTCAAGACTTGTGGAAAAGCTCTTGAGGCATTTATTAAGAGGGTTCACGGCTAAACTCAATAACGTGCGTACCCGCTGCTGTCAAATTGTTGCTCTTAGTATTGGATCGATGGGCGAAATTGAGTAAGTTTGTTAAATCCTAAAGTTGATTGAAGTGTCACTCAATTTTTTTGGGGATTTATAGTGAGGATCTTTATCAAGACTTAAAAACTGCATTATTTGAACGAATCATTGACAAAGAGGCTTCCGTCAGAATTCAAGCCGCAACCACCCTTTGTCGTTTACAGAGTGCGGATGCGGATTTGGATCCAATTGATAACAAGACGATCTTTCAAAAACTGATGTGGTCGTTAGAACATGATACAAGCGCGTAAGTTTCTTAAAATTGATACTTTGTGGATGGAGACTTATTTTTTATCTTCATTTCAATTTTTATGTTTTTTATTTTTTTGGGAAATGATAGTGAAGTGCGACGAGTTATTTTGTTCAACATCGACCCAGTGGAAGAGGCTTTACCTTACATCGTTGGAAGAGCTAGGGATCCCGACGCTACCAATCGTCGAATTGTATATCTGAAACCCTTATCAGATATACAAGATTTTAGAATGCTTAGCTTTGATGATCGAAACAAAATCTTAAAATGGGGGTTGAGTGACCGTAACAATCTTGTCAAAAAAGCAGCTACCACTATGCTTTCGGAAAAATGGATTGGACATGCAAACAACAATCTTATTGAGTTTTTAGAGCGCTTAGAAATCATGAATCCTGAAGTTACTGAAATTGCAGAAGGCGTTTTTAATGCATTCTTTACTGCAAGGACGGATATCGTGAACGAGATTACTTTTGATGGTAAGAAGAAAATATCATGTAAATTGTATTGAAATTAACAGTCATTAGCCGAGTTATGGACTAACTTGACACCCGAAAGTGCTTTTTTGGCCAAGGCGTTGATCAAGTTTTTACAAAAGGATGAAAGTTTAGGCGAGAGATTAGATAGTATTTTACCTGAAGTCACACGACATGCGTTTAATTTAAAGTACTATAATGATCTGTACCGTTCATCACCTCAAGAAACCTCAAATGAGTACGAATTCATCACCAGTCAAATGTTAGAAACTGCATTATATTTGGATTATGCCGATGAAGTCGGAAGAAGAAAAATGTTTGAACTGTTACGAGAGATATTGAAAGCGTGTGAGCTATCGGATGATCATCTTTCAAAAGTTGTTCAAATATTTCGTCTAATTTCTTTGGATGAGCGCGATTTCACAAGAACCATTATCGAAATTATATCAGATATTCAGGAACAAATGGAACCGCCACTAGATTTGGAGGAGGCTCCTGCAAAGCGATCACGATTGGATGAATCTCTTTCTACACAAAGTACTGAGGAGTCTGAATCTATAACCGCTACTAGTGAAATATCAGATATGAAAATTCTTGTCATCAGACTTCGATGTCTTAGTATTTGTAAAAGAATGCTTGAAAACAGTCAAGAGGTATAACAATTTCTATAAGCATATTTTCAATTTTCAATTTTTTCTTATAATTTGTTGATAGTCATTAATTGAAAACTCCAACTTGTACGGTTTGCTGAACGATTTGATTGTACCAGCCGTTCAGACTTCAGATGCTGTTTTACGCGAAGAAGGATTACATTGTCTAGGTCTATGTTGTACATTAGATAAGGCACTTGCTCAGTACAACATTGCCCTATTTTTGCAATGTATCAAAAGTGGTCACGAGGAATTAATGAAAAAGGCCATCATGATCTTATTTGATTTGATGATGACATATGGCGTCCAAAGTCTAACTGCGCAAGGTTCCAATGTAAGTGGGCATAGGTGATAAAATTAGAGTACAACTAACGTGATTATTCTTTTAGCCTGATGAAATTAGAGAGGTATTTGAATTCTGCTTAGATCATGATAGTCCTGAAATCCAATCGATCACGACTATAGGTTTAGCTAAATTGATGCTCGCAAAAAGATTCCATGATGACGAGGTAAACCCTACAAATACAGAATAGGTCCCAAAACTCTAATTAATTTTTAGATTTTGCGTCTCATGATACTTTTATACTTCTTTCCAACCGTGGAACCTGTAAATAACAAGATCCAACAATGTCTAACTTATTTTTTCCCAGCCTACTGTTACTCCTCAGCAGACCATCAAAAGTTTTTTTCTAATGTCACCATTCCAGCTTTAGAAGAACTTTGCAATACACATATGGATTTACAAGAAGACGAAATAATGGTGAATCCTAGTCAGATTGCCGATATGTTAGCCGATTGGACAGATCCCCGTAAACTTGCAAAGTAAAACAAAAAGAAAAAGAAAAAGAGTCTGTTTTAGATACACAAGCTAACTTGTATTATTTATAATAGTTTGCATTTAAAAGATTTTTCAACAGATAACGAGAAGCCATCCGATATACCAGGTTGTCTTGCTATCGAAGCATTGAATATAATCCACACCGAACGCACAGGTTTAAAGAGAAAGACCATGGCTCACTTTTTGTTGAAGTTACCCTTGGAAAAATTGGATTTAACACAACTTTTGGAAATCCAAAGATTGATTAACTCTATCAACACTGTAATTAAAAAAAAAGGAGTATATATATTTTGTTGTTTCTGACAGGTTTTTTTTTTCTATCTTGTAGGATTGTCCAATCAAAGAATATGCAACCCGTAATGCCGTGACAAAATTATTAAATACGATTAACATTGCCATTGAAGACGGAGAAAGTATTTCGGGGACGCGACGTAACTCCAAACAGCCTACACCACAAATAGAAAGTAGACAGCAAAGTCCAATGGACGATACATCACCGATTCCTATTGAAGACGCGCCACAAAATCCACGCCCTGCGGTAAAAAGCCCACAAAAAGATGCAGAAAGCGGCTCAGAAAGTGAAGTTGAAGCTGAACCAGAAAAAGAACAGGAAAGTGAGCCTGATAATGAAGCGGAAAGTGGGCCTGAAAACGAAGCAGAAAGTGTGTCCCAAAGCGAATCTGAAAGTGAGGAGGAAAGCGACGAGGAAAGTGAGTTTGAATATCCATAAGCCAATAAAAAGTGAACTAGCTAGTTCGTATCCTAGGTTAAAAAATCAGATACAGTTTTTTTTTTTTTTTTTTTTTTTTTTTTTTTTTCCTCTTCTTCTTCTTGCATTTAGAATCGATTCTGCATGAAATTTTTTCGTAGAAAACTCGTTCCAAAGATAATGCAGAAAATTACACATAAAGAAACCCGAGAAGAGATAAACAATCATCTGATGAGTCTATCAAGCCGCAGTATAGAAGTTCTGGTTAATAGAAACTACTATGCGAGTAATGTGACTTGACGATGCTACTGTCGCAATCATAAAGTTCCGCGCATGTGGTTTTAATAATGGGTGCGCAGATACCACGATTCGGCGTAGAATCAAAACAAATGCTAGTGTAATTGAGTGTTAGAGCGTAACTACTCCAGCTGACCTACCCCATCAATGCGATTATCCAGTGTGATTATCTTACTAAATATAAACATACGCATAGAAGCATCATGCACCCTCTCGAAATCAATTATGTTATTGTTTATTAGTGCCCGATGCCCTCTGTGTAGCTTAATTTTCATAAGACCCGTAATAATTTTCTCCAGCACACCAAAAGAACATAATATAAAGTTCGCACTACAAAATTGAAGTTTTAGAGGTGTAGAATAAATGAAAGCTGCTAATTGCAAATTCGAACACATTATGGTAGGTCAAAATTTAGTGAATTGTTGAACAAAAAAAGGCGAGATTAATATGATCTTTTTTTTTTAAAAAAAAAAAGATTTAATGCTAAAGACTACCTCGAAATTGAAGAAACAAAAAGGAATAAAGTATATTAAATCAACGTTTAAGCAGGAAAAAATAGTGAAGTAGTGTTAATATAAATAAGCTATTCGTGAAAACTGTCATATTCTGGTCCGATTTCTTTTTTAAAAAAAATTAAAATCCTTGCAAAGGTGCATCGTTATATATTTGCGAGATGCACATATTATAGAGAGTTTTAAAAAACATTTAAATCTCCAAGTCAACTAGGTACAACACACTAATAGAAGCAGTTATACAAGTATTCAGGTAAACAGATATCTAAGTTTAACGATCTAAAAGTCAAAGTAACTACATACAGTTCAAATCTTTTAAAATATATGATGAAATAATTTATACATCTACCTTACAAATTGTTTTTGTTTATAATATTGGAAAAATAAAGAATAACCAGTTATCATTTGTAATAGTGATGGGCTGCCTTGCTTTTCTTAAAATTTATTACCATAGTTGTTCTGTGCAATGGCAGGAGAAAAACGCTCTAGCTCTTAGGGTAATGGTGGGGCTCATAGATACACATATCAGCTTGAGAAAGCCTTAAAATACATAAGCATGACTTTGGTGATACCATTGTTTACAAAGTTTGCATGCGCTTCCAAAAACAGTATCCACAGTAAATAAAAACGTTGGGGCATCCAGGTACCACGATTTAATTTATACAAAACTAAACTTGTCGTGATATCAAGTTAAGGTACATACAATTTGGCTTTATTCAAGTGATGTAATGCATATCCCAAAGAAAAAGAAAGAACCACTTTATATTACTGCGAATGCTAACCTTAATTCACGCCTTTGGGAAAAATTCCACCTGTCGGGCGTTAAAACAAGAGTTTTCTTTGTACCTCGATTTTGTGCAAAAGGACATGATTACAAAAATATTGTGCTAATTCAGGGTATACAAAAAATTCGATGTATTACATAATCGTCATAGTGATGCTATTACTTTACTAAGAGATTGTCGTTCTATATATATAAGAAATGTTTCTGTATCGCGAGGTTAGCATAATAGTTTACGCACAGTGCTTCGAGCGAACGTGCTGCAATCTATTTTTAACTACGATCGCTCTTATTCCTTATAATTACAAATGTTTACTATAAAATGAAAAAAAAAACTAGATATTTATCTAATTAAGCCAATCAGCACCAAGGTACCTCCCAGAACATCCCCAAACATACTGACGCCTTTTAAACTCGTGATTTTCTCGCAAAACGATATGATATGACCTGAAAGGGCTCAAAAGTTATAAATTTAAAACTGACAATTGAATGGCATCTTTTATGATATCATTTCTATATTCGAAATTCTAAAGTGTTCTCACAGTTTTTATTATTAGGCAAAATGGATCACACGTATTTTATTATCTCGATCGTGTAAAGATACACACACCAATCAAATTCTTTTTAGTTCTTTGTCACTCGATGCATGTAGGTAAATCATCGACACACACATTTGATTTTGGAAATAATGGTAAGGATATTCAGAATGACCAGCGATGAACGAAGTTTAGTACCCAAAAAGTGAGATCATTGACGTCCTACGGAATCTCGATGGTCATGCCAACTGTACCGCTCCGTTGGTTTTTATCAATGTAAAGTTAACTGCTGATGAATAGAAACCAAAAGAAGAAACAGGTATTAATATCTTGGAGGATAAAAAAACTTGTATTGTCTAATTATTGTTTGCTTAAGACATTACTATGAAAATTTTGTGGGGTCAAACAAAACATCGTTTATAATTATTGTTATGACAGCCAAAATTACTGTGATTGTAAAAGTTTGTGGACCCAAATAAAGTATTACTTTCCCAAACCAGACTCAACTGGGTGTCCTTTTTTTTTTACAAAAAATAAGTTGATTGACTGGTTTCAATTGGTCTAGCAGTGATAAGTTTAATTCTAAAGTATTGGCTCTTTTATCAGCTTGTTATTTAGACTTCATTGAACTTTTTCAGTTCGGCATTGGCACAAATATGTGTAAAGAGGCACATTTTTGCATGCATGATATCCTTCTTGGCTTTTTTTTGTATTACCGTACATGTGATCGTTAATCTCTAATCTCTTCTCTTAGTATGATATCAAAACAGCCACAATTTATAGCAATATTAACTTTAAAAGTTTTACAGTAAACTAATCAAAACCCCAAATTTGATGAAATTTAAACAGAAAACAAGCTATAAATTTTATCATTATAAAATAATGGGCGTAATATAAAGACCGGGTACCTATTGTATATATTAAACTCCTTTGAAGTAATCAAGCTAGTTGTGCTACTATATGATGATTGCTTTACTCTATAATTTGTTCACCTTTTACAATGGCAGACAATTGTCACTATATAGTGTTACATTAGTAATGATGAGCCTGGTTATACCAGGATGACGAATTAATAATCATTGTATAATCTCTTAGCGTCATGTATACGTGTAATGTATAGTTTCAAAGCTAACTCATACTAATAAAAAAAAATAGGAGTAATAGGGTCCAGATCTTCATTGAAGGAAGGAGAAATGAGGCTGAATTTGATATATGAAATATGAAAGAACAATAGATGCAGATAGCAAAATCCTGTTTACAATCAGACGAATGAATTGCAGACTATGGTACCGGTTTAAAGACAAATATTGGCTGACGTATTTTGATAATAGAAACCCAGTTGTAGGATATATCGTGACCATAAACTAACAGGGAAAAAAGGTCTTGGGGCGTTACACAGTCAAGAAATGACGAATATATCTCTTGCGCAAGTTATTAGGTTCTCCCGTCGCCCTCAAGTAAAATTTCAGCCCGATATTATGCATAAAGACGATGGTTGTATAGACGAATATTAAAGCGTAATTTTATATTTATTTTTGTAGTGTTTATATTCTATAATTATATTTGTTTAGAAAGGAAAAAGATAATGTAACTATCTTCATTCCCATGACTTTTTGTTGATATAAAACAGTGATACAACTTGATCAACTTTACATAAGAGAAATAAAAAACGCCTTTGGAGATAATTTAAATCATGCGGGTTTACTTCTTTTATATCGTTCCCCGAGTTAAAAAAAAAAAAAGTTGATCATGCAATAACCTATTATAGGAAAATCAATTTTTTTTTCTTTGGCCAAGTTCTAATGTGAACTAACCTGAAATGAAAGACATATATCCATACATGCGTAAACAGTAAGTTGTTGTTATGATTAATAAAATTTTAATAAGTATTCCATGTACATAATATGTATATTCCTATATAGGAGAATAGACGTTTCCAAGTAAATCTATATGAGATGTATTGGTCAGTGCGGCTCTGTATGTATATGTGAGCCATGTACTCCTCTATTACTACTTATAGGAACAGCACAAACCGTTTTTAAATCGGGAAAAAACAAAAAGAGAGATAGTGAAGAGGGGTGGTGATATCCTCTAACTTTGTGTATCCCTAAAATGGTCAGGGGTAGTTATTCCTATCATGCTTTTTTATTATTTAGTGGAACTAAAAAAAGTTTATAAAAGCAGCAAAATTTACTCTCGGTTTCTCTTCTTTTTTTTCTTTCTCTCTCTTTTTTTGTTTACACACAAATAAACATAATATACATATATATATACAAATGTCTTTGGGTCCATCACTTAGCTCTTCCTCTGCTGGCTTAATCCATCAATCTCTACTTTTTAATAAAAGTAGTCAGCAAGTTGTTAATAATATCAAATCACCACACTACACATCCTGCACGAATAACAACAATAAATTTTCTTACCGTACCTGTCCCATTTGCTCACAAAAACTTTTGGTTCGAATCAATGGCTCCTTTGTTTACAAATGGATCAGCACACATTTCTCTACACATCATCATGAATATATGCACGTCGTTGTTAATTTGCAAGAGTCATGATAGGATGAAACTAATTTCATCACCTTATTGTAAATACTTCATACCCCACCACACATCAAAAAAAAAATCTCATTCTTTCATATATACATACACATAAAAAAAAACTTCCTCTCCTTATTTACTTTATTATTCATATAAATAAAAAATATATACCTTTTAACAAAAATCGTCGCATGTTATCAAAAAAAAAAAAAAGTGACGCAGTAAATAAGATGTGTTGTACATGTCTAAAAAAAAATTGTTAAATAAATAGGCAAAAAATCAAGTGTATTAATTCTGTCTTGCTCATTCCTCAATGAATCGCCGGGATAATACTTCTCCAAGAAGATTTGGCATCTAAAAAAATAGCGGATACGCCCTTATTAGTAATATGTATTAATATTGTATTCATGCATAATATACTCGCAAACATACAAATAGTAAGGCCTTTTTAATCAGTGTAGCATTATATGTCACAAAGTACCACTTCAAATATAATAAGTTAAAGATAATTTATTGTGAAACTGATGGCAATATTTTTATTAAAACTCTGGTTCAAAATGAGAAAAGTAAGGGGATAATAGGCATACTCATAAAAATAAATGGACATGAAGGGCATTTTTCTAAATATTTCACTCAAATAAACTAGAGACAAGCTCATATATTCCACAGTCTACGATCAATATTCAAAAGAGTAGCAGGTATGCGTATCTTTTTGATACGTGATATACATTGAATGCTTTATTTTGAAAATGATTTACATTATACAGAGATGTTTTAGTAGGGCAAAGAACTTTATTATTATTATTTTGTCGTTCCCAACAATCCAAGTGAGGCCGATATCAAAAAGTCAAAATTGATGTAAAGGAATACCATACAACTAAAGCTGTTTAGAAGGCCTTCAAAGTACTTACTTATATTTGAATCCAATAATTGAGAATACGCACGTATAATATTAATAAGTACGCAAATTTATAAACAGAGAATTTGTTGAATAATGGCTTAAAACGATGGGTTGATATTTAGATTAATTTCAACCATTCAACGAAAACAACCTAGAGATATGGAGGCAGCTCTTTGAGCTAGATACTTAGATGAACTCTTAGGATAAGGCGCTCATTGGGTAGATAAATGGTTTGATTTAAGGATGTACTTTTCATAATCCAATAAGACTTCATTTGGAACGAGTATGCCTTTTTACTTTTAACATCTGTTATTTTTTTCTACTTCTGAATACTATGTATCATTTAAATTGATTCGACTAACGAGTGATAGACCTTGTAAGACACATATGTACATTTCACCTTCTAAACTTTATTTTATAAAACATGAAACACTGCGGTATTAGATTTTCTTTTCGTCTGTTGGATTTACAGCTTCATTGCTCTTGTATGCTGGAGGACTATCTGTAGATGTTGGGGGTAAATTAAATTGAGTTTGGAACTCGGCATACGATCGATGGGAAGAAATGGGCCGTTTTTGTAATGAAACACGTTTGTATAATTGATTATAGTAATCATCTGTTGATTTTTCATTTAGCTCTTCTTTTTTGAGAATCATATCTTGCTGGGTCTTTTGCAATAACAAGTCATGATCTGTTAAAAGGGTAGCATCATCACTACTATCTTCACTAGTAAGTAAATCATCTTCTTTGGTTAATGTATGGCGTTGGTCTGATGACTGCCATCCATCTACAGTTAATAATGCATCCATTAAAATCATATCACTGCTTTCATTTTCTTGTGTTTCATGTTTATTGTCCAATAAGTCAATCAAAAATTTTCCAAATCCAGCAATGAGAGCATTTTTTTCAGAGAATTCTTGTAACGCATTAAACCTCAAATAGAATGCTTCTTTCAAGATAAATCGTCTAAAATCAGTCGAAGATACATTTTCCTTGTCTTGTTCATTCTCTAGTTCAAAAAGGGTTGCTTCTAAATCATATAGTTTCTTTGATGCCGGGTTTGATTTTTTTAAATGTTTGATTCTCTCTTCTAATGATTGTTTCTTCTCCTTTAAATCATTTAACTCTAACTCTTTATCCTTCATAGACTTGATGGCTCGTCGATATAGCTGGTATCGATCATTATATTGTCTTTCGAGTTCTACTTGCTTATTTAAGAGCGTATAGAGTGCAGAGCCAACATCCTTTAATTTGTGAGTATCTTAACAGGCCTTTCTTTTTTGATAGATAAATAATTACTTCGATATCCTGACTATAATCGGCATCCTCTTTATTTTTTACCAGTTCCTCTTTAACCCAGTCTAGAAAAGCCTTGTTTGTTTCAGCGTGATGGTAGGTGTTCGTTCTCATGTTTGACAAGTCATCTCTTTCTTCAAACAACCATAGATTGAGTGCACGCGTGTCAGGGTTCTGTAACGGGTTGTTTTTAGCCACATGAGACTTGACATTGGTGGATAACTTTCCAATGTTGAATTGTAAATCTTTAAAGTTCATATTGAAAAAAAAAAATAAAAAAAAATAAAAAAGGAGGATTTATTTACACACGCACACACACACACACAAAATTAATAGTCATAGTCATCTTCCATCCAACGTTCTTGCACGTCACTTACATCTTCATGATAGCCGGCTTTCATAGCAGTTAACATGATGGATTCGTTTCCTTCAGTAAGACCACCAAATACAAAGCCACCTGTTTTATCAATAACCTGTTGTAACCTTGTCATTGAATCCTTATCCTCGACACATAAAGTATAAAAGCCCACCAAAGAAAAGTCTTGAATAAGGTCACACAATGCCTCATTTAACTTCTTAAACTTGGATCCAAACGCATCTTCATTTAATGACTCTAACAGGTAGCTTAAATCCATAACATCTGTATAATATTGCAAATTAAACCCTATGAAAGTGAGAAAATTAATAATTGATACATGATTACATGCTCAGATTCCATCATACTTAATTTTCCATAAGACTCGATTAAATCTACCTTGGATAAAACATTGACATGAGGTAATTCAAGCTGGATCATCGTCTTTAGAGCCAGTAATAAAACTGAGATATACTTGGCGGGATCCGTACAATAATGAGCATCGACCATATTTACTGCAACAAGTCGATAATCGATTTTTTCCAATCCGTGCAAGATATCCTTGACTGCAGAATGATGTGTGAATAATTCGACTTGCCCAGGAAAATCAAACAACACATAATGATCCTCTAACTCTTTTAATTTGTCTGTAAGCCAATCCATATTCTTCAACAAGTATTCTACACAAAACATGATTCCTCCATTGGGACCTAAAGATAATTCATTCATTGTGTCTTCTAAGGTAATCAGGTCTGCAATGTTGATGGCACAGGGGTATGGTATATTATCATTGGCAGGATCTAAATTAACAATGGCAACCTTTCTTGAATAATAAAAAAAAAAGTGCTTAATAATACGTATAAAAGTTTTCAGACTTCCATTACCTTCCAATCGCTGTCAAGTATTGATAAGCACCCCAACAATAAGTAGTCTTTCCAGAACCAGGAGGTCCAACAATGACCTAAATATAGAAGTTAAGAAGAAGGCAACAGAGAAAAGGAGACTGTAATTTTACTTGTCCAAAAGGCATTTTTATTGTAAATGAAGAAAGAAGTAAAACAAAAAAGTTTTTTTTTGGGCCGGTATTTCAATTAGCAAATAATCATTTTATGCGCTAGCTCCAGTCCAACAGAGCATACATAATCCAAAATGTTTTTCTTGAATGATTTGGAAGTCCTAAATTTAACAATATGTATGATAGGTGCAATTCTACCATCACCAATAAGCACAAACACATTCTCTAATTCCTTCTCTTTCAAGCTTTTGGGATCTAACCAGCCAGGTGGATAATCTCTTTCTATTGGATCAAATGTCACAAAAGAGGTCTCGTCCAGTTTACTTTTGAAGTTTTCAATCGGATACCACTTATAGCTGACTGGATCAAGTAAATCAGAGGGTGAATATTTACCCTTATAGTTCATCTTTGGACAAGTATGGATATAAAAGCCTAAAATAATATGATCGAGTTAAATATATATGTATATATATACATATATGATTCGATCACTAACCCATATAATAATACTTCAAGTCAGAGAACTTCTTGTTGTATTCTTGCACGAGACATATCTCTCTAAACGCACTGTATTTTCCCAGTCCTAGAAATGAATAATCTGGATCATACATAAAGTAAACTGATGATATGCATTTGGGTAGAATATCAATTACTGCCAAAGCAATCAACTTTCCATCTACTGTATATTTTTGGTGAAATGATCCAAAATCACTTTCGTTATTGGTCTATACTCATTCGTGTTTTAGTATTTGTAGTAGTTTGACATATTATTGCTTTTTGCCTTTACCTTTAAGGGAGAATCAACTAAAAATCTAGTAAATCCGGATTCTGATACATCTTCTTCCAAGTCATGATGGATGCTCACTTGGTATTTGGCATACAGAGCAAATTTTTCTTTAGTGAATGATGATGGCTCCAACACAATCTGCTATCCGTCGTCAGTGAAGTAATTTTTTTTGAAGTGATTCCTTGATTTTTACCTCTAATTTATGTTCATTTACTTCCTGTTCTTCCGGCTCATGTATAGAGTCTTGCAATGACTTTACCTGCACATAATTCGCTGGTTTCTTCGCAGGAAGCTCTGCTTTACAATTTCCTATCACGTATCGATTAAATTTATGCAGAACTTTCTTTTGGTTTTTTGTCATATTGAATTTTGTCGCATCAAGTCTATTCTATCAGTTAATATCATCCATCCTCGTTTTTTTGTATTTGCTAATTACCTGATAGTATACTGTGGACAACAACTCTTTTCGAGATCAGGTTTATATAAATACTTTCCTGACCTAATCTTACGCGTTAGCCCAAATGTCTGTTAGAATATTGTTAATGTGTATACCTTCTCCACCCTCTATCAATTAAGTCTTGATAATCCTTGAATACACAAGAATGGGTGAAATATTAGATGGCGATAGAAAAAAACGTTTTAAGATGCTTACAGCACAAGTCATGGAATGAGCCCAAATACCAAACGATATTGAAGTGTCTTTTCCCTTACAATAACCACAATCATGTTTACTGGGGCCAGCAATCGACACCATGGATAAGCCATAGTTACTCATGTCTTCTTCTTCACTATCGCTACTTTGTCCGCTCATGTTAGTTGAAAATAAAACTGGCTTTCCGTCATTTTTTAAGACGGCCCATACTCTTGAATACACCATTTTTTTTGCCACTAATTTATTGTGACTGTAAAAAGACATTTTTGAGCACAGCTGTACCTGTCATTGAGCGGCATTGTTTTGAAATAAAGGTACCATCCACCTGAAAGATCAAGTAACTTCCTTGTATAAAGTGTTGTTTATAGTACTGACTTCTTTAATCGGGAAAAACTTAGCTAGTTGCCGCATCTACCAATATGTTCACCAGATGAACACAAGATTTTAAAAACATGTCTTTTTTTTTAAATATGCAGAATGTATGTGGTTGCTTACCATCCGTGTACAATACTAAACGAGAGTGTGTAGCTCATGATCTTCAGCTTTTTTTCAATGATATTAGCAAAGGCAAGAACATCAACATGGTTTTCATATTGAATGAAGGAGAATATTATGGGCTACTAACCAAGTGTCACTCATAATATACCAGGACACATACTATTCTAAAGGCATTTACCAGTTACATTTTTGTAATTGTACGACAATTACTTTAATTACCTTCATAATTTTCCAGTCGAAGCCAGTGAATGGATCTTGCTTACACTTGAATGAGCTCGGCGCTTTAAAATAAGAAAGCCCGCGCATGATTTTTACCACAGTGTAACGCATCTCATTTAAGACCATGAGGTCATATTTTCCTTAATTCCAAAAACTGGGTATCTTTTGGGGGGAAAGTCTTGCCTGCATTTTAATAAATAATTGTAAATCATGCGGTGTTTCGTTGTCAATCTTATTCGACATTGCACTATTTTAACTCATATGAGGCCCGGGGTTCTTTTAGGTTTTTTCTATTGACTGAATTTTCCTTTGGGGAAACTCACAAGAATGACCAGTACTCTACTTAGAGTATTATTGCTGCTATGCGATGTTGTTGTCATTCTAATTGGGTTCCATTTTTTTTAAAAAAATTAGATATAGCTTTTTTGCAAAAAATAATCCTTCATTATGTTTAGTTATACCTCATGCAAATAACCTTCTTTAGATTAATCACCGTTCCATAAAGTTAATGGTTATGCTTTCTGTTTGATTTTTGAAATGACTGAGAGAGCTCTGTTTTGAGTTTAAAGTCCAAGGAAAGTATAAGTTATATTAGTTGTAAATCCACAAAAGAGAATAGGGAGGAGTGGAGAGTTGTGGACCAACATTTTTATGCTGCATATAACCTTATATCTGGGAATATAGAAAGTGTCACATACATAAAGACATCTTCCTTGTATACAGCTTCTTAATTTTGGACATATTACGCAAGAACATTTGTTAGAGTCCTACTAAAATGTAACCGATTAATATCACTTTTTTTAAAAAAATATGATATATGCAAACCGTCGTAGTAATAAAAAATTGATTTTTATAAGTGTTATTCAAGATACGGAACCTTGGAAATGGTTCATTTTATACAAGAGCACTTGTTTTTTGAAATAATGAAAACTTTCTGGGTGGTTTAAGGAATCCTCGCAAAAAATATAAGTCTTTGTATGGATTGCCTATTGGTAAATGGATCAAGATTTTTTACTGATAAAAAATACAATCTGGATAAATTGTGATAAAAACAATTAATAGCTTTACATTGCAAAAAAAAAAAAAAAAAAAAAAAAAAAAAAAAAAAAAAAAAAAAAGTCGTATCTTATAACTTGGCCTCTGTATTAAACGTCATATTACATTATATAAACTGAATTGTTGCTTTTAGCAATACACTAATAATCAAAGTTGTCACAATGAGTCTCAGTACGCATGTGCACAACTTTTCATTTTAAGCAAATGTTTGTTATTGAATGGACATTCCTTTTTTGGAAAACCTTAAAAAAATAATGAACCCACATTTTATATAAGCATCTACGATTCCTAAGTTTTTTATGTTGCATTCACCAACTTATCCATATACTACAATGTTTCCTTATAAAGAAGATGAATTCCTCTATACCGATGCTCTTGACCTCAAATACGCTGAGACTGAAGCAGTAGCTGCTAAACATCACGCAAAACAAAGTAGGTATTTTTCGTGTTCATGTCGTACAAATACTTATTCAGAATAAATAGCTGTTATCAACATGACATTTGACACGGTGGAAGATGTCGCCGGTTTTACAAGTGCTGTCTTCAAAGGTGAAAAAGAGAAAGTTTATATGGTAGAACCTAATTTTCTCAATCCAAGGAAGACAGGTGAATTATTCAAAGACTATAGCGCAACCTGTGTTATAATGTAACTTTTTATTTATTATTATTATTTCTTCGTGCCTGTGCAACTTTTTCTTACTACTTTTACTAAAACAATAACATTCAATAATAAATATATACCTTCTTATCTTCATTTTTTCTTTTCTTTTTTTTTTTTTCTTTTTTTTTTTAAAGAAACCAATATACGTGCATACATATTTATAGACATGGATTATCATAGGTATTATCAAAATGATGTTTTGAGCGAAAGTAATTATTACCCCAGCCCATTGCAGACACAACATCGGCGCCACAACGGAGAAAAAGGGAAAATTCACAGTCTAGATCTGCAATATGAAGGATCTCCAACCGGATATTACGATGGATACCGACGGTCATCACTTTATGGAGGTGAGCAAGAATACTCCAATCGATATTTGGTAGCATCACCAGAACATTATCATAATCATAATGTACCAATAATAAAAAAGAGAAGAAACAAGCAAAAGGTATATATTTTTGCGATTTGTTTCTGTATGTATCATCTAACTCATATTGAATAGAACCGCAATTTTCCTGTCACTCCTGAAGACGAAAAAAGACATTTTGTTTATAGTAAGGATGCAGAAGACAACAACCAAATGCACACGTACCACAATAATGGAACAGGAGACTCCCTTATTCATGCAAAAGAAGAAGAAGAAGAGGAAGAAGAAGAAGACACTGCAACGCATATAAATACCCTAATCAATTCTGAATCCAGGATGGTTGATGCAGTAGCCGATGACAATCTTGATGTAACAGCAGTAAAAATCAATTTGGACCAAGAAAAATTTAATCAAAAGAAGCAAAAATGGTATACAAATATGGCACTTGGTTTCGTGAAGAAAGTGAAAACCCTTAAAAAGAAAGAGGTCAAACAGGAACCCTTAAAACAGCAGCCTGCAATTCAAGTCATTAGTGCTTTAGACAATGAATTATTGGGAGATGTGCTTGATGCAGATCAGCAAAAAAAAATAGTCACGCAATTATCATCTTCATCGCCTATGTCTACCTCATTTAATATGTGTCCTGAAAAAGCCAAGGTTACAAACTTGCCGAGAATATGGGTGTTTAGATTATTAGCAGACGCTCCAGAGGAAAATCAACCTATCGCTTGGATCGGATTTGATTATGAAAATCAAGTAAAAATCGAAAATCATATCAAGGAATTACCAGACAGACCAGAGGATGGCAGATTGGCAATATATGATTCCCATGTTAGGCATGGCAAAATGCCAGTTATTGTCACACCAAACCATACAAAAGGATATTATTTCGCGGATGAAGAACAGTCAAAATTGATCACCTTAGAAGTCACTTTTATCGAGAATAACCATGAAAAAGTGACATTTGTTTATAGAGTTTAATCTTTTTTTTTTTTTTTCGTTTCAATAAAATAAAAAAATTATGATTCCTCTAGACTTGTTAGCTTTTAACATTAGAGATGCATTCCAGGGAGAAAAGGTCTCTTATTTTCTTAATTTCAATTTGAAATGAAAAAAGAAAACTCATGACATAAGTTTCTAGTTCAATACAGCATTAAGTTGGTTACCAGAAGAAGAACACGAGTCAGTATTGCGTTTCAAACATGACAGGGATCGACATCTGGCCTTAGGCAGTCGTTTATTACGGCGACATTACTTCTCTGGTCGTTTAAATGTAGCATGGGCTAGTCTCGAATTCGAACAACTACCTTTATGTAAACCAACCTTGGTATGTGGTATATGCACAAGGGAAATGATGTATTTATAAATATTACAGAAAAATGAACAGATCGATTATAATATATCCCATCAAGGAAACTGGGTTATTTTTGGAGCAACAACGAAAAATGCTATGAAGATTGGGATTGATGCTGTGACCGTCGATCGCCCTAACTCTTCCTCGATCGATGATTTTGTAAAATGTTTCCTTCCACAGGTAAATCACACATATTCAAATAAAATCAAAACTTATCCCTTACTAGCTTACAGATAAAGAGGTTGAATTGATCATGAATAATCAGGATGAAGATACAAAGTTGGCGACATTTTTTGAGCTATGGGGATGTAAAGAAAGTTACGTAAAGGCGCTTGGTGTCGGTCTTTCATTAGAATTGAATAAAATAGACTTTAGAAATGACCATAACCAGGTATGAATAACAACAAAAAAATAACAATTAAACAATAACTCACTTTTTCTCAGATCAAGATGAATTTCGAGGGAAACCCATCAGATTCCTGGCTTTTCCACTTGAGTTATCTGGACAATAACACATTGGCTGTAGTTTGTTATGGAAAAGAAGACGTAAATCATAAATTAGACTCTAAATTACTCTCGTTTGCTTCTACTACCCAACTCCTTGGGCAAAGACCCTTACATGCCATGACCAATGATATATTCGAACAGGTTAGATACGAAGATATCGAGAACGATAAACGTTAGTCGCGCAATTAGAAAATCAATCAATCACGTGTGGGAATAAACTCTCCTTTATACATTTTACTAAATAAATGGCAAAGAATAATCGAATTCTCTCTTTCTCTTTACAAAATACGGAAATAGAATATGGGTTGCTGTTCATCTAGTCTGGTTGACCAAGACTTGCTAGCAACATCCACAAATGACGATCGTTCGACCATACCTAGTGCTTATAATAATAAAAGTAGACCATTTAAAAGAGTTGGCTTAATGTGGACTTCAGATATACCTATAACGGAGACTCAGCTAGAAGAAAAGAGATTTTCCTATTGGGAATCTGCACCTACTTATGGGGTATGCTACACTTAACGTCATGCATCCTTACAAATATTTACAATTATCTTTAGGGTAGAATTGAGATTTGGCAAGCTTTACAGGCGGCCTTTTCGGAAACAGATGTACTAATGGCAAGATCTATTTTAGAGGCTGCCAATGTATTATTACCTACGGGAAATCCTTGTGAGGGTTGCTTTGATGGTAAAATATTATGCACGACAATATTAAAAATAAGACTAACGGATAATATAGAGCTTGGAAATGAATATAATATACCAATCTACTGTGTAGTACCACCTGTAAATTTACGCTACAATGATGAAGAAGGCCGTTTTACTTTGCCTGACAACAAAAACGACTCTTCAGATTCAATAACTCGACATAGTATTTACTCCTCTAATCATTCTGAGCATCTAGTGCCTGCACCGGATTGCTCTTCAAGCCCATTTAAAATTATCGTTAGATTATCGACAGAAAAAGACATTCAGTTAACAATAAGCTCAGAGCATGAAACAATTGGCTCTTTAAAGACTCGTATTTACAATGCTAAGGATTCAGCCGTCGATTCGGACACTCATTTCTTGAGACTCATCTATCTTGGAAAAATTTTAAGAGATAACTTATCAATCATTTGTGAACAAGTTGAAGTAGAAGATGCTTTTTCAATTCATGGATCAGTAAGAATAGAAGCTGATTGTATTATTCAAGCCTTAGTTGCTATGAAGCGAATTAATTAGTTTACCCCAGCTTTTTTCTTTTTTTTTTTTTTTTTTTTTTTTTAATAATAAATTATGCTCAATATAGGCATATCAGTGACACAAAAGACAGATTTGGTTTTGTTTTGGACCCTTCGCGGCAATTTATTTAAAAAGTAATGTAATATTTACAAATGGTATAAGTTTAAGTCAAACTTAAGAGTTATAAGCCTTTTCAGCTTCACCCTTCTTAGCCTGGGCCTTGTTTTCCATTTGGGCAGCGGTGTCGCCAGTGAGAGCATTGTAAGCACCCTTGACAGAGCCAGCAACTTGATCAGAGACACCTGAGAGATAACCTTGGACGTTAGCAGCAGTTTCTTGAGCATTACCAGCATTGTTTTGAGCTTGGCCCTTGGCTTGGAGAGATTCGTTTCCTACGGCGCTTCCGGCAGTGTTCTTGACGTTACCAATGAATTGGTCTTTCTTGGCTTCGGTTCTTGATGGAGAGGACATTTTTAAGTAGATTGTTTTGTATTAAATAGATTAATGATGAGAAAAAATAGGAACGCTTCTTTGAGCAATGGCCTTTATATACTTTATTTCAACAATAGAAAATTGACGTCATGTCATCCTAAAAAGGATAACCGTCATGATGATTGCATTATTCATGAATTTAAAACTCAGGCTTTATTCAGTCAAAACGTCAATATTTTTTTTTGGTTAAAGTAAAATATATTCTATTTTATTCCATTAATGCTGATCTTTGCTCAAAATTCACGTCATATTTTAATCCGGGTACACTTATGTAAACCAATTCGGTACGTTAACTGTTTAACGCATCATTGGATTAGCCATTACCACTTTCACATGCTATTGGTAATAGGGCTCGACTCCCACTAACTTAACAATCGATAGAACAACACCATACTCCTAATGATATTTTTTACGTCCAAAAAAAAAACGCTCTTACTTTAAAAGTTATTTGGTCTATGATGGCCTATCGTCTTTATTTAATTGATTTTTGAATTATACCAACAACCATAAGGCAAATATAAAATTGCTAGAACAACTTACTCCAAGAATCCAGCTATAAATAATGATTAGGATTACCTTGGTTACCTGTTAACGTAAACCTTTTGCATAATTTTCTGTAAATTCACACTCCTACACCTCCTTTACATCCAAGTGCCGTATTTTTCGTAGACATTTTTTTCGTATCGCTTTACAGAAGCCAATAGCATACATATATTTTCTAGCTTTTCCAATCAACACATCAAGTTTTGTTAAGAAGATGTTGTCGAAAACAAGATAGCAGCATATTTTTTATAACTACTATGAACATTCTAATATGATAGTAATAACCACTTTGAAAAATATCTCAGCGCTTGATATCAGTAGAAAACCCCCATCTCCGCAGTAATTTGAGTTGTGGGGAATGAGTTCATCTCTGAGAATTTTTTTAGTCACAAACAACACACACACTGCTGTATCCTGACCATTAACTCAAATAATAACATGGTTTGACGTATCACAAATACCATCTACTCAGAAAACTTGGAAATTCTTCAAGACGTAAATTATTATGTTGGTATTCTTAAAAGAGAACAAAAATAGTGGACGCTCCACACACCAAGTAATCGACGATAATGTTTAAAGATGTGTTTAAAAAAATTCAAATTGTGAGATGGTATTGTTATTTATTTACAAAGTTTAAAAGAATTCATATCATATATTTTAAGAGTTAAAGGTCTTTTGGGCCTCACCCTTCTTTTCTTGGACCTTGTTACCGGCTTCAGCAGTGGTATCACCAGTGAGAGAATTGTAAGCACCCTTGACAGCACCTGCAACTTGATCAGCAGCACCTGCAACATAACCTTGGACGGTAGCAGCGGTTTCTTGGACAACACCGGCATTGTTTTGAGTCTTTCCCTTGGCTTCGAGAGATTCATTTCCTACGGCACTTCCGACATTTTCCTTGACACCACCAACGAATTGGTCTTTCTTAGCTTCGGTTCTTGATGGAGAGGACATTTTGAGTAGATTGTTTTTTGTATTAAATTGATTTAATGATGAAAAAAAATTGAATTGTTTCTTTTAGGCTGTCCTTATATACTTAAAAAACTGTCGAAAAAATACTGATGTCATGCTCTGTCCAAAAAAGGATGATGAGAAAATCTGTGCGTCATTATCGCTTGTGGTTGAATCCCCGCGACGCTATGACCATCTTCCCCAGTCTTATGAAGTTATATTTTTGACAGCACCAATCAACATCAATCATGATGACATATTTTCAAAAATTAACAATAAAACATTTAGAAGTCCAATTAAAGAACACATCATTTAAAGCGTTAGGAGACTTATCACGCATTATTGAAGCTAGTGATCAATGACGAGATTTAATGGGATCAAATACCAGTTCCCTACATAACAGAAGTATAAAATACAATATTAATCTATAAGACAGTTTGATATATATAAGAATTAGTCCAGTTAATATCTCGCCCTCAAAGGAATAAAATAGTGTCGTCCGGTCAATAACAAAATTTCACCCAATCAGAAATAAGAAGTCGAACTCAATGCTTTCACATAAAATTAAACGAGTACGTCTGTGTTATCATTGAAACTTAATGGTTACTAATACCAAAGATTAATATTTAGGATCTATTAGGTTCCTATTCATTTTGACGGGAACTGAATTATTATGTGAGAGAATTAAGCTACCACAAACTACTGATACTCCACATTACCCCTAGACCATGATTAGAATGTATAGTAAATTTAATAAGTGTTAAACAAAGTAAGCATGTATGCATAGTATAATAATAAGAGAATAATAATGGTTTCGATATGGATGATGAGGAATTAATTAGTATTTCTGGATGTTAGGCATGATGAAATTATAGAAAACGTCAAACGATGCTTTCAGTATTCCAAATTATTTGGCCGTGATCGATCTTGTGTTGATTGCCTGATAGCATTCAGTACAGAGAGATCCAATGCATTGGCAGTGGCACCAGCCATTACCTCCTCCTTGTTCAAGTTACCCCCAGAACATTTATCATGCAAGTGTACAAGATCATCAAGGTTTCTTCGAGTGGTGAAAGCATCTAGTTGATGAACACTTTTTGGAAAATCTATGGTTAAAACCTCGATCATTGCAGTAATGTTGGTTTCAGGAATAGGCGCCGTCATGTAACTTTTTTGTTCTGTATATAAAACAAATAAATCATCCGCCGTGAGTCTAGAAAAAATTTAATGAAATGGCATATGAATAGTATCTCATTCTTAATTCACTGAAATAACATAATGAGTGAGCTAATATAAATACGTTTTATGACACCATCAATAAACCTTGATCTGCCCTTCTGCTAAATATTACTCAAAAATTATAGCATTCTCGGCTTGCTACCTTGCAACGTGGTACTCACTTAAACTATACAATTACATTAAACATATTCTATTATTAGACGTAAACTTTCCTGGACGTATTTGCAGTGAGACTTTATCAATAGCATTGTTAGTAAACGATTGTGATTACGAAGAGACGCTTGTTTGACGTGTCTATAAGAGTAATTCGCTCACTCAAGATGAGTTCTATTTCGATTATATAGATGACAATAACATTTGGAGACAATTTGTCTCAATCATCGCCGTATTATTTATTATCTTACTCCAGCGACGGTTTTCTTAAAGACAAACCAATTTTTCTTGGATAATTGGGTGTAAGTAGTCATCGCAAAGGATCGGACACCAAGAGGTCAATTCCATTTCTTGCCTTGAACAAATTTAAATTTGTTAAAATAAACATACGCTAATCGTGTAAATGGGTAATTTCTAGCTTACTTTCAACGTCTCGTTTAGACTTTGCCCTAGTATTCTTGCTCATGCTTAGGATCGAACGAGCGCAAAAGTGAAATAGCAGTGATAGAATTGTCAGAAGTATGAATATATGTTTAATTATAACCATTACATTGTTAATGATTGCATATTCCTATTTTCAAGTTTTAAGGACATCTAAGACACCCTATCTTTTGTTGTGGCTATGCGCACCTGAACTTTCCCCAAGAAAAACTTTTTTAGGACCGTGTTGAAACTTCAAGAAAACTTAAGTATATCATTGGTAGTTCAATCTGTTTGAAAGTATTACTACTATAAATACGAATGAAATACGAAAGCTATTGTATCGACTGGCTTTGCCCTTATCTTCTCTTTCCTTTTTTATTGATGCAAGTTCTCAAGTTCTCATTCCAGAAGATGACAAATTACTGTTGGTATTATTTCATTAGAAATCACCATTTGAACATATACGTCAATTTTTTCTTTCAATTTTATATTTCGAAGCACCATCACACACACACACACACACACACACACACACTTTGTTGTAGCATTCGGTCAGATACCCATATACAATATTTATAGCAAGATTAATATAAAAAAAAATTCAAATTGTGAATTGGTATTGTTATTTATTTACAGAGTTTAAAAGAATTCATATCATATATTTTAAGAGTTGAAGGTCTTTTGGGCCTCACCCTTCTTTTCTTGAACCTTGTTACCGGCTTCAGCAGTGGTATCACCAGTAAGAGAGTTGTAAGCACCCTTAACAGCACCTGCAACTTGATCAGCAGCACCTGCAACATAACCTTGGACGGTAGCAGCGGTTTCTTGGACAACACCAGCATTGTTTTGAGTCTTTCCCTTGGCTTCGAGAGATTCGTTTCCTACAGCGCTTCCGACATTTTCCTTGACACCACCAACGAATTGGTCTTTCTTAGCTTCGGTTCTTGATGGAGAGGACATTTTGAGTAGATTGTTTTTTGTATTAAATTTATTTAATGATGAAAAAAAATCGGATTGATGCTTTAAGGCTGTCCTTATATACTTAAAAAAACTGTCGAAAAAATACTGATGTCATGTTCTGTCCAAAAAAGGATGATGAGAAAATCTGTGCGTCATTATTGCTTGTGTTTGAATCCCCGCGACGCTATGACCATCTTCCTCAGTCTTATGAAGTTATATTTTTGACAGCACCAATCAACATCAATCATGATGACATATTTTTCAAAAATTAACAATAACACATTTAGAAGTCCCATTAAAGAACACATCATTTAAAGCGCTAGGAAACTTATCACGCATTGTTGAAGCTATTGATCAATGACGAGATTCAAAGGGATCAAATACCAGTTCCCTACACAGCAGAAGTCTAAAATACAGTAGTAATCCATAAGACAGTTTGATATATATGCATTAGTCCTAATTTTATACGGAAACTAGAATGTGTTTACACAGTTAATATCTCGTCCTCAAAGTAATAAAATTTCGTCCGGTCTGTAACAAAATTTCGCCCAATCAGAACGGTAAAGTCGTACTCAGTGTTTTCACATAAAATTAAACGAGTACGTCTGTGTTATCATTGAAACTTAATGGTTACTAATACCAAAGATTAATATTTAGGATCTATTAGGTTCCTATTCATTTTGACGGGAACTGAATTATTATGTGAGAGAATTAAGCTACCACAAACTACTGATACTCCACATTACCCCTAGACCATGATTAGAATGTATAGTAAATTTAATAAGTGTTAAACAAAGTAAGCATGTATGCATAGTGTAATAATAAGAGAATAATAATGGTTTCGATATGGATGATGAGGAATTAATTAGGATTTCTGGATTTTAGGCATGATGAAATTATAGAAAACGTCATACGATGCTTTCAGTATTCCAAATTATTTGGCCGTGATCGATCTTGTGTTGATTGCCTGATAGCATTCAGTACAGAGAGATCCAATGCATTGGCAGTGGCACCAGCCATTACCTCCTCCTTGTTCAAGTTACCCCCAGAACATTTATCATGCAAGTGTACAAGATCATCAAGGTTTCTTCATGTGGTGAAAGCATCTAGTTGATGAACACCGTTTGGAAAGTCCATGGATAAAACCTCAATCATTGCAGTAATGTTGGTTTCAGGAATATCCGCCGTCGTGTGAGTTTTTTCTGCTGTATATAAAACAAATAAATCATCCGCCGTGAGTCTAGAAATTTTTTAATGAAATGGCATATGTATAGTATCTTGCTGAAATGACATAATGAGTGAGCTAATACAAATACGTTTTATGACACCATCAATAAACATTGATCTGCCCTTCTGCTAATTTTACTCAAAAATTATAGCTTTCTCGGCTTGCTACCTTGCAATGTGATACTCACTTAAACTATACAACTACATGAAACATAATCTAGTGATAGACGTAAACTTTCCTGGACGTATTTGCAGAGACTTTATCAAAAGCATTGTTAATAAACGATTGTGATTACGAAGAGATGTTTGTTTGACGTGCTTATAAGAGTAATTCGCTCACTCAAGATGACTTCTATTGCGATTACATAGATGACAATAACACTTGGAGACAATTTTGTCTATATCATCGCCGTATTATTTATTATATTACTTCAACAACGATTTTCTTAAAGACAAACCAATTTTTCTTGGATAATTGGGTGTAAGTAGTCATCACAAAGGATCGGACACCAAGAGGTCAATTCCACTTCTTGCCTTGAACAAATTTAAATTTGTTAAAATAAACATACGCTAATCGTGTAAATGGGTAATTTCTAGCTTATTTTCAACGTCTCGTTTATACTTTGCCCTAGTATTTTTGCTCATGCTTAGGATCGAACGAGCGCAAGAGTAAAATATCAAAAATTTAATTGTCAGAAGTATGAATCGTCTAACATATGTTTAATTATAACCAATACATTGTTATTGATTACATATTTCTGTTTGAAAGTATTACTACTTATAGATACAAATGAAATACGAAAGCTGTTATATCGATCGGCTACGACCTTATCTTCCCATTTCTTTTTATTGAAACAAGTTCTCAAGTTCTCATTCCAGAAGATGACAAATTGCAGTAAGAATATTTTCATTAGAAATCACCATTTAAAGAAACCGTTTGAACGTATATCTCAATTTTTATCTTTCAATTTCATATTTCGAAGCACCCCCCACACTTTGCTGTATCATTTGGTCAGATAGCCAGATACAATATTAATAGCAAGATAGTAAAAAAAAAATTCGAATTGTGAATTGGTATTGTTATTTATTTACAAAGTTTAAAAGAATTCATATCATATATTTTAAGAGTTGAAGGTCTTTTGGGCCTCACCCTTCTTTTCTTGAACCTTGTTACCGGCTTCAGCAGTGGTATCACCAGTAAGAGAGTTGTAAGCACCCTTGACAGCACCTGCAACTTGATCAGCAGCACCTGCAACATAACCTTGGACGGTAGCAGCGGTTTCTTGGACAACACCAGCATTGTTTTGAGTCTTTCCCTTGGCTTCGAGAGATTCGTTTCCTACAGCGCTTCCGACATTTTCCTTGACACCACCAACGAATTGGTCTTTCTTAGCTTCGGTTCTTGATGGAGAGGACATTTTGAGTAGATTGTTTTTTGTATTAAATTGATTTAATGATGAAAAAAAAACTGGGTGGTTTTTTAGCCTGTTTATATATACTTGTCTCTTTGCGAGTCTATTTCAAAAAAGGAAAGAGAGAACAGTCAGAAAATCGTCATCATCTCCACGCGCTATTTGAAATTAAAATTCATGCAAAAAAAAATACGTCATTGTTATGTCAAGGCACGTTTTTTTCATTTTGGAATTATTTGGTACATTGTAGCCCTGATGGACTACTGTGACATGAGATGTTATTGTTGACGTTATTTTTAGCTCAAGTGTCACTTACAAAGAAATAAACTATCATCTGTAGGTTGCCTCTGTTTCCACTATGAAATAAAGGGCCAATACTACATGATGTATGGTGCATCAATTACCTGCTTATTCTCTCTTTAGCTCAATCCGTTATACTGGATTGATGGGCGTTCTGTATGGAGAAGTAAACCGCCTAATATATTAGGCCGTAAATTTTGATCCCCTTATTATCACAATATATTCTTACACAAGGTCGAGGGTAGGGACAATTGATTATCCTTTTTATTTACGAAGAGTGAAACTACATGGGACAAAAAAAAGATTCTCCGAATTATAGGAATTAAAATTTACATTTGACATATTTTTTGTTTTTTTTTTTTTTACTTTATTAAAAAGAAATTGCATTGCATGTCAGATAACAATCCACCTCCAGATAAAGATAAAGGTGCAGAAGATTTTTACTTTCCACTGACAACTGAAGAGCCTGTGCGTCGGCCATGGCTTCGAACAGAGTTAAAAGATCTCAATGACGATATTGCAGACGACCTTGATCAACTATCCATTGAAGATGACGACGATACGACAGACACCAGCGATGATGATGATTCTGAAGATGACAGCAGTAAAAATAAGATTAAACAATTTGTTGAAGAAGAAGAACATGAGGCAGAATCTTTGGTGGATTGCCTTGCCCAAGAAATGGCAGACTATGAAGCTAGATTGAGCGGAGAAGCGGAAGAATATGAACAACGTGTGGCTAATGCTGAATCCGAAGATGAATTATTAGCTGACGATCCTGAATTATTACGCCGGACGGAAAGCAATCGGTATATTCCCTTTGAAGAAGATATTAAACCAGTTCAACGTCCAGAGGACCATCTTGTGGATTCCGGTATGGACAAAGATTTGCTGGTCTTTTCGGATCAGGTATCGACCATTGAAGACGTAAATCGTGTAGTGACAGTACAGTATTATGGGGCTGGTAAAAGTGGTGTCATGCCAAATAATTATCGAAACAAACGCACACCCAAAATCTACTTGGTGGCTTGTGACTTTAGTAAGGAAAGTTTATACGCCATGGAATGGACAATGGGGGCCATGATGCGGGATGGGGATCAGCTCCATGTAGCCACAGTTGCTAATCGTGAAGATAATCCTGAGGGAGTGAAAGCTAGCGGCCTTGACCAAGAAGGCGAGGTAGGAAAGAAACGTTTATTACTCTCAGCATTATCACATATTTACTTTGTTTTTGTAGTTGCATGCACTTTCAAAAGCTCTCTTGGCGGAAGCTAAAAAGAAAATGGGGCAAATGATGTTATTTAACATCAAATTGGTGACACATGCTATGGTAGGCCGTATCAAGGATGTTTTAAGGGCTTTAGTAAGGTTCCTTTTCTATTATTATTCTTTTTACTTTACTGGTACTCGAACATACTAACTAATGATATGTATAGACTCGTGAAACAGATTATACTTTGCTAGTGTGCGGAAGTAGAGGAAGAAGTTCAGTTAGAACGTAAAAAAAAAAAACATGTATATTTAGACTATGCTAATATCTATTAATAGATTATTAATGGGGTCTGTATCTACCTACCTGGTACATAAATCACCTGTGCCTGTAGCCGTTATTCGTCGGCAAAAGAAGAAGAAGAGAGCCAGGCATGAATTAGTAGCTGCACACCCATTAAGTGAAGGTAAAAAACACGTACTCAGTCCTAAATCCATATGACAAACTAATTTTTTTTTTTTACTTGCAGGTCTGAAGACAGGACATTTACACGTCGATGAATTAAGCTAAGATAACGTTCTTTTTTAAACTTTTTTTTTTTTTTTTTTTTTTTTTTGGTTTAAAACGAATAAACAATGGTCCGATTCCCTAAAATACATGTGTTTTATTTTTGAACGAATGACATGTATTGCATGCTTTTTATCTACAATCGGTTTGTATGGGTGGGAGAATAGTAGAAATATATGATGTGAACATGAAATGAATACTATCCGCCCCAAACTTTACCAAGAAACCCTCCGCTCGTTTTCAATCAATTAAACCAAACTTCCTCTGACTTTGACAAGGGCAGGTAGCGATCTGACATTAGTTTCATAGTGCAAAGCATATTTATTCGCTCTTGTATGGGTTTTTATAGGCACGGATGATTTATTAAATCAATAAAACCCCATCTTTTTTTATTCTAGCATGAAAATTATGCCTCCTAGTTAAGACCATCTGCACTGTCTCTAATTTTTTTATTTGTATTACCCCAGGCAAGCTTCTCATTTACCTTACAATGTCAAAGTCGGATGTCAATATTATACGATATGTTTTCGTTTGATTTAGAAGCGGTTACTCTTAGTCCTTTAGAAGCCGTCCGCAGCAAGTCAAGATTTAAACTATTCGTGGCTTTTTAAATTTCACACCAAGCACCAAGGACTAGGTTGCAACTAGATTAAAGCCGACGGCATACAAAAAGATACAAGGAGACAGAGTTATTATAGATGGAAGATTGGAAAGACAATCTTATAGCTGAACTAATCAATGGATTTAACAGAGAGGCTATAGATTTTTGGTATTTTGACTGCGAGCAATCAGATGGGATTAGCTCCGGTAATACTTTTGTTTTAAAAGATTACTTCAAACAGATATTGTTGTGTGATATCATGTTTTCAAGTGTATCGATGTCTGTCAATTGAGGTAATTTATAGACATATTGTCATTGGCAATAAACTGCTAGTCGATATTAAAAACATGAATCTATCATCCACACAGTTCCATCTGAATGTGAACTGCCATATACATTTACCACGACTTACATAAACATTTTAAGTTGGCAGTGTCATTGGTTCAACTGCTCGTACAACAAAATAAATTAAGACAGTATTTATTATTATTATCATTGCTATTCTTAAAGCACATAAATTTAGCTTGTAAATCTTTATCCACAACATGCTCTATGTCTTCAATATTTCTGCTATGAAACATTGACAGCGAAAAATAGCAATATCCGTTTACCAGTTTTGCATGTTCACATTTCATTACGGCGATTAAACATGTAGTACACAAGCTATTATCTGGAGTGACACAAAAAGATTTTGATAACAAGTCCACTGGGGTAAGGGACGCTATTAATATAGAAATAACGTAAAGAAAGCAGTCTATAATCCAAGCAAACTTACATCTACTCACACGCACACGCAAAACAATTGCAGTGAAAGACCATGTGTTATTTGCCATTATTGTAACAGAAAAGGGCCGGCAAATTACACTGTCTATGTGTATTAGGATGAAACATGTAAAAATGCCAATGAACTAAGCCAACTTAGAGTTTGCACAAAATAAGTAAACAATTGGTTCGATGTTTTTTTTTACAATACACATGTGTTTTTCTTTTTAGTTGTGTTACGTGACACATATGCTCTTACCCATATACAATCATTTTGTGATTTTGATTGCCTTATATGATATTTAATTATTTATCTTCACGGAGCAATCGTCCAAACGGTTTATAGCGTCCGGGGACCGTTTTTACTCCAAGAATGATTTTATCAAATTTTAATAATTGGTACCACACACAAAACTTTCAGCTGATGTTTTTCTTGACTATCTCTGATGTACCGATAATCTTGTAAACACGATTTAAATTATAGACCACATATGTCATTTAATGGTTTTTTTTGAAAAATTACTTATAGTAATGCTAGTAATTAACGTGAGAACTGTTTTTTCCTAATCATTATTCTTATAATCATCAGAATTGCTGCTACTGATGGAGTTGTTTGCTTTAAGATGAAGTCTAATGTGGACTTGCTGGGGGACACATAATAATGAGCGGTTTTTATTTGAGGTGCACGTTTATGATTAACCTTTTTGACAGTTTCTAAACAATTACAGGAAAAATATATGCACGAATCAAACATAGTCATGCTGGATAAAAAAAAACGTATCATATAGCATTTGGGAGCAACAATATACATCTTGAAAATGTTGATGACAGCGGCGTATTATATACCTGTTTAACTAAAAGTAATACTTTTGTAAATCGAGAAGCATGAGCACTTTCTAACAGATATAGATTAAAATGAAAGGTAAAATAAACATCATGTTCAGCATCCAATAGCTTCTCAGGCCGATTGGAGAGCTTTGGTGTATCTTTCTTTAAATTGGTAGCATAATCGAATGAGATCAATATTAGTCTCAATAATATAAGCATAGTTATCATGTATATCAGGTAGATACTCGTAGTATATGATACCCTGCTCCTCGGTGGTATTTAGAAACCACAAGGGATTTTCGGCAGTCAGATCTAAAGGATGAACAAACATATACTTTTTTTTTTCTTATACTCACACTTTTACATGAATGTCTCTTATCTTGGTTTCCGCCATCAGTTTCGCCCTAAAAAAATAAAATAAATAAATGAGTGCTAATTTGTCATCAAAGCCTGTCAGTTGGAACTTGCCTCAGCCCTTCATTTTTCCTAAGCAAATCCCTACTACAACATTCCCGCTGTTATTTGACCTTGTTGCATAGCTCTGTTAATTTTTTGTGGCGCATCCATATGCGTATTTTATAAAAATACACCTTCCAAAATTTGCCAATGGGAGAGTAATTTTGTGACACGTCTAGCATTGATCTTTTTTAGATCCCAAAGAATTGGATTTTAGTCTACCAATATTTAATCACCGTACTTTAAATATAGCTTTAATCCATGGAACTGCAAATATGTCGTTGTAAGCCTTTGCATAACAGGAAAAAAAGTCTTGAGCAGACACTAAATATATTTCTCCTCATTTGTGGCTATATAGTACGTAATTTCTACCACGTTTATTGGCTTAGTTATGGTCCACATCTAGTCTGGTAATATACTTTGCCGCATTCTCATAAAGCACAAATATCTCGTAATGTAGTACATTCACAATATTTACATGCATTTATTGAAAATCATCCAACTTGTATTGTGAAAGATGCTACAGAATCCCTTTGTGAGACTTTTCAAGGCTTAACAATGAACGAGTCCACTGTATTTCGTCACATGACTGAAAAGCTTAAGTTTACTTTGACTTGTACACAAGCAAGGTTTGTAAACAAAAATTCAGATGATACGCTTAAACAACGTAGACAACCTATTGAAGATGTCGATGCAATGAATGAAGAAAACTTTTATAAAAAAAAAAAGATGCATTATCGTGGATGAAAGTGGGTCCAAGAAAAACATGGTACGTCCTGTGACGTGGTCTAAGAAAGGTGGGCCTGCAGAAGTGGATGTAGAAGCAGAAGGAACTAATCTGAGTATCCTGGGTTGTATGTCAGCCTATGAGTTGATTGCTCTTTCGCAACAAGTTCCAAAATTAAGCAGAAAGAAACAAAAAACTCCTCTTGGTACAAAAAGAGGGAAATGTCTAGAACTCCGTATTTTTTTCAAACGTATTTTTTAGAATCACGTGATGGTCTACACGTCAATTGACATGCCATATCGTCTAAACTTCATAGGATGATTGATTTCTGTTTTCCATAAAATCTGCTTCACTGTCATTAGAAGCTACAGCTGGAACGCAGGTATACAACAAGTTTCGATTTGCTTGGGGGTTTGCATATGTTTCTATTTTAAGTAAAGGCCCTCTTTTCTTTTCCTTTAACATACTTCTATCGAATGAAAGTAACTGATAAAATAAAAAGGTTAGTTAGTAGTGACTCTTGTTTCTTTGAAAAGACACTAAATCGAAAAAGTTATTGTTGCGTTATATTGCAGCTGCAGCTAGTCTTTGCTATAGGAGGGCGACCTCTTAGGCAGAGAGTTCATGAGTTTTGGAACTCACGAACCGTGAATGGCTGTGATTGCACTGTAAATGGTTGTGAATACACTGGCTTACTGGTCTTGACCAAAATTGCTGTAAGTGGTATAAATAAATATACGTTTTAAAAAAAATACGGAGGGCTAGACACTTCTCTTTAAAGGCTATGATCCAGTGTCATTCTTAGAAGCAATTTGCTCAGACTTTTCTTAAGAAAGAGCCCAGGGCTCCTTTGAGGAAGCCATTGACAGTTTATGTCATGATACCACCAAGCCATACAATCTTGTTTGGTGGTGCAAAAAAGTGAAAGGAAATAATAATAAGTGAGTTTTAGATACTTTAAAATTTACGTAATAATTGTTGATTTGTACAGCTTCCACTCGGAGCTCTTGAAATTCAAGTCAGATGATCCAACAGAGCTGGATTATCTGATGAAGGTCTGGGGAGGGATTTTGGAGGTCCTGTTTCCAGATAAAGACAAGGTTTACTGCAAGTGGGGCGAATCAATGTCGGAACACAATGGATTGTGGACTGCTCTTATTTTTATAAGAGCAAACATATTGATTTGACCAACATCGAAGCTGCTAGATACATGACTGCCAAGAAAACCAATGATGATCATTTTAAAACTTGCGGTAGAAAGTAAGGATATCATGGACTACTTGATCAAGAATTCTGCTTGCTTCAACCCCAAACAAGTATACATTCGCATGATTCAACTATGTAAAAATCAGTGCGATGTCAACAAGCTTTACCTCGGAGATGATGGACTATATTGTATCGAAGCATATGACTACTGGCAGGATCAACCAGGTAACTATTATTAAATAGGAGCGCTCTATTCCCGCAGGAACAGATGATATCCTACGACCGTAGCCGCAAGCATCCAACCTGTGCATTTAAAAAATATTTCCCGGGCCATTTACATTATTTGCTAGAGAATCTTCCAAGTGGTTCCAAAAACTTTTCTCACTCCGTCAACATGTTTTCAAGCTGCTTCATCTTTTCACTGATGTTGAGCAAAAAAGCTATGACATGCACTTCTCTCGGGCGAAAGGAAAAGATAGAGAACAACCGGAATACAGATCTTGGACTCGTGGATCTTTTTACCCACCCATTAATGACGACAGCCCTTTATACGTTCCCGATAATCTCTACGGTGATTGTCAATGGTCCTCGGCTCCTCCAGTCTGATTCGATTGACGGACCAATAAAAATTTTAATTTAAAAACGTCCAGCTTAAATAAAAAATATCTCTGGGACATTCTATTGGCTAATAATTTTTATTTTATTTGATTTTATTTTGCCTTCATTATTGAATACCCCTATATACTACACACCCTATTAAGACTAACTGTCAGTAACATCTGCTCTTGCTGTAATCTCCATAACTTTACTTTTTCAGGTTGTACAATAATAAAGAATTTAGGGGTGGTCATAGTGAATTTTTCTATTTTCAAACGCAATTCACTGTAAACATTCGATGATACGCTTTTAATATGATGTTGTATGATCTTTTTCGCCTACAAGTTTAGCCGTTGATTTTCTTTTTTTTATTTATTTTAGGGGCACATGCATTTACCGGGAGTAAATAGACCCAAGGAGTTAAGGAATACTTTCCAATGGGAATTTAATTTTTATTTTTATTTTCGCAGCTTTTTCAGTTTGGAATAGTTTAGTAAAAAATAAAATATGGAGTTTGAAAAGAGCAAAATTAATCGAACAAGGCCAATGTGACACAACTTCATTTTAGAATGAAGCGGGTCATTCTTTTTGAATAAGACACATGTCGACAGTTTAAAAAAGAAGTACACCGAGAAATACCCAGAGACTACAGGTACTACAAAAAAATAGAAAAAGGGTATACACGAAAAGAATCTGATATACTACTAGTACTGGTCTTGATTATCTTGACGAATAGGAGCTGCTGTTGCCCCCCTTTCCTTTATGGAAACAACGTTTATCCAAATTAAAAAAGCCATGCTGCTGCAAGACTAATCAGGAAAACAAAGTTTTGGTTCATAGTTTCATCATACTATATGCATACTCTTAAAAAAAAAAGTAGGCAAAAATTTGTATGGTAGGACAATAGAACAACTTCCTTCACTAACCAGTAATAGATTTGTTACACGACCTTTTTTCTTTTGTACGTCCATGTTATATATAAAAGTGAAAATTGTTGATTTTTTTTTTCTATTTTTTTACCTTTTATTCTTTTCTTTAAATAATAATCATAAAATGGGATCTAAAGTATCAATTATGGCAGCAAAAAAACGAAAGCGTATTGCAAGTTCCTTTCATTCCGTCACATCGAAAGCACACAGTAGCAGCCAGAACAGTTCATACCCAAATACACCACCAAACTGTACGATCGACGAAAAATCACATACTGTTCATGATCATAGTAGCCATATTTCCTCAGTAACCGAAAGTATGATTACAAGCGGACGTACGTTTCATCATGTAGAAAATTCAGCTTATTGGTTTCCAAACGACGATGAAGAAATGGATAGACTGATTGGTGTGAGTGAAATTACAATAACAGTAATGGATGATATTGATTATTTAATTTTTTTTTTTTTTTTTATTCAGCAACATTTTGCATTAAAAACTTTATTTGATGGGTAGGCCAAAAAAAAAATTTTTTTTTGTGGCATTATAATGATTTCTTATATAATTATTACAGAAATATACACGAAACAATTTTAAAAGGATTGGATTTGGAACACAATAACGCACTTGTATTAGATTTGGGGTGCGGACCTGGTACTTGGATAATGGTAAACAATATTAGGCACAGTCTAAAAAAAAAAAAAGAGAATCACAGAAAAGATGGGTCCCTCTAATTGATTATTATAGGATGTTGCGACTGAGTACCCATCAAGTGAATTTATTGGGGTGGACATGTGTGACGTATTTCCAAATAACATTCGACCTGCTAACGTGAGTTTCCAAGTGGGTAACATATTAAAACGATTACCATTTTCAGACAACACATTCGATTTTGTCAATATGCGACTATTTATTATTGCCTTAAAGAAAGAAGAGTGGCCTATTCTGCTAAAAGAAGCTTACCGTGTCATGAAGCCAGGAGGGTATATGCAGATGGTTGAATGTGGCATGCTTGTATGTAGTATGGATACTCTTCTATATTTTATTTATTACAAGCTAAAAGAATTTATATCTCATTTATTAGGAAAGAGGAAATGAATTTGTTAGACAATCTGGTACAATATGTAAAGTTAAGTTTACATATTTATTTATTGATTTGTACTCACCAACTTTCTAGTTCGAGAAATGATTGAAACCCTTGGACAAGATCCCTATGTTGCTTTTAAAATGGAAACTCTAATGGAACAACAAGACGTTGAAGTCTGTCATTATGAGAATATAGACGTCTTTTTAGGTATAATTTAATACATTTATTAGCAGTCCATTGTTTAATTTTATAATGTATTAGGTAAGCAAGATAGACTGAGTAAAGAGTTCCTTTGGGACGTTTGCAACATTTTTAAATCTGCTCAAGCTATTATACAAGAACCTCTCGGTTATCATACGGATAACTTTCACCAATTTCTAGAGAAATTATATAAAGAATTACAAAAAAAGCCCGATGCGATATGGTCATTTTCTATATGCGTTGGTAGAAAGTAAATTGTCATATGAAAAATAAATAAAAAGAGGAAAAAAAAATGCATCTCACCTTTTTTTTTGGTTCGCCGATACACCAACCATCATAAAACGCCCTTTTCTTTTCTTTTTCTTTTCTTTTTTTTTTTCCCTTGCTTGCTTCTTTTTGTTCTTTCCATGTTCAAAATCACACCACAATTATATGACAAGATTAAGCATTTTGCTCGTTTTCCTCAAACAGGCGTTTCCTTAAAGCAAATGGTCATGTTTGGTAAGATGTATGGTCCATAATAACTTTGAAAAGCAAAGACTAAAGTAAAGCAACAAAAAGGTCAGAAACCCTCGCCAGCAACATTTTTTAAGGCGAGTCAATTTTTACACGGTAAGCAGACACAAAAGAAAAATAAAATAATGAAACAAACCCCCCCTTACGATATATATCTCTTTGTTTTACTAGAGGAGTTACCTATCCGACTTGCTCACCGAGTCAAAGAATTAGACGAACTTCCTCGAAGTCTTGGTGATATGCCATCCATCATCAAGGTAAAAAACTGGTACGCACAATCATTTCAGGTAAAATCAATACATGCAAAATGATATTTTATCGTAAGCTAAAACACGTAAAAATTTATGTAGGAGCTCATTGAGTTGTCGCCACCCGAATTGAGCACAGAGATGAAGTCATCATTTAGGAACGCAACAAAGAGCTCACATGCATTTCCACAAAGTATACCAAATTTGGCTATTCCTCAAATTAAACCCGTAACAAATTATCATCCGAGTGTTGCAATAGGTCACAGGTATAGATATAAAAAAAGGTCTTAAAATTAAGGGGGAGGCGGCGGGGATGATGATGATGGGTACTGATGACTTCTTTAAAAAAGGTACTACAATAATTTTGAAAATATTGAATGTACACCGCCTATTCTAGCCTACACAGACTCTTTTGTAAAGACGATTGAAGGTGTGAAAAGAAGACATGATCCTGTTGTTACTACAATGGCTCAGGGTATTATGGAATATAAACAGCATCGAAAGTCCAACATGATCGATGCAGATGTGCAGCAGTTTTTGGATCGCTTTTACATGTCAAGAATAGGTATTCGAATGTTGATAGGACAACATTCGGCCTTATACCGTGGTCCCTTTATGCGAAATTATGTAGGTGTTATTTGTACAAGGACAAATATCAAGGAAATTGCTCAAGATGCCATTGCCAATGCCAGGTTTATTTGCGAAGATCATTATGGTCTATTCAGAGCCCCAGAGGTACAAATGTTTTGTCCCGGTGACATTGAGTTTATGTATGTGCCATCCCATTTAAATCATATGGTCTTTGAACTCTTGAAAAATTCTTTGCGGGCTGTCGTTGAAAGGTTTGGTCCAGATTACGAAGACGAATATCCACCCATAAAACTGGTCATTGCTCATGGCAAAGAAGACATCACAATCAAAATTTCCGATGAAGGAGGAGGATTACCACGATCTGGTATTCCTGTTGTATGGACATACATGGTAAGTACAAAGGATGGATCAAGTGAATAAGAGTTCTAACTTGCAAATCAAGTATACCACTGCCCAGGCACAGGAATTAGAGCCAGAATTTAACAAGTCTGAATTCAAGGCTCCCATGGCAGGATTTGGTTACGGCCTACCTATTTCCAGACTAGTAAGTTTTTCTTTTCTTTGTTTAAACTTGCGACCGTTTTGTCTTACAAATATTTTATATGTAGTATGCCAGATATTTTGGAGGTGATTTAAAGCTGATTTCAATGGAAGGGTAAAATATTATAAAAAAAAGACAAAAGTAACAGTAAAGTTAACAGTATAAATTCTAGGTATGGAACAGATGCATATCTTCATTTAAATCGCCTTTCAAACAGTGATGAGCCTTTGATCATGTAAAATATTTTGTTATTTTTCGCATTTTTAGAGGAAAGAGGGGGGAATATCTTTCTTTATTAATTTGAATTATTTTGTTAGCCTGCCTTGACAATAAAAAAAAAAAAAAAAAAAAACGCAGCTTTATATCCCCCTTCCCCATAATAATCGTTGCAAGATAATTATTGGCAGCCCAAAATATCCAGTTTAGGATCTTGTGATTTTAAAAACACAAGTCTCTACACACGTCTAAAAAAAAAAAAGATTTGTGTTCAATTCACGTGCTACACTATTTTAACTTTTTCTAGATTTCACGGGATGATCAATTTTTAATTTTTATAAAATATGCTTCACTATTGGCACATGCTACCACTGACAATTAATATGTTCGGATTCACTTATATATACCCCTGGGGTGCTTCTATTTAAAGTAAATGCTCAACCATGATAGATAGTCAAACCATGACATCAGTCAGCTCTTGTTTATCACGCTATAAAAACACATTCGTTCACATACCCTTCTTCTTTTCGTTACCTTTTTTTTTTAATGCGTAACGCTATCTTTATGAAAGAAGGTAATAAACATTGTAAAAAGGTCGGTTAATAATGGACTTTGGTTTTTCAAGAGAACGGCTAAATCATGAACTGTTTTTCTTATAAATTTATAAAAATGTGTTTCAATATTTGCAAAATACATACGATGTGAAACTCCCAAGTTGGGATTTTAAAAACAAATCCGGGTTTACTTAAATTCACATCATTTCAATTACGACTAACGAGGCATTCATACAAGTTACAGTACGGCGCGCTGTTCTTGATTAAATTTTCGGGTCTCTTAGAGACAGCTAGGGTGCGCGTAGTCGTAATGTCGGATGATGAAACTTTTTAATAGGCACCAAGAGGTCGATACAACTTATCGTCTTGCACTAGATACAAATTTATTACAACCAACATATGTTCAAATAGTATGTGTGTGTTATATAGTTTACTTTCAGCTTCTCGTTTGGACTTTATCTTAATATTTCTGCGTAAGATTATGATCAAACCAGCTCAAAGGTGAAAGAGTGATGATGGAATTGTAAAAATAAGAATAAATTGCACAATATACATTTATTCGTAATGATTACATTGTTTTCGGCTGTATATTCTTGTTTCCGGGTCTAAAGGACAGTCAGAATACAGATCTTACGTTTCGACTACGTGCACCTTGGCTGTACCCTAAGGAAAAATTAGCCGTCCCTAAGAAAAGCGTTGTAGTAAAGCGTCGCCTCCGTATGTTCATTCAAGATAGCAATTTTTTTAAAAGACGAGAAAACAAAAAAGTACGTTGTTCATGATGATAGTTATTTTTTTAAAAAAAAAAGACTTGTATGTACATTTATTCTCTCATAATGTCAGACGATCGCCTAGTTGATGACATTTAAAAATGCTGTTTTGAAGTTGTAGTTTTTCTACAATATCATTAATAGCTCAACAGGAACAAAAAATGGTTGGTAGAATTACTGAGGCATGTAATACCATACCTTCTGGATTATTATAAAACTATGCCAACCATTCTAAACAACAAATCATTCTAAATGTTTTAGAATCAAACATTTACAACATATCAATTTGATTTGACTCATTATGACATTTCTGATTTCACAAGGACAATTTTAGACATCAGAAACAATCATTTTAAATAGGTGTCTTTAGGTTTTTTTTTTTTTTTTTTTTGCACAGAGATATTTATTTTTTGGTCATATCCAAAATGACAAGACTTATACTGTAAAACTCGCGACACCAGGCCACGAATCAGAACCTTTTGGCATGTGATTTGTGGTACACATACGATTACGAACGTTTAAACTGACAGCACTACCTTTATTTCATTTCTATAAGCTCCTTCACCTTGTTATTTTATACTGCACAACATCCCACAATTATAATTCATTGATACACTTTTTTTTTGTTTTGTCGTTCGATTTAAATGTATTAAATTTCTCTATATACCACGATTGGTGTAACTCACTGATCGGCATTTTACTTATAAATGATATATTCTGTTGTGTTACACCAAATCCATCCTTTTAAAAAACCAACTGTCTCTCTTCAATTAATTATCAATTACTATGGTACTCCCTCTCCCAAATAAGTTGAAGACTTGTCCTCTATTCTACTTTTAGAAGGAGAAAAAAAAGTTTTTTTAATAATGAATTGTTCTGGAGATTCCCCGTATTCTCGTCTTCTTTTTTTGTTGGCATGTCATTTCTTATGCTTTGTATCCAAATCTCACGACTTGCACACACTAAAAAGAAAGAGAGAGAGATAAACTAAAAAAGGAGTTACTTGATTTTACCGCTTTATAGCGGACTTTGGCTATTATAGAATAGCTTATATTACATCATGATTAACTTGGGGTTCTCACCAGTGATACTGCGAATTATAAAATGGTGAAACAGTCATATTGCATATTATTCTCAATATCACTTACGCGCATTGCTTCTCTATAGCCCATTCACTTTGATGTTACAGGTAACTGTGAGTTCCCACACTTGTATTACTTTATGGAGGAAATGAAAAGATGGAAAACAGAACCTTTTTCTTTCTGCGATCCATCCAGCGTGATCAAATATGTTGTACCTCCGGGAAGACTATGCGTGTCTTTTTTTGTTAAAGTATGGGGAACAGGGAAAAAAGAAGAGGGTTCGGATTCAACCTTCACAGGGTTTTTTTTTTCTTTCTTTATTTGGTCCTAAAACGTGGACTACATATCCCGTTAATGTGAAAACATAAACAATGGTTTAGATATGCATGCAACTATAAAACAATTAAAATATGAATACATACATCTTTGGCTGGATGTAATTGCACTTGATGAGTACATCAAAACCCTCCCGCTAATAAAGTTAAATAGATGGGAAAGTGAGAATACAGGTACTACAGTAAAAAACCAACGGAGCCATTGAAATCTTCTCTCTTGATGCCACACGAAGGGAAGACGGGAAAACTGGTATATGTTGGTAATAGTTCACGTTTCACCAAAAAATAGTATACGTCAAGTGCTGTTTGGAATAAAAAAAATATGAAATTTCCCTTTTGTCTAACCTGGGAGAATTCAATTTATCAAAACAGAATTACATTCTCTTCAAAAATGTAAAATTGATATAAATACCCACGCGAAAAGAAGTTTACTTTTTTTTTTATTCATTACTACAAATATATCATGACAAAGGTTTCTTTTATTTTTGTAGCAATTGCGCTTACTTTTTCTGCTAATGTGCTCTGCCAAACTGAAGCAACCTATGGTAAATATTCCTTATATAATTGTTTCATACCACCAAAACTTTACTAAAAGACACAATTAAAAGCCGTAAGCTCTTCTGCTCCCGGATACAATGTTCAAGGAAAGGTTGTCAAGACAAAGGCTGGTCTACAAATTCCTCTCGGTCTTAACACCAAATCTAAAAAGGGTATTGACAGCTTTGGTAAAACCATTGATGACCTTGTTGTCGATGTTGAATATGAAACTGAAGAAAGACTTCATGTCAAGGTAACTGACTTTTAAACGTCTATGAATTTTCACACCGCGTGAGTTATTTTCTTATTGTTTGTTCTAAATAGATCTCGGATAAAGCAAAGAAGCAAGTTCTTGTACCTGACTCTCCATTAGGTTTTGAGAGACCCAAGATCTCTCACTACAGCTCTTCTAAAAAGGCTAATTATGATTTCCAATATACCGCTAAACCTTTCAGTTTCAAGGTTGTCCGTAAGGCTGACAAGGTGGCTGTCTTCGATACTGCCAAATTGCCCTTGGTCTTTGAGGATCAATACCTCGAGATCTCAACACATGTACCCAAGAATGCCAATATCTATGGTTTCGGTGAGGTCACTGCTCCTTTCAGACGTACTACTGTAAGCTATTTATCTAAAACAACTTATTTCGGTAATCCCCAGTTAGCTAAACCTTATACTTTAGAATGTCACTACTCTTTTCAATCGTGATAACGCTGATGAGTAAGTCTAAATACATAATTTCCTTCTGTAAAACAAAGATTCTAATACATCCTTTTTTTTCGTGTAGCATGTATCGTAACATTTATGGCTCTCATCCCTTCTACACTGAAATCCGTAATGGAAAGGCCCATGCTGCTTTATTGATGTCCAGTCACGGTATGGATATCATCACCACCGAAGGTCGTATCACCTACAAGGTCATTGGTGGTGTTCTTGACTTTTACTTTTTTGTTCCCAAATCAGGCAAACCCAATGATGTTAGTATTGCCTATACAGACTTAATTGGTAAGCCCATGATGCCTGCACATTGGATGTTGGGTTGGCAACATTGTCGTTACGGCTACAAAGATATTGACACTGTAGAAACCGTTGTAAGAAAATACAAGGAAGCTAATATCCCACGTAAGTTTCCCCCAGATTTTAACTCTTCTTCTTTTTATATTTTACTGACGTCTCTTTGATTTATTTTTTTAGTCCAAACTGCTTGGATCGATATTGATTATATGGATCAAACCAAAGATTTCACTGTTGATAATGTCAATTTCCCTCTTGATCGTTTAATTGATTTCGGTAAAAACCTCCATGAAAACAAGCAACACTATGTGATGATGGTGGATCCTGCTATCAGTGCCAACACGACCTATGAGCCTTATACCCGTGGTGTCGAAATGGACGTCTTTATCAAGAACCCCGATGGTTCGGACTTTATTGGTATGGTCTGGCCCGGCTATACTGTTTTCCCCGATTGGTGGCATCCCAATGCTACCGAATACTGGACCAAAGAAATCGTAGACTGGGTCAGCTTGATTGGTTTGGACGGTCTCTGGATCGATATGAACGAGCCCGCTAGTTTCTGTTTAGGCTCTTGTGGTTCCGGTAAGATCGATGCTGGTAACCAACCTTACCGTTGGACTTTACCTGAGGATGTGCAAGCCAAGAACCATGCCGATCAAGAAGCTGCTTTGATCAAGATGGGTAATCCCAAGGGAGATAACCGTAATTTATTGTACCCCAAGTATGCTATCAACAGTGGTAGTGGTAATCTTTCTGAAGTCACAGTTGCAATGACGGCCCTTCATCATGGTGGTATTGCTCATTATGATATTCATAATATTTATGGTCATGCCGAGTCTTATATCACTCGTAACGTAAGTGTTTTCTCAATCATTTTTTTAAACGAAGTAACAAAAGACTAAATCCTTTTTTTTATTATTATTATTTATTAGGCAATGATTAAGCAAAACAGCGAGGTTCGTCCTTTTGTCTTGTCTCGTTCTACTTTCACTGGTTCTGGCAAATACGTTGGTCATTGGACCGGTGATAACCACTCCTTATGGAACTACTTGAAGGTCTCCATCGCTACCGTCTTTAGCATGCAATTATTTGGTGTCAGTTACTCTGGTGCCGATGTCTGTGGTTTCAATTCCAACACCACTGAAGAATTATGTACCAGATGGCAGGCCGTTGGCTCCTTCTATCCATTTGCCAGAAACCATAATGCTATTGGTAACGCCGATCAAGAGCCTTATCTCTGGGAGACCACAGCTGAAGCATCCCGTCGTGCTCTTAGTGTCCGATATGCTTTACTTCCTTACATCTACACTGTCTTTGAGGAATCCAACACATTGGGTACTGGTGTCTGGCGTTCTCTTTTCTTCGAATACCCTGAATTCAACACCCTTGCCGAGAACGATGTTCAAATCTTGATCGGTACTGATATTTTACTCACACCTGTTGTAGACGAAGGCAAGTTGGAAGTCGATGGACAATTCCCCAAGGGTATCTGGTACGATTGGTACAATTATGATGCTATCAAGGTTTCCAAGGGAGTCAAGACTGTCACTTTGGATGCTCCTTTGGTTCATATCCCAGTCCACATCCGTGGTGGTGCCATTGTTCCCACCAAGACACCCAAGTATACTGTCGGCGAGACCTTTGAAACCGATTATAACCTTGTGATTGCTCTTGATGCCAAGAACCAGGCTACTGGTAGACTCTATATTGATGATGGTAGCTCTTTGGAAGTTAAGCATGCTTCTGATATCACTTTTGATTACAAGAAGGGCAAGTTGACTGCATCTGGAAAGTTCAAATATGATCAAGCAGAAAAGATTGGTTCCATCACAATTATTGGTGAAGGTGCTGCTAAACTTTCTACTGTGACCATTGGCAAGAAGAAGGGCATTAAGTTGTCTAAGAAGAAGGGTGCTGTCGTGCTTGAGAATGCTGATATTAGCTTGACAAGTGCTTTCACTGTTACATTCAAGTAGACAAACAAAACTATAACATGACTGTAATAATATTTTTTTTCTTTATATAATAATAATAATAAAAGGGGGGGAGAAGAAGGAACTGTACACAACAATCTGTTAGATAAGGGATATATTTTTTTTTCTGGTTTTTTTTTTTTTTTTTAAAAACGTCTGAACATGGCAAGTGGGTCAAGGTCTCCAAAGATATCCATTGCCATGGCTGGCTTATTTTCCATGATAGGTTGAATGACTTGAGCAGGCGCTTCAATATGTTTGTCTTCATCAACAGAAGATGAAGAACAGAATTCTAATTATAATAGTTAGTTTGGGATAGAAAGAAAAAAGTGGTATTGTTGGTTTTTTTTTTTTGATATATTACCTTGCCATGGGTCATCATCATCTTCATCACTTTGTAAAAAGTCGGCTTCTTTGGACTGTTCTTTTGTTTCATTCGCCATCACCACCACAGGTGCAACGACGGGTGCGGGAATACCTCTTAAGGCAGCATAAGGATCATTTTCCGGTGCAGCCTTTTCAACCACAGGTAGAGAGAATACACTTGGATCAAACATGCGTTGAGCTGTTTTGGTTTCTATTTTTATATTTATAAAAAAGTTATTATTAGTTTTGTCCCATATTGGGTATTAAGAAAAAATAACAAGAACGAACCTTCTGATGTTTTCAGTGCACTGGTTGAGGATGATGGGGATAGAGGAGTAACAGCAGGAGATAACATACCGCCATTATAGGTTGCTCGACGGACGGTCTTTTCTAATTTGAGACCTGACAATTCCATAATGATACTATCAAATGAATTGGGAAGAGGTTTTGAAGTACTTGGTGTAACAACAGGTGAGGCTGAGGCTGATGCATTTCTAAGAATAGGAGCTTTAAAAAAAAGATTTGTGTGAGCCCAAAAATATAGAAAAAAATTGACGTGACATATTACCTGGTGATTGTACTCCGTTGCCATAATTGACCAAGGTTGGAGACTATAAACAGGTTAGATTACTCATTCGCATGTGGTAAAAAAAAAAGTTTATCCTATCTTACCTTCAAATGTTGTTGATGTTGATATTTAGGGACATGTTCTCTATTTGCCTGAGCAACATTGACTTTCAAAGGTGTGGTTTTTACTTGATCAGCATTTACTATGCTTCTTGCAGGAGCAAGCTGGATAGGTAAAGGAGCAGCTTGAAATTCTTCGACAGGGAAAGCTTCTTCTTGCACACTCACAGGTTCCTCGATAACAGGCTCTGGGGTAGAAGGCAAGATTTCTTGGGCAATAAAATCTTTTGATTCGATGGAACTACGGCATCGCTCCGCAATCTCTTCCGCCGTTAAGACGGTTGCGCCACTTGAAGCAACAGAAGAAGTGGTAGAAGAGCCAGTACTATCCATGGACTCACGAGCGCTACTGACGCGGCTGCTGCGCTTGCTACTGGTAGTGGTACTACGACGCTTGCTGCTAACATAGTCTTCTTGAACGGATGCAGAGCTCTTGGCAGAGAAGGAGGAATACTCACTTTCCATGGAGCCTCTACCGGTTGGAGAAGCAAAAGGAGGAAGAGCAAAGGTAACCGGATTGACACAATCAGGAATAGGCATGGGAGGAGCGACTTGATCTTGACCAAATTCTTCATCTTCATCATCATCCTTCATGATATTCATTTCGCTATCAGCAATCAAAGGGACACGGGAAAAGCCTGAAAGCAATTTGGTTCTTGGTTTTGTGACAATAGGAAGACCGTCCTCAGTGAATTGCTTGGCAAGCAAGGCTCTAACCTTTTCCTTATGAGAAAGAAGTAAGGCGCGATCTAACCATTTGTTTTCATAGTACTTTTGTCTCATGAAAGCACGGATATCATCATCGGACTCAGGCTCAGGAGCATCATGAGTACTGTAGTTACTAAGCCAGATCTTGATAGCCATGCCGTTACCGCCTTGCTTGAGAGCGAGGAGTTCTGCACCAGAGAACTTGCTAGCTGAAATAGCCTTGACACGATGACCGACTTCACGACTGTTTAGAAATGAATTAGATAAAAGTATGATGATGAATACATGTAAATGACTTACACTAGTCCAGAACATCTGGCACAAATAAATGTCTGGATAGTAGTGTTTACAAAGAAAGGACTCTAAAATATTGTTTTAGTTATGATGTGGCTGAATAATATTTATACGACACTTGGGCATTACCTTGGTTGGACAGTCAAAGCATTTCTTGTTTTCCTTCAAACGTAACAAATCTCGTACTTTCCTAAACAATTATAAGGATTAATAAAAAAGACGGCGTAAGAAGGAATTAAACCTACTTTTGGTTGAGATCCTCTTGCTTTTTGGCGAGAAATAAAGACATTGTAGTTAGGATGAATTGGAGGGTTGTTTAGATATTTAAAAAAAGCTAAAGGAAAAGAGATCAGAAATGCAATTTTAAAAAAAAATTGGGCTGAGCTTTTTTATAATCATTTTGAGGTTTAAAAAAAACAGCACTGCTGTGATATAGTTTGTGTGCGTGTGGGTCGTGGCTTATTTTCGAATTACTTGTTTTAGGAAATAGAAACTATTTCATCTCCTTTCTCTCTCACTTTGTACTCCCATGACTCCAATTCTGAGAAACTCTCTATTACGCACACCACTTCGTGCAGTATGGGATGTGGCAGGATATCAAACCGAAACTTTATTATGGCCCGCTTCCGCTTCCAAACCAAAAACCATCTTGCTCTTCATTCCCGGTAATCCCGGACTGGTAGAGTACTACACCAGTTTTCTTGAAGGCATCTATCAGGCCATTCCTTCTCCTGCATTCGAAATCATTGGTGGTAAAAAAGTAAACACCTAATCAAAGCGTGCGCTGTTGCATTGACCACCCCCCCCTTCTACATTTTTTTTATATTTAGTCTCTCATAAAGGTCATTCAAAAAACTATCACGAACACAACTCGGGCGATAAAAACGCGTACACACTCGAAGACCAAATTCAGCATAAATTAGATTGTATCGATACCCTCATTAAAGAAAATGGACCCGAAACCAACTTTATTCTTGTGGGACATTCAGTTGGCTCTTACATTTCTGCAGAAGTTTTAAAAAAGAGACCTCATCATGGCATTTCTCGTGTCATTGCACTTTTCCCCACCTTGAGGGAAATTGCTATTACTCCCAACGGTGTCAATATCAATGTAAGCGAGTCAGAAGCAACACACACACATATATACAAATTCTAATTTCGAAATACTTGTGTTTTAGCGCCTTATCAATGCTGTTCCTACTTCGGTATTCGGTATTGCAGGATCACTTGCGTCTTATTTAGCACCACCTGTACGACAATTCTTTGTAGGTGTGGCTACTGGGCAATCGGGCGATGGACTTCAAGTGACTGCACATCAATTGATGCATTCATCCGTCTTGAAGAATGTCATTACGATGGCACGCTGTGAAATGGAATCCATCAAGGATTTAGACCATGATTTTTATGTGGATCATTTAGATAAGTTTGTTCTATACTATTCGGCCAATGATAAATGGGCCCCCAAGGACCATCATGATTACATGATCAAACACTTTCCTACAGGTAATTTTAAAGACCAGCATTATTCCGGAAGGGGACGGGCATTAACTTTTTTTGAGTAGGAACTGTTCATCTTTGTGCGGAAAATATACCTCATGCATTTTGTTTAGGTAATTCAATTGAATTCGTTTAGGGTTGAATAGTGTTTACTAACTTATTTTTTAAATGATAGAGCCTAAACATGTTGATTACATGGTTGAAAAAGTTAGATCTTGGATCAAAAGTGATATTAAGAAGGCCTAATTTAGATTTTTTTTTTTTTTTTTTTTTTTATTCAGCCACATCATTACATTTTATTATCAGGAATGATACTTTGTTTTGACGTGACAGACAAATAAAATCATGTCTCTCTCTCTTTTTTTTTGCATGTAACTGACTTGTAGTTGACCTTATGCGTCTCAATTATAAATGCATTATGAAAAAGAAGGAAACTACAAGACCAAAAGTAAATTCATTGGTGGTACAAAATATGGCTCCTTGTAAGCTAAATATACTTATAAAACAACATTTATTATTTATTTATGAGCTGATAATCCAAAAGGCTAGTTTTGTTTTTATTGTTTATCTTTTCTGAATCATTCTATACTGACAACAAGGTAGTATTCGTTCACATAACATGTGTAGCCTCTCTTAGTTATTTATTGACAACAACTTTTTTATCAGCCTGGAATCAATGATTCTGTGTAAATTTTAGGTTTATGTTATGGGAAATGACTGCATTAAGAAAAGTTCCGTGTAACTCGGCTCCCTTTTGTTTGACAAAGTGCTAAATGAGCATCTGTATAGTCTCCAAAACCCAATTCCGTCAAAATGGATTGTCCAGAATGATATTCCAATTAGTTTTTTTGTCTTCCTATAAAAGCAAGAAAATATTCTATTTTTAAGCTTTGTGGGCATAATATAGCTCTCTTTTACTATCGCCTGTAGTGTCATAAAACGAGAATTCGCAAGTAGCTCAAGAAAAATCCCATTTTGTTTTAAGAATTTTAGTACGTGCACATCCCTTATATTACGCACTTGGGAAATTTCTAGTCAGTAGTGTTAAATAAAACTTCCCATCAAGCAGCCATGTAAAGCTGATAATTTTTACTGGATTTATAACCAACATACATAGTGTAGATGCTATATCATTGAATTCAAGTTGTATAAAAGCATAATAAAGCTATGCCCTAACTACTATTTATCTATGTTTTCTTCTTACTTAGTAGTGGTTTTACTAAACCTAAGAATTCAAAAAAAGGCTATTCACGTTAATCATACAATACAGGGAGAAAAACAGGAAGCCTGGTCATCACATGAATTTTCAACTCACTACGAATTTACATATTGATCTTGGCGTCATGAGTAATGGTTTACTTACTTTACTAAAATTGGCATGAACTTTTTAGGCGATCTTGTTCAACATGATACAAAAGGGAAGGGGGAATATCATTACTTCCCTTTAGATTTAATGTTACGAGTATATTTGGATGGATATTTTTACTATTTCATCAAAGCTCGAATTATACTTGGCATATAACTTGTAGATGTATATATCACAATTTGACGTCTTTAGTTTTCCCATCAAACAGTATTAAATAAAGCATAATTACTCTTAATTGGTCATCAAGAAGGGCGCCTTTAAAATATGAATATGTATCGCTGTATCGTTTATAGACGCAAGAGTAAAAAGATGGTGAATAGTGCCTCTCGTACTGCCCAAGGGCACTACTAGACAGCATTGAATAATGAATGATTGGAATTGCGTCTATGATATTCAGTTCACTCAATACTCGCACCAACTATGGACTGCTTAATATGTGTTTCAAGACGGGTTGTTTAGAGTCATTAAGGCAAAGTGTCTCCCTCATGGGAATTTAGTGGACACACTATATCTACTCTGTTGTATCACATGGTTCACTTTTGATACTAGAGTAATTCTACTGTTGTAAATAAATGGTCTCGCTTTATGCTGGGCAATGACTGAATGAATTCTATAAAGACGTTTGGTTTTGAGCATTTAATTTCTAATTTTTACCCTGTTGTATTACCTAACACTTGAAAAAAAAAGAACAACTAGTTTTATTTAATGATTGAAAAGAAGCGTGATTTTTCGTTACTTGTTACGGTCCACCCAGATTCATATTTATAATTATCATTGTGAAGTAGAGAGTCAATGTGATTTTAACCCAGGTAAATAAATAATTAAAAGAAAGTCCACTATCACCAATGATAATGGGAGTTCACTGATTTCCACTCAGATCGCGATAGGCTTATAAATACCCTTTCCATACTCGGTTTGTTATGGTACAAGTGAAACCGATCAATTTAAAAATTAGATTGTAACCCTTTTTAGATCTCTACCCAAAAAAAAATCTGATAATTATTTGGGTTAACTCCAGACTCTCGGACCCAAATGCTAACTGAAATTAAACGAATCAAAAGATGGACAGAAATACATTGGGAATTATGCTAAATCAAGGTTTTACAATGGCCAATGTATATTATATATAAAAAAAAAGGGAGGATTCTTTTTTTTAGATATATAAAATTATAGCAATTAAAAGGTGTGAGATATTTTTATTATTGTAGTGCAAGATTACAAAATATCAATTATGTTGGGTAGTGAAAATAAATAAATGAGAAATAAGAGTAATGTAGTTTTCGGTTTTTTTTTTTTGAAAATAAATAAATAAGGAGTTTTTTTTGGCTAATTAGTTAAGACATAAAGAGCTTAAAGGGCAAAGTAACTAGCACAGGCGACTAAAGCCATAGCATATCCACCGAGTTGCAACTTGCTAGCAGCACTTTCAGGGGCAGCAGCAGCGGGAGATGAAGCAGCAGCGGGCTTACCGCTGTGAGAAGCACTGGCAATAGCAGAGGAAGCAGCAGAGGCACCAGAGCTAGCAGCAGAAACACCGCTAGATAAAGCAGTGGCAACAATAGCAGGGGCACCAGAGCTGGTAGCAGCAGCAGTGGTAGCATCAGCAGCAGGGGCAGTGGTAGCATCGGCAGCAGGGGCAGTTGTGGTGGTAACGGCAGCGGCAGTAGTGGTGGTAACAGCAGCAGCAGTGGTGGTGGTGACGGCATCACCAGCACAGACATCGTCCTTATGTTCAGCATACCATGCACAAGCACCAGCAAATTCAGCATTGAAGAGCTCAACAGGGTCACTACAGGTGGCCATACACATACCAGCGGTTGTCATGAAGGCTGTGTATTGAGAAGTACCCTTAGTACACATCACCTTTAAAGAGGGAAGGAACTTTTCAGAGGTGCTATCCATAGTCCAACCTGAAACGTAGGTTTGACCGGCTTTCTACAATTATTTACTTTTTTTTTAGATGACAGCACACATTTACCGAAAATAAAATATCTTAATTACTTACGACATTACAAGCAGTGAAACAATCACCAGAACCAGCAACGTTGTAAGAAGGGTTACAGTTGGCGGCGGAAGCGACAGCAGCGGCAGAAATGATGGAAAGAGCAATGGCAGAACGCATATTTGATGATTGCAAAAAAAATAAAGAAATTGATTGTAAAGAGAAAAAAAAAGAGAACAGAGAGAAAATCTACAAGTTATATTTAAAGTAAATTTTTTATTTTGTCACCCCCTGTTGGAACCTGAGTTGTACACTCTTTTTCTTTCTGTCTTAATAGATTGAAAGAACGGATAATTGCGGACTATGGCTCCCCGCGCCTTTTGGAGTTAAAAGCTGAATACACAATAATTTTTTTTTTTTGATACCCAGTAGAAATAGTAAAAAAAGCAATTATAGTTTAACAGAAAGGGTGGGACAGTTGTGTAACAATAGTTTTATCAGATTCTTCTAATATAACACAAAAAATCAGATATCTTTTTTTTTTTTTTTTTTTTTTTTTTTTGATCTCACTTATTTGTGTACCAAAGAAAGAAACATCTAGAATTACCAATGACTTGGAGTAATCGTAAAAAAAAAGATCTACTAAAAACACGTCTATCTTCTTTGTAAGTGCCACTTTTGCTTTACCTATTCTTTGTAAAATACAACATTTAGATGGAAACTCAAGATTACAAATGGGACAATGGTAATCTCCGCAAAAAAGGTTTAACACGAGTTTTGTTTCCAAACTTGAAGCAAGGAACAAAAAAAAATCTCACAGAAGAGTGAGAAAATTCCCTGGTCAGTGGATATACTAAAATACGAAAAAAGTTTTCACATCTGATAAGATTTTATTACGAAAAAAAATAATAATTATAGATGCTTTTTTCGGGTATTGTAATATTTTTTTTTCCATCTGATAATAAAATAACTAATACCACGGTAGAATGGTTGCACTTTCCGTACGCTCTTTTTCTACTTATTTTATACTTTTATTTTTTTTATTTTTTTCATATCTTTGTGTATAAAAAAACAAGTTGAAAGTTTTCCCCTTCTTCTTCTTTTAACTTTCACAAAATAAAAAAATGAATCAAGACTCAAGTTATTTGAATGAAAAGACGGCTGTGTCAGAGTCTAGCGTCGTCAGCGTTGATTACAACTCATCTTTACGAGAAGTCGATCAACGACCTCCTCGAAAATTTATGTGGTGGATTCCACTTCAACCGCATGTACATCCTTTGCAGTTCTTTGCCATGATCTTTGCCGTCTTTGTTTCACTATCATTGATTGTTTATATTGCCGGCGCCCAAACCCAGATTTTATACGGTATCCTTAGTATCACCAAGAATCCAGGTGACATCACAGGTTCCTTATCTCTCTATGCTGAAATTATTGCTCTCTTCGGTGTCATTGGCTGGTGCATGGCTGCAGATCATATCGGTCGTCGTGGTGTCATGAGTTGTTCCATTGTACTTATGGGTGCTGGTGTCGTCAGTTATTCATATATCTCCAATGTCTATCCTCAAATGCTCATCATTCGTCTTGTCTTTTCCATTGGTTCTTCAGGCTCTACTGCCATGATGGTTGCCATGATGATGGAAGTTGCTCACGGTAAAGGTGGTCTTGTTGCTGGTAGTATCGGTATTGCTTCAGGTCTGGGTGCTACTTTTGCTGCTCTCTGTCTCTTCTTGGTCCCTGCTTTACTCTCTCTTAAATACCCAGACGGTTTTGATGGTTTGATCTATTCCAATGCCATTATTGGTTCCACTGCCATGGGTCTTGGTGTAATTTTATTCTTTTGTATGCCCAAGGATTCTTGCAAGCGTCCACCTGTCAATCACTTTAAGGGATTTTTCTTAAAGATTTACAGTGGTATTAAACTCGGTAAGGAACCTAGAATTGCTCTTGGTTATGCCTCTAGTTTCTTTGCTCGTGCTGATGAAATTATCATTACCAACTTTTTGGTGCTCTGGGTCACTCAATATTATATTGAAGCTGGTAAATGTAAGCCAGGATCCACTTGTCTTTATGCTTTAGCCTCTTCTTCTTCTTTATCTGGTTATGCGCAATTGGTTGCACTTGCTGCGACAGGTTTCTTTTCCTTGGCTTCTGAATATGCCCCCAAGGAATGGGCCGTCTTTATTGCTGGTGTTGTGGGTGCATGTGGTTGTATCCCTTTTGCATTCTCTATTGATCCTACTAGTAAGCTCTCACTTGGTTTTGTCATTTTGATTGCTGTAGGACAGTACGGTATGATTATCTCGGGTATGGCGATGGTGGCCGGTGACTTTATTGACAGAAAAGATCATGCAGCTGTCAGTGCTACTTATTCATTTATTGGCGCTATTGGTATTATTATCCTTTCCAAAGTCGGTGGTGTCTTGTTTGATCGTTGGATGAAGGGAGCTCCCTTCTTGTTGCTGGGTATTGGTCATTGCTTGATGATGGTTGGTTCCGTACTTGTATATGGACAACGTTTCATTTCAGAACGTCGAAAGAAGTCTACTGTTACTACTCCTTCCTATATCATTGACAACTAATTGTATAATATTTTATTCCTTTACACACATTTTATTTATTTATTATCCCCCAACACACACACACACACACTTATTCCATTATTTATTTTTTTCGAAAATCTCATTCCATTATTTATTTATTTATTACGTTTTTTTTTAACTATCGTTTTTTTTTCACTCGTCAAAAAAAAAAAAAGGTAGACAAATTACATCCAAAACTCTCTTTTTTTATTTTTACATTATTCCTTGTTTAACCCTAAAAATATGAACACATCCTTGGGTTCATTATTTTTGACACCAAAATTTTCAAACCACTTGCACTTTTTTTTTTTTAAATAAAATTCATTACATTTTTTCCCCTTTTTCTCTTTAATGTAACGCGAGAACATTGTTCCAATTATTAATTACAAACATTTTTTCAAACACCTTCCTTTCAAATGATGGTAAGGTGGCACGGATAATCATGCGCAGTCATAAAAATTACAACCCCCCCTGTTGGCCTGACCTCTCTCTCTCACAAGGGCTTTACTACAGTAAAATACACAATAAGTAATCTAAATAAACCTTAAATATTCCAAATATACTCAATAAAAAAAGCCGCGGTTTGACAAACCATGTTTTTATAAATACACATATAAAACCATAAAAAAGGGAGGGACCCGCCATCTTATTTTAGCATCTGATAAAATCGTATGAAACCTTTTTTTTTTATCAGATTCTTTTTTGTTGTATTTTGTTACATGAAAACCCGCCCCCGATCAACTTACATAGAATCATCCCACTTTCGGAAAAATATATTTTCCTTCCTTTTTTTTTTTTTTTTTAAGTTAGTTGGGCCCTTGGCAAAAAAGAAAAGTTGACAACGCCTCGGGGATACCAAAATATTTGTGTGACAACCTCAACTTTTTTATTTTTTTTTTTAATTTTCAATTTCAGGTGACCACATTCGAGCTTGCACAAAGGCATCATAATCATCTGGGTGCACTGCCTTCATTTCATCATCCGCCAAACCATCTCGCACAGACTGATCTACCACTGCTGATGCAATCGTAGCTGATACTTCTCGAATACGATTTAATTCAGGATACAACAACCCACGTTCTCTTTCCTGTGGTGTCAACGTATCTGCCAACGCCATTGCAGCACGCAACACAATACGGTTTGTGATCGTCTTGGGTTTTGCCAGAATCGCTCCAAAGCCAATACCAGGAAAGATGTACATGTTGTTTCCCTGTCCAGGCGTACGTATTTCATTTGTACCCGGAATCGTATAAGGAGGGAAAGCAGTACCTGAGGCAAACACTACCTTATTCTTGGTCGCTTGCATGGCTTCTTCAAAGGTACATTCTGCTTTACTGCTTGGATTGGATAAGGGGAAAACAATGGGTTGTTCATTCAATTCACTCATACGTGTCAATGCCTCTTTATCAAACGCGTTCTTTCTGGATGATAAACCAATTAATGTGGTTGGTTTAACATGATTGATGATCTCTTGCAAGGATTTAAATTGTTGTCCTTTATTATCCGTTCTAGCATAATACACTTTATGTTGAGCCAAATCCTCATCTCCTCGATCACAGGTAATTAAACCCTTTGAATCAATAAAATAAAACATGTCCTTGGATTCCTTTTCCGATAACCCATGTTCAATCTGTAAATACTCTCCAATTTGTCTTGCTACACCTACAGCGGCAGATCCAGCACCATAAAACACAATGCGATGTTGATCTAATGGTATCTCCACTTGTCGAAATGCGTTAATGAGACCAGCAAGAATCACTGCACCCGTTCCTTGAATATCATCATTGAAACAAGTTATTTTTTCCTTGTACTCTTTTAATAAACCAAAGGCATGGGCACTGGAGAAATCTTCAAATTGAACCACCATGTTGGGAAACGCTCTTGTCAATGCCGTCAAGACTTTTTTCATGGCTGCATAAAATACATCGTCACTGGGTCGCTTTTGTCGACTCCCCAAATAAAATTCATCCGCTTGATTATCGTGCGAGTTCGTACCAAAGTCAAGGACAATGGGTAGCGTACGACGTGGATCAATACCTGCTCCAGCAACATACAGCTGTAATTTACCCATACTAATTGGCATCCCGTTCATCCCAAGATCTCCCAATCCCAATATACGCGAACCATCTGTCATCACCGTAATATCCGGTATTTCTCCCTCCGTACGTTCAAGATAATCACTGATTATTTTATCTAAATCATCAAGATCATCTAAAGTGATATAGAGTCCATCGGGTGTCCCCGCCGGTGAATTCAGAAAAGGGTAAATGGCCGAATAATTTAAACACGCTTCTCCTACCGTGGGTGTATAGATAATCGGAGCAAATTCCTAATCACCTTAAAGTGTTGGTTAAAAGATGTTTTTCTTATCATTTTGGCTTAGTTTACCTCGATATGGTTGTTGACAAGGCTGTAAAAGAGTTTGGTATTATTGTTACGTAGCTGCGCCATAAACAGGTATTTTTCAAAGGGTGAGAGTTTAGCACGTAAAAGTTTCAAGGCGCGTTTCGATTGCATCTCGAGACTTTCTACTACACTAGGGATTTGACCATGGATACCCAGTTGTTTACGTAGTTCTCTTGGCATGGATGTACCTGAATAACAACCCGTGCTTAATCATCAATTTTTTTTTAAATTTTATGCACAGGGGCATCATGCCTTTTTTTTTTTTTACCCGTGTTATAATAAGGGGAGGATAAAGCGTGTTTCCATTCTCCAGAAAGAATAGTCGAGGTATGAATGTGACGTGTGGATTGTACACGTTTTGTTGTACCTATGAAACGCGTAGCAAGTCGAATAAAACTCATAATAAGTAAAAAAGAGAGTAATCCTTTTGTCTTTTTTTTTTTTTTTAGATTATTTATTAAATGCAACTATGACGAATCATGATGATTTTAGAGTCACAAAAAAAAAACTTTAAACGATGAAACCTCGATTTAACCAATCCAAGGAGACTCGTACAGTGTGAATTTGCAACAGATTTTTCGTGATGGCAGTAGGCGTGGATAAGAAGGCATGTTTACGACATCGATCACTGGGACGACATTGATGACAGGTATTCTTTATGGTTTTTAGACACGAATAAGCGATTTGGACATGTTCATTCATGCGACGTTCTCCATGTTCACCCGGTCGCCACCCGATTTTTAATAAGGTCATTGAATCATCTTCACTCAGGAAATGGATCCATTCTTTACAATACATACGAATCACTAAAAAATTATCTGCAGGCATCTCCAGCGTATCCGTCGAAACAAATCTCAGGGTACGTGAACGCGATTGATAACCCACACAGGTAAAAGTAGCCAAAGGTATCAATGGCGTATCGCGGTTGCATAATAGACTGAAATATTCGGACGGTGTTTGGAAAAATAACGTCCATCCATCTCGTTTGATGCGGGCTAACAATTCTTGATGACTGTAAAAATTTAGTGACTGTTCATTTCGGGTCTTGATAAGGTCTAACAGAGGAAGAAACGAAAAGATGTGTAATACAATATCGGGTGGTAAGCGTAACATAGTGTCAACTGCATTGCAGAACAAAACAGAGAGAAAAAGAGCAATTGGGAGAGAATGAGATCTTATTTTACCCTCCTAGGAGCCTTTTTTTGATTAATTAGGGTAGGGGTTACATTTTTAGAGAGAGAGAGAAAATTTTTTTTTTTTTTTGTAGGAGGACTGTTTAAATTTTTTAAAAAAAATTTTTTTTAGACAAGTATAAAAGATGAAGGAATGAGCCAACTTTCTTGTAAAAAATATTATCTTTTATCTCTCAAACAATTCTAAATGGTAAGTTTTTATTCTCTTTTTGTGATTGGGAAAAAAAAAAAGAATAGTTTCGCTTTCTTTAAGGATGATTCAGGCATTTGACTTTAGGGTCTGGAAGGCCGTACTGGCTGACCAGAACCGTTGACGAAAAACCCCTAGCTACCTTTAACAAAACCTCTGATATAATTAAAGCAAATTATTATCTTTTATTTTTCTTATTTACAATATTTATATTGCAAATCAGTTTTATTAATTATATATTTTTCTTTTTCAATAGATTTCTATTCAATTTTCTTTTTGGGTTCTCTCTTTGGGCTTGATTGAAAATTAAATATTTCATTTAGTTTTGTTTGATATATTTAATAAAAAATTATATTATACCTATAAATCTTTTTCTTTTTCTCGTGTTCTTCAATTTAAACTTTTTTTTTTGTCGATCGTCTCATATATTTGTTGCTATGACAACTTCGCCTTTGTGTTGAATCTAATTAAAAAGAAAATTGAGAGGGAGGTTTGTTCCGTGTATTTTTAGATACTTTCATTCTTTTTTTTTCTATTTAAAGAGAGTCGAAAATAAAAAAAGTAGAATGTCTATCCATATCTTATTTTCTGCAGTTTTTACTCCCCCCATTCCATTCCTTTTATCGTTATGTCACTTTCCACTCGTTTTTTCACACTCTTTTCCAAAAAATCCAATGACGACGACATGAAATCGACAGAAACGCACTGGTATTATTGTCAAGATTGCAAGATTGGTTTCGATTCTCAGATTCGACTTTACTGGCATACAGATTTATGTAAACACATAAAATCCTAGTGTTCCCCGTCTCCCCCCCAAAAAAAAAAAATTATTCCCATTCTTTTCTTTCTTTTTTCTGTATAGACAATAATAAAAAGATGAACTCTTCCCCCAGAAAAAAAAAAAAAAAAATAGTGGTTTTCCCTTCTATTTTAATCACAATGATTACTCTTTCTTTTTTTTTTGTAGGAGAGGAAGGGGAGTGGGGGGGGGGTATAATGTATAAAGAATAAAGATTAGATTAGGATTGAGAGCGAAGACTGGAAGTTGGACTGGACAGATAAAGATCCACCGAGCGAATTGACTTGGAAATGGTGACAGAAGTGCGTCTTCTTTCATGTTGAAACGATGAATAGAATGGATCGAGTACAGGTGTACTTGTTGGTTTTATAGTAGCATGTTTATGATTGACATCTTGGATACGACATGATTCTGAACAATACAACTACTTTTACAGTTAAAATCCTTGTTCTATTTTTAAACTCTCTTATATTAGACACTTACGTTGTCTTCGTTCGATTGACAATCGCACATGATACACCAAGAAAGATCCATTCTTATATTATTATTGATAAAGGGTTGATAAAGTAAAAAAAGAGAGAGAGAGATAAAGTAAAAGAAACCTTGATTTATACACACCAACCAAAAAAAAAAAAAAAAGATGGGTATTACTCACATCATCTAAAAAAGATAAATAAACCCACGTACAGCGGAGATGATAAGTGCTTTCATTTTTTTTTCTTCCCAATGATAATCCACACGTTTATTTCTTTTTCAGATTGATAGGGACCGTGCACGTTGTTTCATTCTTGTTTTACTGATAGCTACATTCCCCCCCCCCTCCCCCCTACACTCTCCCCCCAAAAATAAACTGACCAAAGCCTTTCAACACCCGCGAAGATCTTTTTTTTTTTTTTGGAATTCCGTACAATGTTATTTAGTGTCAAGCATGATTTCATTGTTGCGCCAAGTTTTTTTTTTTAGAATTGACTGAGCTTAAAGGCCAAGAGGTGCCTCCATACTGAGCGGGAAACTTGGACTCCCTTGCGTCACTCTTTTTTTTTTCTTTTTTTTTTTAGGATTTAAAAAGGGAACGTTTTTCCCTCTCCCCAAGCGCGTTTTTTCTTTTCTTTTTCTCTCTTTTATTAAATATTATAAGAAAAATGGAGGACGAAGTTGCTGCTGTAAGTTTCTTTTTTTTTGTTTGAGAAAAGGCAGATGACTGACATTAACATCATCTACAATTTTTTTTTAAAAAAACAATAGTTGGTTATTGATAATGGTTCCGGTATGTGTAAGGCTGGTTTCGCTGGTGACGACGCACCCCGTGCAGTAAGTAATAGACAAAAAAGGAGGAGGTAGAAGTGGTCAGATAACAGTAAAGTAACCACGTGTGATATAGGTTTTCCCCTCGATTGTAGGTCGTCCCCGTCATCAAGGTGTGATGGTTGGTATGGGCCAAAAGGACTCCTATGTTGGAGATGAAGCTCAATCCAAGAGAGGTATCTTAACATTACGTTACCCCATTGAACACGGTATTGTTACCAACTGGGATGATATGGAAAAGATTTGGCATCACACCTTTTATAACGAACTCCGTGTTGCCCCCGAAGAACATCCTGTTCTCTTGACTGAAGCTCCTTTAAACCCTAAATCTAACCGTGAAAAGATGACTCAAATCATGTTCGAGACCTTCAATGCCCCTGCCTTCTATGTTGCTATCCAAGCTGTTCTTTCCTTGTATGCCTCTGGTCGTACCACTGGTATCGTTCTTGATTCCGGTGATGGTGTCACTCACACTGTTCCTATTTATGAAGGTTATTCTCTTCCCCATGCTATCTTACGTCTTGACATGGCTGGTCGTGATTTGACTGATTACTTGATGCGTATTCTCGCTGAACGTGGTCATTCTTTCACTACCACCGCTGAGCGTGAAATCGTTCGTGATATCAAGGAAAAGCTCTGTTATGTTGCTCTTGATTTCGAACAAGAAATGCAAACTGCTGCCCAATCTTCTGCTCTTGAAAAGTCCTATGAGCTTCCTGATGGTCAAGTCATCACTGTTGGTAACGAACGGTAAAGTATTTTTACAATTTAATGAATTTTTTTCTTATTTTGAAAAGGAGACTAAAAACAAATATGTGTATTTTAGTTTCCGTGCTCCTGAAGCTCTCTTCCAACCTTCTCTTTTGGGTCTTGAATCTGCCGGTATCCATGAGACCACCTATAACTCCATCATGAAGTGTGATGTTGATATCCGTAAGGACTTGTATTCCAACATTGTCATGGTAAGTTTTATAAACAGAGAGTAATGTGAATGTGAGTGAGTTAATTAACGTTATGAATGAAATAGTCTGGTGGTACCACTATGTATCCTGGTATTGCTGACCGTATGCAAAAGGAAATCACTGCTCTTGCTCCTTCTTCCATGAAGATCAAGATTGTTGCTCCCCCAGAGAGAAAGTACTCTGTCTGGATTGGTGGTTCTATTTTGGCTTCTCTTTCCACTTTCCAACAAATGTGGATCTCAAAGCAAGAATACGACGAATCTGGTCCTTCTATCGTTCACAGAAAGTGTTTCTAAATTATCCCCCCCCACATCCCAACCAATTACACATCTCCCTTTTCTTACCCACAATTTTTTAGTAATAAATTACACTCTATTTAAATCTTTTTTTTTTTTTTTTGTAAACCATGGAAACTCAAAGAAAAGTGGAATGCGACTATAATCCTCTCAAGGCATGTCTTGAAGCAAATAACAATGACCGTGCCAAATGCATCAAGGAATGGGACGAATTTCAACGTGCTTGTCGTGAAAAAAAGTAAGCATTCCCTTTTCAATTTCTAACACCTTGTCATGCTTGACCCAACACCACTTTTTTTTTTTAGACAATTAGCAAATGACAAGTCTGATTGTGAAGCATGTCAAAAGAAATAACTTTGAATAAACTCTTTTTTTTTCACACGAGATTAAGGTTTTTTTTTTCAGATAGATTTGTCATAGGGCTTTATTTGACAGTGATCCTTTTCACTACGCACTCAAAATTGGGAGTTTGAAATACCTTGTAAAAAGATGAGGCAGCCAGGGTTTACAGTTTGTTGAATGTTAAAAATTCCCCAAAAAAGACCTACCGCGGGTCTTCCCCTCCTCCCAACAGATTCACGGAACCCTACTTGATTGGATACTTTCTCCCACGTTGGTCTTTCCTATTCATCCGTTGCCTTTGCCCAGTTTTATAGACTTTACCCTGACAACGGTTTTTTTTTTACGCGCGCGCGAAAATGAATGATCCTATACGCACTAACATGCCCCATCTAAAAGAAGGGTTATTTTCTTTCTTTTTTTGGACGGTATAGTAAATACTAGTCCCCCTTCAAACAAAAAACACTCACTCTATCATACGATGATAATAAACACTACAGGTAGTACTAGCTAAAGTTCCAAAATGTAGTCATCTAGGTATGTTTTAATCGAGAATCCAACATTTTACAAGACTAACTTCTAATGTTCTATGTGTGGATTTAATTATAACAGTAAAAATGGTCGCGAAATGGTTTTTTTTTATATCTCGGATTGTGTATTATTGTCAACATCTCTAAACAAACAAACAAAAGACACAATAGAACTCATAAAGAGGCTTTTCTTCTGTAGGTATGTTTTATTCAATTTCTATAAATGACACTTCTCAAGGCCATTTATTTCAACGGCTTTATCACCTAATTGGTCTACACTTTTTTTTTAAGGACCAGCTTTTTATTTTTATTACTTTTTCCATTTATAAAAAATTAATTTTTAAGACATCTTAAAAAAATAACCTGTTTGGCTCACTACTACTATGGGACGAATAATCTCCCTCCTCTTTCTGTGTAGAGAGATAAGTTTTTACACAGAAACGTGCTGCCCATATATGGCATTTATACAGGGAAAAAAAACATCGGTTGCAATGGGAGTGGAGACACTTTTAAATTTTTAGCCCTACGCAATGATTTTAGTAGTGATCGTGCGTAGTGCACATTAGCTTATACTACTCTTACTAGCGTTCTATTGCCCCCTTTTATTAAGTGCTAAAGTAGCTTAGAACAATGTACTTAAGATCAGAAAGGGCAGAATATTTAGTAAAGCCTTGCATGAACAGAAAATAAGAGTGACACGCGCTGAAAGAAGGAATGTTAATAGGGGACGTGTGTGTTTTTAGATATATATATATATATAAAAAGACAGTTACTTTTATTTATATAAATGAACAGAGAAGAGAAACCATTAAATAAAAATAGGCAATAACTTTGAGTGTAACATCGAGCGGTGTTGCCATAATCTCAGGTAACATGTGCCAATTTACTCTGTTCTATAATTGTAACCCTTTTCCCTCTTTCTTTTTTATATAATTTGTTCTTGCAATTCTCCCTTTCCACGCTTTATTTCATTGTTCTTTTTCTTCCTATCCTTTTTCTTTTCACACTCCTTTTCTCTTTCTCTCTTGAATTTTTTATTTTATTTATTACGTTAAATAGTAATCTAGCAATAAATTTGGTGCAACATATAAACAACACCCAATTTTTTATATTATTATTATAAAAAAAAAAAAAAAACTTCATGTTACGATTGACATTCATCTAAAAGCACCATTACATTACAATTCACAACTCAGTATGAGACACTATTATTCCAGCTTACTATTACTGCTATTCACGTTACTGAATGGCACTCTAGCATCGTACGTTACACATCCCAATATCAATTTTGATCCTCTGGAGCAACTTACCATATCTGGAACATACAATGGCATATCCTTATATAAGGACACCAAACAATTAACTTCTCTTCCACCTTTAACATCCTCCGTCATCTCACTATCAAACGATACCTTACAGCTTTTGGGTTCATCCAGTATAGATGGATCCATTTACGATGCCTGTATTTTCAAAAACACCTTGATATTCGGTGGCAATTTCACAACCATGGGAGATCAATCTGTCAAGAATATTGCTTCCATCGATTTAACAACGCATCAACTCAAACCTTTATCAAAGGGATTAGACGGTATTGTTCACAGTATTTATTGTGATACCGATCAGGTCTATGTAGGTGGATCCTTCACCGCTCCCAGCACATCCGACAGTGTCAGCTATTCAACCTCTCTCTCTCAATTTGGTGGAAATGTTGCATTATGGAAAGGTGAAAAATGGGTTGGATTACCTTGGAAAGGTCTTAATGGTCCTGTATATTCCATCTTAAAGAACAAAAATCAAATTGTTTTTGGCGGTCGTTTTGATACCACGACAGATGGTCAATCACTTCATGCACCTGCAAGTCAGCCCATTAGTCTACCTGCAACCGTAAGTTTCTTTTTTTTTTTTCATTAAACACCTTAATTAAAAAAAAAAAAGGTTCCTTAACTTTCTTTTTTTGTGTGTGTAGGGTGTTTCAGCAACATCTGGGTTAAATCCTTCCTCTATTTTATGTAGCTCCTCTTCATGGCTATTAGATGAAGGAGTGCAAGGTACTTGGCAAACAGCTTTTTCAACTTACAGCGTCAATCCTTCTCTTGTCCGAATCGCAAACTCAAAAGTAGAAAACCGTCAAACAAAAGAATTTTCGTAAAAATAACAAAACCCCACACACACACCCATACACAATTAATTAAAGGAGTTGCTGTAATCTTCTCCTCCCGCCCACCCTCCCCTCCTCCGAATATATTATATTAACCATTTTTTTATTTATTTATTTAATTATTTAGTATTCGGTCATTAGCAAATACGACACAGCTTTTCTCTTTATCCTATCTGGACCCAATTACTGGCATTGCTGTCACATGTAGCGATAATTGCACCTTATCCAACAATCCCTCTGTCACCTACCAAGATTTTAGAATCCTAGATACCTTCATGACAACAGGCATTGCCATTGATATCAAATCTTGGTACGGCGTAGGTGGTGGTCTATCCTCTGTCCAAGTATTTCAATCCGAAATATTCACTTATGCAGTCAATCCCGATCCCACCAATATCTGTACATCCAACGTCACATTACCCAAAGTCTCCACCGTAGGAAATTGGACTACTGTCACATCCGGTTCACCTTATTTATCTTATCCCATCAAATCTACGCTGGATACATCCTCCGTCACCTTTTATCCAAACATTGCAGAATCAGGCATTTACGAGGTGTTGGTTTACACACCACCATGCAAATCAACCGCTTGTTCAGAACGTACAGATATCGACCTGAGCTTTGCCCTGTCCAAGGCCAATAAAGAAAACGCCACCATGAGTCAAAAGTATCCCGGAAGTAGATCCATCTTTACCGGCTATTTCGATCTTTCCGACAATTACAATCCTTCTATCGTACTTTCTTTAGCGAAAAATGCTTCCATTACCACTTCTTCTGAACTCGTCGCTTTATCCGTTCAACTTGTAAAAATGGCTACCAATGATGCTTTATCCAGTGTCTTGGTCTATAACTCCACACAAACGAATATCACCATGACCTCACTTGCTTGGGGTGCACTTCCAGGTAAGACCTTTTTCGTCTTTTTTTTTTTTCTACGCCCCCCCCCCCATATATTAAAAAAAAAAGAATTCTTATTGTAGATAACGTACCTTATAATTCAATTGTACAAGCCATGGAAGTGACTTTGGATGGGGATTTATATTTAGCTGGTGAATTTACCGGTAAAGATGGACTCGGCTCACAATATACCAATATTGCACAGTATGATGCTAGTGCAAAAAAAATTCTAGCATTGCCTGGCGGAGGTTTGAATGGCGCCATTCATGCAATTGCTGTTACTTCCACTGGTAAAAAAAAAAAAAAATGCATACAAATGAACGTCCTATATATACTCAAACTTTGCTTTTTTTTTAATATATGTATATTTAGATCTTTACATCGGAGGCAGTTTTAATAGTATGATCAACTCAACAACTACATCGTCAAATAGCTTGACAAATGTTGCTCAATATAATATACAAAAATCTGCCTGGAGCTCTTTAAAATCGGTAAGAATAGCCAATAAGCCCAAAAAAAAAAAAAAAAAAATGCATGGGGAGGGGATTTTCTAAACAAAACCATCTTTTAAAAATAAATTAGGGTGTAAATGGACCTGTGAAATCATTAAGTGTATCATCAAATTCTTTACTTGTTTCCGGAGATTTCACACAGCTGGTGAAATCGGTTGCTGATACGTACCCCATAAGAGCATCTGGTAATGCTTGGTGGGATACAAAAAAAGCACAATGGATCTCCGATAGTAGTGTACCTTATTTATCAGGCACGGTCTATAAAACATTGACTGCAGATGATACGGATTATTTTGTGGGTAATGTGAAAAGTGCACAACGATATCAATCCGATGGTATTTCTTTCTTTACCTCCAAGGATACCTTACAATCTATTCCATTCTATCCTGGTGATAGTCAATCCTCTATTAGTTCCGGCGTCTTATTCAGCAGCAGCAGCAGCAGCAGCAGCAGCAGCAGCAGCATGGTATCGGAAAATACGAGTTCGACAACAATATTTGGTGGTGAATTTGTTTTACCTAATAATATTCAAAATATTGCCATTTATAACAATCTCAATCATACCTGGAGTGGATTTGAAGGTGCAAATTGGCAAGGTCAAATAAGTACCATGGCCGTTCATGAAAACTTGCTCTATGTGGGCGGTCGATTTACAAGTGCAACGGGTAATAATTTGGCGGTTTTCAGTATTTCCAATCGATCTTTATCCTTGTTTCCAAAGGTCCAAAGTAATGACACTCAAAATAATCCTCACTCCCCCACTTTTATATTCTAAAATTTTTTTTTTTTTGTAGCAAGCGATGGATCACCAGCCAATGTGAATATCATTCGTCATATACCTGCTGAAAAAGCAATGATTGTAGGTGGTAACTTTAATTCCATTGATTCACTTGCCTGTACTTCCATTTGTTCCTTGAATACAGTGAATTTTCAATGGAATACACTTGGCTCTGGTCTTGTGGGTGAAGTCCATGACTTTTTATTGATCAATGTAAGAAAAAAAAAATTGTCTCAACTTTAAATTTGTGATTCCCCTTCCCTTTTTTAACATTTCTTTTTTAACAGGAAAAACTAGTTACAAGTGGAAATATGACATTAAACAACTCGCCTCTAACAATAGCAGAATTTGATTTTAAAAAAAATACGTGGGGTCCATTTGATACAGCGAATTTACCAGGTCCTTCTCGTGCTATTTCATATGACAATATGACAAACCATCTTTATATCTCTGGACAGTAAGTCCTAACCCCCCCACACCAATCCATCATGAAACAAAAAAAAATTCTAACATGTATATATATATATATAATAGGACAGCAGATAATTCTTCAACTTACCTTCGTATCTGGGATGGTCAACAATTTAAAGCACCTGTGGTGGAATTAGGATCCGGTAGTCATATTTCGAAATTAACCATGTTACCCATCGCCGATTCCAAAACCAATATATTGCTCGCCACAGGGTTGATCAATTTGGGTGAATTAGGAAATGTCAGTGCGGCGTTTTATGATGGCAAAACATGGATTCCCTATCTCGTGACTTCTAACGACAATGGCGAATCTGCTTTAAGTAGCATGTTCTTTTTAGATCAACCGTATGTTCCTGCCATCATCAAAAGTAAGTACCTATATATATATATATAAAACTATCTTTTTTTTTTGAAAAAAGCTAGGATACTCATTTTCTTTTTTATCTTTCTATATAAAAAAGAATATTTGCCAACTCCTATTGTGATTCTCGTCTCCATCGCTGTAGCACTGGGTATTGTCTTCTTGATCGTATTTTGTGCCATGTGTATCATCTTTATGAAACGTAAAAGAGATCATAAGGTCAACCCTCAATCTAGTCCCTCTGGTTATTACGGAAAACCTCCTCGTACACCTCAATCTCTTTTAACCATGTTGAAAGAAACTTCGGACAACGAGGATAAACAACATATTGACACGGACGATCATGGTCATTACAGCATGGATAAGCCTCGCCATCTCGAACCCGGCACCGAACAATTTTACAACATGTCAAAATCTATCAGTACAGAACACCTTCATGAACAAGCATTAACTCCCTTTAATACCGCTATTGCCATGACCACCGCAAGAGCTCCTCCCCCTCTTCCTACAGCGCACGCACGTTCCGTTTCAAATCATAATAACTTTCATTCTGCTTACCCCGCAACCGCCGCCGCCGCCGCTTTGACAGCCGCTTCGCCTCGACCTGAGTCGTATGCAAGACCCATCAGTGAATATCAACGTGATACCGATTCGTTTTATAACAATGGTTACACAACCGGAGAAATGGTAGAAGTCCCAGGACGTCAAAGCCCTTACAATCCCTTCAGAAATTCAGAAGGATTTACAAACAATCAACCCAGTCCCATGTCTCAATCTGTGGCTGCAAGTGCATTTGCTACTGCCAATAGTCGACACTTACCTTCCAGTCCTACCGCAAACAATTATCCATCCGGTGAGTCGGCATCTTATAACAACATGGCAACCGCTGGTATGGTGGGAGCTGCTGTTCTCGGGGGTACTGCTGCGGCTGCTGCTGGAGCACTCTCGCATCATCAACGCAAAGAAGATAATCAGTCACAAGGATCTAGATCCATTGCTTATAACAATACTCCTCCACCTCCACCTCCCCATCTTCGCGCCTCCCCTCAGACCGGTAAAGGTTCTCCCATGTCTTTGGTAGGTGCATCGGACGAATCATCGTTAGTGGATCCTATCAGTGGACCTCAAGCAACGCGAGCTCATCATGCTGCTACGGGTAATGTAAAATGGACTACGGCCAACAGTAAAGAAGCACTTGCTACAGCCGTCATCACACCCACCATCGCCGTTCATGAATCAGAAAACCATTTACCTCAAGAAAACTATCATGATGCCCAATCCTCGTTATCTGTCAACGGTATGCCTACCACGGGATCCAACGTACGATGGACGAACGTGAATAACCCTGCATTGGGTGTAGCCACAGTCGAACCTGCAGGATCCAGGGAATCCGTCTATCACGATAGTTTTTATTCTCCACTTCAATTAGGATCCTCTACACATTCCAACAATTTATTGAACCCAATTACGGATACTACCTCCGAAGGTCTTTCAAGTGATCCAGATATTGCTCGTTGGACAACTGCCCCCGCTGCAGAAATGGGTACGGTGAAAGTAGAAGCTGTCCCTTCCGAAAGACCCAATAGCGGATTCGGAAGAAGTCAATATCAACCTTCGCTCACATCGCTCAATGCATTCCCTCATGATACACAAGCCCATCTTTCGGACCATGACTACCTATCTCATGCACCTAAAACTCATATCGATGCTGAGATTGAAGAAGCCGCTGATGATGTGAATACCCGAGTCATGCACAAAAATGCTTTCCGACTCTCGGAAGCAGGATCGTTATTAACACCCATTGATACCACCGTATTTCCTACACACAGTGCACAAGACGAGCTCCTAAGCCCGGATTCGGCCGTGCGTTGGAAATCAGCCAACGTGGGTTCTCCCATCGAAACCGCACATGCTGCCAATATCTTGGCTCCCGCTACTGCCATGGTGACACGTCGAAGTGCAAAAGAAGACGAGGATGCATTTGAAGAGTATTATAATCCAAAACCACAAGAGGAGGAAGAATCTAACAAGCCTAAAAAATACCATACACAGGAGACAGAACCTGTAGGAAGAAAGTCAGAATCAATTGATGACGTGATTGCCAATCGAGATTTGAATGCACTTAGTATGCTTATTCAAGATGAAGAAGAGGATCAGATCAATCCACTGTATAAGATGCCCGTGCCTACGATCACACGTAAGGAATCCACAGCAGCGGGTCCAGGTGCAATGGACGGCCGAGCTTCCTCCAAACGTATGGTGGAAGAATACATGTCATCGCGTAATACAAAGAAGACGGAGGAACCCAAGGATAAAAAGGCCAAGTACAAGAGCGATTTTAAATCCATCATGGCGATTGCGATTCAGAATAATACAAAATATCCCATCGCAACCGAGGAAAATCCTCATTTGTATTATGCCAAATTTGAATTCAGTGCGCGTGAGCATGGTGAGTTGGGTTTCGGTAACGCTGATCCGATTATTGTGGTAGATTCCAGTGATGATATCTGGTGGATGGGTTATAAGGCAGATAAATCCGATGGCTCATTTATTCAAGGTGTCTTTCCTAGTAATTATGTTGAAATTGCTACAGAGCTCCGATAAAAAAAAAATCTCTCCTCTCTCACCCCTTTTTCATACTTATACATACATGTCATTTAATCTTTTATATAAACACACTACTTAAATAATAATAATAATATTGTAAAACTTTAATGACGTTTTTTGTTGTTGTTGTTTATGCGTTTAATCTTGACATAAGATGCTCTGTGTTCTGTCTAATAACTGAATCCAACACCTTGTGAATTTGCATACAACCTTCCGTTGCTAACTCTGTAACACTAGCAAGTTTCTCAACGTGAAGTCTAGATTCCATCTTTTGCAATAAGAAAAAAAAAGGTGTAAAGGTTAATGATCCAAAACCTTTATCATGCGCTTCCTCTTCCAAAAAAAAAAATTACCTCTAATAAAGTGACTTTTCCGGTTCTTGGTAATATCGCAACTGTCAACTCGGGTGTATCTGCAGACTCTTCCAAATTATTTAAATCCAAAACAGGCTCTTTATCAATACAACCAGCAGAACAAGCACACACGTAATCCAACATGGGAATACCAGCGTCAACTAAAGCCATGGTGGCAGCATTAATACAACTTTGCAGTAATCCTCCATCATTTTGAAAAATCTGAAGGTAAATATCAATTTGTGTCTTGGGAAATTGAGATGTCAAAATAACAGGTTCAAACGTTTGACGAATAAAAGCTGCAACCTCAAGTGATCGTCTGTTATTTTTTTGAAAAGATAGAGTGTGAGTTCCCTTCTCTCTTTTTTTTTTTTATAAAATGACAGTAGTCTTCCTTACTTGTCGTTCTTTGATCTTTTTTTACGTTCGCTGGAACTGAAAGGAGCAACATTAAACTCGACATTGATAAGTGCACGATCGGCTAAAGCTTGCATACGATGACGAACCTACAACAAAAAAAAAGTGTCCCATTAGCTTACATGCTCACCACCTGTTGCACGTTATCTCTTTTCCTCATTACCTCTCTGGGACCATAAACAGCAGCAAGACACTTGGTATTACCTTGCTCGATATACGCAGATCCATCAGCTTGACTGAAAACTGAGGTCTTTGCTGTAATTTTTCTTAATTCATTGGCTCGACGACCATCAACACGTAAACCTTCGGGGGTGATCAATTCTAAACGAGACTAATATACATATATATAAAAAAAAAGAAGGCATCATAAACACTCGATTCAAGTAACTTTTCTTAAGACAAGTTCCTCGTTTGTTGAGCTTACCATGGGGTTATAAGTAAAGTAGATCTCTTTTGCAAGTTCAACTTTTTTTTTTTTTGCCTAATTTTTTTAAAAAAAAATAGTAGAAATAGCTAGTCACTTTGATGCGGAAAGCTAAAATGAATGGTTGCATTGGGCACAAGGTAGAGAGTATCAGTGTATGATCTAGAAAGAGAGACGTTTATAATTCTATACCATATGGTTGACAGAGTAAAGAAAACAGCCCACTTGATTTACGTGCAGTTATGACGACCAACCTCTTGTAAGTCATATATCTTTTTACTCGGGTATTGTGTAGAGTCTATTATTACGTTTGTTAATACATGAGCTAAAATACTAGCACTTCCACTCTATAATAACTTTTATTTAGAATTAGAGCATACATCATCTCTTTAATAAATAAACAAACTAAAATAGCGGGGAATTGGTTACAGCATAAACAAAGCTTAAAAACTATGTTTCCATTCACGTAAAAAAAAAAGGCCTGTCTCACAATGACAGTGTCACTGGTAAAGTGTATTGAACCGGAGGGGACGGTCCCCCTCCTCTGAAGTGGCTTTCTTAACCGGTTCAATTTACACCTTGCCTGTGATGACACAAAAGAGGGTATTTCAATTTGGTTCTTACTTTTACTCTTTATACCAAAAGATATTTATATTTTAAAAGGTCTCTTTTTCCATCTGTTTTCGCCTGAGTAAAACGAATTGGGGGGTTCTTTTTTTCTAACCCTAATAAAAAAAGATGAAGGGAATGCATAGATACAAGCCTCCGCGTGGCCATTCTCGGGCAGCACTCTTCTTTTAGAGTGGCTAATGTGTACCTTTTTGTATTAAATCTTAATAAAAATATGTATTTTGTTTTTCATGTCCATAAAAAAAAAGGAATGGAGAAAGGTGTTCAAACAAGTAAATGTTTAAAATCCTCTGATTAAGACTGTTCATCAAATGGTCTTATAAACAAGTGATTGAGGATGTTACTATTTTGGAAGCTGTGTTGATCGAGGCAGCTATAGAAAAACCGTGAATGCCGCTGTTCCCCAAATTCAATAAGGTTTTATGTCGTGTGGTCAAAGATGTATTTTAAATGATATCATGTTTTCTGATACCCAATATCACACTGAGTGAGACGTAAGAAGAGACTTGAAAGAGCAAAAACCGACTGAAGAAGGAATACCTTTTTTTTAAGCCAATTTTTGAAAAACGGATGAGCTCCGATGGCAGTTGTCCACCAAATGCTGAAACTCAGGGCTTAAACTGATTTTTTTTGAGAAATACCTAATGGGCCTCATCCATTTTTAATAAAATTGGATGAAGGATGTTTTTTAAGTGGTTGTAATTTTCTATAAAAATTGTTACCTGACAAATGGATGGCGACCCCTTCCCACTTTTTGCTATACTGAGTGTACTGAAATCGCACTATTATTACCATATAAATCTCATAAAAAGTCATTCCATCGATCCCTAATCAACAGGTACATCAAAGAATAACACTCATCGTAAAAATCGATATAAGAATAGAGCATAATCCTGAGTTAAACATTTACAGTGTTACTGGATATCCCTAAAACAAGTATCTCATTTCAAATAATGAATTTGCGAGAATGACTCATCAATCAAAGTTGAATACAGATACCAGTTAACAATAAGTGAACATAAACTAATTAATAACATTACCCACACTTTAAATGACTATTAAATACCCCTTGAGAGATGAAATGAGGATTCACCTCTAGCAGGAAATAAAACCCCTGCAAGCAATACTAAACATATTCCTACTATTTTATTTTTCTGCGTCCTGTGTTCAAGTACCCGTTTCCCCACATTTTATACTACTACCTCCTTGTAAAGCTTTTACTTCACAGCAATGATAGATGTTCCTGTTGAACGCATACAAAATTTCATCCAGCACCCAATTGATAAATTCCCTAAATTCTTAAAATGAAGAACCTTTGTAATCACTTTAATATTTGGTCAAATTATTTTTTTACAAGCGAACAATTTATTCTAGAAATGCTGATTTTTTTGGGCAATTTAACCTCACAAAAGTGTCAAAAAAGTGGGTGGTATTCTTAAAATTAAAAGTGGAAGCACAGTAACCTATATTTCAATAATTATAGATCCGTACATCAAGATTTATAATAAGCAAAGAAGGTTATTATCAAAAAAAAAAAGTGGACGTCTTTAAAGAACTTTTCAGTCAAAAATACAGAATGGTCAAAATCGTTGTTGATTTTCACTAAAATTTTGTGAACTATGACATTTATTTAAAACTACTTACACGATTTTGTCCTACAAGGCATTAAAAAAAAAGCTGCTACGGGTCGTTCAATCCCCCAAACAAAAAAAAAACGTATATCTTTATGTCGTTTCTACACATAAAATCATTCAAATTTCTCAAACCACGCATAATGTACTTAAAGTATAAGACTGAGGGCAAACTATCAAAAATATTCTTTTGTAATAACCATGCATGAATGTCAAATTCCAGATAGTGGAACTGAGTTACAAATTTGGGGCTTAAACAGATTTCATATGCCTTCTACACTCATGAAAAGAATAAGCATTTTCCTGCTTAGAAACTGTTCTAGAGTGCAAGTTTAATTGCAATAGGCTATATATCACTCACAATATGCACGATGTTTATGCTATAAAAAACCCAAGATGACTTATTAGGTTTACTGTTTTGGAGGCGATGGAAGATACGCGCAAAGATTCGCTGTACTGCTTTATTCCATAAATAAGTAGACAACTGATGGTGATGTTTGTAGTGGCGAAAATACTAGTAAGGTAACAAATGTGTCTATTGTCATTTAGCAATGCAAAAATTGAGGAGTCGGCAGATAAATTAAATGCCGCTGCACGCGCGTAAATGACTTTTCACTCCGGCAGAGAAAACACAAGGCCCTCAGGTAGGTGGTACAGAGAGAGCACACTCTGGCACTCTACGCAAAATGTCTCGAGCTAGACTGTTTTGGTGATGTATTTGCTCAATTGGGAGAGTGATTTGTCCATGACGTGATTTCCCCCCTTCCTCTCTCTCTCTTTATTATTTGACAGCGATTACATCGTGATGTGACCTTGTTCACTATTGTAAATTGAGATGAAAATCTCTTGTTACAATTTACACAACATGACTTCTCGTGTTGTTCTCCAAGGAGTCTTCGGATGTAAAGTATCCTATCGGCTGAGTTTATTATTTACAGGAGAGTATTAGGCGGAAGAGTCGTACAGTATGCACTCGGCTAATTGGATAAAAACACGCAAACTGATGTCAGTTTTTTTTTTATTTGATCTTTAGCACACATATCGTCACCGGCGTGGTAAACGGGTTTCTTGGCTTAGCTTTTTTTTACGCCTCTCTTCTTGTTTCCTTCTTCAATTTTTTTTTTTTTATTATTTTGTAATGACAAAACCCGTGTTGGAAAAAAAAAGATCGAAATTCCTTCTTCATGACTTGGGACCACCACAATTCTCCAAGCGTTGGATTAGAGAACTGCAATCATACCCTGATCACCTTCGGTAAGTGAAAAAAAAGAAAACACGGAGAGAAATATGAAATATACGTATAACTCACACGTTCGTAAATAGTTTAAAAGGATCCGTAAAGTGAAAAAAGAAAGTTGTGTACAAATATCATGTTGGACTAAACTTTTTTTTAAAAATAGGTTTTACCCTCAATTTTACCATTAATTATTCTGACTGCCACTTATGCGTATTTTATTGGTGTCATGTACATTCAATGGGGATGGTCTCAAGTGGCACTGAGTAACTCTATCGGTAGGTGATCACTGAAAAAAAGAAAGTGACGGGGAAAACTAACATAGTTGGGATGCATTAGTGCCGGTTTTATCTGTTGTGCTTGGTTTATTATTAGCATTTAGAGCTAATACATCGTATGCAAGATACTATGAAGGAAGACAACTTTGGCAAGATCTTTCAAGTAATACAAGAAATCTAGCTAGATTAATTTGGTGTAGTATTCCAGAGCGTACACAAAATGATCATTTGGAAAAGATGAGATGTATGAAGCTATTATTAGCGTTTGCGGTGTCCACTAAGCATTACCTGAGACGTGAATATGGTATTGATTATTACGATTTGGATTATTTGTTACCTCCCAATTGGATCCCTGCTGCTGCAGATGATATGCTCTTTGTGATCAAGGATGATAGTTCGGATGATGAGGCTGTACTAGTTACAAATGTCACCGGTGGTAGTACCACACACTTATTGGACGCAAGTCAAGGTGGAGATGATATTCATGACTTGGGAAACCAGAAATGCCCTTCCACTGCCCCATCATCGACATCTACCCTGGATGAGGTTGTACAAAGTCCCAGAGAAATCAATAGTTCTTCCTCCACCATTACTGAACATGACAAGAAACCCATCAAGAAGAAGAATTTCATGAAAAAGAAGAGAAATACCATCAAATTCGTTTCCGAAGAAGATTTACCCGACGAAGGAAATTCAGACATGTCTTTGCCTTTAGAAATCATCTTTCGTATGAGTTTGTACATGGCACAAGCAAAGACCTCTGGTAAAATCGATGGACAGTTTTCTAACGTGATCATTACCCATTTAAACAATCTAAATGATTGTTTATCGGGTATGGAACGTATTGTCAATACACCGATTCCCGCAGTCTATGTAGTTCATTTGTACGTGTATATAGATATACTTTCAGCAATCATACTTATACTTTTTACATAGAAAACAATCATTGGCCTTGTACATTTTAGCGATTCCTTTCACATTGATCTCCCAGCTTGGATGGTGGATTGTACCTACAATCATATTGGCGTCGTTTACATTGTTCGGAATTGACGCGATTGGGGCTCAGATTGGTAATAATTATTAAACTTTAAAAAAAAAATTAATGAGGTATCTCCCCCAACTAACATTATTTGGCAGAAAACCCATTTGGTTATAACAATAATGATTTACCGCTAAACACATTTTGCGATTCACTTCGTAAAGAGATTGAATTCATCATTTATCACTTGCCTTGTGAAACCGAAAACGCAATGATGATTTAAGAAAGTAAAAAGTCAGGGGAAGCGCACAGACAATCACGGGTAGAGAATTGATACGATAAATAAAAAATAGTGTATAAATCGAAAAAGTAACTGTTACATAAAAGCCGAAGTTTAAACCCGATTTTAAACACAAGGAATTGATGGGATTGGTTCGGTTTTGACACACCTTTTTCCTCCGCTCTTCCCGAGCCTTTTTTGATCACCCTTGTCTGAACATCGCCCTGGAGACCGACCCCCCCTTTTTTTTTTCTCACTGGGATTAGGCGCCACTCTAAATTCGTTTCTTTTTAGTGCGTACAAGATTTATTTTTGTATTAGGCTTTTATCCATCTTTATTTCCGTTTTTTCTTTTTTCTTTTTTTCTCTTTCTCTTTTTCCCCTCTTCTATTTTTCATATCTATATCTTCTTTTATTACTACTGATTTGCCTGCAACAACAACAAAAAACTAGTACATCCTATAAAACATGGCTCAAAATTCTCCAGCAAACCGTAAATTATCCAATCCCAGTCCAAGCCGAAACCAGCTTGTGGAACGTTGCTCCTCAATCCGAGGATGCGAGCCTTGCAAACGTCGAAAGCGAATTTGCAATGGTCAAAAGCCCTGCACACATTGTACTGACGCTTCTCAAGACTGCGTGTACAGTGTTGTTTCAGATCATCCCCGCAGCGTATTTACAACAAGTACAGCACGTCGTTTAAGTTCAGGATCAGCTTGTGAAACATGTAGACGACGTAAAACAAAGTGTGATGGTTGCAGTCCTTGTAATTTCTGTGCAAGCAGTGGCATTGAATGTATTAATAATTCTGAGCGTAGAAAAAGATCCGTCATTGCCTCCACCATGTCTTCCTTATCAACCTCTTCTTTACCTACATTGCCAAACACATCCACAACAACTACAACAAATACAACTGCAACTACTTCCGAAAATGATAATGAAGCTATTGATCGTATTGAAGATAGGCTGAGAAGGATTGAAAAGTTAATGACCGCTTTCACTCCTAGTCCTTTATCGCAACAGACTCCGTTTACAAAGGAAATTAAAGATATTAAGCGTGTCACGGCTGGCTTTCGAAAAATGTCTTCGCCTCATCTCCAAAAACCCACGCTGGCCTCTCCTCGTCAGCACCGTCATTCCATACAAGGTCCCACCATATCTTCTGCAAAAGACAAAGGTGAGAAAATTCTCTTTTTTTTTGAAAAAAACAGAACCTATACTTATGTCCTCTTCTAGACACTCCTTATGCTTCTCCACCAAATAGTAACGGTAGCTTAAAAAGCTTCCATGAAACATTCACAAACTACCAACAACAACAGCAACAACAGCAGCAACAACAACAACAGCAACAGCAACAACAGCAACAACAACAGCAACAACAACAAAATATATCATCTCCTTCTCCACCATTATCGCCACGCATCTTGCGACAAAGTTCTTCTACCAACGTGGTAGCCTCTTCCATGTTGAACCTTTCATTATCACCTTCCTCTTCCACCTCTTCGGCCTCGACGGTCTATCACTCTTATATGCAACCTTCCGTTTCCACGCCTACCTCACCTCTTGCCAACACTTCTTCCACAGACACTACATTACCACTACAAAACGAATGGAAACAGTCCACTCCCATACCAAGTCTTATGGGTAAAAAAAATAAAAGATTTAATTCCGTTTATAGCAAGAATATTAACACGCTTTTTTTATTTATTTATCTAGATCAATTATCTAAATGTACCTTTGTGACAACTGCTATGGATTACACAACGGTTCATTACCCCATCTATCCAATCTCTAACAAGGAATCACCATAATCTATTATATGTCTTTTTTTATTTATTTCAATTAATCATACTTTCTATTCTAATTATTTAATCAAAAAAAGAAGAAAAAAAAAAATAAAAAAACTAAAATATTCCCTTCCACCTATCTTTTTTTATATATATATATCTCTTACAACATGAATACAAGAAGTCGTGAAGAAAGCTTGAATGCTGAAGTACAAGATGATTCTTTTGTTTCCGAAGAAGAAGAAACAGAGGATGAATCTTTGTCATGTAGCCTTGTTACCTCATTAGAAGTAAGAACTCATTCTCCTCTCTAAAAGCTCTCTTTTTTTAATTGACTATGCATTGATAGAACAATGGCATTAGTCCTTCCGACATAAAGAAACTTCAAGGTGCTGGTTTTTTCACTATAGAATCCATCGCCTACACACCGAAAAAGGTCTTGCTATCTATCAAGGGTTTATCAGAAGCAAAGGTTGAGAAAATCATCAGAGAAGGTAACATCTACTATTGACACACTAGTCTCAAAAAAAAAAAAAAAAAAAAAAAAATCTGACAACCTCTCTCTTTTATGTTCTAGTCACTGCTATGGCCAGTCTTGGATTCACAACAGCGTTAGAAGTACAAGAAAGTCGTAATAACTTGATCTACATCACTACCGGCTCCAGTGATATGGATAAGCTACTGGGCGGTGGCATAGAGACGGGTTCCATCACTGAGCTGTTTGGTGAGTTTCGAACTGGTAAAACTCAAATCTGTAACACTTTGGCTGTCACTTGTCAGGTAATATATATATATATGTATATGAATAGTAAGTATCCCTGGCGGACCCCTCAACCCTAACAATGGCATCATTTATAGCTTCCGGTCCCCAATGGAGGAGGAGCAGGTAAATGCCTCTATATCGATACCGAAGGAACATTTAGACCAAGTCGCATCGTTTCTATCGCAGCAAGGTACTAAAAAAAAAAAAAAGTTTAGTTTTATTTATTCATCTTTTTATTTTGATAGATTTGGTTTGGATGCAGAAGGTTGCTTGGATAACATTGCTTATGCTCGTGCATACAACACTGAACATCAAACCGAGCTTTTGGTTCAAGCTTGTGCCATGATGTCTACCACCAGGTTGAATAAGCGATTTGAGCGCAGATAAAATAGATGAGAATTATTAATCCCTATTTTCTTTACATGATAGATTTGCCTTGTTGATTGTAGATAGTGTGATTTCGCTGTACCGTACAGATTACCTAGGTCGAGGCGAACTCTCAGCGCGACAAATGCATTTAGCTAAATTCCTGAGATACCTACAACGCATTTGTGATGAGTTTGGAGTTGCGGTTGTATTAACAAATCAAATGTTGGCTACAGTCGATGGCAATGCCATGATGTTTAATGCCGACCCCAAAAAACCCGCTGGAGGCAATATTATGGCCCATTCATGTTGCACAAGGTAAAAAAAAAATGTCTGCATTACACAGAGAGAGAGAGAAATATAAAAACGTGACCTACCCCCCGTGTATATTTTAGATTACAACTTCGAAAAGGAAGAGCTGAGAATCGAGTATGTAAAATTTATGATTCGCCTTCTTTACCAGAAAGTGAAGCTAGTTTTTCGATTATGGAGGATGGTATCAATGACGCTCAAGATTGAAAGATATAGTTTTTTTTTTATTTCAGATGAATCCAAAACTATGAAAATTAAAAATAAAAAATTAAAACAGTTTGCTCCAAATAACCAACCCGATCAAGACAATCAAAATAATAATAATAGCAGCTGTAATCAACTTGTTGGTAGCCATACTACATATTCCCTTTGTTTTTTAGCAAAAGTGTGTGTCGGATGGGCATTGTCTCTTTTAAAACTTACCGACGTGCCATGCCCTTAAGCGTCTTGGATGCTTTATCAATGTGAGAATCAGCTTCGGCAAGCTAACCAAAAATATTTAGCATGTAACCACGATAGATGAACCTAATGCATAAAAAAAAAAAACTTACGGTATCTCTGGCTCTAACCATGGTTTCTCTCTGTCCTTTCAAGGTACTCAAGATATTAATGCCGATACCTTCAGTCTCTAAAGCCAAACGATGACTATCTTCTAAGCGGCGACTTGACTGGCCCAAACGTTCAGTTCCGCTCAATAAACGTTGACGTTGGTCCATTGTGGAAGCATCGAAATCAGATTGTCCATCTTCATTACCTGACCCAAATCCGCCAAGCAATTCATCACGGTCAGAATTCTTTGGTACAATGGCCGTATTTCGTCTCTACAGATATTCCCCCACACACACATAAACAAATAAGTTATCTTTATAAGTGTGCTTATATATATATATAAACTGCTTTACCAAGTCTCGTTTGAGTTTTTCTGCTTCAGATTTATAAAGTCTTAACTTTGCTTGCAAACGTGTACGTGAAGGCGTAGGAATATTCAAGATTTCCATCTCCATTTGTCCAAGCTATATTATAATTAGTTTTTTTCTATGGCTTGTTCTTGTGTGCTTTTATATATATATGTACAATTTCATCAGCTTCATCAATTTCTCTTTCGACTGCACGAATAATAGCCTTTCTTTCCTCTATTACGTTTTCCTTTTAATAAAACTAATTCCCAAGTCTTTCTCTCTTTTTTTTTTTTTTACCTCCTTTCTGGTTAGGAAGTTGTTGTTCGATTTTGGACTTGATAGAGTCTGTTACTGAAGTGAAATCTTGTTCATAGCTCGAGAATAGCTCGGAGCCGCCTGCTGAGGAACTCATTTCAATGGGAATAAAAAAAAACTACTGCAACAATAACGATTCTCGCCTGCTTCCCATAAAATCACCACCTTTTTTTAATATCCGATCTTCACGTGGTCTTACAATGTAATGCAATGACATCAAGCTTGAATTTAGACAGCAAGTGGTAAAAAAGAATAGAGGACTACATCTTTTGTAAGAAGAAAAAAAAAAGAAGTATCCAAAAAGTCTTGTGATAACTTGACATTATGGGTTGACTGACCACCAGGCAAAATCCAATGACTTTTTTTTGCTCGCAAACAAAAAAGCCTTTTGGGATTAGGAAAAACAGGGTCCTTATTATCATCATCATGTTACCTTTTGAGGAATGTTTTTTGTACATCTTTTTATATAGATATATTTTGAAGAATGTCTGTTTTGGAGTGACAAAAGGTTGCTGTCAATGTATCAAACATTCCATCCATAATCCGACTGAACGACAAACAGCCAAAAAAAGGTTGTGGAGCTTCCTCTAATTTTATACCCCCCTCTCCCTTCCGTGACTGTTTACAGTTTAAAGCCTACACACGGCACGTGTGTAGTAAAGCATTTCTATAGCTTACTTTTTTTTTCTCTCTCTCTCTTTTTTTTTTCTTTCCATTGAATGAAAAGTTAAAAAAGAATTATATAGTGACAAGAAACCCCCCATTCATGACTATTTATAAAGAAGATGCTGCAACAGATGTTGATGCAGTTCAGGTAAACAATTCGACGAAAAAAAAATAAGAAATAAAAATGTAGCAAAATATAATTTCAGGAACCAAAAATAAACATTAGATATGGAGTGTAAAAGAATTAGAAGGCGAATTCAGTCAAATGTTGAAAGCCTATCGTGACAAAGAAACCGAACTGAACTGGGAAGACAGAGCCAAGTCGAATACAAGATTAAGAGGTTTGCTTCGAGGCAATGCTACAGAAGCCCCTTACTTGGACGTTTTACTCGCATGTGTGAAACAAATGGTTGATGGCATTGTCAAAGCTGTGAGTCTTCTACAAATAAAAAAAAAAAAAAAGAGAAAGGGTGGGCTTCTTTTAAATAACACACTTCACCCAATTTTTTTTTTTTAGGCTGAAAGTTTACGTACAAAACTCGCAGTGCAAACATTCTCATTGATTGAAGATATCAGTATTTATATCGGTAGACACTTGGATAACTACACATTGGATCAAATTTTACTTTGTATGATGCGTTGCTCAAGTATCTCCAAAAAAATGGTGGCATCCGCTTCTTTCAAGGCCACAAACATCTTTATCAAACATACTCTTTTTTATCCCAAAATCATGAATATGCTGACTTTATCCATGAATGAAAAGAATAGTCAGATTAGACTATATGCAATTGGATATTTAAAAACCCTTCTACAAACTCATGCACACAGGGATCATACGCGTCAAGTCATGGATCGTACAAATGGTGTGATGGATCATTTTGAAAATATCCTTACCAAAGGTTTGAATGATCCCACCCCCGTTGTCAAGGAAGCTTGCAGAGAGGCATTTTGGATATTCTGCGATTATTGGAGGGAAAGAGGAGATCAGTAAGTTTTGTTAAGATGTTTTTTTTTCATTCCTTTTAAACTCATATTTTTTATTTATTTATCATCAGCATATTGAAGCAGTTGCCTCTTGTTGCTCAAAAACAATTGGAGAAATCAAAAACCATTGCAAAGCAACCTCCTATGCCCACCAGCAGTAAAAGTTTGCATAGTCCTACAAATTCACCAAGAACCTCCAGTTCACTAGGACGTCATCATCATCCACATCATGATATGTCTCCTTCCAATTCAAACACATCAAATGGCTCATCGCATTCCACAGACCAAATCAAACGTTCCATGTCTCCCCGCTTACCACAACATCAACAACACCAACCACCACATAATTATCCACTTCCTTCCTCTTCCACCTCACCTACTCCTCCATCCAACCTTCGGAAGACACGTGTGCCTACCTTGAACCGTAAAAAATCAGCCATTGGTCTCATCAGTAAACGAAAACCTCATTTCATGACACTCTTGAATAGTGATGATAGTATGATGCGAGGAGAAGGTTTAGTTCAGCTGTCTAAAAAACTTGCAGCATTCCCTTACCCAGTCGTCAGCTTACAATCGATTCATATGGATGTACCCAATGCACCTCCTGTCGATGGAGATCAGTTGAAAGCCATTGTTTCCAATCAATGGGAGGAGAATTACGCTGTTCTTTCAACCTGGGATAGTGTGACGGGGATTATGCTCAAACTTTTCACCTTTGAAGAATATCTACCCAAGTTAATTTTGGACGCTCAAATGGACGAATCAGCTCGTCGTTCCGAAGCCGATATTGCCAAATACACCTTGGCGAATTTAGCCTTGATTAGAGCAAAACTCTTCTTGCAGTGCGAAAACCCCGATTTGATTGATATTCTCTTCACAAGTCTGGTTCAGTATGGTGGGTTTGTGTCGGCTGGTAAAACCCCCATCAATACCAACAAGAAGGACATAACTCGCCTACCTGCAAACCGAAGAAAACTCACCAAACAGTTTCTGGAGTGGATGGATGAACTCGTCACACCCTTGATCGGATTAAACGAAGATATCGATTTTACCCATAAAGCCTATGAAGCCGTACCAGACGATTATACTCTTAATTACACCGAGAAATCCATGAACTCAACATGCTGGTTTGAGTCCGATGATAACGTACGTCAATGTTTAGCCATCTTATTACCATTGATTACAACTTCTACTTCAGGCACCATGTGGCACGCTCCTCTAATCACTTTTATGAAACATCTTCGCTTGCTGAACCAAAGACTCTTTGAAAATGTCACGGCAACCTATGATGATTACGCCATCAACAAAATTTGTCGGGTCCTCGGTATTCATATACGTGTAGAACCCCCACTTTCTCTCCCCATACCCACCCATGAACAAGATGACGATGAAGAAGATGATATTGCCGTCGTTGAGGAAGGCATTGAAGATATTGTTCACATGGATTTACCCGTCATCTGTGATGATCTGGAAGAGTCCGATGAAAATTTGGATGTCGTGGTTGAGCCTAGCATGGATGATACAACTACTTCTCCTTCACCACCACCACCTGCGGAGGAATACACAACCCCTCCATCAACATTATCATCACCACCGTTAACATTGCCTGTCGCTCAATATACTCCTTCGCCACTTATTGAAGAATATACAACACCGCCACCACCACCATTAGTGGTAGAACACACATCTCCCCCGCCTGTAGTAGAACACACACCTCCTCCACATGTGGTAAAGCAATCACCTTCACCTCCACCTGTAGCGGAATATGTACCGCCTGTTACGGATTACACCCCTCCGCCACCTTTGGTAGAACACGTGGTACCTCTCGAGGAATATACGCCTCCTCCTCCACCTGTAGTAGAATATGTTCCGCCAGTGAGAGAATATACGCCACCTGTTGTGGAAAAAACGTCTCCAGCATCACCACCACCACCACCGGCACTTGTAGAGGAGGACATTGCGCCTACGGTAGAATACACGCCACGATCACTACCGCCAGTTGTAGCCAATCATACGCCTACTGTAGAATACACCACGCCATCCCCTCCTCTCGTGTTTGATAACCCAGAAGCGGTGGTTGAGAATCGCGATAGCGCGGGTATGGTTTCAGCGGAATTGCACCGGGTGGAGCCACATGCGACCATGATCCGTCCGGAAGGAATGGTCATGATTGCGGAACAAGCTCCGGTGTATACGGCGAAAAGACGGTCCATGGTAAACAAGGAAGAAAAAGATTACTTTGAACAAGAGAAACAAGAGATTACACCACCGTTGGAAGCAGAGAAGCCTGCGGATTACTTTTCTGCAGCTCCCTTGATGGAAGCTAAAGCCACACACCCAATCGAAGTTTATGAATATCATCATGTGGATAATCATCATTTGGATGGATCGGATACAATTCTGGTAATATATATATTTATACTTTAATATATAGAATAAAAGGGCTAACAAACAGAAAAAGAAGGATGCATCAATATTAGACATCCGCACGGTCCCAGATGCACCTGCAAAAGAACAACAACAACAACAACAACAGAATAACAATACATCATTAACATGTAGTGTGCCCAATGTAGAAAAATATCCTATACCTATTTACGTCTCATTTTTCGCGCCTGAAAAAGTAAATTATCCCAAACCTGTGTTCGAACACAATGCACGTACGGTGACCACGTCCAATCATAACGGTAGTACGACAACAAACGGTCGTAATTTGAAGGATAAGACGATATTACTTTATGCACTCATTGATAAATTAAAACAATCATCCTCTGACCATCACAACACATTTCGAAAACTCATCCGGTTATTTAAAGAGGTACCTATTCGGCGAAGATGGGACCAGGGAGGTATTGAAGAAAGTGGGAGTGAGACATGGGCTGGTGCAGAAGGCGATGCCGGTAACTTTGTAGAACTGGTACAGGCCATTCTTTACTATCTCGATCACTGTGGAAACGATGAACGTTATTTGACGGTTGCTTTGGAATGTATACGTCAATTGGCCGTCACTCAAGTCGGTCTCTTTCGTTTTTATGAAATTAAGGTTGATCAAAGAGGCATGACTTTAGAGTCTCAGTTGATGGAAAAGTTGTTACAGATTCGATCTAATGAAAATCCTACCGTAAGTTTTTTGATGTAACACTTTAAAACACTCTGTTTCTAAAAACTCCCACGAAAAAAAAAAAAAACAAAAAAATAGATATGCATTGCTGCAGAGGATGCATTGGACGCTGTTTTAAGTACCCTCACCCCTCTCACCGCATTTGAAATGCTCATGGCATTCATCATCCATCGTTTACTGATTGCACCCTGCGTTGAAACATCGGCAGATGTCAGGTATCATCCGGTTGGATCCGCCTTTATGTATCTGGGTAAATGGGTAAAAGAAATGAATGAGGTATTTTACATTGATGAATGGTTAAACAAGGGTGGTGTCAATGCATTTTTTAAGGTAACAAAAAGCAAGCCTTTTTCCCGAGAAAAAGAAGAGAGATATTGACAGTTTAAATTCTAGGGTATGAATCACTCCATGATTAATATTCGTAAATCATGTGTGGAAGCTATCGTATCATTCCATGAGGTGATTGGAGATAAGATGTACATGTATCTAGTGGACCTGAGAGAAGACCAAACAAGTCTATTGAAACACTATGTGGCCAAGGCATTAAAAAAGAAGGCGGCTGTTCGTAACCTAAGAGACAACGGTCAATTTTAATGATGATTTTCTTTTTTTTCTTTTTGGTTATTTACATGTAAACATAAACAAATAATATGTCCTTTTTTAATAATTTAACTTTCTCTTTCTCTCTCTCTCTTTTCTTACTACCATCTATTATATATATATCATTATTAATATATACCCTTTTTTTTTCCCTTATAACCATCCTTTTCTACACAAACACACACACACACACACACACACACAAACTCTACAAGAACCTATTTCGTAAATAAAGAAAGCCGAGAAGTGCATATTACGTAACATATAAATAGTAAATAAATGTCACATACAAAAAAAAAAAGAAGTCTACACAGACCTAAAAAGATGGTTCATTAGTTTGATTTGAATCGACCAGGCTGGTTCTTATTATTTTCATTTGCATTTTTCTTGCTTGGTATATAAGTTCCCACCCTGCATATTACGACGCTAAAGTAGAAAAAATGATCAAATTTAATATGTATATAAAACCAAGGGGGAACAGTGGAGAGGGGGGGGGGGAGTGTATCAAGACGTATAAATAATTCTCTAAGTGCTTCATGACCAAAACCACGGTTTTATAAATTAAAATTGTTATTGTATTTGTAGCACTTTATAAAGAAAGAGAGAAATACATCATGAGAGAAAGTATATAAAAGGGTTTAATACTTCTTTAAAAGGCAAAAGGGTTCTCCAGTGATCGAAAGGAAATCTGACCTTATTTTGCATAAAGCTTCATTCCGTAAATAAAACGTGGGTTTATTACTTTACTACGACAGTAGATCTTTTTTTTTTTATATTGACCATTTGCCCTTTTGACAAGGTAACACCAAGCATACAAATCGACATCAATGATACGCACACACAGACAATGGCCACAAGCTACTTTTTTTTTTTGTGTTTTTTTGTTTTTTTTTTTTGCTTCTTTTATTATTATTATTTTTTTTTTTTAATTAAAAAATAAATGTAAATAAAAAAATATGTCTCCCATAAAAAAGGTTTCATGAGCGTTTATCTACTGCTACAATTGAAATATTCCATGATCGTGAGTCAATAAAATAAACCGTGAATTGTATTATATAACAATGCAAAAACAACCTTTTTTTTTCCTTTCTCTCTCTTTTTTTTTTTTTTTTTAATAAATCCTAACCCATTTCACCCCTTCTTTTTATCAGACTTGATAAAAACTGAAAAGTTATAATAATTACGTCTTTTTCTTTTAGTATCCTAGTTAACACAAAAAAAAAATTAATCATATTTATACATTCCTTCCTTTATCCCACACAATCTCCAATGTTAGCCTGCTCTCAAGACATTTTTTTTCACAATGATTCCAATACGACGGGTGTAAATAATAAATACCAACATCTGATCCATGAATCTATGCAAACAACACACACAAAGATAAAAGAATTAGACATCAACAACATTTAAAAGATCAACTAATGAACAACGATGATATCGAAATGACATTGACTTCAAATGGCGACGACTTATTAGACAATTCCGTAGTAACCAATAATATGAAAGACAAAGAAGAGGTACATTTCCTATTTTTTTTTTTTTTTCTGTACTTCAAAAACACTTGCTGACCCTTAACTACTCAATGCAGCAAGTTTGGCCACCAGATGTCGAATCTGCCTTCATTGAAGGTATTTACCCATTTACAATATATTAAGACCCTTTTTTTTTTCTAAACACCGTGTTCTAGCTCTCGAATCTATCCCTAAATTAGGCAGAAGAAAAATTCTTGTCAATGGCAAACCTTGTGGTAAAGAATTTTTTTAATTTTAAAAATGTCAAATATTAATAACCCCCTTGTTATTGTTTAATCCAGGTCGTAATGAACTTATTTCTGATTTCATTTTCCGTAAAACATGCAAGATCCGCACAAGAAAACAAGTTTCCTCCCATATTCAAGTATTAAAAAACACTCGAAAAGGCGATTCCCACTGTAAGTTTTTTTTTTTTTTCGAACTATTAAACATTTCCCCCCAAAAAAAAACTAAACAGTACGATAGTCATGCGGTTATTGACCGATTCAGTCGAATTAGACGAGACCAATAATGCATTAAAGACCAAAATGCGTCAGCCTCCACATATTCATCATTCGCTCAAGAACTCTAATTCTATCAAAATGAAGACCTATCAGCCTAATGATGCACTTTCATCAGATGAGTCTTCCATTAACTCGTCTCCCTCGCCTACCGATTATGTTTTCGATATCATGTGTGCTGATCCCGCACAGCAACAGGCCCTTTCCATGCTTCAGTTTAAAGACTTTTATGACCCGTTTCAACAGTCGCTTTTCGCTGGTATGGCCAATGGATTACCTTCTAATTTTGAGCCTACCCAACCCAACAATGATCCATTTTTTGGCTCCCTGTACGAACAACAACATCAACAACAGGATTTGTTGAACAATCTATCTAATGTAGCTACCACACCTACAACCCCTCATGCATCTGCCATCAAAAAGAAGGATGTATTAATGCCTGTCCGAAAAACAAAGAAGAGAAAATCTCACCACGATGATGAAAGTCATACCGAGTCAGAATTTGCTCTTTGGCCAAACTACATTTGTCTCTACCTGGAATATACTTTGCCTTATGATCCTTGTCGTCCTCTTAGTCACAATTTATCCCAATTACCTCATTGTTACCCGAATTCCCTACCAACCGTCTCTGTGGATACGATCCCTAAAGAAAAGTGTCCTCCCATTACTTGCCTAAGTCAGAATTCAGCGGACACTGTTTTGCTGTTGGCCAAGGTAAAAACTATATATCAACATTTCTTTATTAAAAAAATATGGTTTAACCCTTTTTTTTTTTAATAGACAAAGCTTGATCTTAATCTGAATATATCCGATTTTTCATTCAATAATACATCGTTTTTTGAAACCCAAACTCGTCGTACGATTGAATGCACTACTACAATCTATTCGTTTGGCAATGTCGTGCTTGAATCCAAAGAGGTGCAACAAGCTCTCTGGGTAAACGAGGGAAAATACATGTACAGCTTTGTATTTGTCAATCAATTTTTTGATGCATTCATGAAGGGTATCCGATCGCTCCAGTCATGGGACGAAGTCGATATTGCTATTAATAACCTTTGTATAGTCCAGGTAAGAATACATTTTATTTGTCCATCTTTTTTTGCAGATATTGACCCTATTATTTAGTCTTTTGAAGACATCGAGTCAAAATATACAAATAATACCGAGACCGTCACTGAAAGTGGAAATGCACCTTTACTAGCCATGATTTACGAATTCGAAAGGGGTCAAGGCACCATTGATATTTCAGCTATTGTGGATGACAAGACCAAAGATCTTGAGTTTTTTGATCAAGACAATTTAATATAATATATCCCCACTTATCTATTTATCCCTCCACTCACACAAACCCCCCATCCCATAACACACACACACACTGTGTCTTCCTCCCCCCCCCCAATACAAGCATAATTCATGCAAAATACATTTTTTTTATTTGCTTTTCCTCTTATACCCAGTTTATATATACAAATATATAAATTATATATCTATTCTGTTCCTCACTCATTCTCCCCCTCTACTTTAATTTTTTATACATTTTTTTTTCTGCTTTCTTCACTTAATTTATTGCATACACCACACAGACACTTACACAAAAAAAAATCTATTCAAAACATTTTTCTAATTTCCTTATTATGATTTTTTTTTACCCTCCCCGTATGAAAACTATTTTTTAATATCAAACTTTTTAATTCAATTTCACAGTCTTTTTTTTTGTTTGTTCCTAAATGATGTCCTTGTATGTAAATAAAAAGACAATAAAAAAGTTACAGGAATGTTTGTTTATTAGGGGATGAGGAGGGGAATAATGAAAAGGAAAGGGGGTTAAAGTAGAAACGGGCGGGAACAAGCTATATTCAGGAATTAGAGGTACACAAATAAACATTTACACATGACTCCTTCCAAACGTTAGTAGAAACATGCAATATGAGTACATCCATCTATAATAGAGAAGGCTTGGTTCCTTTGCCAACATTTTTCAATAGAAAAACCTTCTTGTCGAACCTGTCTCTTTCTAAAAATAACTAATCTTCGATTACTATATCCACAAATTGTTATTAAAACAAGAAACCTTTTTTTTTTTTTTTTTTTTTTTTTTTTTTGCTTATTCATTAAAAGGTGTAATTAAAAAAAAACATTTGAAAATCTGCCGCCTAAACCTTAGTCTTTATCTTTCTTTTGCTATCGTATCTATGCTACTCAGAATCGAGATTTTACTTAATCTGCCTAAAAGTATTACGTCATTTAACAAATGCTGCATTTTTTAGAATCACAGTAACATAGTTTGTAAATGTTGTTTGTCCCCTCAACCCCCTCGATCAAATCTAAATCGTTTTGATCAATGTGAGTCGCCTGTTTTCCACTCAAATTTTGTATACGCAATAACCGAAATATGGTATGTGCTTGCTACATTAAACAAAATCATTGGATAAACCGGATCAGATAAAGTTCACTATAATGACTTAATTACATACTTCTTGCATACTAACAGCTCGTAAAACTACTAAAAAAAGACAGATGTAATATGCTCTATTAGCCTGTATAAACTCTCCATTAAAACAATGTGATACTGAACTTGCGATATCAGTCAGACGACCTAATCCTCAACTATTTTTTTTTAATTAATTTGATGGCCTAGATTTATCTGCTCACTTTTGAAAGTTAAATAACTAACAATCTTCATAGGACTTGCACGTGCATATGTTATGTGAGTTTAGGCTTATTTCTAGTCTCTATCCCTCTCCTCTTTGGAAATATTAAGTGGAGTCTGAGTTTATAGCATTCAGTAAACTCAAGTATCTCAGTCATGTATATTATTTTAAAAGCACGTTAAGCATCATTCAAATTCAATGTTATTATTGTCAATCCACAAGTACACACTTGCATTTTATTTCTTCAAAAAAAAAAAAAAAAAAAAAAAAAAAATAGGGCCCTGCTTCTCAACATGTTGACTCAAGTCAAATAAGCTTTGGGCACGGAGGAAACCTTTGGTCAGTAAAAGGGTTGTTACTCTGGCTGAAACATACTCGGATATGGTCCCGTATATAAAAAGCAAGCTAAAATTCCTTAATAAGCAATATAAACTGTCCTGCTTGTAAGTGATAAATTATTTGATTTATTCAGTTATGGATTTTTTTTTTTAATTATAAATTTTCTTGGTTATTGGCGCTCAAATAGCCGTATATGTTGAAATATAATTCATTATTGATTATCAGAAGTAAAAACTTCTCTTTGATTCTATGAATAACAAAAGGTGGCATATTTTTATCCAATATCACTTAAATTGTGATTACCCAGTATTACGTTTTTTTTTTTCTTAAAAGGTTTGATTAGACATATACTTCTTAGATTAAGTTTGGCTCTTGTATTTTTTGTCCTCGTGTATCCCGCTTTACTGGAATTTTCAATCAGCGATGTAGTCGCGTCGTATAATACCCTTATTTTTTTAAGCCTGGTTAAAGTGACTAAATACCTGCTTTACTTTTACTGCCAAAGTTCTTCGCGCACAGGCCCAATAATACTTATTCAAATATGATATGAATAGCACCAGTGTATAAAGAAAGTCTGACTTTGCATTTGATCGATAAGGCTTAGTTATCTTGAGGGGATCTGTTTGTTTCAAGTTGATATAAGCAAATGCGTGCCTGCAAACTTTTATTATTTTCTCCACGCCACTTCATGTTTATCCCTAAAGTCAGCTGATGCGACTTTTTTCAAAGAACAAATGTTTGCTCACCAAGTCCTAAAGTCCAAACCCTTCAGTCATATGTTGGCAAATTTTTCGAATGATCCAAGTCAGAGTGAAACAAGTAGATATTGTTTTATGTTCAAGAAACAAATGACTGTTATAAAAATGCAACACGATTTCCTTACATTTTTAAAAGCAAATCAGTTTTTTTTTTTTTTTTTTTTTTTGCAGCCCCAATGATGTTCAGGAACAGTGTAACATCCTGTCACTTTTTCCCCTCGGGTCCTATGATGAGACGCCGTGAAAACTTTTTTTTTTCCAAATAAATAAACACAGATCAAAGGCTCTTCCCCCAAAAACAAACAAATAAACAAAAACTATTGATACGCATCATCTTGTTCAAGGGCATCGATGGATAAAGTTACAATTACCATACGCGTTATTTTGGTTTTTTTTACGTGAAGATCAAACAGGTTTTTTCAATAAAATGTATGCTCAGATCATCTCTTGTCCATCCCCTAGATACGAAATGAATAAAAAAAAAAAAAGTGACACACTCATCTATATCTACACAAAGCTTTGTTTACTATCGTAGCATTTTGCTTAAATTGTACTAATTATAGCTTAAAGACTTAATTGTCTCAATTGAAAAAAAAAAAGGGAAGCACCAATCAAAAAAAGTGAGTTAGAAAGCTCCCTTTTTTTTTTATATATTGTTTTATTTTTGCACGATTAAATCATGAAAGCAATTGTCACAAACTCTACTCCATTGACCAGTGGTCGAATGAATTTTGGAAGAAGAAAATAAAGGGAGACGGTTTGCACTATGTTTTTGGCACATGATGTAACCACATCTTCTGCAATGATGTTTTCTTTGAAAAAAAGTAAATTCAATTTGACATCGCCTACGTCGATTATGTAATTGAAACTGACATTGGTTGGTTTCGTTGTCGGGGATCCAGAGACATTTTGGTAATAAGGCGAATCGTGTCCTTCTATCTTTACTATTTAGATGTAAAACGTATTGATGTTGATATAGTTTTATGTGTCCGATTGAGGGTGATATAGAGAAAGACTATATAAGAATAAAATTAGATCACGTACAACTGCACATATTGTATATATATATATATATTTACCTCAGTTTGATGCGTATATTCGTCATCGGTATCATATTCATCCTCTTCTTCTTGGTAATACTGCGTATTGTTTATCGCTGTTGTTGTTGTCCCAGTACCAGCAATCATCATGTCGATACCGTTTAACTTGTCCTCATATGAATGTATGACATGCCCTGTTCCAACACCGCCGCCAACAAACATGCCAATATCCCATCTCATTTTTTGAATCAAATCATATTTATCATCCATATTTAAAAGATCAGCGACGGACCTTTGAAAATTCCAACGATTATTTGAGTGATCGTCATCGAGTAGATTAATATCCTCATTGTGATGATTATAGTAATTAGCATCCAGTGCCAGTAAAGCTTCCTGTCGATGAGACTCTCGTCTACGAGATTCGGTTTTCATATTAATATCAGCAGTTAATTCTTCAAGTGAATCAAGCATCATTAGCTGTTGTTGTGCAACGTCCTGGCATTCTCTAATTCTTTCTTCGTATTGCTTTTCTCTTTCGTTGAATTGCTCATGGATGGTTTCATTAATCAGCATGAGTTCTCTAACTCTATGCTCGGTATTTAATACATCCGTAGATAACGATTCCAACTCTTCAGATTGGTGTATACAACTAGTAACAAGACTAAGGAACTTTTTTTGCCACTCCAGAATAGATGTTACTTCATTAATATCATCATGTGCGGATTTAATAGAGGCTGTTTCAGATAATTCATCAAGACGAGAATGAATTAAGTTGTTTGTAGTTAAAAATAGAGCAGTTAAATTCGGACTTGCCATTGTCCTCACATCCTGGTCCTCCTCCTCTTCTTCTTCTTCTTCTTCGTCGTTGTCGTCGTAGTTATGGCACTCTGTCTTTTCATCGTTGTCATGGGGCAAAGATAGTGGTACACAACTTTGTGAGCGGATTCGTCGGTGACCTATAAAACTTAATCTATTATTGTTTGTTGATAAAGTATCACCAAAGTTACTGAAACTGTTACTGGTTACTAAACTCAGTCTTCTGTTGTTACTGATATTATTTCTACTTGTTGTGATTAAAGGTGAAGAAGTGGTTGCAGTCAACTTTTTTTTCTTTCTTTTTTCATCATGAAAAAGCTCTTGAACATGAAACTCTTGCATAGATCGCGTGATCCCCGTTATTTTTGCTCTCAGAATTTCAAAAGCGTCTATATGAGGATCCCAATGAACCCCTGCGGATATATCTTGTCCATGTAAATAATCATCTTGTTCGCTGATAATTGAAGCTAGATAATTCCGATCTTTTTGGCTAATCGGTTGTTGCAACGATAAGTGTCGTTTTCTTGCTGTACTTGTGCTGTTCGTTCGTTTATGAAGTTGGGGTTTTTGTTGGGTACTTATGATGGAAGATTTGGTTAATCTAGGTATAATGGAAGTAGATACTGGTCGTTTTCTAGTGGTGTTGGTGGCCATTACTTCTATGCTTTCTCTTCTCTTATTTGTGGCAATAGTGGATTTTAATGCCTGCTTCATTAATATACTTTCTCTACCAATCATATGATTAATATTGGAATCATTCTCAAGTAGCATCATTTTTGAGGAGGAGGGGGAAGGCGATATGCTATTTGGGTGTTGATACATGATTGAGGAAGAAGGTGATAAACCAGTGTCAAAGAAAAAGTTTTGGTCATAATCATCTCCGACTATTGGTTTAATACCAGCTACTAATCCTGCTGCTGTTGCTGCTGCTGCTGCTGCTGCTGCTGGTGGTGATCTTTGTGCTGCTGCCGATGCTGCTGCTGCTGCTGCCGATGCTTTACTTTTGCTGCCTCTGTTATAATCATCACCTTTTATTAAACCAATAGATGATGATTGTCTTGTGACGTCTCCTTGTTTTTGTTTTTGTTGTTGTTTTTTCATGTGGACAATTTTGGGCTGATGTGTATCATATTCTTCGTCACTAGACTGGTTGATATCGTTAGTTGAATTGTAACGATACATTTTTTTACTTTTTAATGTATTCGCTTGCTGTTCGTGATGAATGAATGGAGATGACAATTCCCATGGTGCTATTGTACTGGATTCAACATTGGAATCATATTCTTCTTCTTCTCTAATTTTATCAATGTTGAAATTCATTTATGTCGAAATTACAAGAAACCATAAAAAGAGCATTCATATTTTTTTTTTTCGCTCTCTTGTATTAAAAAAAAAAAAAGGTTACAAAAAAAAAAAAAAAAAAAAAAAAAAAAAAAAAAAAAAAGCTAAAAAAAGTAAAATTATTTTTTTTATTTTTATTTTTTTAAAAAAGAGAGTAGAAAATCATTATAATTAAAATTAAGTTCATCATCCTATTCAATATTTGATGTATGAATAACAGAATTAACAACTACTGTTCATGTCAGCGCAATTGAATCCGTTTAAATGTGGATCCCGTTTGCTTTGCGTTTTCTTTGTTCAAACAAAAACCTTAAACGGGCCAGTTCGTGTAACGGTTACAATCTTTCTGAACCATGTGTCTTGGTTCTATTCAAAAAGTGGGGGAGGGGATCCCTTTTAATATTTCTCTCCACAAGCGTGACTCTATCTACGCCTTCAATTGTTTCTAACAATCACATTCGATGAGGCAACAAAGTATACCCCCATATGCCCCAAATGACTTGTGCATGCACTGCGTATGCTTTACTATAGTAGAATCACTACCGTTTGTTATCTCCAAAATCCGTCATACACATCATCTCTTCTTTTCTCACCTGTTTTTTAATGTCTGACAAAATCCGATTTAAAGTGCATAAAAGCATTCTATTCATGACCATTTTCAGAATATGTATTACACTGAAAATTGCATTAAATCGTATCATTCATAAGAGCCCATGACTACCCACTCCTCCTTCTCCTAAAAGTATGCTATTACTACTTCAAATTTGACATTTGTAAAAAATAATAATCAATCAATCATAAGAGGCTCATTTATAATCTGCATGAAATATCACTTTATGCACATAAATGCATACATATAACATATAAGCACGAGTATATACTGGAACTATCAGGCATGTATGAAAGGGAACCATATTTAGTTTTATTACAAGTTTGAAAAAAGATGTATAGTGAAATGATTAAAAAAAAAAAAGGAGGGACATCATTACAGTCTCTGTATTACAACCGGCTTATAAGGACTTGAGAATAGCATCAACAATCACCTTGACGTCAAGCTTGGCAGCAATTTCAAGAGCAACAGCAATAATAACTTTCAGTGCAGCTTCGACGTTGATACTAGCACTGATAGTAGCCTTGGCAAGTAAAGGAAGATTGACTTCGACATCCTTAATAGCAGCTTCAAGCTGGGCCTTGGCTTCAACGGCCAAAGCAGCACTGATCTTTGGGAGCTGAGCAATGACAAGAGCCTGGGCCTTGATTTCGAACTCGGTCAATTTCTCTAAAAACTTAACTTCATCAAGAGGAGAAGAACCAAGGAGCTGCTTAAGAAGGACTTCAAGCTCTGCATAGATGGCCACTTGAATTTTGGCTTTCAATTCAGCATCGAAACTGGCTTGCAATTTTTTGATAACAGCGGATTGAATAAGCTTGAGTTGGACATCACCTACAGAAATTAGCCCACCAAGTAAAGAGGCCTTGGCGCTAATAGAAGCCGAAACCTTCTCACAGAACTATGTTTTTGTGGTCAATTAAAAAGTAATTATGGACCATGATTTTTGCGTAGACTTACACTGGCAGTGATAGAAGCAAAGACTTTGACATAGAGCTCAGCTTTTAAAGTGACCATGATCTTAGCAACAAGGGCAGCATCTGGCTGGACTGGGTACTTGACATCACGCTCTGTCAAACTATGAATACCTGTAGTATATTCGCCATTAAAATGTGTATTTGAAATATCAGAATCCTTGTTTTCATCATAATTTGCAAGAGTATGATCAGAAAAACCTTCTTTTCTATCAATGAAGTGGGAAACCGAAGTAGAATCCTCAAATATAGGCGAAGCCAATGTACAAGTGGCAGCCATGAGGCCAAAAAGTAAAAGAGAGGATAAAGAAAACTTCATTATAGAAAGCAATTTGATGGCTGAAGATTAGTATTTCAATTGAAAGACTTCCCCTCATATTTATAGGATTTCAACGAGAGATAATAACTGGTTTTATGTTGTCCATGAATATTTTTGAACCGATTTCGATAATTGCAAATACAGATACTTGTTGGTATATTTTCTAGTCTTCAGAATAATAGTAAGTTAGGATTGATTCATCTAGAAGTGACTGACAACATATAATCATGTCGGGTAAGAAGTAACCTGATAGCAGCAGTGCGTCAAAAAAAAAAGGTATGACAACAAATAGGTGCATTGAGTAAAAAAAAAAAAAAAAAAAAAAAAAAAGGCATAAACACGCTATCATCCCAAAAAACCAGTGACGACTTGGGAAGACTTAGATACTATATCTGAATAAATGCAGATCGATATACAGTGCTTACTTTATTGAAATTTTCGAAAACGACAATCATTTTCTAGGTAACACCATTTACTTTTAAAAAACCGCGATATATTCTTTTCAGAGCAAATAAAATTTACCTGTTGCATTGTATTGTAGTGTACCACTGACCTTAAGAGCAATATGAGTGCGTCTTAGGTAACGTTAAATGTGTAAAATTTTACAAAAACTTTATAACTCACTGTAATGCATAACATGTAATATTGTTTCAAACCTCTACGAGTTGTGTTACTATACACACCTCTTTCGGTAAATTTTGAAAATTATGTCGTTTAGTGTTACCAAGTATGAGCATTCCTTTTTTTTTTTTCTCATGCTTCAAACGGTGCCTGGGTTTAATTTATCATTTTGGTATACCCCCAAAGTGGAATATAAACAGATCCCGCCTTTTTTTTCCACCCGAGCACTTTAGGGCAGCTTTGTTTATCGACACGAACGGGTTGCATGTATGTAACTTAATAAGTAAAAAGCCAAAATAACGACGGAAAAAAAATAGTATGCTCAGCAAGAAGGACAGATAAGGGAATGATTTTTTTTTTGCATGACGTACGGAGAGGGAAATATTAAGATTTGGGGGGAGGAACAAAAAACTTATTTAGACTCCACAACAACATTTAATCCTTTTTGAATTTTTCCCAATTTTCATCTTTTTCTTCTTGCAATATAATATGGCAGACTTTATTTGTTTAGCAATGGCGTCTCAATATGCCGATACTAATACAGATACAGTATCCCAACCCAGTAATTCAAATACAAACTCTTTTAGAAGATCGCTAGGAACATCTGCTTTGTTTGGTCGAAGATCTTCTCGATCAAATGTTACTACCAGCTCTACCATAACAACTAGACCCACAAGTGATTCCTCTATAATTAATCATAGTGATGAACATCAAAGTTCGATACATATTCGCATTGTGCCAAGTATTGAAAATCCTAGCAGAAGCTTGGTATTCAGTATTATCGAGCGTGACTTGGAAGTAGGGCGAGTCATCAAAATAGGAAGATTTACAGATAGGTCATCTATTCAAAATCACATATCATTCAAAAGCAAGGTTGTTTCAAGATCACATTGTGAAATCTGGTTAAACAATGAAGGAAAGGTAATGTATCATCCCTGGTAAAAAAAGAAGGAGGTGCACATATTTGTGGAGAGATAAAATGGAAGCGGGGGTTGTGCGAAAAGAAAATAAACATGTGAGCAGAAAAAAAAAAAAAAAAAACTGCTCACACACACACATATTAATAATTTAAACTAATCAACTAATTCACAATAGGTACAATTAAAAGATACAAGATCTTCGTCCGGTACTTTTGTAAACCATGTCCGATTAAGCCCTGCAAATACAGAAAGTAGGCCTGTTGAAATAAGAGATGGTGATTTGGTACAACTTGGTGTAGATTATCAAGGCGGGTTTGAAGAAATCTATCGATCTGTAAAAATGAGGTTTGAAGTCAATAGACCTGAGCAACAAAGAAGACCCGCCTCTTACAGCATGGCAGCTTTTAACAATATTCGCAATTTAACCAGTGTATTGCCTTCTCAAACAACAACCGATCAACAGCAGGTGATAACTACATCACCTTCTTCATCATCGCCATTGTGTCACAACAACGAAAACAATCAAAACAACAACATAGAAGTGGAAGAATGTTGCATTTGTCTATATGCTCTAGCCCCATTTCAAGCCTTATTTGTTGCCCCATGCTCACATTCGTATCATTTCAAATGTATCAGACCACTCTTTGACAGTTATCCGGGTTTTCAGTGTCCTATATGTCGTACATACTCCGATTTGGATGCAAGCGTTGCTATCGAAGCTGAAGAGGTGATTGAGAAGTTTGGTCTTCGGAAATCATCTATTGTTCCCGCTCATAAAGAATTGGAACCGACTGAAACAAAAGATAGCTATCATCAACAAGAACAAGATAATGGAGAACTAGTTTCATCTTCTAGTTCCGTTCAACCAACAAACGTAATTTTATTAAGCTCCATCATACCCCCAGCACCTGAGCTGCCATTATCTACAACACTGGTAGCTTGTACTACCAGTTTATCTGGAATCATTTCTTCTCCTACATCATCATCTCATCATGGATTGGTAGACCGTAACAACAACGAGCCAGGTATACATTTACAGTCAATTATCTGCTGATTGTCGTTTTTTAACTTTTTTTTTTTTCACCTGATTGGCCATTTTATAGTGTCACGAGGCTTTTCAAATAATAATGCAGGGGATCATCGGGCAACCATTATATTTGAAGATGATAATGTGATAATGGGTGGCAATCATCATTCACAACACGTTATTAATAATGCAGCATCCAGCAGAAATAGTAACAATTTAGTTGAAAAGATAAAAATGGCATTCTCAAATGAAAAACGAAAGTCCTCAAAAAGACGAACTCATAGCAATAGTGATACCAGTAGTGATGAGGATTTGCCAGAAACATTTTTCGATTTGCCTTGTTCCTCTTCTCCGCCATCCAGCCCTAGAAATCAATTACAACCCATTTTATCTCGACAATCCACACAACATAACAATTCCCTGGCTGAGATTGTTGAAGAATCCTCGAACTCTGGGCACTAAAAAAAAATTATCCTTATACCACCAGTATACATATATGTTCTTGCAATATTTATACATATATGCGCACTCCTTATTACTTAACCATGTAACATACTACTATTACTAACTATCATATTTTATCATTTTATATTCAAAACAAAATAAAAAAGTAATGAAAACTTTTCCGTTGCTTCATTTTTATTTCATTTTATTTAACCGCAAAAGCTTTAGCTGTTTTATATTGTAATTCAACAACCATGTAAGCGAAATTTTCTGGAGTGGATTCAACTTGTCTCTATTAAAATCTATTCAATTATGAAAAGTGTAATTACAATGTAGCACCTGTAACCTTTCTTAGTTGAGAAAATCACGATGTACACAAATACTTATTACAAAGGATTCATTGGAAGTTGGCTATTAATTTAAATATGAGAAAATCAAGTTTGAATTGGTGCGACCGAGTTTTTTTTTTTTTTTTTTCTTTTTTTTTTTGGCACGACTTGTTATGTGAGTTAAGACAATTTACTTTTTTCTTTTTCGGTACAAATGAACTAAACCTTTGAAAAACATAGCATGATTAAAGTAAAAAAAATATCGGAAACGAATCTATCAGGACTTTTTAACAATAATAATATGTGCAAACAAGGATGCATGCAGCACTCCTGGGTGCTCAGACTGATTAAAGTTAAAACGACTTGTGCTATGTCATACAACAATTGCATAATAGATTGGATTTGACATTTTCAGCCTACTTAAATATTTCAAGACACAACCTTATAATTAGAGGTACTCGATTGGCGATAAGAGTTATAAGAGGCTAAAATAGCATTTATAATACTGACTACGGCGGGTATACACCTTGGGTTGTTGTTGTTATCCAGCTGGCTCAATTTAATATCGCAGTGCACGATTTATAAAAGCCGGCAAAGTGCTACTTGACAAACATTTGGGTTCTCGGAAATAAATCTTGCTAGGAATCGTTGTGGCTGAACAAACTGTTACTTCTTGATGGAAAGAACCCTTTAAAATTTTTCTATTACAAGAGAAACAAATATTTACATCGAGCAAAAAAAAAAAAAAAAATGTTTACTGTGTACGGTCATTGTGTATGATTTGTCTCGAATCTAATTTCGTTAGTGCATATTTAAAATATTAGAAATCTCCTATACTTACAAATAGCATGTAAACAAGATAGCTGTATCGCTGTATACCACCATTGTGTCATGGCTGTTAAAAAACAATCGGATGGGATAACTTTTCTCGGTTGTACTTAATCTGGCCCTAAATTCTATGCCCTTTTTTTTCCATCTCTTGAGTAACTGTAAAATTTCGGCGCTCAAAACCCAGTGCCAGTTAAACCCGACCCCCGCGTAGTTCGGTATTTCCTTTACTTTTTTGTTCCTTACATACATAAAGAATCGAGGGACAACGATAAATGAACGATTTGATCGAGTTGACTAATAAACTACAGGCTGTAGTTTCCTCGGTTGGAGCTGACAATACACTCGACTTGCCTTTGATTACCGTAGTAGGTTCACAATCCTCTGGTAAATCGTCTGTTCTCGAAACCTTAGTGCAGCGTGACTTTTTACCGCGCGGAAGTGGGATTGTTACAAGAAGACCCTTGATTCTTCAACTGGTTACTTTACAACAATCCGATGCATTAGAATACGGTGAATTTTTACATATTAAGGACAAAAAGTTCTTTGATTTTAGCGAAATCAGACAAGAGATTGAGCGTGAAACAGGACGTTTGGCAGGTGGCAATAAAGGCATTTCGAGGATGCCAATCCATCTTCGAATTTACTCTCCAAAAGTGCTCAATTTGACTCTGGTTGATCTTCCCGGTTTGACAAAGGTACCATTTAGTAATAATAACCGAAACACATTTTTTTTTAACACTTTGTTAGATTCCTATTGGTAAAAAACCGAAGAAACACCCCCTTTTTTACCCACTTTTTGCTTTAACTTTGCTCTATTTATTCTAGGCGATCAACCAAATGATATTGAAAAGCAAATTCGTAATCTCGTCATGGACTTTATTTCCAACCCAAATAGGTATTAATGGACTAGGTAGTAAATATTATTCATATGCTAAATTATATCTAGTATTATATTGGCTGTTACACCTGCAAATTCGGATTTAGTCAACTCTGATAGTCTGAAAATTGCCAGACAAGTTGATCCTGAGGGTAAAAGAACCATTGGTGTACTTACGAAATTGGATTTGATGGATGCTGGAACAAATGCTTTGGATATTTTATCAGGAAGATCTTATCCTTTAAAACTTGGTTTCATCGGTGTCGTTAACCGAAGTCAACAAGATATATTAACCAATAAGCCAATGGCAAATGCACTTGAGGCTGAAAATGACTTCTTTAATCAGCATCCTGCTTACAGAAGTGTAGCTGCTCGATGTGGAACTCAATACCTCAGTAAACAACTCAACACTGTAAATTTTATTAAAAGCTCTATGTGTAGTAAGGCAGCTAATTTCGTTTTTATTTTCAGATCCTTCTTGCTCATATAAAAGAAAAGTTGCCCGAGTTAAGGACTAAATTAAGTACACTTATCAGTCAAACACAGCAAGAATTAAGTCAATATGGTGAACCTACTCGATCAACTGAACCACTTCATCGAGGACCATTAATATTGCGTATGTTAACCAAGTTCTCCAATGATTTTGTTGCCGCGATCGATGGCACATCAGCTGAAATGTCGACAAAGGAATTATGTGGTGGTGCTCGTATATATTATATTTTTAATAATGTATTTGGACATGCATTAGATGCTATACCCGCCTGTTCGAATCTTTCGAATCATGATATTCGTACTGCCATCAGAAATTCAACCGGCCCTCGACCTTCTTTGTTTGTTCCAGAATTGGCATTTGATTTATTGGTACGACCTCAAATCAAGCTATTGGAAGCCCCCAGTTTAAGATGTGTTGAGTTGGTCTATGAAGAATTAATGAAAGTTTGCCACAACTCTGATACAAAGGTAATCCGTATATGAAAATAACGTACGCACATCTATGATTGACATTATTGTTATGATCTTATAGGAGCTGCTGAGATACCCCAGACTTCATCAACGACTTGTGGATGTTGTTTCAGAATTATTAAGAGAAAGACTTAGTCCTACGTCATCTTATGTTGAGAGTTTAATTTCTATTGAAAGAGCCTACATCAATACAAACCATCCCGATTTTTTGGGTGCAGCAGGTGCCATGGCTAACCTGGAAACCGAATCTAAAAAGAAGAAAAAGACAGAAAGCAAGCGCAAGGTAAGTGGGCTATATGTGAACAGTGGTGACTGTACTCTGACGTTTTTTAAACATCTAGAATCGTATGTCACCCACTTCGTTTGAGTCGAAAAATGGTAGATCAGGATCTATAGATAATGGATCTATAAACTTGGAGAACAGCGATAGTGTTGACTCGTCTTCAGCACCGAAAGATTCCTTTTTAAACTATTTCTTTGGGGGTGCAGGTAAAAATGAAAGGCCTGCGCTTGGCTCACAAGAAATGATGACCAAAGCTCAATATGCTCCTCCTATGTCCGTGAATAGTATGATGGAAAGTGAAATGGTTAAAAAATTGGAACAGGCATCCTTAAATAATGACGGGCCCATTGTACCAACCGATAGAGAGGAATTAGAAACACACTTAATTCGTAAGTGCCATTGTACTTGCGCAATTAAAAAACTCCAACTTATATGCTATTTTTTTTTCTTACTAGGTACTTTAATCACTAGTTATTTCAATATTGTTCGAAAGAACATCCAAGATTTAGTACCCAAATCTGTAATGCACTTATTGGTTAACTACTCACGAGAATCGGTACAAAACAGACTTGTAGCTGCGCTTTATAAGGAAGAAAATTTTGATGACTTGTTACAAGAGGATGATACAATTTCTACAGAAAGAGAAAAATGCAAAGCAATGCTAAATGTTTATAAGCAAGCTTTTGAAATTATTAAGAACTCATTGTAATACTAATTAGACAGACATTCGATCACTATAATTGAACCTTCCTAATAAATAAATATATTTATACATATAATCCATAACAGGGTGTGACAAATCGAATTGCGCAACCATTGTGTGTAATCAATTTAAGTTTATGAGAACCCCTCTGATACCAAAAATTAAATTTTGAATTTATCTTTTTGGCCTAATTTCACCAGAGGAGCTCATCGAAACCATCTAGTGAGTACATTTGTTGCAAAATGCTGTCATTACTATACAAAAAGCAGGGATATTCAGCCACGCTGTGTTGTTAGTGTTTGTTCCAATACATTTTTTTTTTTTTTGTAAATAAGGGTTTGTTTCAATTCAAATTTTTTTGTCACACATCGCGGAGTGGTGGGACTTTATGAAACGGATGTTCGTATGTAACATAGACAATATAATTAATAATCTTATTGATTTATTGACGCAAATTTGGGCACATTGGTGACAGGATAAGGCCGTGCATTATCTGTGCTATGAAGCCAGTACAGGTTCTATATTTGCCAAAGAGTAGTAGAGACTATAGCGAGATACCACTCATTGTTTTGCATAGACAGCGGATGTTTTAGGGAGCATAGTGACTCATACAACATTGTTGTTGTAAAGTCAAGATACGGGTAGTAGTGGGAGGGTACTCTGTGCCAAGTCTGTCGCTTCATTGGACACTTCACAAAGAAATGAATAGTTGAGTCATCAGCCGTACCACATAAGGAGCATTGCGGAGAGGAAACGTTACCAAAATGTTTAAACATCAATTGTTTTGTGGGAAAACACCTAGAGAAAACTCGATACTAAACAGTGCGTGCCTGTGGGAGCATACGGCATCGCCAGAACTGTTTGATATTCCGGATTGAGAAGTTGTGAGTTGTTGTACATTGCTGCTAATAGTCCCTTCAGAAAGAGTTAGGCTGAAATTGATTCCATAACTGTTGAAGTCGCATCTGGGACACCAGATTGTGAGAGGACCAGCTTTTGGGTGGTAGCGAAGGGTTAGGCGCGGTAAGAGTAAGTGGCCATACAAATGCCTTGTTCCAATACATGAAAAGTCAATTAGCCAATGGGTCTGAAAAGGTCGGAAACTAATTTTACCGTGTGACTTGCCCCCAGGTAACTTAAATGACACGAGCCAAAACCTCTTACCCTCCTCCTTTGCTTACTTGTACAATACTCTTACATTAAACATATTTACACGCTGAGGCAAATCTAATGGTCACTACTTCAGCAGGAAAGAAGACATACGTTATTGGGTCCCGTAAATCACAGTTAGCCCTAGTGCAAACTTACATTGTTCGTGACACTCTTCAGGCTATCTATCCTCAATTCGAGTTCAAAATTGAGACCATGTCCACAACGGGTGACATTATCTTGAATCAAGCTCTTAGTAAGATTGGTGAGAAGGCCCTATTTACAAAGGAATTAGAAACTGCTTTGGAAAATAAAACTGTTGACTTTGTCGTACATAGTCTCAAGGATTTACCCACAGTATTACCAGAGGGTATGTTATTAGGTGCGATCATGAAACGTGAAGACCCAAACGATGCCCTCGTTTTAAGCGAAAAGAATAGAGGTTTGACCCTTGCTACGTTACCCAAGGGTGCTGTTATTGGTACAAGCTCTTTACGAAGAGTCGCACAATTAAAAAGAAATTATCCTCATTTAACTTTTATTGATGTGGTAAGTCTTACCCCCCATACATTCACCTACACATACACATCATCCCCCCACCCATTATTTGTAAACTCTTACTAATAATTGTCAATTTAGAGAGGCAATTTGTGAGTACAAACAAGAGTTGACTGACAAAGTACTGACTGTTTATTTTAGAAATACACGATTAGCTAAATTGGATATTGAGGATAGCTCTTACGATGGTATTGTATTGGCTGTTGCTGGGCTTGTTCGTATCGACCAAGGCCATCGCATTTCACAAGTTTTGACTGCATCAGATTCTCTTCATGCTGTGTCTCAAGGTGCACTGGGTGTAGAATGTCGCCAAAACGATGAAGAAGTTAAAGAATTATTGGAGTCCTTAAATCATGATGATACCCGTATCACTTGTTTGAGTGAGCGTGCTCTCATGCGTAGACTTGAAGGTGGATGTAGTGTACCTATAGGTGTAAATACAAAATTAGACAAAGAAGCCAATACTCTTTGGATGCATGGTTTGGTCTCCAGTCTTGATGGTCAAAATGTTGTTGAATACAAAGATAAAATTAGTCTTAAGGACGCTGATACCAGAGAAAAGAGAGAGAAATTAGCTGAAAAATTAGGATCCGATGTTGCTAACGACCTTTGTGAAAAAGGTGCTGATAAAATTTTGGCTGAATTGTCTCACCGATCTCATTAAATAAACTACAAATAAAATAAATCGATTTTGCTTAATTTTTTTTTGGTAAGAACGTACCCATACTGCCCAATTTTTCAACATGGTAGTTTAGAGTTAGATACACCGAAAGATCACTAACAATTTGTGGATTTAGAAATTAGACGGATATTTGTTTTATGCAACTATAACGTGAATGAGCCTATGATGTACCTAGATTACCTTTATTGAATATTCAAACAGATTTCACTAAACTCTTCCCGAGAACGCTAGGACAATTAAAGAGATCTAAAATCATCAAGTTTGTGTGTAATCATGTGACATTAGTGCATCTACAGATTAAAAGTTACGCCGAATACTTTTCATTGATGTACAACTTGCCCTGAAAATAACGGAATAAATTTCAGTGACTAGAACATTTATGTCCTTCGCGTTTGAATACTTACGCCATGGTAGAGTAATTGACATCTTCTCGATTATACTAAGTGTTATGGCTTTATAGTAGGGATTGTATATAATTACATACAAATCAAATATATAGGCTCATTTGATGTTGTAGAAGGTAGATGAATGTAACAAATGTACCGTCTGAGAGCTGGGCCCATATATACGACATGGAAGTACGGATAAGATGGTATTGTAGGGGGAAAAAAGTAACAATGCTTTCAAAAAGGATAAATTTGAGCATAAATTTGAAACCTTATAATTAGAGCCCTTGCGTAAGTCTGCCATAGGGCGAACGATATATCCATGATGATGAACAGTTTAATGCGAAATAATGACTCTTAAATGTACATGTATTGTGAAATCCATCATGTCGCTGATATGTGTGTCACGAAAAGAAACAAAAGGATGATGATTATAATGAAGTGAATAGGCTAGAATGGTTTTTAGCATACAACCTCTAATTATGCTTAAGTATAAAATATTTTGAGGTAGGCTACGCTAGCTTAAAATAGTGCTTTTGCATAATTTGGAACCTGGCTGATGATGATAGAATATTTATGGACTGACAGGTGTAACTAATCCTTCTTTATTTAATTACATCGTGTAACCATGTCGGCTCAGAGTCATGGATATTCCCGTCTGACCCAAGCTTTCAGATTTCGTGACTATTCCATTGATGATACAACATTACTTTCAGATCTAAAATTCCAAGTAACTCTTTATCAGTTACGCCCCAGGATTTTATAATATTTGATAGTCTTTCATTTAATAAAGCTTAACAAAATCAGGCATTACAAAAGTCTATTTTATCGAACCCCACAAACTACTTGTTCATGTAGGTTTTTTTTCCCTTGTTACGGAAATCGAGTTGAGCTGTTATTCATAACCGCAAACGCCGTTTTAAGTGGAACTTGAAATTATTATTTGTTTACATGGAATACATCCGGCGCCTATTTAAGCCTACTACACTTTTTCTTCATTTCCCCCTTTTTTTTTTTTCAATTTATCATGATTACAATTGCAGAATTTTCCACCCTTCAAAAACCCGATACTGTTGATAATATAATTTATGAGAAGCCAAATGCATATGATGAGGATCCACCTGTTGTAATAACTGCTAGTCGCCATAACAGTCGTAGCAGTAAAATGACAGTAGATTCTTACGCAAGTCGTTACTTTCAAAGGAGAGGACCGACTGCTATCACTTGCTTTTCAACACCTCCTCCGTCTACTACTATATCACCTGTTACAACTACAAATTCGTCAGGGAACTATTACTCCCCAAATACACCTATGGAATCACCACCACCTTCACCAAAATCATGTATTAAAAGACAAGAAAGAAAATACAACACCAAAGTTGATTACCGGAACATTACATCATTTATTCTTAGTCAACCAATCCCTACAACACAAACCCATTTTAGACATCATCACGAAGACGTCCTTACAATAGATAATGAAACCCCTTCTTCTCCAAAAAATAGTGTAATAGGTGTTGAGACCATGAAGAAAAGCACGGATATTGCAGCCGCTGCCGCTGCTTTACTATCTAACGATAGCAACATTGTATCATCTTTCTTCTTACAGCAAAACAAAAGACGTGGCCCGAAAATCCGCAATATAACAACAACAGCGCCACACAAAAAATTGAGCACCAATCCAAATAGCAACGTAATTACGTACAGCTTTAGAAAATCATCCACGCTTACGCCGGATCAGCATGAGATTTTCCTTCATATTGATCATCCTGACGAAGACGATGAAGATGTCATGGTGTACAGAAAAATCCAGCCCCATTCTTATATTTGGGGCGGCCTTCAAAGTATGCTTTACAGTAACAGAAATGACGGTCAGGGAATTAAGGTAGCGGAAGCGCGCCGCAATGCATTAAAAAATGATATTGTGATTGAAGCAGCGGATTATGAAAACAGTTTGATAGAAGATATCACTCAACCTTATATAGACAATATCAGAAATATACCAGCCACCAATAACATCCACTGCCATAAACTGATTAAGAAGTCGCAATCTAATATTCTATTCGAATATGAAATCTGGTTTCACGGCTCGTTAATGCGGTGGAGGAGACCAAGTTTGCTATCGCATGATTTTACATGTGAAATTAAATTGACTCGACAAGAGACAAAACTATTTCATCAAAAAAATAGAGGAAGATTTCATGCCGCAAAAGATGATGGATTTATTGATAGTGACAGTGATGACGATGATGACGATCATGATAGCCACACACATAAAACCTGCAGAAGATGGAAACTGGTAGCAGAGTTTGATAGCCATACGATGAGTTTTGTAAATAAGGAACTTGGGATGTTATCTATTGATCTCGATATGCTAAATCAAGTAGAAAAAGAAAACTGTAATCTACTGGAGGCTAACATAGTAATGACTTGTTGTACCTTGATTGATCTAATAAGAAGTATAATGGGAAAATAACAAACAAAATAAAAATATTCTTTGGCTCAACGGCACAATATATAATAATATTTGCTTTACTCCTTTTCAATTTGAAATGGCACGGCTACAAATGCCGTGCAATACTGCGCAATAAAAAATATATTTACATTATCGCGAGGCCAGAATAGATACAGATACACTTATACATGGCACTAGAGGCTACATAAAAAAGCTGCCACAACATAAATCATCTTTATGTTCAATTGATACCTAGTCTTGCTGGACTATATCTCTGGATGTAGGGTCTCCATACAGATATTTTTATCTATCAACATTGGGTAAGCCAGCAAAGATCTATGGGTTACCATGGTTTATAAACATTCATTGTGATTAGCAATACACGAGTCCATCGACTCAGGGACACCATTCTTGTCAACAACATTCCAATGGCTATTTTCAAATAAAATGTAAAGTGTTTCAGAGAAAAATCATATAAGAAATAGTCCTCTTTTATATTATTTTTGTGGGAGAAAAAGAAGAAGAAAAAAAAAAGCAGATGGAATGCAGAAAAGGGGTGGATGGGAGATATGTATGTTGTAGGGGTTGGTGTACGAGGGGTTGAAGGGGAGTAAATTTTATAATCGTGGTATAATCCCAATATGCCACAATGTTCTTTTCTCAGTTGTATTCAAACAGGAAGAATGAACACACCAGACTCTTTTATGATTTTGTATAGTTTCTACCGATCTTTGATTTTCTATTTCTGTAAATGATCGTCTGGGATTGTCATCTTCCTCTTCCTCTTGTTCATCGTCTCCAACAATGATGGCTGCCAAAGTATGACACCACCTCAATAACATCCACAATCCCTCGGCTTTGACAGCAGGTACAACCAGATACCTTAATCTAGGACATTTAGACACAATCAATCTTGCTACAGACGCAGTTAAGACATCGTATGGATTAAGTGTAAGTGCGATTAAGTCGGAGCCAAAAGTTGGAAGAATCGCGTTACTTAATGCACCGGGATGATGGAAATAATGTGATATCTGAGTTAATGGCGAATTCTTTTCTGGTACAAGCTCGCTTGGAAATATAAAGAACGAGGCACAACACGGAAAATAAGTGGTAGTTTGCACATTCGAATGAAATATATCTAGATCGTCATGCGAAATTAAATGAATGGGTATTTCGGTCGCCATGAAACAGGTAGAAGGTCGCATGAAGCTGTTTAACTTTCTCAATTGGTTTGGGTATATACTTGACTGTAAAAAATTGAGTCGGGGGCAGCGAGTGAGAATGTGCTGATACAGCATGTCAGAAAAGTGATGAGCTTGAGGTAGTTTAATGGTTTCTATTGAATTTCCATACAATGTTATGAATGAGATGACTTGGTGTTCAGAGATATCGTGGCTGTCTGGAAAAATCACCTTCCTATATACTCGTTGTCGAACTAGTTGAAACGTGTATTTACATACAAACAAATATTCTGATAAATTCTGGTCGTCTGTTGACTGGATAATTTGCATCAATAATTCATTCGGTAGAGATATCATTTTCGTAAGAGATAATAATAAAAAAGGGGGCGGCAAAAGGGGCTGTTTATTGCTCACATGCTCGTTTGCTCAAATAAGTCTTTGATTGCATTCTAATAAAAAAAAACTTCGATTTGATTGGGTATCTTGCTGTCTGTCTCTTGTTGTGTTACCAAGTTTTGAAAGTTAAATTCAGTCTGCATAAATCCTTGTCACTACACTGACTGGTCTTTTCAATGAATAATACCATTTTAAAAAAAAATTGTTACATACACAGAATATACCATTAAAACAGAACAGGTAACAGGGATAGAACATTATTTAAGTATTGGACGGCTATTTTGTTGTTGGTTTTGTTGTATAAATTATCAGGTCCTATTTTCCAAATGGGCCGACTACTGATATGAATTTTAGTACATCAAATCGAAACGGTTTTTTTTTTTTTTTTTTGTATATTCTCTCTATATTTGCAGATTTATAGATTATTCCATGCATTATTGCCATTGACACTGAAGATTATCGGTTTTTTCATTAAGTTGATCGGCTCAAATGGGCCGCTCATGTAAATTTCGTTTTAAAGACTTTGGTCAATGAATTATTGATGTAAGCATACATTTACATGACACCATAAAACAATATTCAGATACGAATTCTTTTTTGAAGTTCTCCTAATGGTATCTATTCCACGTGGCTTTTGTGCGACACCAGTTACATAGACCATCTTAAATGACATTGGCACTTAAAATGGAAGAGCTATTGAAAGTTGAAGTGCTGTTCTTTTTATTAAATTTCGTAAACTGTATGTAGTGTGATTACAATAGTACTTCTTGATAAACGAAAAGTGTACCTGAATTGATGTCGCGTTAAGCGAACTCAGTCAATAAACTCAATTTATTCTCAGCCTTGTTGCAGAAAACGGCTTCAAACCAAATATGACATGGTGTATGCAGTTTCATGTACTAAGCAATTTTCTGTTATGTAGTATAACAAACGATTGGGACCACATTTTATCTTAGATATGTCTGTTTAAATGTGTTTGTATACCTTAAATAAGGAAAGGTAAGTCTCTAAATAAGTATGTCGTCTCCAAAGACAAGTAATCTGAATAATTGATTACGTCATATAAAGACAATTTGGTTCCCTACTCAAGAATTATTTGCAAAGTGTCAGTGATTACAGAAGCATATTGCTTTAAGTGACAGGTTTACAAGTTTTTTTCTTTATTTAAAGGCGAAATCAACATTTAAATCTTATAACTATGCTGTGTTAAGCTTACTTACTTTATAGGATACACCATACAAACTAAGAGGATTCTTCCAGTATGTAATCCTCAGATAATGGTTCTCCTATTCGCAAGTGTGTGAATATAGGTCATTGCAGGGAAGATGTGTAAGTATTATTTTTATCCGTCTCATCTCAAATCGAATTCTCATCTCCTTGAAACAAATTGGATTTGTCTTACTCTGGAGTTGATACAAGCCCAAGTGCTTATTGCAGAATCAGTTCTATATCTACTCTTCGCTGGTTTCAAATAGAAAAAGATATAACAATCATACTTCATCTTTTTTATTCACAAGTCCAGATATCAAAATTACGGAACCGTGATCACCATAGTTTTACAATGGGGTTTTAAAAAAGATTGTTCACAAGTCACAATACAGAAAAAAAAAATATTGTGTACATGATTTGAGCACCCAGTGTATGATTATCGCCCCCTCCTCCTTCTTATGCTAAATTAATGAGTTAGTGTAATATTCATATAAGGAAATAAACTAACTCACACAGTAAAAAAAAAAAAAAAATACATAGACAATTTAACAGATAACATACAGTATAATCTACAACAATATGCGGCAATGACCCAAGCCCAGTTATTGAACAGTAACGAACAACAGCACCAGCAACAACAGCACCAACTGGCTGAGCATTTACAAGATCCTAATTCAGCGTTCAATTTGGCTTATACGCCTTTTCCATTAATTAGAATGGCACCTCCTCAATTACATCAGCCCACGTTAGCAAAAGAATTACCTACTTCCCCTACAGCTGTATCTACACCTCTAGAACAAGTAACTACTAGTGATAGAATAGGAGCAACACCGATCCGAGTAACCCGACCTCCCAATGCATACCTCTTATTTAACAAGGAAATGAGAAAGATTTTAAAGGATCAAGATCCTACCATGAAAGTAGCTGAGATCAGCAAAGAAGTAGGGAGCCGCTGGAAGAAGATGGCCAAGGTACAGCTGAAAAAAAAAATTATTATTTACTGCTATCTTTAACATGCAAAATATAATAGGAACAAAAGGAACATTATATAGCACAAGCAAACAAATTAAAGGAAGAACAACGAGCACTTCATCCAAATTCAATGTATATTCGTCGGTCTAGAGCCGAACTGGTAAAGGCTGGACACTTTACCAAACGCAATTTAGAAAAAGAGAGTAGCGAACTACCCAATAAACGTAAAAAGGTCAAACGAGATAAGAATTCGGCAATACCAAAACATCCACTTTCCGCCTACATGTGGTATCTAACAGAAGTACGACCTGAAACTATGAGAAGCTTTCCTGGATCCAACGTAGGTCAAATTAGTAAATTATGTGCAGACAGATGGAATAGTATGTCAGATGAAGCTCGTTTACCATGGAAATCAAAAGCTCAAATCGACAAAGAAAGATATGCAAGAGAAATGCAGATTTATGCCCTTCAAAATGACCATCATTTAGGCCGTGGCACAAGACAAAAGTATCGAACTGCAGCAGCAGCTTTGAATGGGGATTCGTCTTTTGTAGACTCAAATGTTGTACCATTATTTTATACAGATGATAAGCAGTTATATCACCATCATTTATCTGTACCTTCAACCCCAAGTTCCATTTTACATAACCCCGTAATGACTTTAAATCCAAATGCCTTACTTCAAAACCACAATACAAACGACACCACTTCAAATAACCAATATTGATTCTGCCATTTAATAGGGATATTATACCTCCTCTCTTTTTAATAATAACAATAAAAACCACATTATTGCTAAAGTAATAGAATACAAATGATATACGTAGGTAGACATACAACTACTATGTCCTTGACTAAATTGAAGAACGAGGTTCTTGTAGATGTAACCATTGTTGTTAACCCCATTTCCTCCTTGGACAAATAAAAATGCTTTTTCTTTCTCCATTGCAAAGAATGATGGAGTAATAATATAACTATGGTGAACGCTAATAGGTAACCATAACCCAGGAACATGAACACCTGGTCGGGTAACCAACATAATTCAGATGACAAAGTATCTCTACTTGATAAATCCAGGAGGACCACACCAGGACGCTTCACACCTTGTGCCATACTGAATGTTGGTATAGTAATTTCAGTGATATTAGGTGGATGAGTCACTTTGCAATAGTCATGATCATCGCCTGAGAAAATTGCTACGGGTTTCACTTTTTCCAATATGTAATTTGATAGTTCCCAACTCACTAAATTTTGGTATTGGTATCCATATTCGTTTTTGATTATCGTGTTTTTCTTTTGTCGATTGGGGCCGCAAGAAACTGTGCTGTCTCTGTAGAGTGGTACATGTGTCATCAAGATTCTCTTCGTACCGGGTAAGTCGCTTTCTAAAATGGCGATTGCAGAATCCCGGATATCTGGGTCTTCAGAACTAAGTGACACAGTATCGATCATGATAAAGGAATAACCCAAGTCGGTTTCCATTACGTACGATGTATTTCCAAAATAGGACTCGAATCTTTGACGTACATTTAAATTTACTCCATTGCCAAATCCAATATCATGATTACCGGCCATATAATATTTCGTATGTTCCGTATTAAATATTCGATGGAACCTGTTGACCTCTTGTTTATAACTTTAAATATATGTTAGAATAACGAATTATTCTCTCGGAAACTTTTTTTTTTCGCTTACAATTCATCATCTTTCCACTCTCTACCATTATCCATCAAATCTCCAGTAATAATAACATTACTAGGGGAAATAAACCTTGTCAAATATTTGTAATTCCGTTTCATATAAAGGTCGCTGTAAAATTTAGATGCCATCATAAAAAGTGCATTTATCTTGTAAGATTTGTTGTCGGTCATTTGAGGATCTCCAACCAGCATAATGTGCCCTTTTTTCTGATAAATTAGATGAATCGGTTAGTCTACAAACTATACACTGTAATATATTCATTTATATTACAAAACCCGACGCGCACAACTTGGCAGAGGTCCAATACACATAAAATTCACAGTTTAGTATAAACAAGATCCATATAAACCTTAGACTGTTTACAACCCATTTTGATCGTATCATTCTAATAGAAAAATAGAGTGAAAAGAAAGGCTAAAAAAAGGAAGGAAGGGGAGAAACATTTATATATGTAAAATGAAACAGGAAAATTTCATGTTGCCTCAATAAAAATAAACGCTTGGCGCAATTTTCTGACAGGTAACGTGATACGACATCAGTTTTAATTGTAACTTTTAATCTATCATTTGTGTCCTTTAGTTCCTGAAGCAAGATACACCAAAACGTTTAAAATCAAATATTACAAATGCTCCATATATCTGCTAGACTGCATATATTTTTGCTAGAACCTTACAATGAGCCGACATCATTCTTATTGTACCACATTATTTATTACTTCAATGCACGGATTCATTCTAAACAAAAATATATCAGATTATAATGAGCTAAAATTATTTTCGTAATGTTATCACTCATGTAAAATAGTGCATTATCTATCAAAACAAAGTAAGTACCAAATCCTGAGAGCCTGCGCACAAGATGTAGACATTTTTAGATGATTAAGCCTTGTAGTCGTAGTATGGGAACCACCCTCCCGCGGATCTATCGCTCTCACCTTCTTTTGATTCTACGTGCTTCCAAGACGTAACCTCATTTGATCAATAATATAGTATGTGATGGGCTGAAACAATTACGTTTTTTTTTTTACGGGATTCTGGCATATCTACAGAAAACTGGGATAATGTCAATGATAGAAAAGTATAGAAAAGCAAATTTTGAAATACACTAATTGATGAGCAGTGATAAAGCAATGTCGCCGCTTAATACGAGTGCGTAAATAAAATGGTTTATATTTAACATGTCTATAAAATATTTGGGTATCTGAAACAGTATAAAAAGCAAAAAGTTTTTACTTTGAGCCACAAAAAATAATATCACACAATACGCAAATTATGAAATTACCTCACCTTTAAAATTCTAAATCTCTAAAAGAGAAACCATGTTTGATATGGCGATATAAAAAGACAGTGGCATGTATAGATTGAAATCCGTTTAAATACAGCTGGTAGTTTATTTCCATGGAGTTTATCTTTCGAATTTTGATAATAATGTTTCTGGAAACATTGGTGTCTCTCTGCCATAATATTCCACAACGTTGGCAAGTGAGGGTAAAACTCAGGTCAACAAGCTCTAGTGGAGTGCATTTATTTACACGAATTATGGACCTATATTAAATCAATGTTAGTTAATCAGTATGTGTTAATGTTTCTGTAAATGACCTTTAAAGTGCGGAATTCATCGATCCAGACAAGTAATAAATCTCCGTTCTTTGTCTTCTTTTGAGATGGCAGTAGAACACATCAGTCACACCAGCTCGAAGTGGATTTATTTTTATATGGTCTTTACCAAACATCCCGCTGCCAAACGAGATAAGGGCTAACTTTTTTTCTTTATCGTAAGAAAAGGCTTCTTTTTTTCTCAATAATCTCCAGTCTTATTAGATACCATTTCTCCACTATCTCTTTTTGCTCCCTTTTATAAATGGGAACGTCTAACAGCAGTAGATGGGTTGTTAAAATTTGAAATCGCATAGATATTTAATAATCTATATACTGCGAATTGCAGATACCGTGAGATAAAAGCAATCTTTGCTTTAGGTATGTCAAGCAAAGTGTTGTTCATTCCACTGTCTTCCATCCTTTGTTGTTCTTTTCTTTGGTACCTAATCAACCCAATATACGTGCAATATTCTCACGTCCAACAGCTTCTTACTTGATGGGATTCTTCACCATAACCATAAGATGCAGCATAAGGTCATTTGGTCTACTTCTTTAGTAGTGGCTTCACCCAGCAGGGTGATATTGTAGTCTTGTTCATAGTAGTCAAAGTTTACAACATCGTTAATCTTATTGCCGCAACTTTTAATAAGCACCAAGTCTGCAGTAAAGACATCTGCTTGAAAAACCACAACTGTTAGTATATCATTATATTGAGAACATGCTCAGACACTTTTTGAACTTTATCCATAAATACAGTCCTGTATTCCGGTCTTACGATTGTTTCAAGTGTTATCTTTCTTATAACAGAGATACCATTATTTCCTAACAAGGCTTGGATATCCTCGGCCTTTGTTGGCCTATAATTAGTGCACTGTCTTAATATTGTGTTATTATGTCCCCCTTGGTGACAGCTAGAACAGGCTGGAACTCTTACCATTAGCACGACTTTGTCTTGCGTTTTTCTTCAGAAATTAAAGTTCGTTCATATCCTTTTCCGTGGTCTTTTGCTTCATTTGTGCCAACCAGACAATAGTTTTGGGTGAATTATCAAAAGGTACATATTAGATGTACAACTTCTATATAAATTACGCTGAGTTGCGGTTGGCTGATAATACTCGCATTGTCTACTTCATTTCGTACTATGACCAACTTTGTCGCAATCTTTGAACTTGGTTGAAGCTAATATGCCAGTTATTATTATCGTTAAGGTATGTTTGTTACGCTAAGTATTACGGTGTTATTATTCTTGTTTTTGAATTTCTCATCCTAAGCCCTTTTTAAAATTTCTTTTATTTTTGACTTGAACATACAAATTACAATTTTGCTGAGGATGTCATAGATTATAATAAAGGGATCATCACATTACATAGTAATGGATGGCCATGCATAAATATTCGTGGCTCACGCATCACCCCATTTGTTACCCTAATTTACATTTCATCTCCGTTCCAAACAAATTTTGATAAAAAAAAAAGAGGTACGGATTTAAGGTAGCTTATCGGTTCTTACATTTATCAAGCAAATTTAACAACAATATTTTTATTCATATGTGTACTATAAAGATTAGCCAAACTTAAGCTCATTGTGAAATAAAGTTTGAGTTATCTACAGTGTATGTACCATAGATATAACCGATGACGTTGGCGGACGATCGAAAGTGTTAAATTCACTTGCTTTTCGTAAGTAAAGTTTTCAATATTCTATTTGCTTCTAAGACTGTGGCTATAAAGATCATACATGAAGTAATAAGAGCCAATAAACAGTTCAGGACATGTAATAAAGAATACACAGATAATAAAACAATAACAGCTGTCTGCTGCTCTAATTATTTGGGGAATTCCTTCTCCCATGTTTGTTATGTCGTTTGTGTTTCTATTTATACTCTCCGACTGATGACAGTACTGGTCAACTATAAAACACTGCATTGAAACAAATACGTATGCTTCTTCAATATTCAAATCAATTATGCAAGTATTCTTACAACGACCACCTTGGCCAGAATAAACAATCCGAAAATTGTTGGAATTGATGTCTAAAATATTTTGTCTGAAAGCTATTTGTATTCCGTCTGAATTTTTCTTACTGCTATCTGAAAACTATTGTAACTTGTTTGAAAACATGGTTAAGTCTGACCGAAAATAATCTTTCGTTGTCTAAATTTAAGCGAGAATAGTGTAATCTGTCCCTCGCATCTTTAAAAAATGGGACCAATAAGCGTGATATTAAAAGTTATAGCAAATGAAAAATGTTTATAAAATAGATAAAACAGAAAATATAATAATTTCTGACAGGTAAGGTCACACGAGATTAAAAACATGATAGTAAACCACATGTAACAAAAGAAATAAACTGATTCCAGAACCCCTTTTTCCGTGAAGAATCGTCATAATCGGCCGCGATAGGAGTTGGATTTAAATTCATGAGAGGAGGCTGTGTACGGGAGTAATTCTGCTGCGTGTAAGGTTCAGTTGTAATAGCGCGGGTACCAAGAGCAGTGTTATTATTTGTACGCGTTGCCACTTTTGTCAGCCCTTTTCCGTTGTTCAACAATGACCAATCATATAAACTATCATCACTGTCACCATGATTGATGAGCACTTTTGTAAACAAATCTCTTAAAAAATCATAATCTGGAGTTTCTTCGAATCCTAATTTTCGAACATACTGAAGGTAGATACCGAATTCGTCTGGAAATCCCATACATAAATCCTTAATTGTGGTTGTCTGTTTTTTCTCTCCAATTTTTTCGTACTTCTGTTTATTGGTTGCTGCTTTTAATCCTTGCCAAGGTAATGATCCTCTCAAAAAATACATGAATACATGACCCAATGATTCTAAGTCATCTCTTCTAGATTGTTCTCTTCCTAAATGTGTATTGATACTCATATATCTCGCTGTACCTGAAAGGCTCTTTTTTTCACGGTATGGGATATGTTGTTTACTTTTTGGATCTCGATACTGTTTAGCCATACCAAAATCAATCAAATACACTGTGTTGGCGTCGGCTGTACCTTGTCTACCAATCAAGAAATTGTCGGGTTTAATATCACGGTAAATCAAATTATTTTCGTGTACGTTTTGAATTCTAGTGATCTAATAATATGTAAGTAAAACCTAATAACAAAGATAATACACTCACCATATTACGTGCAAGTGTGGCTACTGTTTTGACACTAAACTTTCTAGAACAGCTGTCAAATAGATCCTCTAAACTGGGTCCTAAAAGATCAATCACAAGAATATTGTGAAGCCCTTCTTGACCAAAATAATAAGCAGAGGGTATTCCAGCTAAAGAAAAATGAAATTAAAGGAGTTGAAGGGGTGCTGGGGGATTCAAAGGGGAAAGGGGTAAATAACTTACCAGTTCCAGATAAGATTTTATATGTTCTGTATTCGTCTCTTAATTGCGGTGCATCTGATTTTCTAGGTTCAAATTTGATGGCTACCTGGAGATTATTTAATAGATTGGTCCCTGTAGAAGAAAAAAATAAAAGAGTTGGTTAACAATGTTTATAATTTGAAATTTCATCTCTGCAAATAACCTTCATAAATGATGCCAAAGCTTCCTTCTCCCAACTTTCGACCAACTTTGTAGTGAACTCCTACAACGTTGGTACTACTACTACTGCTAGACATGTTTTTTCTATGTGTTTTTTTAAAAAGAAAATAAAAACAAGAGAAACAAAGGGAAAAAAGAGTAAATAAAATAAATAGAAAAAATTCACACACACACACACACATAAAACATTATTTTATGCAAAAATCGACCTTTTGCATAGAATCTTTTTTTATTATTTTGTTACTAATATTTAACTGTTCGCGTTCACAGCTTATAAAGTGATTTGAGAAACTTCATATAAGTAAGCACCTAATAATTGAGTACCGTTGATATAGTTAGAGCGATCCAATTTCTCATTGATAGAATGAGCACCCTATTGTAAAAAATAAATAAAAAATTAATGGGTTTTAAAAAAATTACGTGATTTTTTTTTTTTTTTTTTTTTTTTTTCAAAAACTTACATCATCACCACGACCCATTGGTAATAATAAGACATTCTTCTTTAAGGCATCTTGGAAAGACAAGGTTACAGGAATAGAACCACCTTCACGAGTCAAGTCAGGCTTAATCTTGTATACAGTCTCGACTGCCTTTGCGGCGGCAACTAAATTAATAGATTGTTAAGAATTTTTCGTATTCCCTTTTAAAGAAATACTTACCATAGTTGGGATGATCAGGACTAGACAACCAGTAGTTACCATCGTGAGTACAGTGAACATCCAACTTGTTTTTGGAACCAAGCTTGGCGAATTCTTCCTCACAAAACTTTACAACCAAAGCAGAAACCTCCTTGGGGTCCATATCAGGAACAGTACGGATGGAGAACTTACCGGTCACACAAGAAGGAATGACGGTTTTATCACCAGGACTGTAGAATCCACCTTCAACACCATGGATAGATAAAGAAGGGTTTCTCCAACGACATTGAAGAGTTTTACGGATGCTATCATGGATATTGATTTTGTTGCCAACAGCAGAGTGAAGTTCCTCCATGTTAAAAGCCAAGTTATCATAAGTCTTTTCTTCCTCATCTAATAGTTACGCGTTAAAATATATAGATAGCGTGTGAGAAATAATAAGATAGAATTACCAGAAATAGCACGAACTCTTTCGTAGATACCAGGAACAAGGATTTGGCCATTGACATCAACGAGCTTGCTCATGACACTGAAAAGATCAGTCATAGGCTCATGGATAGTACCACCAAAGACACCAGAGTGGAGATCAGCAGCCTATAGAATTTGTTTGTTCAATAGATACATACGTGTGTAGGTGAAAATGACTATACTTACGGGACCCTTAACCTTCATATGGAAATAAGAGACACCACGAAGACCGTAGGTCAAACAAGGCTTAGAGGTACCGAGCCAGTAGTTATCAGAGATACAGACAGCATCAACATCCTTAAAGTATTTGTCGGCTTCAGCAAAGATAAGGTCATCCAAACCTTCGGAACCGGATTCTTCCATACCTTCGAGGCAGAATTTGAGATTAACAGGCAATTCAAGGCCAAGGGCCTTGTGAGCTTCAACAACATTGATCCAACCAAGAACAGGTCCCTTATCATCGGTAGAACCACGGCCAATTAAACGGTTATTTTCATCCTCAACCAAAGTGAAAGGATCAGTGTTCCAACCATCTTCGAGGAGAGCCTACGTAATTTGTTAGATACCTTCAATTAATTGATAAATATATTAACTATTTACAGGTTGAACATCATAATGACCATAGACAAGAATGGTCTTCTTCTTGGGGTCAGTACCAATAGTAGCAAGAACAATAGGAGGCAAATCTAACTCAGTTCCGTGCCAGTTTTGCTTACCAAGATCACGAGTTTCGACAGAAGCATCAAGAGACTTGAGCTCAGCAATCAACCAATCAGCCATTTTAAAGACATCAGGACGATGAGCAGGGTCACCACTGACACTAAAAGAGACGCGTTATTTCAGTATATGAATATCAATGCTTGTTTAACTTTATTTATATTTACCTGGGAATAGCAACTGCCTTGCGAAGTCTTTCGACAAAGTCGTTTTGATGCTTTTCAACGTATTCTAAAAATTGGTCCATTTTATTTAATTTAAGAAGAAAAAAGAAATTATAACAAAAAAAAAACCTAAAAAAAAATTATTTATATGGATTCGGGAAAAAACAATGCCGAACAAGAGGTGTTCTAAATCAGTTTAAGCGTGCGAAAACTGAGCAGGAAATGTCACACGCTCAATTCATTTCCAGCTGATCAAATCTCCAGATCCTCGGTCCAAGAAACAGAGTTTTACACCTTAAGCGCAACCAATTTCTCGTAAATAAGCGCGGCGTTACTCGTTGAACAGATCTTTCGAGATTGTTATCAATTTATACCCCCACCCTTTTTTTTTATATATGTGTATACAAACGTGTTATTAGTATATATCGTTTACTATTAGATCCCCAATAGCTCGTTTGGCATATATATTCTTTCAATGATTAGCTGTATGAAATTAAAGAGTTCACTTCTTCCTTTAAATAAATTCATCATTTATATCAAAATGTCTATCAAAGACCTGAAATACTAAAAAAAAAAAAAAAATAGACGCAGCTACAGCCACTTTTAAGTTTCTGGTTATAGAACAGTAATAAAAAGTCTGAACAGTCAAAAAGAAAAAATCGGATTTCTGAGGGACAGTCAAAGTGCACGTAGTCATAGTCTAGGATACGTACCTTTTCGGCTGTCCCTAAGAGTTGGATCTTTTGTACGCAGTCAGAAAAGAGCATTTTTTTCTTCTTCCATTACTGCGCAAAAGAATATTTTCTGTATTGAGTTGGTGGTTATGAAGACACGTTCATTCTCGATGGGTTGAGTTTAGGAAAAGAATCACCTCATTTTTGATGGTTCTTACTTTAATATAATATGGGTAATTACATCTGTAGCTGTCCTTTTGACGTTGACGATTAGCATCGGCTAACTCACGTGTATTGCGGTAAACACCGCCTCTTTAACATTGAAAACGAAATTTACTTTCTAGAAAGCGAACTCTAATCAAATCAAAGTTGTTTCCGAGGGCATAGTTTTTAAACAGATCGGTAGTGGTTTTTTTTGTGACATTTGGTGGTAATGCTGGCAAAGGAGCAGACACTTCAAAAAGTTTGAAGTCAATATTCATTTTAATTTCTAGATAAAAGAAGTCTTTTTATTTTTACAGAGTTTAAGGTGGCTAAGGAACAACCACTACAGCATGTGATCTCTTGGGAAAAGCCAAAAGGTATCCTAAAATAGACTAGAACTATGTACACTTTGACTGTTACTAAGGTGTAATCTCGAGGGTGTAATGTCGGTACATCATCTCCCCGGAGGGATGGCGTAAAATAAGACCACTATACACCACGGAAAAAATAAGTGATGAAATTAATAAATAAGTGACTTTGAGTGACTTTGAGTGTTTATTCGGGTGTTTTTCGCCACCACTTTAAATAAAGGTGACAAATAAGTGTTAAAATAAGTGTTAATTTCTACCACTTATATTGAAGGTGTTAAAAGGTGTTAAAATAAGTGTTAAATTTTGTCACTTTTGGTTAAGGTGACTAATAAGTGTTAAAATAAGTGTTAATTGTTATCACTTGAGATAAAGATGTTAAAAGGTATTTAAATAGGTGGTAAATTTGGTCACTTTTGTAAAAGGTGACAGATGAGTGTTAAAATAAGAGCTTGTTTTCATCACTTGCGTTTGAGGTGTTCAAGGGTGTTCCAAAAAGTAGTAATATTTGCAATATTTTTTTATTATCATTTAGTAAGTCTGATATTTGAGTTTTAAGTTTTATTTTTAAATCAAAAACGGCGTATTGCTTATACATACATAGATGGCCAAACAAGGTAGTGCTTATTTCCTCTATTAGTGAAGGTATTGTTGTTAAGGGACTGATGATATTATTGGTGTTGATCAGAACTCTCATATGGTCCCTTTCTGCCGCAAGTGGCATGCTGTTGGAACTAGTAGTATAAAATAAAACAGTATTCCCGTCAACAGATGACTCAATATTCGAACATATTCTAGCCCAAGCAAAAACATTATTGTTCAACACGTCCGCAGCTGGTAACGGCTTTGCTACAAACATGAACTCCAGCTGAGCGACATAGTACTTCTTACCAGTTCCACCAAAATTACTAACGGGTAAGCGTGCGAGGAACATGCTGGAATTTGTTTTTACCGTGGATGCACAAAACTGCTTGCAACCTCTTCCCGTCATTGTGATAATTTAAACAACTCGGATTTCCTCGCATTGAACTTGTAGTAAAACTTGTTCAAGGAAGTTGGCACAAAGGTGCCTGAATTCAGTGATACGCCGATACTCGGAGTTAGCTTTGCCTATAATGATTCCAGAAAGCGATGTTTTCGAGCAAGCTGGTGTTTTTCTGGACAAAAAAGATTGCTCTGACAAAGTACGAATGATATGGTATGCATTCTCCGTTGGTTTTGAGAATGACCCTATCTTCTGCTTGACTATACCAATCATGCGCTCCAGATGTCGACAACTGAACGAGCGCATAGGATCAAGCTCTTCAATCACATATGGTATATGTGATAAATAATGTTGGCTAATTGTTACTGCATTTGGTGATATATTGTCTGTGTTTCCAACAAAATTCATCCATATCTGCAGCTTACTGAATACTGTCAAATATTAAAAAAATTGGGTTTTAGTATTTTTAAACCTTTATCTAATTGTAACTAACCTTTTGAGTTCGCTGATATCTGATTGACTGATTTTATATTGCAAAGCAATTGCGCAAGCCTACCAAGATTACAATGATTTAATTCAATCAACGTTTTAAAATATTGCTGTCACTTCAATAACAAATTGAAGAGGATTATGACTAAGCCATACTAATTTCAATCTTACTATATAACATGAAGCATAACGATATCTGTAATATGGGAGTACCACTAGCATGTTGTTTTTTCATCATTTTTGATAGACATTCTTTACAAGGAAAACCCCTACCTTCTCCCTATTTACAAAATATAATTTCTCGTTTTTATTGCTCTTATACTACGAAAGATAAATACGGACTTGATCGGTGAGCCTAGTACGGACCCTTTGGAGATCTTGTAGAAAACATCATAACATCTAGATTACACTTTAAGAACAGACAATTTTGAATTGCCTAAAGTTCGCTTTTCAGATACTGAAATGATTTTCTAAATGTTATAGAGGCGATGTTTACAGTAATACTAGTATATTAACCACAGCTAAACGACAACGTCAAAAGAACATTTGGAATTGTAATAGCTCTAATTGTAAGAAGCAAAACCGTCAAAAATGAGGTCTTTTTTTTCTACTTAAACCAAACCTATCGAGATTGCACGTTCACCACCGCTGTCGTATTTGGGTATGATTTATTTGAGAATAAACAAATAAATCGAACAAATAATAAAAACATGGAATAAAAACATCCTTTAATATTGAGTAACAGCATACACCTGTATACTGCTACCCAACGACTCCTACTATGAGTACATATTTCTATATAAAAAGATTGCATGATTAGCTCAAAATCGATATACGAATGACAGTTGGATATAGAATTCTATACCACTGAGTTACGATATCACCGATCGGGAAGAGAAGCTTCTCCGATCAAATCAAGAAATATAAGAAAGAGAAACTTTATATTAATAGTTCTCTCAATGGATTAGCTACCCATAGAGTGAATAGAACAGCTATTTCTATAAATGGTTCATTTACTTATATATTGATAAACACAACTTATACGACTGTAAGTGTATAAGAGAAGTAGTGCATGGAATATTTGGATGCCTATTTTCTACAACTAAATATACAAACATCGATAAGATGTTCTATATTTTAGGATCACATATTTACCCATGTCTTAGATAAAAATAATCAACAGAATGGATAAATGATCAGACATAACTACATGTTCTACCACAGCCAATTAAACACAAAAACCTTATGCATCTTTTAACTAGCCACCGTTACACAATATCTTACTGGAGTTCCGTATTTTAAACAGAACAATAAGAGTGTCCCAGATCGGTTGATTCAGGGCGACGTTATTTGAAATCAATTCTAACGATTAGAATTCATTTAATGTAAGGCGGTAAACTGAGTATAGATTTATTACAAGACCAGAAAGGTTGACTCAACATAACTACCAGGGGAAGTTGCTTAATATAAAAAGGATCAATTATTTCATCGCAGCAGAGTTCTTTTAGTCTATTTTTACCTCTAATAAAAATATACTTTTTTCTCATTACTTTTTCATTGTAATATTTTGTCAAATACCACAACCGCAGTACAGAAAATAATAATTTGTGCAGTGATGCAAACAAAAATCAGCTCGTGTCTAACTTTGTAAAAGGTTATTTATAAGGATAAATCCAAAGGATCACAAAATTAAGATTAACAAAAGCTTGGGGGACGGGTTTTATGAGCAGGAGAAAATAATTCTAAATGACGTATCTTAAATGGGAATGATTGATGCAATTCAACAAGTAGTATATAATAGAAAGTACTGTATATGTCATACTTCGAATGGAGTAGCAGGACCCCTTAAAAAACCAACTCTTTGTTACCACCAAAAATGCACCCGATCCTAAGTGACCCAATTTTTGATATTTCATAAGCACTGTGGCACTTACGTTTTAAAATGCCAAAAAAACGCGCCGGTAGATACTTTCTCTTGCTTTTATATGTACAGAAACGTAGAAGTGGCTGTACCTGCGTCTATAATCGACTCTTTCCTCCTTTCTTTTTGAGTGGTGTGTGATTGAAGGTCAAATATAAATTATCAATTTCATTTAGATGGGGAAACAGGCTCTTTTCCTCCGTATAGCTATTCATGAAAAGGGGTTATATGCTAAAAACCACTATTGGTGCGGATCTAATAGTAAAAATAGTTTACTAAATACGCATTTTTACACTCAAAAAAAAAATTGAGGGGGTGGTGGTGGTGGTATAATAATAGACACAAGCTCATAAGATTTGTTCAACTCGTACCGCTCATTTACGAGAATCTGGTTTCGCTTAACAACTTTTAATGTCTTTCTGTGATAAAAACCCATTTGTGTGTTCAAAGGGTACACTGCAAAAATTTAAATCCATTTCCTGTTTTTTAAGGGAACATGACCAGCTTACTATGTTTCCACCAGCTTTTTTGAAGTTAGATTGCCCAGAAAAAAAAAACTTGATTCGACCTACTTTTTATAAATTGAATGGCCAAACGAATGGTAGAACCAAGGTTTTTAAAATCATTTATTAATGACGTTTGCAGCTTTGGTCGTTTCAAAAGGTCCCACGAGCTTTTCTTGAGAAAAAGGAAATAGCAAAATTGCTCTTGGTCCGTGTAGCAGTTGTTAACCGTTGGGTGTTTTTTTTTAGAGTCTGTCTGTCAAATGCCTTGGGTTCATCTTTTAGAGATTACGTTTTTATTTTCTATCTAATTCTACGTTGTCATACGAAATGAAGGTTCTACCATAACAGTAGATGTTTTTTTTCTAGATAAATCTACGCTCTACCTCTACCACCTTCTTAAAACTATCCTCGTCAAATAGATAGATTTTACAAAAAAATTGGAAAAGCCGGTTGTACTATTTGTAGAGAGCAGGTGACGTTTTTCAAAAATTGGGGAAAAATATTTTTTAAGGCAATCTAACTTCCAATAACAACGTAATTTTCTTCATGTAGTGTGCGAAGGTGTTCCCTTGGAATCCAAAAGCCAACGTGGGTTTTGATGATGTCAAAACCCTTGGAGAATTGAGTTTTAATTTAAAGAAGGTAACAAAAGATTGTACGCCCAACCAGTTTCACGTAAATTAGAAGGGGCGTTACCTGAGCTTGTTGACAATTTTATACCCCTCCACTTTTTTTATGTGTGTACGCAAAAGCGTTATGGGTATATGATGTTTACAATTAGGATCCACTAATTGCGTTTTTAGCACACGCATCTTTTTTATGACTATCTGTATGAAGTTAAAGTCCTCATTTCTTTCTTTAAAACGAACTCATTATTGATGTGGAACCGTACATCGCACACCTGAAACACAAAATATAACAAAACATAAAAGACACAAAAAAAGACGCAGGAACAGCCATTTTAAATTTCTGAGAATACAACTGCGATAGAACTTTGAACAGAAAATCCACCAAGACTTTTGTTCAGGAACAGCCAAAGTACGCTTAATCATAGCCTAAGACGTATTTTCGTGGCTGTGTCTAAAAGCTGCATAATAATCAAACATTTTTGAGTGGCTCAGTATACACCGTTTGAGATATACCATATACAACACTTTCTCTTATATACTACCTGCCGGATCGTGTAGGATATTCACTGTTGAGTTGAGTCATTTAAAAGTAATTTTTATCCCATAAATCTCGTCGCCAAACTTTGACCTTTGAGTTTGTGATCCTTTTTATATTCTGCTCAATACGCTATTAACAAGTCAGACGCAAGTTTTTTTTGTTGCCATTACTACCCAAAAGATTATTTTTCTCAAAGCCTTTTCAAACGTTCATTCTCGATAGGTTGAGTTTAGGAAGAGAAAATCCCTATTTTCGGCGGTTTTTATTTGTTGTAATAGGTGCAATTACATTTGAAAATGTTCGTTTGACCTTGATGATTACTGTGTCAATGTCGGTTTGGGGATAAAGCTTTAAAGAGATTGGTAATAAACTCTTTGGTAGCATTTGTTTGTAATGATAGCTAAGGAGCGGACATTTTCAAAAGTTTTAGGTCAATATTTATTTGTTTATTTTTACATGGCTTAAGGCGCATAAGGGACAATCACTACAGCATGTGATCTCCTAGGCACAGCCAAAAAAGTATCGAATATTAAGCTGTGACTATGGAACAACATCTAACTGGAGGTAGACTGTAAAATAAGCCCGGTGTTTACTTTGGGAAAGATTTTTTTTCTTAGTAAAATAAGGATAAGAACATCAATCAAAATGGCCTTAAAGGCTATTTTCGTTGGCTGGAGTTTTTAAAAGAGACTTGGTGTGGTCATTATAGAACGTGTATGGAAAGCTTCAAAACGTTGACATTTTCATTATTTGGTTATTGATAAAAGAGAATTGTGTAAAAGGAAATAAATCTACAAAACACGAAGATAATTACCGTATCGCAAATCCTTATGAATGTGATTTCAAATACCCTGTCCTTTTCACCGAAGGGCTAGCTGACCTCCTGTCACAATAACTTGTATATATAACAGCAACTGCTATTACCCGGATTCAATTATTAAATCTTTTAAAGTTACATTTGAAAGTTCCTCTCGTGTCCAACTCAGATTCAGTTAATCAAACAAATAAGAGAAAACAAAACAAACACATTCTTTGTTTTTTATATACTAATTTATTGCTGTTGTCATTTTTCTACGTTACACCCTCAACAAAATTACACGCTTTTATCCAACACTCCTTTTGCATTTTCTCCTGTCATTACGAAGTACATTTACCGTAGACGTACATCTTTTTTTTTCCTTCGTACCGCCATTACTTTTATAACACGTGATTTTCCTATTTCTTATCATCCTCGTATCATCAAGTCAAAATATACCTCTATTTGTTTCGATATCACACTCATATCCACTAAATATTATTCTGTATGCATTGTAATCTTTTGTCCTCTCGTGTTCTACATCCCCTCTCGTATGAACCCGCTACTTTTTGTTGCATTTGCTGTATGTTTGATCTCACCAATATGTTTTGACGGTGAATTCGCCTGGTCTCCTTTGGCGGTTAGACCTATTGTACTGCTTGTTGTGAATAAATACGTTGTAAAAGAGATATCGACATTGAATTCTTTCATGATCCTCAATAATTATTCATCTTCTTCTTCTGCATCGTCTAGGGACATCCTATAACAATGGCTTATAATTCCAAATTGTCCTTTAGGATTCTTTACCAAAAGGTGATGGTATCTATCATGATAATGTGTTGTCGATATGTTGCAGTTCCAACTTTTCTGATCTCAAGGTCAAGTATTCAATCGTAAATCCAAGTAAAGGACAAATACCTTATAAACGGTGGAAAATGTTTTAGCTTTGAGAACCTAAAACCGAAATTAGAACAGAAAGGATTGTGAACCCCCCATGCAAGCATGTTTACCTGTTAAACCTGGCTTCAAAGAGGTCATGACAGTGGAGTTCTTCCTACAATGTTTCTTCTGAGAATGTGGGAAAATGAAAGACATTCGTTTTTTTTTTTGCTGGCAGTTAAATAGACAAGTCACAAAAGGATATCAGGCAGTCTTCAAATAATATTTTCCGCTTTTGCAAAACCATTGTTATACGCAGAAATGGCGAACATAGAAGGACTTGGTGTCGTTAAGACAATTGACTGTCTACCATAAAGGCGAAAACTGTTAACTTACGCCAACGTTGTTCTGAACAAGATCTGGCATACTCTCTTGCGATGATGGTCATTCCTTAGCTGTTTTTTTTGTCGGTGTACAAAAATAGAAAGAAACGCAGCGTTTAAATTTCAACCCCTGGCAATCCTTATGCTGCGTCCGATAAAAGCACTTGTTCGACGTTATGACCTGAAACCGCTTCATTTACACCTCATGTCGTATATTCTATCTCTTCCATGTTAGAAGAAGAAAATTTTGGAAACTGGTTTCTAATCATTCACCAAGAAGACATACAGCAAGCTTAAATCCAACAAAAGGCAAACCAACACGCGAAATAAAATGCTCCGGTACCTTTTCCGTTTCTATGGATAACAATGTTGATCAATAATTATATGTTGAATGGACGTAATTTTTCCCTCTCTTTTAATTATTAAATTACTTCACCACGCATAATGGGCATTGACCAAAAATCAGAGAAGGCATACATCGCCACTGGATAAACTGCTACAGCTTATTTACGTAATCAAGGCACAGGAGGATTTAAAGGGGTTCAAATCAAATCAAGATGGAGTTTTGTATAATGTTTGGTTGCAGCATCATCACGAACAAGAAAATGTTATATGTGCACTTATTAAACATAATTTAAATTCCTTTAATCAAGAGATATGGCGGTTTGTTTATCTCTTTGAAGATCATTTGTGACTATAAGTTTAAATCAACCGATGGATTAAGTACTATTTTATCGTGATATACGAATAACAAAAATGGTTTACTCTTATTTTTGTGAATGGGGGAAATGAAAATAATAAAGGGTTTTTGGTGGAGAAGTAGTGCATAAGAATCGTAAATTATTTAACATAAAAGAGCTACCAGAATGTTCGGCATCGGATAACGGCAAAAAGTGTCCGCTGTAAGCCAATTTACCTACAGCAAAAAAAAATATAATTGACGATGTTGGTAGTGCATTTTATTTGACACATATCTCCATTACCGAATACAGAGTTTGTGTGCATAAAGACTTCGGAAAAGTGATTGTCGTTACGTTTACTACATTTACATCGTCTACCCTGCTCTTCGAAAAGCAAGGTTCTTTGTATTTTTTAGGATATTATTAGTCTGATTTTCAAGAGATAAACCAGGGTCTTTAAAGTCTTCACACCCTTTAAGTTTTTGACCATTGAATAAGCTAAATCAAATAAAATCAAGTGGGGTCTTCTTGTTTTTTATAACCTCAGCAGCAGATAATCAGACCTTGTTTATATTCGAGTGCGCCTGTCTATAATTTATGTCTCCACTAGGCGTAACCCTGATAGATGGCTTCTCAGTGTTCCTACAATGAGGACTAGATGGGTTCCTGCTCCAGCATACAATAAACGGGGTGTAGTTCTTTTTTTGGCCTATGAGTATTTTTGTTGTTCTACTCTCCGTAAAGCTTGAGATAAATTGTGAACCACAATCATATTCAGTTATTTAACACTCGGCTACATCTTACGTTTTAATATAATTCAGCATTTCTTAAAGAATGTAATCTTCTGTTATCAAAAAAGTTTTTGTTGAGGATGTCATAGATTATAATAAAAGAATCATCACATTTTACATAATAATGGATGATCATGTATAAATATTCATGGCTCACACTTCGCCCCTTCTGTTATCATCAGAACCGTTGGTGTCTGTGCACAAGGTGATTTGCCTTGTGACGAGTAAAATATTATAATACCATAAAAGTATAGTACAATCCCATAGGCGGAATATTCGGTTACTGAATATTACACGCACTAAACTTTCTCTTTGGCATTTACGTAATGTCACCTGCGGAGATGAATTTAGATCCTCACGTACTTTTGTCTTTACTTTGTAAGGCAGGAATTACTTCATAACATATTTATTTAAACAGACATTACGTATAACATTATATCATATTCCTCTAACGCGTCACATATATTATCCGAAAGCCATCTAATCATTTAGTATAAATACCTGTAGTTTTTGCTAGTAGAATTCCCTAATCTAAATTTTCTCGAAATAAAAGATATACAAAGTTCTAACAGTATTTTCTTTTGTTACCTTAATTTACATTTTATCTCCATCCCAAACAGTTTTGACCTGACATTGTGTGTTGTTAGTGTACTGGGTTCAGGCAAAGAAAGAAAAAAAAACCGAAAGTGGGCAAAAAAAAAAAAAAAAAAAAAAACCCCCCCCCCCGATAGTGCACTTAGCACATCACTGTCATTTTAGTCAACCGAGAAAAGGGCAATGCTCTTAGTCAGTGAAAAACAGCGGAGTAAGTAGCCGACCGATTCAGGCTTTGTCTAATTCCCAAGACAAAACGTGACCGAAATTTGACCTCCACTTCGTTGCGGTAATTTCGACGTCCGTTTTGCATCGGGAATTAAACAATTTTTTTGTACTTACTTTTAGTGCTCTATCTGGACTTAAAAACTGTTCTGTTTTATAATATTAATTATACTTCTTATAAATACTTCCAATTAAATTCATAGCATTTATTTTATAGACAGAATTGATTCGATATGACCCTTTAAATAATAAAATGATGACGTATTTTTATTTATAAGGAAATTATTTCCCCCCTCTATTTTGTACTAATAAACCAGAAAACGGGTTGGGTGTTATTTTGGTTTTTATCTTCTTACAGCCTCTTTGTACTGGATAAGTGTACTATCGTTGTATTGTCAACATCTGCAATTATGATAGTATGAATACCCACTTTTATTTGGTTAATAATGCCTTGTAAGTTTGATTTATTTTTACAAATCTTCAAAACATTTTATAGTAGGGATAGGAAACAGACTTATTAGTATATT